TGTCATATGAAAATAAACAGTATCGACCTGGCCTCGAGAAAGAACTATAGGAACTGAGTAACCAAGAAATGAACAAAGATTAGTTTCCACGGAGCGTCCCTTTATAAAACCATGTTGAGCACTACTAAATTTCCGTCTAAAGTAATACGAAACACGAGTGTAGATGACCATCTCAAATACCTTCGAAAAGGCGCACAGCAAAGATATCGGTCGGTAGTTATTTACGTTACAGACATTACCACTTTTATGCACTGGTTTCCAGGATGATGGAAAATTTACCGCATCTCCACGTGGTGAGTGATATATATGTAGCACGGACAGTCGGATCTGTATAGAGGAAACTTTATTAAATGGTACAGCGAGAAAAACCTTAGCGTAAAGTGCCGAATTTGATTCCCCAAGGATTGCTCATTTTGAATGCAGTGACATCTTATTTATCACAGTTTTCTTCGCGGGGTATTTAACCTACTGTTTTACTTGGTGATTGCTTAAAATCTTTATCTGATAACCACACGAGAATCACGAATCGTTATCCTCGCGGAGGATAAAATACTGTATATCGTTTGTACCCGGATATAAGTAGCCAACCTAAACAATTTTAGTATTCTACCTTTATTTTTTGTGAGTGGAAGTAGTTATGTTTTTTATTCTAAATATAAAATATACCGGAAAATAAAACTTCACGCTGCATCATCTTTTCTCCTCACTTTTACTGTGTGACCGATTGCTCTAGTTGTCAATGGCCTCATCTGAATACAAATATCTGAAAGATGTGTGTTCGTTTCATGAAACTGGAACTCAGAGTCACTTCTCGTATAGGGCACGGTTAAGTGTAGGCTTTGAAAAAAGACCCAACTTTGGGGAGCTAGTTATGTCTTCTTTCTCAATCAAATAATGCAACATGTGTTAAAACAGAAATAAATGCCGAAATAGAGTATGACAGGGTACCCAAATAAAAAAAAGAAAAAGAAATCGAAGTTGTTTTTTTTGCATTAAAATGTTTTGTTTGATTTTTTTACATTGTTTCCTTAAACCCGACTATCGTATCACTGAGATACGTAATATATATTTTAAATAATGTCCATATATAAGTAGAATACCACCTGAAAAGTATATGATGGTGATTGAATTATTTCATGATGATACGGCCTCCAAATTTTTCCATTTATCGTTCGAGCAGGCATGCTTGGAAATTTTTAGAAAAAGGAATATAATGTAAATAAATATTACTACTCTATATTACAAGGAAGCTGTACACATAGTTTGTTTCTAAAAAAGTATTAAAATTCTGCTAATTTTATCGTTTTAGTTATTCACTTTCAAACGCGCCCCCTCCATCAGTGCGCGTTAATGCAACTGTCCCCCTCTTCGTGCCTTATGACGTTCCCTGTCCCCATTTGTTTTTCTTGTCAAAACAAAGTGTGGATTTGTTTATACCAGGCACTAGACAATGACATATAAAATATCAGTTGATTTTAAAATGCCGATCTTATCTTAAAGGGATACTTCAACGAAATTTGAAATATTCCCGTCGTGTTCAAAAGTAGGTTGAATATGATACACAATATCCGTAAATGACAATCGCACGTTCGTATTCTAAGCCTGGTGGCTGTATTTTTTGTTATAAACGGCCCACTCTGGCAAGCGCTCGGAGAAGGCCCAGCTTAGAGCACGTGACATCCAACGCAATCGTGACGTAGGTCGTCTCAAGACGAGCAAAGCTACGGCGAGGCTGACGTCGAGACGATGGCCTAGTCGTTCCAGCCACCGAAGTGGCTGCTTTTGTACGAATTTTGAGTGACGGGTTAATCTTCTATAATCTTCTAGGGGGACAATAGCTACTTCTGCTACACACAAAAGGGATTCTCAGGAAAAGGGGAGTTCCTCCTTCCCCCCTTCTCTCGTCATGGCCGGATATGAGACAACCTCCGTCACTACCTGTCAAGGTTCCTAGACGAGCATTACAAACGAGGCGTTTGCGACATCCACCAGGTGCTCTTTGCAAATCGTTTAATTCGTTTTAAAATTCCTTTTCGAGACTTTTTTAACAATATATTGGTATGTTCCATGTGATACTGCTCTTTTGAACACATATAGACCAAAAAATGAGCGCCGAAATTTTGTTGTAGTATCCCTTTAAAGGGCAACTCCGCTTAATTTCAAAATTTTTGAGATAGTGGCCGATTTGGCTTTTTGAAGCACTCAAAAACAATCCCCAATCCTTTGTTTCGCAAAAAATAAAATATTTTTCGTGTAATTTTACTCTAGCCCTGATCACAAACCGAAACCGAAACGGTGGCAAAGCCGGACAACATTGTATATTCGGCATCACTAAGCATGTACACCCACGTGATATACAAGGGGAAGAAGGAGCTTCCCTCTTATCAGGATTCTCCTTTGTGCCTCCTGGATTAGCACCAGGCGTCGCTATTCTCCTCCCAGAAGATTATAGAAGATTAACCTGTCACTCAAAATTCTTACAAAAGCAGCTTCCCTCTCCTCCTTTTACTTGGTGTTCAAAAGTATGCGATGTAACACAAGGCCGCGCTCAACGAGGCGATCGGCTTATCAGTAGTATCAATAGTCGAGCGCCGGGCCGGCCGAGCGCGTCACTCACGTCTTTCACGGCGCTGGCGCCACCCGTGCTCTCCCCGGGAAAGAAAACAAAATTGAAAAAAAAAAAAAAAAAAGAAACTGTACATGCTTGATGACGTCGCGGACGTGCCGGGAGAAGGAATTTGGAGGAAGCGGAAATGCAGCCGGGCAGTGTTGTCTGGCCCGCACGTCTCATCCAAAACCAGCGGATTCGTGCTTGTCAAACTTTGAAAGCGATTGTAATGAACTTCTAGGCGGAATTTCGTCGTAATATTTGCCATGGGGGTTTTGTAGATGATAACAAAGAGAACTATATAGTTTTGCACTACTGGAAAAGAAGCGGAGTTGCCCTTTAAAACATCCTATACCCGACTTGTCCCTACTGAAGTTTAGGCCTTCCCTGCTGCAAATCCTAACCAGTTCCTGTATTGTCTCACGACTTTCAGCTACGAGTGCAATGTCATCTGCATACATCAACCCTGACGATACTTGATTTACTTTATGTCCTTCCTCCATATAAGTGAGATCAAAACCGACCGAGGTTGCACTGCTCTAACCTTTTTTCCATCTTACTGAGGTATGTCATGAAGAGCAGGGGAGACAATGGGCAACCCTGTCTAAGTCCTCTTTTTATTGCTGCTGGTCTTGTAGTTTCGGCTTCCAATGTCATAACCACCCTATTCTTAACCATGGTTCCCCCGAGCCCATATCCCTTCAATTGGTCCCAGAGCTTTTCCTGATTCACATTCTCATATGCCCTTTTGATGTCCCAAAATGGTACCCATAATGGCCTTTGACTTGTCATCGCTATCTCTATGCACTGAGTGATTGTGAATAAGTTATCATCTAGGCGTCTATCCCTCCTGAAACCGTTTTGAAGCTCCCCCAGGATCTGCTTCATCTCTGCCCATTCTTCTATTCTTATTTTTACAATTTGCATAGCTGTATATTACTGAAGTTACTGTGATTGATCGGTATAATTTGATACTGTTTTTGTCTCCCTTGCTTTTATATAATAATCTCATCCTGCTCAATTTCCAGTCACTAGGTACTTCCCCTCCCATAAGTATCTGGTCAATCACCTGCCTTAGTTTCAATGTGCTTGTTTTGCCTAGAACCGAGGCAGGGTGTAACCTTGGGCTCTCACCCTACTAGCACTGCCTAGCTGTTACCGGCAGGCTATATTGTCACAAAATATTAAACAGCAAAAAAAAAAAAAATCTCGATGCTGGAAAATTACAAACACTATAGGGCCCATATACAGGGCGAGGGTAGTTGTGAACTATCACAAAACCAAAATCTATTATCTATTAAAGGTTTACCAAATTTCTGCTAGCTAGCTTTGGCATTTCGGAAGAGGGGGGGGGGGGGGGGGGGGGGAGGGTTCGACCCCCCAAACCCCCCCCCCCCCCCTTGCCTACGCCGCTGGTATGAACCCACCTTCACATTTTTATAATGTGAGCAAGAAAGAAAAAAAAATATATTTAAAGAAAGTGCTCTGACCCAAGCCCCTGCCTGTCCACGCCCCTGCCTATGCAAACGCACGGGTGGCGGATCCGCAGAATTGCCAGTCTCGGTGGGAGAGAGATACGGATAAAGTGTCGATATTCAACGGCAAAGATCCGCCGACGCCAGAGCTTTTCCTAAGGTGAAAAACTTCAAAGTAAAACCTCTAAAAAATAATAATAAATAAATTTAAAACAAAAATATTAATAAGGCTGCTAAGCGGAAATTGAAGAGCTTTTAAACAACGTTAGTAGTCAACTCGTCACGTCCACTGGGGGTCGTGGGGCTTGTTCAGTTATCAGCGTCATAAAAGTAAAAGTAAACGGGCGTCCTCATCACGAACAGCGAACATCACGAAGTGACACGCTATTATGCTTCTTTCGATCAAGGTGAAATTTTTTTACTTGGAGTTTGTGTACGGATGGCTAGACCCCTGGCTGCGTCTGCGCGTGGGGAGTGTCTGTGAACCGTTGGAATGGGTTTGCATGATTTGTTTTGATTAAGTTTGCACAGCTTGACTCATCAATCCTCTGTTCTGTCAACATGACTGTACTTTAACTTGGAAATAGAAAGAAATTAATGCAATCATCTTTAAAGAAATATAAAGCAGTCACATAAACAAATTCAAAATAACTACCGAGGTTTTTTTATTTTTTTATCTGTTTTTTTTTTTTACATAATATTTTATATTTTAAACGCAAAAAAAGAAATGAAACTGAAACCGAAACCAAGCCACGCATTGCACTACATCCACTACTTTATTACGTACTGTGGGCGACGCCATGCTCGTTGAGGGCAAAATCGATTTCAGACCTCGCGGCTCGCAGCTGTCGCAGCCTCCAACGCGTCCAACGCTCACTGCCGTCGCCCCAACCACCCCGAGCCACCCCAAAGTTGGGCACCCCTTGAATAAAAAAAGCAAGACCTAATGATGATCGCGCAGTTCGAGACAGCTATTAGAGATGCCGATCTGTTTTTGCTTCTTGACCGCACGCCGCCCGACGCTCATCTCGGACTGGTTCCTCTCTTTCCACCTTATCACGTGTCGGTGTTGGTCTCGTTATCGTCGCCGGAGGGGCAGCGAGCTCCAAGAAGCCGTACTACGAGGAAAACTCGATAGCGCCGCCGTCAAGCCTCGTCGTTTTCGGGCACGCCGACTAATCTGTTTCAGTCCTCAACGGCCTTCTGCTGGTCTCCGGTCATCAGCGGCTAGCAGTTCCAGCAAGCATGTCGGACGCGTCGGGAGAAGCAGTTATCCTGTCCGGTCGGCAAATAGCCAAGTAAGTTCGTCGCCGTCACCGCGCCTGCAAAGAATACAAACAAGCGAAAAAGAAAAGGGCTAACTTTGCGGAAGTGCGCGGAGATGCAACCTGTTGCTTCGCGTTTCTGGCGCGGAGTTTGGGTCGGGGTTGGGTGAGGGCGCTGAAACCGAAAATGAGCACTGTCCGCCAACTCTTCTCACTTCGTTCCTGTCTTCGCAAAAGTTTTCTACTGTTCCCATTGAATGCACGTTTGTTTGTATTGCTTCGTCCTCTTGCCCTTAGGTGTATTAACCGGTCTCTTTCAAGAAATAAATCCCGCTTGAGTTGTGGTCGTTGGTAGAGCCATCGCGCTTGGGCTGCCTTGTTTTAACTTTGGGTCCACTTAGGCGGAGGCATGGTTTTAACGGTTTTAAGTCGGATTGAGTCAATTTTGATTGAGTCCGTCAGCCTGTGCGTCGTTGTGTCTGGACAGCAGTTGTGCAAGCGACAATTTTCAATCGAGGCGGTTTATGCCTTGGCTGTCTGTTTCATCATCTTATCTCTATCAGATGTTGAGGTCGTGTCCTTGTGGGATGGGCCCCGCCAACCGGCGACGCGGTCTGCCCAGACGTGCACGATAAGAAGCGTGCTCTTTTTAATCTTGATGGCTTTATGGCGCGACGCTCGCCATCGCGCTGGACGTGTGGAAATTGCCACGAGTTTAACTGATATGCACGTATCAGACTGCCTTGTCAATCGAGAAGAGTCGCATTTCTTGAGAATAAATTGCAAGTCATCGTGTACTGCGTGCCCGTATGCGTTAAATACATTTATGCTAGAAGCATTTAACGTGTTCCTTTTCTCTGGCACATAGAATGATATCTTTTGGGCTGCATTATCCATTTTTGCCACCAATGATGGGTACCTTGTTCTCCTAAATGCCAGGACCCATTTAGATCATCTGCAATGATGGGAAGAGAGAGAGAGAGAGAGTGAAGCAGTTTGTTTGAAGTGCAAGGTGATTGGCCGTGCGCATTGAGGATGGCTGACCTCAACCAGTCCTAACTTGCAGCGAAGGTGCATGCCGGCTGGGCCAATAGATCGATCTCAACAGTCAGTTTGACTACGCCACTGCTGCCGTAGTGCATTCGAGCTTTGCGCGAGTGGAGCATGAGACGGCACAAGCATGCACGGCCATCTGCGTCCTGTGAACCAAAGTTATGGTGGCGTCACGCATGCGCCAAACACATAGTGAAATTGGTCCATTGACTGTCGACTTTAAAGGGGCCCTGCAAGGACTTTTTACTGTTTTTTAATTTGCACCGAACCTGAGCGCACTGAACGTATATAGTAACCTAGTGAAACTTCTCTTTTTGCGAAATTCGCTTTATTTTAAAAGTTATTGGCAATTTAGAATTACAGAAACAAGTAAAAAATAACCTCCTTCATGACGTCGTAGGTCCTGGCTAGTGCCACTAAATAAGCTACGCTTCAGAGTAACGACACTTGGCCATATTGTGTCTTAAAATCATGGTTGCCAGTTATCTGAAGCATTATCTGAAATCATAGGAAACGCTTTTCTGTCCTCCGCAAATGTTTAGACAGTTTGCGGCAGAGCAAAGCAATATTACATGACCTTCCTAACACCGGATCTAATGCTGAGGAAGTCACACTTTCGAATCATGACGATCGGCAGTTGCGTCTGCTCTGCATACGAGCCAAAATGGCGGTGCCCACAAGAATGTAGGGGAACGGTGTGCCGATACTCTAAGCGCAGCTTATTTAGTGGCTCTAGTCCTGGCTTGAGTGGCCGTGAACTAGAGGACGAATAGTGAGCTCTTCGAGCGCTCGCGGCCGCCGCACTCTGTGTCGACGGCGCCAGAGGGCGCCACTAAAGCATGTTCTGGATAGGCTGTATGCAGCGGGCAGCCAAGGCGGCTTTCATTGCGTTTGCGGCGCGATTAAACACTAATTCGGCATGACACTTCATTGGCCACAAATGACAGCAAACACGGGGTAAAGATCAGTTCAGAATGGGAGCCACTTCGCGCTGCCATACCGCGAAACGGCCAAACCGCAAGACAAAGCCTCTCGCCGAAGGCCTTCGGGAAGGCTCGGAGCCGGTCGTATCCTCTTGTCCATACGACTGCAGCGCCACCGCGTACATCCGGGATTTTTCCGTGTCGGCGCCTTATCCCACTACTCCTTTCTAGTATGCGCCGCCTTTTCCACTGCTTGGCGGCGGGTATGTCGACGGGTCATTTCTTGTTTCCGTACTTTATAAACTGCATTTCTTTCTTTTTTTCATCTATAATAGTGAACAAAAACTATTTTTATAAATAATTGAAACGGTTCGCGCCACTTATATTTTGTATTTCGACCAAAAAGAAGTTTTTAGTGGCTCTGATTAGTAGTAAGCCCAGGACCAAAGACGTCACATTTTGCGCGCTTTCGGTACCGCGGGTCGCCCTCATCGGTGGAGGAGGTTTCCGTGTCGTCCGGTTAAAATATGGCGCACTGATATTTAGCTACTCTTTCCGTGCCCTCTGGCTTGCCCGAACCCCAAGGGACGTGGAAACCGCATAAAAGGTAGACGCTTAAATATGATTGCAGGGCCCCTTTAACCATGTGACTGCATGTGCAGAGCTAGAGGGCGCAACTGCATGATGTATCGCACGATTCATCCTGTCCTGTGCCTCGCCGTCAGCACTGCGGGCTCTGACGTGGTTTTTTTATTCGTAGCATTGAATTCTGGGCAAAGACTCGAGATTTGTTTCAGAGTTCTTGAACTACACCATCTTGTTCTCAAGCCAAGAAAACTAATGTCGGGGTATGAATCTGTTTCAGAGAGATCCGTGAAAAGTTGGCCGTTGACGTGAAGGAGATTAAGGCTAAGCACCCAGAATTCAAGCCTCTCCTGACCATTGTTCAGGTAGGAATTTAGTATTTAGAAGTGTAATGTCAAAGGAACCATGAGCAATTTTTTTTTTTTTTTTTGGGGGGGGGGGGGGGTAAATAGTGTTTAGATAAAGAACTCTTTACATGCATAAGCCACGGAACAGGTAACAGTTCTTGTTGACATGTGCTAGGCTTTTTGAAATAATTTTCGTTGTGACTCAGCATTTGACAGCTATATTTTTGGGAAAAAATACATTGGTGTCGGATACTTTTTTGAGGTAGTGTGATAATTTAAACAGCTAGCATATCTGCTGCCAGAAAAGACCTGAAAATTTTCAGGGGAGTTTTTGAATGTTTAAAGTAGTTTGATTAACTTAAACGGCCAGTGTGTCTTCTGCCAGGAAGGACCTGAAATATTTCAGGGCAATTTCTCAATGAATGTTACTTTGTCATGCACTTTCTTTGAAGCACAGACATGTATTGAGATGATTCAAACACAAATTTTCTATGTGCAAGTGTAGTTCTCTAGTTTTTATTTATTTTCCATCTTGAGCTCACAGGTGGCCCCTGTCTGCAGTGGTGAATCCTTACCATCAGTGGGGATAATTTGACAGCTCTATTTTCTGAGATATTTAGTTGGGGAAACTTTGGTACTGTGGAAAACCCGGCAATTTTGTGAAATTGGTAAATGTTAATTATGGTGGACACCAGTGTTCTGAAGCATGAAGCAATGCTTTTTTTTTATAATGCAGGTGGGCGGACGGGAAGACTCTAATGTCTACATCCGCATGAAGCGTCGTGCTGCCGAAGAGGTTGGCTGTGATTCTCAGCATGTCAAGTTCCCCAGGAGCATCACTGAAGAAGAGGTATGCATTGTCCGGTTACGTTCCGATCAAAAACTAAGGACCGCAAGCTTGGAAACTGGGATGCTAGGCACATGGTTGGGTCGGGCAACCACATAGTTAATATGCCATCGCACCTTGTTGACATGTTTATCGTCTAGGTGGTGCAGTCAGGGAAGGAGTTAATTACTTCACCTTTAAATTGTTTTGTCTAACTTTTCAGTTCATTTTCTCAGCTATGCTGTTGTCGGGCTGTTAAGCGTCACAACCGCTCAACGACTCATTCATATGGCTCTTGCATGAAACAGTGGTTCAGGTTCCGGAATTTTCACGAGTTGAGATAGAGCCCTTGAAAGGAGACGAGGTAACATTCTGTTCAGTGTTATGAACCCTTTGCCCAGGTGCACCTCATGGCATAAAGCCAAGTCTTAGTGTACTTACGAACACAATGACAAAAGAATGGCTTCAAAAAATTACGAGCTTCTATTCTAGTGCATGGTTACGCCATCTGTGGGTGTAAACTGAAATAATATCTTCGTGTGCAGTTTGTGCCCTTTTTAATGCCGAAATTACGCTATTGTGTTTGACTGGTACATTGCACGGTATGGAACCTGCCTAATGAACTTTTTGCGGGACTTGATTCTCTTCTTTTTCTTATTTCAGCTCGTGAAAGAAGTGGAAGCTCTGAACCGCGACCCCAACATTCACGGGATTATCGTACAGCTTCCGCTGGACTCGGAGAACACAATTGATTCCAACCGCATCACGAACGCAGTCTCGCCCGACAAAGATGTTGACGGGTCAGTAATTCTTTTGAGCCCTAATTTGTTTTGCAACAACGAAGTGAAAGATAATTTGGTTTCTGAAAAACCTTTTCGATGGGCGTTGCTTTTAGGCTTTCTCTGGTTACTTTTGTTCCCTCTAGTTGCAAAAAAAAAAAAAAAAAGAAGGGGGTGCGATATGGAGGGAATAGCTATACTTGGGTGAAGTTGGAGCAAATTTGTTTTGGGATTTTGATTTACGTTGGTGCAACTAGGAATCGTCAGAAGAGATTTTGTTTTTGCCGTTTTGCAAAGATATTTTTTTACCCATTTATTGTTCCGAAGAAACATAGCGAGTTAAAAAATCGGGGAAAAAACACTACGGTGCCATTTTCTCTCTTTCTTGCCGAATTGTTTTGGGCTTTCTTGGAGTTCATTTATGTTAGCCTTGTGCAATGTTGGTGTCGTGTGCATCATCCCAAGTTCTTTCCAATGCCATTTTCTTGAGAGCGTTGGATACCAGACATTTAGCATCAGTTGTAAATGTAGCCCGACAAGCCAATATCCAAACTTAGTCTGGAGTCGGATGGAATGTAAGCTTATGTCATATCGGGACGGATCAAGTTGGGACGGGTCAAGTTGGGACGGGTCAAGTTGGGACGGGTCAAGTTGGGACGGGTCAAGTTGGGGCGGGTCAAGTTGGGGCGGGTCAAGTTGGGGCGGGTCAAGTTGGGGCGGGTCAAGTTGGGGCGGGTCAAGTTGGGGCGGGTCAAGTTGGGGCGGGTCAAGTTGGGGCGGATCAAGCTTGGGGCGGGTCAAGTTTGAAACGGGTCAAGTTTGGGACGGGCCGTGAAAAATCGAGACAGGTTTGTTTGGGGCGCTCCTTATTGGGACGGGCCGCCTAAAGCGTCTGGTTGGGGTGGCATGTGACAAATCAAACTGCTGTGATGATGGAAATGAGCATTCTTTCTGAGACGCTTGTTTGTCTCATGCTTTCAGGATTCACGATCAAAACGCAGGGCGCTTGGCTCACGGCGAGCTTGAGGGTTTTTTTGTACCCTGCACCCCAAGGGGCTGTCTGGAGCTCATCAAGCGTTCAGGCGAGTTTTTCGCTGCAACACCATTGTTCAGCAATACAGTGCCTGCTCCAAAGCCAGTGTGCTGCTCCTGTGTATTTTTGCCGTACTTGAAGAATTGCATGCTAAACATCACAAAGGTTACCTGTGTATTGCCCTATCCTCCGAGACCTTGGAATATGCAAGTCTTTTTCAAGGTTCGAAAGTCGTTCGGGAAACCATTGTAATCCCCCAAACTTCTTTACATAAAAACAATAAACAAGCGAATTTGGGCTTCAAAACCAAGCTCAGACAGTACAAAACCTATAAGTAGTTGCTACATCCTCAGTATGTCTTTAAAAAAAAAAAAAAGAAACAATAAGGCGTGCAGAAAGAGACCATTCTGACAAGAGCTTGAGAGCAAATTGGTTCTTCGAGCTAATAAAGAATATTAGTGCAAACAGAAGTCAGAAAGTGGCTGTCTTCCTATTAGGCTAGCATGATTTTGCCAATGGATCAAAACCTCCGTATTTTCTCGCTACACTGAAAAGTACAAGTAGTAGCTTCAAAAGTAATTCGCTATACTTTTCTTACGGTACTTAGAACTCAATTACTTTCCAATTCAGTCATTTCTATTCTACTCAAATTAACTTTGAGGCCGGTACTCCTTAACCTAACTACTTTTCTTGAGTGACTTGTATATGTCTAGTCAGTAGTGCATTTAGCCTGTTCTTCGTTTAGCTATGTTGCAGCAACCAAGACATACCAGGCGACAGACTCGTGCATGAAATGCACTGTCTCATGGTGCACCACTATTGCTTGATTGTTTCAATCGAAGAGTGCCAAAAGACTCGAGAAATGCAGGGTCATGACACAAACACCCTATCAAGAGTGTCCACGGATGCTCTTAAACTCTGAACTTGGCATCTGCACTGCGAGTGTAGTTATATTCTTTCTATGCAATACAGGCGTGACCATTGCTGGATCCCGGGCAGTGGTGCTTGGACGTAGCAAGATTGTCGGCTCGCCCATGTCCGCCCTGCTGCTGTGGAGCCACGCTACTGTGACCACCTGCCACTCCAAAACCAAGGACCTGGCTGCCAGGGTATGTGGGGGGAAGCTAAGGTGCGCAAATATTTGAAATCCCGAATGATTTGCGAATAGTTGTTTGCTATTCGATTCTACTTGCAGCATGGTTTGGCTGTTAAGTATTTTTGAAAGTGACGAGTAATGTCTTCAGAATTCTTTGGTTTCGTGCAGAAAGGCTGAAACGCCGGTGCGAAGCAGCTTCACTTCGTGCCGGTGTGCTTGGAGAATAAGCTGACGTGTTGGAGTGTGTCAGTTGGCTTGATGGTCTTTTTAAAGGGCACTGCCAGCAAAGAAAGCCTCAAGCTACATGCAAACAAATATGGTAGTCATTGCTATGCACAGATGCATGGATATGAGGTAAAGAGAAAGACGAAGCAGTCTTGTTCTGAGCCCGACTGAGAAAGACGTCGTTTCCTTCACCGGCGGGTCCCAGTTTTGGACTACGCTATGACCCACGCGAAGTAGCCCGAGCACGTAGGTCCTCCTCATCAGACGAGGCGGCCATGACCAGCTTAGGTCTCCCAGATGCAACAGCTGGACTTCCTTTGTTACCTAATTGGCACATTTGGCAGGCACTTGTTTCAAATCTACCACTAAAATAGTTGTTTTGATGCGGTTTTTCTTGAAAGGTGATTGGGTTGAAGAAGGTTTCAATGTGGTTTTTCTTGAAAGGTAATTGGGTTGAACAAGGTTTTGATGTGGTTTTTCTTGAAACGTAATTAGGCTGAACCAAGGAAAGTTGAAAGCTGGACTTTTAGGTCAGTCATTACCCAAAAAAAGGGGTGTGACCTATAAAAGGGAAGAAGGGGACAGTCACTAAATAGATGGACAAGTTAGAGGTATATGTGGCCTTTGCCCAATGGCTGTGCTTTGCATTGGATGCAGTGCCGTGAAGCAGACATTTTGGTGGTCGCCATTGGCCGGCCACGGATGGTCAAGGCAGACTGGGTCAAGCCGGGAGCTGTGGTCATAGACTGTGGAATCAACGCCATTCCTGGTAAGTAAGCCTGCGAGCGTCAGCGAGATGTGTCGCCTTGCATGGTTTCGCTGCATCGGCACACTTTGCCACCAAACTGCCACTGCACTATGCATTGCATACTGTGAATGTCGTACCCCGGTAACCGATGAACAGTAACCGATGAACAGGGTTTGTCAGTCTAATTCAGGGTTCTTCAAACTTTGTGGCTAAGGGCCCGAATTAGGTATCTGTTGCAGTTGCCAGGACTGGAAAAAAATGGTAATTATAAACGAGAAAAATTTAATAAATAAACCTAGATAAGCATTCAGACACAAAAATAAATGTTGGAAGTATTAAAAGAAACAAAAAGCTAATATGGATGAATATATATACTTCAACTTGAAATTTGATATTTAGCTAATTATGACATTAACGCAACAGTTGTGGCCAAGAAAACTCCCCAGGCGTAAATCAAAGCGTGTGGGAATTTAGCACATTCACGCAGTGCAAAAGACTAAGGACAATGATCAACGAGTGTTGACAATATGCAATGGTTATGGTGGAAGACACTTGCACAATGATTCATGATAATGCAAAGGAATTTAACATAGTTAAACATACATTAAGCAGGGACACGAAGAATGATGATGCTGGTAATGATAAAGTTCAATGAATATTATGCTGTTTATCTAGTCCTTCCTTGGATCTTCGTTATGTAAATGGTGAACTGGTAAAAAGAAAATGTGTTGACAGTTAAATACAAAAATTAAATTTATTGTGGCACAACCTTCCCAAAGTGAACTCGATTAACGTGCTAAATAGATAATACAATAGCACATGTAAGTACACGAATACGCAACACTGAACTGAATAACACTCATAGATGCGTACCACTTAGTCAAAAATAAAGCACCAAAGACAAATCGTGCATCTCTACTCATCATGGGCAGCAGGGATGAGAAAGTGCTCGAGCCAAGCCGTTTCTGTTGAGTGCTGCTCCTGTCACTTAGGAACACACGCAGGTCCAGTTCGTTACAGAAGTCAGCCTTTCCTATAGACAGCCGGCACATGTTTCAACATATCCCCGTGTTTAGGCAAAGACCCCAAAAAAGTGCCATATAAAAAAAAAAAAAAAAATTAACATTATGTGGATGTAGGCGACTGAAAAGAAAACAAGTAGAAAAGTGTGAAAGAAAGTGGAAACGCCATGGCCGCCGCCTCTGTGGGAGGGTGGTAGCACCACGCGTGTCTGTCAGCATGCGGACAATTGTTGAAAATCGTAAAAAACATTCACCCCCTCCCCACCGAAGGCAGGCAGCTGTCGGGAGGACTTAGCAGTCTTGTGTCTTTAGTTGCATGTGTCTCACAGGTCCTTTTTTTTTCATTAGTGTTCTAGAATATATTTATAAATGCCCCCCCCCCCCCCCCCCCCCTCAAAAAAAAAAAAAAAGGAAGCGGAAAATGTGTTTGAGTAGTTAAGAAAACAGCAATGACTGCTGGTTTGAGATATACCAACAACCAGCCTGCCATCAAAAAAAAAAAAAAAAAAAACTGTCGAAAATTGGGCAGGTGACAACCCTGCTTGGGAGATGAGCGTGTTGGTTCAAGTCATGGATGAAGAAAGAATAAAACAATTAAAACGGGGAAAACACAACCAGATGAAAGATGTTGTTGTTTTGTCCCCGTTTTAATTGTTTCATTCTTTCTTCCTCCATGACAACCCTGTTTGACCCGAACACATTGGTTCGCTTGAGCAAACCATGTTGTACTGCATGTGCAATGTGCTGCATGCATGGCTTTGTTACAGATGCGACGCGCAGCTCGGGGTCCCGCCTGGTGGGAGATGTGGACTTTGACGAGGTGAAGAAGGTTGCCTCGTACATCACGCCGGTCCCGGAGGGGGTGGGCCCCATGACGGTGGCCATGCTCATCAGCAACACGGTGGACTCTGCCAAGCGGTGCCTCAAGGCCTCTCTCGCCGCCAAGGGCGAAGAGGTACGCTTCCCATGGCATCCGCGTTTCTGTTGATGTCCACGAAAAGTGCTTTTTATTCCAAAAATACATTTTTTTAGTCTTTTTATCTTGTAATGCACATGTACAAGCGGGATGAAAAATAGTGAAAAGTACCAATACTGGCACAGTAAATTGGCATTTGGAAACATGAATTTAAGAAGTGAACAAGTTGTAAATATACAAATATGCATGCAAAAACATGCACATGGCTACTGAACAATTTAAGCAAGTCACAGCTTTGAGGAAAATAACTGCCCTTTAAACATTTTGACTCTGAATTCTTTTTGTAGAGAAGTAAAGCTTGGGTGGCATCAACAATTTGGCCCCCATAGAATGTGGCGCCCACCCCTAGCTGACTGAGCTTTTCAACGAAGGTGTATATTAGCAATTTGTTTTACCTCATAAAAATTTGCAGTATCCACAACCTCTTTTTTGAAGATAAAAATGGGTATGAAATCTCCAGGCATTCGAATACCTCTGTGGTGTCAAGGTTTTGTTGCGACCTCCAAAATGCAAGTGCAGGGTTTAAACACAGGAGTCAAAGAAAGAATAAAAACACTTAGGGACAAGGACAGACAGCACAGTTCCTTGTCCCCAAGTGTTTTTATTCTTTCTTTGACTCCTGTATTTTCACCAACACGCTCTTTCATCTTGTTTTGCAGGGTTTAAACCTGGGTGTATTCAATTCTGTGTAAGGTCGTTCGTAGTTTTGGAGACTTTTCTAGCCTATGGTCTTAACGTTTTTATCTCTGTTACTGGGGGCTCGGCGCATGCCGTTTCTACGGGCAAACAAGCAGTGCTACTCACCTCTGTAGCTGCGGTACAGTGGCTTAAAAAATGGTAGTGTAGTTACTGCGTAGCCCTCACCATGCATCGGGAACGGCCACTTTTTGGAAGACGGTGTAGGTGGCGCTTTGATCCGCAGCTTCGTTCGGGTGCCTCCACCGGCTGGCAGATAGAGGCACCCTAACACGCTTCATAACTAATATAAATACCTCAATAACAATTATTTGTTTCCAATGAACTTCCCACGACACGATTTGTGTTCGTAGGTAAATAAAAATGGGAAACTAGCAGACGGCAGTGTAGTCGACTGCTGCGAATCGGCCGGAGCCATAGCCAGAACGACGGTGCTGCAAGCGCCAGCGCCACCCGCGGCCGTCTTCCAACGCCGTGCCGCTTCTCCAGTTTCGTTCGTTACACTGCCCCCTTTAAGCCACTGTAGCTGCGGTTTCTTGATGTCTGGCTATCGCTTTTTAGACCATCCATCAGTTGATGACCAGTGTTTGCTCACAAGCTATGCCAGAGCTTAGAATTATGTCTAAAAGGCATCCTTGTGTCGCCTAGCATTTAAACTTTCAACAAAGCTGCCAGAATCTGCAATTGAAAGTGTGTATTGTGCACTAAAATTGCAACATAAATTTAGCAGCACTGTAGTACAGACAAGATCTCGGGTCGGTGATGCCACATTGCACCGCAAGTTCACCTTCACCTCGCGATGGACTGTAGCGTCAAGTGATCTCCGGGACGGTGGTGTAGCCAGGGTGGGGGGGTGTGGAGCTGGGATGCCCATGACCTTGGGGTGGGGAGAGGGGCCCCTGCCCCCCTCCACACCCCAAGGTCATAGGCATCCCAGCCACCTTGGCCCCAACCCCCCCTTCACCCCTGACGTTTGCTGCAGTTCACTGTAAAGTGAAAGGGAGTATGGTAGCTGCGTGGCCCCAACCCCGAAATGAAACCTGGGTGTTTGCGGCGTGTTGGAACAGAAGGAGAGGAGGAGGCAATCCCCCTCCTCCCCTCAGAATCCCCACTTCCTGATCACTTCCGGTGCCGCACGTTTCCATAAGTGAGATGTGCAGGAGTTGTACTAAGTCACGATTTTGTTCTCTTGCAGTTTTAGATTGCCATACTGAAGTGAACCTGTGCCGGACGTGCCAGCTGCACAGCAATAAAACTGCTACTGCGTGCATACTCGTTTCATTGGGATTGTTTTATTTCCAAGGTTGATATAAATATATTAAAGTACATCTGCGTTGTTGTCTTTTTATTTTACTAATTGGAGCTTGAGGCCCTGATTCTTGTCAAAGGATGTAAGGTTATAAAGAAATACTTTAAGTGGTTTCAAAAATGGCAATTAATGGATGATTAAATTATAGTGGTTCCAGAAATGGGTACTTGAAATAAGTCTCAAATCCTGTGGGACTTGAATGAATAAAAATGTTTATTGAAGAATAAACTGCCTGTCAAACTACAAAGCATAAAGTCAACGGGTAAGGGTTAAGGTCAGTAGTAGTGTGTGGGTGGGGAGGGGGGCGGCACGCAGGTGCGGATAAACTAGTTGGGCTGTCTACACATTGAGTAGATGTGAACAACTAAAAACCTTCATCTGATGTAGTCGTAGGACTTAAAAAAAGAAGCAAACAAATCGGGCTGTTAGCATATGTCTACCGTAAAATACCGGGCAAGCGCCCACCCAAAATTTTGAGGTAACCATGAAAAAAATGGGGGATGGGTGCTTGTCCGGTCATCAATTCTACATATAAATGTACCGTGCATATTTTCTCGGACCTTACAAATTTGGGTATAGGCGCTTAATGTGATATGGGCGGATGCACGGTATTCTACGGTATTCCTGTGGGGCAGGTACCCAAGGAGCAGACATGCCTATGCGTTTGCATATGCTTACACCCACAGGCAGCGCGTAGGGCCAATGCACTATACTCCGTTCACCCTTGAGCTGAGACTAGAAGTTCCGCCTTCAGAGCGAGCCTTCTGCCCTTGCTAACATAAGTGTGAGCACGCAGGCATGCGCAACCGAAAAACCTGCGGAAGCCAGCGAGCTTGTGCTGAAGATGGAGCTTTTAGTCTCGGCTTAAAGGGATTACCTGGTCGAAACCGGAAGTACTTACGTTTATGCGCCAGTTGCATTGAGGGACCCTTCACATAGACAAACATTGTTTTTATTTTGATATATGATGTCCCAATATTAATTGCACCTTTCATGAGTGTGTGTACAAAACTGCACCCCAAATTTCGCCAGTTAATGGTTGACATCTATAGCTGCTGCGTGACGTCGCATAATGCAAAGGATCGTCGAATGGTCGGGATAACAAGCGTTTGTCATTGGATACCTTGCGTTTTGTTCCGAATTGTATAGCCTCCTAGGCTATATCCTACTGAAATACATTTCCTGTAATGCAGTTCCCAAGCATGTGCAAAAAAGTCGTGCCTTTTAGCAGGATATTGCTCGAAAACAGCCGTTGGCTTCGAGCAAGCATATGCCGTTTCGAACATGCACAACTGCGATGGCCATTGATCGGACAAGGGGCGCTTGCAAAGAGAAGGATACAGATTTTTCCTCTGAAGCGGCATCTGGGTCCACATATTGGCGGATCCACTGGATTGCTGATGCGACTGTAGGTCGTTCCCTCGGCGGCAAACGGAGAGTCGTTCAAAATGCATGTAACATTTCCAGATCGTTACTTAACTCTGACGAGCTTTGTGAATCGTGGCCACGCTCCATTTTCGCACGTAGGTCAAACGAATTCTGGCTGTATGCGTGCTAAATATAACTTTGGCATCGTTTCAAGATGGTCTAGCTGTTGGTTTTGGTTTCGCTGCATAGTCAAACCGATTGATCCAATATGCGCGAAAAGTGGGCAGAAGTAATTGAATATCGTTGGCACAGCATATCGCACCTCAGCTTACGAACCTTCTATCCGCTTAGAGCTCGGCTGGTAGCTCTCCTCAAGGAATGATTACTGCATAAGCGGGATCTCGATCTTGACGGAAACCCAGTGCTGCTACGCACCGTGATGATCCATTTTGCTCATCGCTGCACGTCTTGCAGGTTGCAGCTGCTGCCCGGTGGTTGTGGCACTCAACCGCGCAACACAAATTTCACACATCCACGAAACAAGTCGAGCACAACAAAAATGAAGCAAGCTGCTGCATTCACTCGCAGGCAAACGAGACGAAAATGCTTGCTTTGCATTATGTGACGTCGGAGCTTCAATGTTGCCAACAAAAGCACTTCACGCTAGGATGCGATTGGATCAGTTTAAAATTCAAGTACTTGTGCAGAGGCGCATATAAAATTCAGATGTTGCACGGACGATGCATTTCGAGGCAATAACAATGATATTCAATTGTTTTCTCAAACACAAACCTCGACGAGCACAGATGACTTCCATTCCCGTTAGTTCCATCGGATCCCCAGTGGAACTAACCTAAGTTTAGTTCCACTGGAGATCCGTAGGCGGAGCGGACTCGCAGGGTATTTAGGCTTTTATTTGTACATGATAAAGTTTTTATTTGTACATGACATACGAGATCTCAACTATCCAGAACACAATTTGCAACTCGAAATTCGTTTTCTTTCTGCCCAAAAACCGCCGAATGAGAACTGGCCGGTTTGAGTAGCGCTCACTCTCTTCTTAATGGTCACGTGCCATTTTCTATGGCTTAGACACAACCACCATGACCACCATAGATAAAGTCGTGGGTCATCGAAGACACGCACTCAATGCTAAAAATAAAAAAAAGACGTTATAATACCCATCTGTTGTGGCTTAAAAAAAAAAAAAAAAGTTGCACAGCCACGTGATTTTTGGTAACTTTTCCCTCCTCTAGAATTCTTCCTCTCCAGTCTAGTTTCAGTTTCGAGCAGTTGCGTTTTTATTTTTTTTACGTTATGAAAAATATACGTAACGCTGCAGCAAAATATTGACTGGGTGGTCTTCTGATACCATAATAAAACGCCTGGCAAAAAACAAAAAAAAAAAAAAAAGAAAGAAAAGGGGGCGGGGCGGGGGGCATTAGTACAGGGCCACAGGGCTCCAGCACTGGGGATTACACTAGACTAGGCAATATATAGCACGAAATATGTTAACGCAGAGTGTAGGTCAATTAACGCACCGACGCACGCCGACACTCGTCATGTATCTCGCGCCAAAACGAATCGCCAGGGTGGACTCGACTGGGAGAAGGAAAATACAGTCGTCAAACAGCCCTCGCGGAGATAAAGTGGCCTTGAGTGCATTCCCGCTATCGGTGCCAGGGAAAGAACACGATCTCGGCACTCCGGGCTGTATTTTTCGCCGCTACGTTCACTACACAGACCTGAAGCGCTCAGCCATGGTAAGTGTTCGATGCATCCTTAACCTTCCCGCAGACCCGACGGTCGTCACTGAAACAGTGATTCCTTTGGCGTGCAGACAGCAGCAAGCTGGACTATGCGGTTCCTGCCGCTCCAGCGGCAGTTCCCGGTTCCATCGGATATTGACATCGCCTGCTCGCAAAGACCCAAGGACGTCGCCGAGCTGGCCCGGGAAATGGGCCTCGGTCAGGATGACTGGGAGCCGTACGGCCGCCACAAGGCCAAACTCAACCTCTCCCTCCTCGACCGACAAGGCGCCGACGGGCACTACGTTCTGGTGACCGGCGTGAATCCGACACCGCTGGGCGAAGGCAAGAGCACGACTTCGGTGGGGCTGGTTCAGGCCCTGGGGGCGCACCTCGGCCAAAACGCGATCGCCTGCCTGCGACAGCCGTCGCAAGGCCCTACGTTCGGCATCAAGGGCGGGGCGGCCGGCGGCGGTTACGCTCAAGTGATCCCCATGGATGAGCTCAACTTGCACCTCACCGGCGACATGCACGCCGTGACGGCTGCGAATAATCTGCTCGCCGCCCAACTCGATGCAAGAATGCTGCACGAGGCGACTCAGAGCGATGCCGCCCTGTTTGCGCGGCTGGTGACGCCTCGCAAGGGCGCCAAGTGCTTCACGGAGTCGCAAAAGCGGAGGCTGGCCAAGCTGGGCATCCCGACCGATTTGGAGCCCGACCAGCTGAGCCCCGAGCAAATGAGACGGTTCGCAAGGCTCGATGTGGATCCGGCGAGCATTACCTGGAACAGGGGTGAGCGTTTTGCCTTCCTCAAACCAGCTGCTCGAACGGCTGGGACACGCGTAGACACGGGCGAATCAGCCGACGCCCGCCTCCCGTCCTGCTTGTAAACAAGCGGAGACACCGGTTTTACCGATGATGATGATAATTGATTTTTATGCATGGATAAATGATAGCTTGTATGCCCTTCGTATTGGGCGGCAGCTCGCGCCACCTACGGTTAAACGTGCCCCGAACTTGACGGTGACGTTGTAGCATACGTTCATAACGCTTGATTGGCTGGGTGCCGCCTCGGTGGCTCCGACCTAGGAACTTTTCTTGGCAATGCAGTGGAAGGTACAGGCACGCGTTCCCTCTCTCATTTTGTGCGCAGCAAAGCTGTGCGCGGGCCAAGGTGTTGCGCGGGCTCGGGCTCTCCACCTCTTTCCATTTCCGGGGAGAGGAGGAGAGCCCGCGCGCGCTCAAAATGGGAGAGGGAACGCAGGCCTGTACCTTCCACTGCATTGTTGCAATATAGGTGAAGCCTAGTCATAAAAAGTTTAAACGATATTGTGGCCAACGTGACCGTAGATCTATGGATGGTTAATTGTAGAAGGATTCCTTGCAGGCAACGTTACTAAACCACTCAGTTGGGAAACTGCCATAGAGACTGCCCTGAAAAAGTGTCCCCGATCTGTCCTCGAGCACCGAGATAATGGCGAACACAACGCCGCCAGTTCTCCCACAGCGGCCACCACTCGAAGAACTGCACGTGGCTTTAATCGGCCATTTTGCGCCGAACGCGCCGCGTCTTACTACCGAAGTTAAAATACACCTAGGTCGGGACGCGCTACCTGGAAGCACCGCTGAGGCATGGTTGTGTCAAAGCAATATTAATTGTGCCCCAAAACCTTGCGAACTAAAGTTTCTAAAAACATCACGCGCCCTTCATTTTGTACTAAACTAATAAATTTCATACAAAAAGAGTGTTTTCCATTTGTTTTTACGCAAAAACATGCTTTCTAAAAGCTCAAGGTGACCACACTACAGACAAATGATAAATGATAAGGAGTGGCGCTGTTGTCGTATTTAGCTCGGTCTCGGTGGACGCCAGCAGCCCAGGTTTCGACGGCGAGTTTCCCAGCTGAGTGTTTTAGTAACGTTGCTTGCAGGCTTGCGTGCGCTTCGTCTGGTAGGTTTTATCAGATCGAAGGCTAGACTGTGGTGTATTGTAGTACCCCATAGCTAGACGAAGGCTAGCTAAGGTCACTTGATGTGGTCACGTTGCCTGATAAGTGAGGAGAGTAAGGAGGAAAATGAGAAAGAGGCGAGGCGTCAAGGGAGCATGGTTTGTGGAGGCTACGCGACTGGCATCATGCTCTCCTACCCTTCTATCCTCCTTGGCTCCAACGTTAGCTCCGAGGCAAAGCAAAACGCCAGCCTACGGATCCTCAGGTGGCAGGTTCAAATCCCGGCCGAGGTGCGCGGAATCTGATGGAAGTTTATTGTGGAGAAGGCGCCGTGATTTCGGTCGTACGTCCAAAGATCCCCAGGTGGTCCAAATTAATCCTCAGTTCTCTGCTGGGGCCCGTCGTTAATTTATAGGTAAAACACAATTTGATTTTTTTTTTTTTTTTTGCTTCATTGGCTGGGATGATTTGTAGCGTCCGAGATCAATAATCGTTGCGGTTTCTAGAGGTCCTTTGAAGTTGGGCTCGAGGTATCGCTAGTGGCGAACTACCGGTTTTTAGAAAAGTGGTAGTTTGCCAACGAACTACCGCCTTTTTTAAAAAGCAGCCAACTTCGCTGTAATGTATATTGCACTAGCCTAAGCCTGGGGACAGCACCAGTGTTGGGAGTTTAAGTGCGTTTCGATTCTTGTTTATCCTTGTCTGAAGTACATTTCACACAGTCCAGCCGGTCTGCTTAAAGGGAACTCAAACAGAAAACTTTGACAATAGATTGTCTCTAAAGTACTATAATTTGTATTAAATACTTTTCTTTCTTCTTTTAGTGTAATGTTTTATTTCCTTGAGAATAAAATTTGCATCGCCGATCACTCACTCTCCACCCAGACGCCAAATTTGTTTCAAAGATGCCCGTTGATGTTCTAATATTTTCCAAGGAGGAAATAGCGGCCGACTAAGTCCCCTGAAATGCACATATAGAGATAAATGGCGTCGACTTTAGTGCTACATTTCAGAGGAGACTGAGTGGTATTTTTAGAGTGAAAAAACCACTAATTACTAACACTGGCCCACACTGTATCTTGCCGTTGCGCAGTGATGGACACAAACGATCGGTTCCTGCGGCGCATCACCGTGGGCCAGGGACCGGCTGAGTGCAAGGTGTCGCGAGAGGTAAAAGAGGGGTCGCCGTTCCACAGTGGTGTAGCCAGGGGGATTACCCTTCTTACCCCCTCCCTCCCTCCCCCACGTCTGCAAGTACGGCCTCAGGGTGGTGTTGCCTCAGGGCGCGACCATAATTCGATTAGACACCTTGCTAGGGCGTCGTAGTCGGATTTTTTTTTCTCGACCAAGTTTTTGGTTTTACCATTATAAAGAAAATATTGTGAATCAAAATTCTGCGATCTGTGAGCAGCAATGTCAACCAGAATGTTTTTTTTTTTTTTTTTTTTGCCGTTTTCTTTTTTCTGCATAGGGGGAAAAACAGTTTTTTTTTTTGGCTTAATACCACCCCCCCCCCCCCCCCCCCCTTTTCCCAAAGCACATAATTAAATAAAATTGGAGTATGGTGAATGCGTCACCTAGACACCTTTTCGAACAGTTTCCATGCTCTCCATTCGTTGGTTTATTTCACTGGGTTACGCGAAATCTTTATCCTTGGCAGTAAAGTTAGCTGCTAAGATAGACTAAACGTCGTACATAGACAATCGTGACTGTCCGCAATGTTTGCCTTTGTAGACGCAGTTCGACATCACCCCTGCAAGCGAAGTGATGGCCGTGCTGGCACTGGCCAACGACCTGCAAGACCTGCGCGACCGTCTTCGTCGCATCGTGGTTGGAACCAGCCGCCAGGGAGAGCCTGTTACCGCTGACGATCTGGTGACTTCCCGCACCTGTTCACTCTTTGTTTTCACGTCCTCTAAAGATTTTTAATGCTAAAGCATTCACTGTCCCATGGAGGGAAGCTGGCGGTATCTGTAGCAGTGAAAAACGGCATCTAAATTCATTTTCCCATTGGCTGAGCGAAACGGTACCTAAAGTCCCAGTGGATGCGACGCGTGATATCAGCTGCTTTGTCGTAGAAGCCGGCGAGGCTGTTCGAGGTCAGAGCGGACGCGCTTCAGAAATAAGACACAAAGCAAAGCAGAGCAACGCAGATGCATTGTCACGGAAGCCGTGAAGCCGGCGGGGTTCGCAGCGCCTGCGCAGTGGGAAAGCGTGATGTCACCGCCAGAGCGCCATGTGAAAAGGGAAGACGTGGCACATCATCAATCATCATGCGCACTGCTTGTAGGAATGCGATGCATGTAGCAATGGTTTCGCATTGCTACACGTAAGCAGTCCTAAGTGTCCTCTAATTTTTAGAGCGCAGCTCTTAGGGGCCCGTTTCCGGCTTGAGTGGCGTCGCCGTCGGCGTAACCGCGAGGTCACGTGACCCCTCCCAAGGAGGACAGGAGTGGGAGGGAGGAGGAGGGGGTGGAGGAGGAGGGGAGGAGGACGAGGGAGGAGGGGAGAGGGAGTAGCAGGCAGGATCACGAGGGGAAGAGGAGGAAGGAGGGGTGTACCCTTCCCTCCTCCTCCTTAAGAGCTGCGCTCTAATTCGGCGTTACAGGGAGTTGTAAAAGGCTTTCATTTTGTCACCTTTTGTTTCACCCGATCGTATATGCTCCATCGTATATTCGTAAATCAGTAGCACCGTATCGTATACCCCTAATACTTCATTTATTGTTTCCTCAAGGCCCGAAAGGCATTGCTAAAAAAAGAGAGCAAGAAAAAAAATATAAACAATGCATTACAAGTTAGGCACAATCAATGAGGATATTATAATTGATGGCAAATCTAAAGGGCTCAAGAAAAAAAAAATATAATATGTTGTTTGTTTTTACCTTTCTTCCAGTGCTGTCGTCAACAGTTGCCCATTTTTTTTAAATATTGTATTTTATAATGTTGAATTTCCCGGCATGAAAGGAAAAATAGAATAGGAATAAGGAGAGGCTGGGATGGTTCTTCAGTAATTTTCAGGATACTTCAGAACGCGCGAAGAGACACTTCTCCACCACGTGAAGTGAAAGTCTGGGAGTCCATCTTCTGTTTGGACACCCATCAGGCAAACATCACGGCTTTTTTCCGCGACTCCTCTGCATTTCTGTGGCATCGGTGCTCGTCAGACTTGGCATCACCGCCGCCTTCATCTGTTCTGTTGCGCCCTCATATCTTTCCCTTTCCCGTTTTCGAGACTTGAACAGCACCGGAGGCCTCTAGGCCTCCATCAAAAACACAAACAAACCTTGTCAAAAAAAAAAAAAATTCTTTTGACAAAAACAAAAAAAAAAAGAGGAAGAGATAATATAGTAAGGGTGCAGGCGAGCTGATGAATGTTAACCACTTTGAATAAACCTAATACTGGGGCAGAAGTTAACATATAAGTTATATGTTCATTTCTGCCCCAGTCTCAGGTTTATTCAATATAATTAAAAAAAAAAAACTGGCGAGAGCGGGTTGCCACATTTTTGTATGGCGAAGGACATTGTTGATGTGTGACACTATCAGCGCACTTCTGAAACCTCAGACTTGTCGACTCCAGCCAGCAAATAATCTATTCTGTACCCATTTTATCTGGCTTGGCTTCACTCAAAAGAGTGGTTGATAGGACGGACACTGTGTAGACGACACTTGACAGAAGCACTGCAAGGCTGGTATGCTATTGTAGACAGCACCACAGAACGGAAACTTGCGTTTAAAAGACCCCCTCCGCCTTCTGTTCTCAAAAACAAATCTTGTTTTTGTGTTTTGCAACTTTTTTTTTTTTTTTTGCATTGTGTTGGTTAGTGTGTGATGCGCAAAACACCATGCAGCGCCTTGAAGGAATAAAAAAAGGAAAACACAATGAGTCAATTTTGGATAGTTTTGTCAATAAAAATACAAATAAAGTCAGAAATGCTTTTTTTCCCCCAATTAGCTTTTTTTTTTTTTCTGCCTTTTTAAAGTAAAAACGCTTTTGGAAGGCGTTTTGCCAAATCCAAAGTTCACCCACTTTTTTGTTGTCCGATGTTTTGAAGCTTCCAACAACTTTAACACGCCAACACGGACTTTTGTCCACATCAGCAAAGGGGTATAAGCACATACACTATGGCAGGAGGGAGCTTCGGTTGCCTCGCTTTCAGCGCGGGCTTCGAGGATGGGTTGCCGGGACCCGTCCTCGCTTTTAAAGGGACACTTCAATGAAATTTCGGCGCTTATTTTTTGGTTTATATGTGTTCAAAGGAGCTGTGTCACATCGAACACCGCAATATCTTGTTTAAAAAAAGTGAAAGCCGTTTACAACTCCCTGTAACGCCGAATTGGAGCGCAGCTCTTGAGGAGGAGGAGTGAAGGGTACTGAGGGGAGGATAGACCCCTCCTCCTTCTCCTCTTCCTCCCCTCATTCTTTAATATGCTCCGGGGGGGGGGGGGTTGTCACATGGCTTCGGGAAGGGGGGGGTCACGTGACCTTGGGGTGTCACGTGACCTTGGGGTGTCACGTGGAGTGACTTTGGGGTGTCACGTGGGGTCACCTTGGGGGGTCACGTGACCTTAGGGGTCACGTGACCTTGGGATAACCTTGGTTACGCCGACGGCGACGCCGCTCAAGCCGGAAACGGGCACCTAAGAGCTGCGCTCTAAAAGTCACGAAAAGGAATTTTAAAATGAATTAAACGATTAGCAAAGAGCACCTGGTAGATGTCACTAACGCCTCGTCTGTAATGCCCGTCTAGCAACCTTGAGAGGTAGCGACGGCACCTGTCTCGCCTCCCGCCACGACAAGAGAAGAGGCGTAAGAGGAACTCCGCTCTTCCCGAGAATTCCTTTTGTGTGACCCAGAAGTCGCTAATGTCCCTCTACTAGATTATAGAAGATTAACCCGTCACTCAAAATTCGTACAAAAGCAGCCGCTTCGGTGGCTGGAACGACTAGGCCATACTCTCAACGTGAGCCTCCCCATAGCTTTGCTCGTCCCGAAACGACCTATGTCACGATTGCGTTGGATGTCACGTAGTCTTTGCTGGCTGTTCTCCGAGCGCTTGCCCGAGTGGGCTGTTTGTAACAAAAAATACAGCCACCAGGCTCAAAATACAAACGTGCGATTGTCATTTACGGATATTGTGGTTCATACTCAACATATTTTTGAACACGACAGGTATATTTCAAATTTGCGTTGAAGTATCCCTTTAAAGTCTAATCTTGCATGCAGAAAAAGTGTGAAGAGGCTTGAAATGTAAGTGTAATTAACCGCATTCGTGTACTTCAGGATCGGCATGTAAAGTTATTTCTGGGGTAGGTTGTGTTAATCGAGAATTACAAGAAAACAGCAGGCAAGGCTCATGCTTGCTGAGCGGAATCGGCTGCAACTCTAGGTGCTTTCTTCCCACGGAGTCGGTCACGTGATCCCCAAAATGCCTCTTGCAGGTGCGTCAACCTCCGGCAGAGATGCCCGCGTTGATCGGCAAACCGGCCCTCGTGTCGCAAACACACACCGAACGTCGTCCATTCGGTTGAGGGAGCGGACTACCGCTCCCATTTATTCACGTGCCACGAAACAAAATGAAAACGTAGAAAACTCACATTTTCACCGAATGTGCACTGAGTCGTTCAGTTTTACCGTGTGAAATTTCAAGGCTCAGTTTTCTTCCTGAAAAAATGAAAGCAACACGCTTTCCAAAGTTAGTTGCTCTCACGTTCGCAAACGACTGAGTTAGCTACACTATTAACTTGTGGCGCCATCCTCCGATAGGCGCAGCTAGCAGACAACAGAGTGCGTCGTCTGCTCGCTGTGCCTATCGGGAGATGATGCAACAAGTAAAGTACAAACTAAGTGAGAGGTTATGCACTTCAAGTAAAGTAGTAAGTATACGCCGGGCACATTGTGCTTTAAGTGAAGTACTATAAATACAATGTACATACTTTCAAACGAGTACTTTTTAACAGGATCTTTCATGGTGCCCTTTCATTACCCTATAGCAGTTGCGTCAATATATGGTCAGCGGCACCGGGGGCGGTGGCCCGCCGCGACCCCCCCCCCCTTTTCACTGCCCAGCTGCACCCTTCTGAGTGCTGCACAGGGCGTGTTCCTTCCCCCTTTTTTTTGTGGATGCCACTGCCCTATAGGGTGTATTCACTGGCGGTCATAGCTGAGCTTGCTGCTGCTTTCGAACCACCGGGGAAGAGAGAGAGGGGAAAGCTGCTGTTGTACGAATTTTGAGTGAAAGTTAATCTTCTATAATCCTCTAGAGAGAGAATAGCAACATCTGGGGGAAGCCCGGGACATACAAAGGAAGGTCCCGGTGAGAAGAGAGCTTCTCCTTCCCTTCACCTCTTGTGATTGCTATAGAGCTGACGGGAAACTCCTCCCAAACATGCGCTGTGAGCAGTTACCTCAAATATGGCGTCCAGTGATATGCATTGCCTCAGGGGTAATCGGGGGAGCATCACTTATCTTCGGAAATTGCGACGAATAGTGGATAAAGTCAAGTGGCCACAGAGTAATTCCTTTACTCCCGCTGAAAAACTATTTAACACAATCAACTCATAAGGCACTTATTTGTATTCGTCTTACAGCCGGCATTGCTTCACTCGGAGAGATGACCAGATAACGTCTCGAAAGGCAGTCGCGAGTTTTCACATGACAATATGCCGTTTATGCCGTTTATGTTACACGCCGTTTTACAGCAGATGCCACCGGAACGATGCGTCGTCTGCTCGCGTCTCTGCTGAGAGTAGAATATCCCCCCTGCAGTATCACTTCAGAGTCGACCAGCATAATTTTGTAAGACAAATTTAGCAGAAGACCAAATTTGGGGTATGCAGTGTGAAGTCGGGAGTTGTACTTCCCTCAAAAATTACAAGAAAAAAGTCCTTTAAGGAAAGTACAAGTACATATACTCAGATAATGTACTTCAAGTGAAGTACAAGTTTTCTAAATTTAATTGAAGTTGTACTAGCTTTAAGTACAATGTACATAAAGTAGTTTCCAACACTACAAACACTATACATTAAACACAAACTACAGTATATACACATCAAGTAAATTTACCAGTAGGCCTAAACCCTGTGGCCGCCCGAGTTTAGGCTCCCTGAATGCTTACCAGTAGGCAGGGGCGTAGCTCAGGGGGGGGGGGGGGGGGGGGGGTGGTTTAAGGGGCTTTAGCCCCCCCCCCCCCCCAAATCCAGCCGACCCTAAATATACACATGCAATTTAACCCCTTTCCCTCTCTCTGCATCCCAAGTTATAGACATCCCAGCCACCTCAGGCCGCCACCCCCCCTCCCCCCCATAAAAAATTCCTGGCTACGCCACTGGTCGGCTCACAGCAGGAGGGACCAGAGGACGCAACTACCTCGAGCACACGTGCTGGAGACCGAGCTTTCGAAAGACGCCCTCTTGCTGTTCTCATTTTGTCGGTGGCTGTATATGTATGGTTCGCAGTTCAATGTTTCGTCTGGCGTAGGGTGCTGCGGGCGCCATGTTGGTGCTGTTGCGAGAGGCGTCGTGCCCAACGCTGCTGCAAACCCTGGAAGGCACCCCCGTACTCATCCATTGCGGTCCCTTCGCCAACATTGCGCACGGCAACTCGTCCGTCATCGCCGACCGGATAGCCCTGAAGCTGGTCGGCCCCCGAGGATACGTCGGTCAGTAATGCGCTCTGCCGAAAATTGTAGCTTGTGTTCCGTTTCCAATAATCATTACGAAGGTTCACTATGGAAAACAGTGCGGAAACAGCTAGGACAAGGACTGAAAGTTATCATCTTTTGTCCTCTGCATTTTTCGCGCTGTTTGCCACAAGGAATACTAGCCCAACTTTCGGTTCTTATGGAGGTTACTCACCAGAATGCGTGACCGTGGTGTTGGGTTGCAGGATATTTAAACGAACACTGACCCGGGAGATGCACGAGGGCGCATGCACGAACCGCGCCTCATGTCGTCGCGCCTGTCGCGTTTCCTACAAGAGCGACGTTCGCTTCTCCCGCGATACTTGAAGTAAAGAAAGTGACGCGAGACCCGAGCGTGCGCAAAATCATCGCTCCTGCCCGCTGTGCTGCACATCCGTCGAACTCAGGAAACAGGAACCGACAGTGATCATGCGGCCATGACACAACACTATTCTACAAGTGACGTCCACATTGTTTTGATTGTTTTTCAGTGACCGAGGGGGGTTTTGGCGCCGACAACGGCATGGAGAAGTTTGTCGACATCAAGTGCCGCGCGTCGGGGCTCTCCCCTAGCGCCGTCGTGATCGTCGCCACACTGCGGGCTCTCAAGGTCCACGGAGGCGGGCCACCGGTCTTGCTGGGGTCCCCGCTGCCACCAGAGTACGGTTGCGAAAACATCCCCCTGCTACGCCAGGGTTTCTGCAATCTGGCTCGCCACATCGAGAACTGCGGGAAGCTGGGTCTGCCGGCCGTGGTCGCCATCAACGGCTTCTCGTCGGACAGCAAGGCAGAGCTGGAACTCCTGCGCGAGCTAAGCCTCGCGGCCGGCGCCAAAGACGCCGTGATCTGTAGCCACTGGGCCGACGGCGGCGAGGGCGCCCTGGACCTTGGACGCGCCCTCATGAAGGCCTGCGCTGAGCAGCGTCCCAAGCTGCGGTTTGCGTACGACCTCAATATGAACATCATGGCGAAGATCGACGCCGTGGCGCGTACCATCTACGGCGCTAGCGGTGTGGACCTCAGGGAGGAGGCTAAGGCGCAGGCCGAGAGGTTTGAGAAGCAGGGCTATGGCAAGTTGGCCGTCTGCATCGCCAAGACGCCGCTCTCGTTCTCCCACGATCCTAAATTGCTGGGCGCTCCCAAGGACTTCGTGCTGCCCGTGAGGGAGTTGCGACTCAGCGCTGGCGCGGGATTCGTCTACGCGCTGGCGGGAGACGTGACAACCATGCCTGGTCTCCCGACCAGACCGACCTTGATGGACATTGAGCTCCATTTGGAGACCGGTTATCCCACGGGTCTTTTTTGAATTATTCAAATCATTTTTGTGTGATTCAAACTTAATCTTGTGCGTATGCGTAAAGTCTAGACATATATGTGACGTATACAAGCGTAAAGTATACTGCATGTGGCAAGTCCATGCAGTTATGCACTTTGTATAAGAATTATTGACTCTAATTTTTCTATGGCGCAGTCATAACTGCACCCAACAAAAGTGGCATGCCATTTCCCGTGGTCTGGCCAGGTGGCTGAAATTAAACCTCAGTCCTCCGCTGGGGCATGGCAGATGCCCGTCAAATTTAGCAGATTGTTTTCGAGGGCCCGCTACCACTATGGGCCTGGGCGTCATAGCATGCGTCGAAGTGGCAAATGTGTTAGTCCTTATGGCCACGCTCTGTATATGATGACGACGCAAATGAACTAAAAGCAATAATATTTTCAAAATATCACGAAAGTTTTAGGACAAACCCTTTCAGTCTACCTTTTATAGAAACGCTGAGCGGCAATCACAATGCTTGTTTTCCTAACCAACATTTTTTTTTTCACTCGGCGCCGTGATCCAGGCGAATAATCACGCTGAAAGGATCAAAATGGTTTACCATAACTTATACGCACCTTCGTACTCGGATCAAATCTGGCCTAAAATAGCGCGTACCTAAGGTAAAATTTTCTTGTACAGGATAAACTGGCAATGGCATACTGGCTGTTGAGGTTTGTTCTTGACAAGATGCCAGTCAATTCATTTTGAAAATAAGCATTACCCTTGCGAATTTATATTTTATTTTATTTATTTATTTGTTACATACTGCAAGCCTCCATTAGGCCCTTGCAGGATAGTGGTCCTACAGATGCAAATAAAAGAAAAAGACATTTCGACTCTCGTTTTACAACAGTAAGGAGAATAGCAATGACTGTCGGAATAAAGGAAAGCAATCATAGGCGTACCAACTGGGGGGGGGGGGGGGGGGGGGGGGCAAGGGGGCTGCTTGCACTTTTCGAAACAGCCGCCACTGGGCAGGGCAAACACTGGCCGGCGGCGCCCAAGAGATACCAGGGGCACCGCCCCCCCCCCCCCCCCCCAAAGGGGGGGGGGGGGGTTTGGCCCTTACTCAAAAACAATTTAGTACGCCACTGAAAGCAATGACTGTCGGAATAAACAATCAACGCCCGAACACAAAATGTACCAGAAAACATAATGGCATGAACCATAAAGGGTGATCATCGAGTGCTTTATTTAAAGTCGGAAGAGATCAAAATACCATAGGGCAGTGTGTTCCAATTAGATAGTGGGTGGAAAAAATGATATCTTGAAAATGTTATTTCGAGCAAATATTGGCTGAAGAGAGAACTCATAGTGGCTCCTAGAACAAGATAGTATTTCATGCTGTACTCGACATGGCAGCTACTTAATTGGTCACTTTCTGACTGTTATGCATAATCGTCATAGTTCCGTCACGTGTCCCTGTGTACTTAGTTTTTGTCCAACCCATAGACATAAAATTACTGTTCATGAGATGAGTGGCAATAACAGCTTTCTATATGTTTGAGAAGTTATATGCGTCAGGAACAGAGCAAATCACTTTGGGCCTATCGAGGATAAAAACGCCAGATATATAGTTGGTTGTTGACAGATATAATAAAAGAGTAGTGCTCAACAAAGACCAGATAAAGCTTTTAGTTGCAAGCCAGCACTCGTCGTGTGTTTTGCTTCCTCTTTGTCCCGTCTTTTATGCGCTACTCTTTTACCATGTCACGTAACTGCTTGAGACTGATACGGGGGGACAATGCTCGAAAATACGCCAACTGTTAAAACTGGAAACGTGTTTTTGTTTTCTTTTCTTCCTGCTGTTTGGCAGTGTGAAGCATCGAGTCATGCGATATTTCAAAAAGGACTTTGTGCTTAAATGATAGGTCTGAAGTTGAATACGGACAGAAAGAGAAAGGTAATAAATGGAAATTTTCAAAATAATTTGATTCACAGTGCTTTACAGCAAAAATACATTTATAAAGATGTAATGATAATTTTAATTACACATAAATAGCCCGAAGGACGAACGAAGATTCTTATAATCTTAACATAAACAACATTTGGGCGTCAGCTTGCATGAACTTCGCGAAATACCGCCTCGGGAGGCTGTATTACATTTGGTTTGACGTGCACTTGTTCTTGGCTCTCGCTTTACAACGCTGTGCTTTATCAGTCATGCGCTCTAACATTTTATTTGCCTTCCATATATCATCGCAAGATTGCTATATATACTGCACAAATTTGCAATTTGGACATATACTTTTGCTAGTGTTGCAAACATCGCATTGCACCAGGAAACGGAACTGTTTAACATGGGGCGTGTTCCAAAATTTACTCGATCCTACTCCAGGGTAAGGGTTCTTTACCTTGGCGTTCTAAAACCTACCCGTGTCCAGCGTTTTTCAATCTGTGTTGTCACGTGGCACGACCCGCCGGAGTAACTCGGATTCATTTGGGTAAAATTGGAACACGGCCATGATTTTCACGCGACACCATCGCACTATGCATGTTTGCAAGTCCGGCTTCAGGGCGCTGCCATCTTGCTAGATTGGGGTGCGTTCGAACGCGTCATAATCCGATTACGACGCCTTGCCAAGGCGGCTGTGCCCAAGCGCACCCCGATGAATAAGATGGCTATACCCTGAGACCGAAACCACTAGGAAGAGCGGAGAGAAAAAATGCCCTCCCCCTCTCACCCTGTGCGTCGTCTGCTCCGCCGAGTGGGCTGTACCTAACATCCGGCTGGCGTTCAAACTCGGTTTAAAATCCCGTCATTTTGGAAATTTTAAGCGCAGATGCGCGGATTTTTGGTATGCAAGTTATCGTGTAACGCTATGCTTGGTAAAAAGACTAACCGAGTCTAATCGTCGCGAGGGGAGTGTGTATTACAATATTGTTGAATCACTTCCCGAAATGTGGTGGAGTCCTCGATGACTGCGATGTCACCGGGAAGGCCATTCCATCCCGCAATATACCCTTTGCAAAACGTACAGTGCCACGATGGCAGGGAATTTTTGGGAAACCTCGGTACAGATCGAATGCGCTTTCTCGTTGCGCCTCCGCGACTGCGCGTGCGTCGCGGCAGCTACCGCCAGCAGCTGTTGCAGCCATCCGCCATCGCGCCCATCCGCCGAGTCGTACGTCGTTGGCGGCGTACCGTATTTGTGACAGCGTAAAGGCATCACGACAGGTGAACTTGTTTGAATACGTTATTCGTCGTAACTTAAGGTCTGTTCACACGATGCATCTTTTAGGCGCGCAACAGTTTCGCAAAATGTGCTCGTTCACACGTACCGCTTCACGTGCAACAACGATGACGTTTAGACTCGCGAAAATAGTTTGGGTGTTGACCATAAAGTGGCGCTTCAGTTGAAAGCCAACATCATCATCACCATTAGCCATTCAGCGTCGTGTTCTCCATCTCCCGCCACATTCTAAGAGTCAAAACGCAGGCGAGCTGGTGAACAATCATAATTAAGAAATGAAACCTTAAGACACGGAAAAAAAAAGGGACATACACACCACCGTCTTAAAACCTGCACAGCATACAGCTGTCATTTACTTCCGTTTACTTAATTTACTCTTAAATTGTCATTTACTAGTTGTTGAATTGTCATCTACTGCCATTTACTTTACTGTTGAATATGTGTAATTTGGACGGAGGTTGACAAAGAAGAAGACTGTTGTGGAAGTAAATGAGAGCTGTACGCTGTGCTGGTTTTGAAACGGTACTGTGTACGTCCCTTTTTGTTTCCTTGTCTCAAGGTTTTATTTCTTAATTATGACTAAAAATAGACGCGAATTATCATCGTCACCAATTACGTCTTCGTCCATCGCTGGATTTTTTTCCGATATGCTACTCACTTTTCCTTCAGTGGTGCTGGACGTGCTTGCGGAAGCGCCGGCAGTATCCATCGTTCGTGGTTTCGGGTTTTTTTCGGATTTGGCTCGGCTACAACACTGGCAGTGAAGTGGTCTTCTCAAACAGCTCGCTCCCCCCTCAAAGGCCACGTGAGAGCGTTTCTGAGCGGCCATTGGCGGCACCCTCAGAGTGATTGACAGGACTCAGCAAAGTTTCAGCAAAAGCTCGCTCCAGAAGCGAGGTGTGCGCGCAACTTTTTTTAGATGCGCGCGTCCTTTTCGGACTTGTTCAGACGGCGCAACTATTTCGGCACTAGATGCCCGAGAAAAATGCATCGTGTGAACGGGCCTTTACCTTCACGTATTGAAGTGTCACCGAATCCACTTATTTTGCACCGCAACCGTGGCAGATGACAGAGCCGGTACAAAGGAGAGGGATGAGAAAGGGGGGCAGCCACCATTGGCTCGTCGCTCGCCCGACTCGGCTGCTCAGAAGTCGTTGCCGTGGTAACCTGTGCCTGCTCGCGTATGCCACGTGGTAGCGGGAGGAGGGGCGTACCGAGGACTCCCATTATTCGTTGCGCGCGGGCTTTTGGGATTTTTGCAAAGAGTCAAAGGTACCAGTATCACAAAGAACTGTAATGTTTGTGCTCATTTTGTGCTTTGTTCAATGCGTGTTTAAAAATCAATTGGGAAGTAGCGACAATTTTACCTCCTATGGTAAACTGCGATTTGTTCTTCAATTTTGTATGCATGTAAAATGTAAGTCAAAAGTTTGATGTTTTCATTTTGTTTTGTTGTTAATTAAATGTGAGCATTTAATTTTAATATATATATATATATATATATATAGATATATATATATATATATATATATATATATATATAGCGCGATACGTTAAGAAACCGAATTTTCCAGTCGATTTAAAGAGCCTAACGTCTCCTTGTTTCACCCTGTATGTATATATATATATATATATATACACGCACGCACACACAAGCTGCAGCGTATCATTAGATGTGTAAGAAAAACAATAATTTGGCAAGTCACTTAGATTGGCTCGAGGGACCATAGCGCTCGCTCTTTGACAAGTTGTGGTAAAACAAAGTATAGCACTAGGCTGTTTTACCTGACCGGGGAAGGGGTACAGCAGCAGCTGCCGGCAAATTTCTTATTGACCGCAAGAAATACCTCTTGAAAATGGCACTTTAATAAAAAGTAAAATGACCGTGGTCCCTGGCCACCTAGGTGAGCCTCAATACATCTCTCCCATGATGAGTACCACGAGTGCTGACCAGCCGGTGAAGGGGTGCGAGCCCTGCCCCTGCCCCGTGGAGTCCTTGTAATTCTCCCAAATGTACTTGGAGCGGCAGTACTCTTTGAGCACGTTGCGAATGATGTTCCCTCGTAGCTCCTTGTAGAGCTCAAAGGCCTTTTCCTGGAATGGCCCCGGCAGTTCGCTGTAGTGGTACAGCGCCCGCACTGCGAGGTAGTTTATGTTGATCCAGATGGGCCCCCGCCAGTAAGGGGGGTCCGTGTCTGTGTTGTACTTCATGTACATGGGAGAGTTCTTGGACAGGGAACGGAGGCCAAAGTCCGTCCAGAGCAGGGAAGGGTCACGGAGGTCCGTCATCAGCTTGCCCAAGGCAGGATTCTCAGGTGCCAGCAGCCTTAGGAGCAGCGGGAACAAGCTGACATAGCCAAAGTGCTGCACAAACTGCAGTCGTGGGGTGTCCAGTGCAAGCCGCACCTTGGGCAACGGAGCTGCATGGTGCTGTCCCGGGGGCACTTTCTGTTCCACCAGACGCACTCTGTCCGTGTGCAATCCGTAGTCGCAGTAGTGTCCAGACTCGGGCGACAGGTGCAGCCGATCCAGAGCAGCAGCGTCGCTCAACCACCTATGGGTGGCTGCAAGATGCTCAGACCTGCGGTCCTTCAGCAGATCAGCTACCCGAGAGAGCACGCCAGACGAAAACGCCAACCAGCAGCGCAAGTCAACGTGGCGCTCATCTTCCGTGGGGTGCGAAGCCCTTGGGTAGTCGTCAAGTCCCGATGTCAGTGTCTTTGGGTTCAGCTCGTTGCGGCTGGTGGCATCGCGGCCCCGCCAGCGGAACGTACCGGGGACCTTTCCCGCCTGCGTGGTGTTGAGCCAGTCGAATAGCTTTAGAAAACGTGGGAAAGTCGCCTGCAAGAAGTCGCCATGGGTCGTACCACTGTCCGGGTGATTGAGGAGTGCTTCCAGGGCAAAGAACATTGCTGGAGGATTGGCATTGGTGTCCCTCTGCACAACGTACTGGGCTGGCACTTGGGAGCGTGCCTCTGTGCCAAGGATCTGCTCGCGAGGAATCCAACCGTCTACGTTCATCAGGTCTAGCCAATGGGATATTATGTCCTTGGAGATGTCGGGGTCCCAACGTGACAGCAGCAGGTTGTGGAAGCCCTCGTCCCATAAAAAGCCCCGTGGAAAGAAAGACCGCGATGGTACTGCAGTATACAGACCTGCCTTCCAGTATTCCACTGGCTCCTTGTTGTATGAGGATTGAACTAGAGAAGACCCACGAAAGTAGCCAATCCCACCAACCAAGTTACTCAGGATTTCTTTGGCTACCTCATTGTCTGCATTGCTGAAGCCCTTGGTAGGCAGCTTGAACACCTTGTTGAACCTCTCGTCAAACTGAGTAGTGTAGTCAAGCAGCTCTTTGTCAAACTCTTCTCCTGAAAGGGTACTGGGACGTTCAAGAAAGCTTGCAGACTCAAAGACGACTTCCATTTCGTAGGGAGGCATCACAGTGACTTGGGTGAGAACAAAGTTGGGTGTTCTTTTACGCTCCTTGTCCTCTAATGAGAAACTGCTTCCACGTGTAACATACAGACGTCTGGCACCTTTCTTTGGCTGTGAAACAACTAAGTTTCGCAAAACCAGCTCATGCAGTGTCTCCAGCCCCGATGCCACTGTGCTCAGGTAAGTATGCTGCACCACATTGCTTGTGTCTCTGTCCAAAAAGTGCACCGTAAACTTGCCCAAGTCATCGGTCTGCCCAGACACATGCTCAAGGCGAGATTTAGTTGCGACACTTGGCAGCAGCTGCCCTTGTCCGTCAGTCGCAACATAGAACAGGAGAGAGATCGGCACAGTGGTTGTCGTGTTCACCCCCTAGAAAAGAAAGCGCCGTAAGCAAAATGATTAAAAGTCACTCCTAGGAAACAAACGTCAATACCTTGGGCTTGACGGCGATCCTGGCCGTCCAGTCTCCCCCATTGCGACCGCCGGCTCTTTTCACAAACGATGTCTCAATCAGGTACCCCCCGTCGACAATCCGCTGTACGCCAAAATTGACACCGTCATGTCGAACCCATCCATACTGTTCGAGGCCATCCCACTGGCTGCACCAGTGCCTGATGCCGAGGTTCTGGTTCTTTAGTTCCTGGGAGAACCACATGAGTCCTGCCACCAATGGCTGAGCACTCCGGGTCTTCATGCCAAAGTACAGTGCACTCCGGTAACTGCCCCAGAACCTGTCTGGGACGTCCAGTCCACTTTTCTTCACCACCTTCGGGAGGCTCACTGGCCGGATGACCCATGACTCGAGATAGTGCAGGTAGTAAACATAGAAAACGACAGACAAAATGAGCACTGCATTAAAAACTATGAACAAGGTGAACTTGGAATCGAACTTGGGCTGCGAGCTTGCACGTTTTGTCTGGCCGCCCAGTTTCGTTGAGTGCCGTGCCGGTGAAAGTCGCGCATTTTCTTCCACTTTTCGTTGACGCACCATATTTTCTGCGAAGAAATGTTGGGAGGAAAGGCAGTTAGGACAAGTCGGTTCACGACGACGCTACGTCACATAAAGCATGCCGGAGGCGGTTACAGATATGCCTGAAGTAAAGGATTTGTTGCGAAGTTCAAGTTTAACCAAGGCAATAAACCTACCTAATGCCCAGATTTCTAGTTGCACATGTAGTCGGTGTAATTCACATGCATAGAACGATCCTTTGGAGCTCTACTTCGAAGAGCCGCTTTACACAGCGGGGCGGCGGGGCCACGGTGTTACCCCGAAGTCGAGTCGAACGAAAGATTATTGAAGCCGCCCAAACTGCCCGAACAGCTCAAGCCACGCTGGCCACGCTGCATGACTGGCAAACCGGCAAACAAGTGTATGAGGGCATGGCACACTGGCGAGGCCGGCGTGGCATGGCGTGGTGTGGATGTCAGTGAGGGAGGCACAATTCGTTCGAGCCATCGAGATCGAGGCAGCGCCGCGGCAGCGAATTTGTTTCCCGAACCTGCTGCAAAATTAAGTTTTATTTTTAGAGCGCAGCTCTTAGGGGCCCGTTTCCGGCTTGAGCGGCGTCGGCGTCGCCGTCGGCGTAACCGCGCGGTGCATCATGGGAAATGTCCCATAATGCACCGCGCGAGCCCCCCACCAGGGTAACGTGACCTCGTGGGGGGGGGCACGTGACCCTCCGAAGTCACGTGACTCCCCTGAGGTCACGTGACCCCCCGCCGATGTCGCGTGACCCCCAATGACGTCATCGTCACTGATGACGTCACCGGCATCCACATCGTCATCATCACTGATGACGTCATCCACATCGTCATCATCACTGATGACGTCACCGGCATCGTCATCGTCACTGATGACGTCACCGGCATCCGCATCGTCATCGTCACTGATGACGTTACCGACATCCGCATCGTCATCATCACTGATGACGTCATCAGTGACGTCACTGATGTCGTCACCGGCATCCACATCGTCATCGTCACTGATGACGTCACCGGCATCCGCATCGTCATCATCACTGATGACGTCACCGGCATCCGCATCGTCATCGTCACTGATGACGTCATCAGCGACGTCACTGATGACGTCACCGACATTCGCATCGTCATCATCACTGGTGAAGTCATCAGTGACGACATCCGCATCGTCATCGTCACTGATGACGTCATCAGTGACGTCAGTGATGACATCATCGGCATTGGGGGTCACGTGACCCCCCCCCCCTGGTTAGTTTAACCCCCCCCCCCCCCCCCAGTGCCCTTCCCTCCTCCTCCTCAAGAGCTGCGCTCTAATTCGGCGTTACAGGGAGTTGTAAGCAGCTTTCACTTTTTTTGCCTCCATTAGTTCTAGTCAACGAGGATTCTAGTGCACATAGGGTGGTAGCAGCGTCGATAGAAGTGGGGTCATGTGACAAGCTTTCTTCAAACATTTGGCGCAATTTGGTGACTCTTCGCTGGAGATTGGTGGCGGCCGTGTAGAAGACGATGGCGAGACCATGAGACCCTGTGGAGAGACCGATGAGATCGACGCGCGAAAAGGATGACGAGGAGGAAGTAGAAGGGAAGGCGCGTTGCGACGCTTGTTAGCGGTGGTGTTGGATGAATTTGAAAACTCGTTTCAAATCAGCCGCTCACAGGGGTCAGATTTAGCCTGCAGGATCTGTGTGAAACAGGAAGAAAGGTGGCACTCAACCAGAAATGGGAATAAGGACAGATGTGCTGGTAGAGGAACTGCAAAAGGAACAAGAGTGCAGATTTTTTTTTTTTTTTAATTATCATTAATGTTCCCCTCTTCATAAAGAATGGGCCCACCATGCGGAAATAAAATCTTCAGAGCTTGCTCAATGAAGGACCGATTTTTTCTATGTTTCATTCTCAACACACTTTTGGCGAGCTCACTAGCGACTCTGTATAAACTGGTCTAAACATATCTAAACAAACGACCAACTCCCTCCCGCGTGGCCGGTGCTTGACCAGAGGAAAATTGGCGACTCCTTCGCCGAGGGAAAGAGGCGGGGGTTTTTAGTTTTCTTTTGCTCGATTCTTTAAAGATCATAGTGGTGACATCCAACATTGGGAGTAATCTTGGGATCATCATAACCTCCGAGATCCCGAAGCGCGCGCGCGCGAAGGCCGCATGCCGCGTGCTTCGGGATCTCGGAGGCCATGGAACCATACTTTTTGTGTTTATTTTCTGGGCTAGGTGGCGCAAGCTACCGTCCCTTATAAAAGCCGCTAGCATCCATCCATCCAGCTCCCGCAGAGCCGCTCAGCTCCCGCGCTAATCATAACAACGTCGACAACGTCGCCTGCAGCTGCAGCGGCTGCAGCTGGCATGCAGCATGTATTGACTTTACCGTGATTTACTCGCTCACCCAGTGCCTCATAAAGTTATTTTACTCTGCGAGTTGGTCGCAGCTGCGTTGATTCTGCGGGAGCGGCTGGAACTAAAAAAATGAGTGAGTCTGAGAAGACGCCGGCGGAGCTGTTGGCCGAAATTCGGTCGAAAGACGAGGAAATCTGCCGGTTGAAGAGTCAACTTGCCCAGAAAGTAAGCCAGTGGTGCTTGTGACGCTGCCTTTGTTGATTGGTGGTTTATTGGTTGTCACAGTATACTTCACGAATGCGCGCTGTTGCCCCTCTTGCCCCTGTTGCCGATCTTGCCGATTAACGCAGGATTACCAATAGATATATGAATATGGCGGAAGCCCCTTAATCGGGCGGTGGCTTGCGCCACCTAGCCTGTGCAACGCTGAAAAGAGTTTGAGACAACGTTACTAAAAACCACTCATTTGGAGAATTAACCATTAAAACCCGGACTACTCGCGTCCACCGAGACAAAACTAAATACGATCGCCACCCTGTAGCGACTAGTCAAAACATGGAAGTTAATTTATACTGCTACTGTGAAATGGCCCTGCGAGATGGCGCCACCGGCCCTTGCGCGACTTGACTTGAACCGATACGTGTAGTTCCCCGAGTGGCCACTGCGGGAGAAACGGTGGCGTTGCGATCGCCAGTAGTTCGGTTCTCGAGTACGGATCAAAGCCACTTTTTCAAAGCTGGCTCCATTGCAGTTTCCCAACTGAGTTGTTCTTATAACATTGGTTTGATACCTTGGTTTCATTTGAGGCATGCAACACTTCTTTCTTCCACAAATGTCAACGCTCCGTTCGATCTGAAAGTGACGCTGTTGGAAGTTACAACAGCAAGGCATGTAGTTGGGCTAGTTGGTGGTACAGTCGCCGGCCATATGAGCTCCCCCGGCCGAACGCCAACCGGAGCAGGGAAAATCCCGCATGCGGCGCGTCGAGCGTTGCCGTATTCTGGGAGCCGGGCTATCGGGACCAAACCATTCCGCTATCAAAGGGGTGGAAGTTTAATAGCATTCCGCTTTTTGGAACGTGAATCTGAAGCACGGCCGATTACAATCCCGCTTTCGGTTGTAGGTGAACGCAGACGGCTTATCGAAGTTCTTCACTGCATAATATCTCTGACGTGTTATATGCTACTTTTCTATTTGCGAAACCGGTTTGTCATTTTAAATGGTTCCTGCTGAAGAAATAATCCTACGCACAAGCCCCCCCCCCCCCCCCCCCCCTTTCTTACAATCTTTCTTAAACCTAGACTAGACAATGACAAGCGATTTTGAAATAATTTGTTTAATCTATAAGGATTTCCTATAGATAGCAAAAAAAAATGATTTGTGTCGAAGCATGCAGAATAAAAATACAGGCACTTTTCATGCATGCGCTGTATCGAGGAGACTCTATTGTTCTGCGCTCAGCAGCGTGTTGTTTCGCCAAGGGTGACTTTCTACACGATAATTTTGCAGATGGCTTCCTGGTCGGCCACTTCTCGCTTGCCGAGGGATCATTGTTGTCATGCCTAATATCATATCAAACACAGGGTTTTTACATTTGTAAGCATCGATCGAACACTACTGCTTTATCTGCGCCTTAAGCAAGCTCCACTTTATCAGCAGTTATAACATCATCTCCGAACACTTGGGGCCAACACCCGAAGACGGCAATTCTTATCGGCCATGTTTTTGTGATTCACACTTCGGAAGGCTGGAATCCCGATAAAAGCTATGCGTCCACCCCTTTGATAACGGCATGGTTTGGTCCCAATAGCCCGGCTCCCAAAATGCGGCAACGCTCGACGCGCCGCGTGCGGGATTTTCGCTGATCCGGTCGGCGTTCGGTCGGGGGAGCTCATATGGCCGGCGACTGTACATACTGTTTGGTGGGAACGGCGCACAAAAGACATAGGGCGGGGTCGAAGAAACACACAGACAGGTCGCTGAGTTACAACTGAAAGTTTACTGCTCTGCAAGAAGAGAAATAAACACAGAAAGGAGGAAGGAGAGAGAACAAACAAATCAAACCAATAACATACGGCATCACCCATGCCCACGCGCCGTCACACGAACCTGCCACACTTTCTTACAAAATCTACCTCATCATTTGCAAGGGCAAGAGAAGGAGCACTCACACACGAGTCAGCTCCGTTAGATGCCATAAAATATGCTTCGTTTATCTCCCTCGCAGTCTTGTTTTTGTGACGAGACAAAATCTTTATATCATGAAATGACGGCGTGCAGCCACACCTATCACAATGGACCGCTAGGTTTCCTGAGGGCGAGGAACGCAAAGAAAGCGAATGTTCCCTTGCCCTTACGTTTATACAACGCCCAGTCTGGTCAATATACACCCTGCCGCATTACAGGGGGATCTGGTACACGACCCTGCTTGCACAAGCGGCGTACAGGGTGCGATTTTTGACGTCGCACTGAACGGAAGGGCGTCCCTCTCTACTCACAGCAGCACAAAGGTGTAACAGCTTAGATGGCGCCGAAAAGACGACAGGCACCTCAAACCTACCGGCAACGCGCTTAATTCGTTGGGACAAGGCATGGATATACGGGAGTACGACAGGTCTGGTGGATGGCCTTTGTTTTTTCCCAGGACTATTGTGCCCCCTAAACATCCTAACAAGAGACTCAGCAACACCAACCACAACCGCCAAAGGGAAGCCCGCAGAGGCAAGCCTTTCAACCTGAGTCACAAAACTTAACCCACAACTATGGTGACAGGATTTTAACAAAAACGCCCTGAGGCACGACCCAGCAGTGGCCCTTTTTACCAATTTTGAGTGAGCCGAGTCATAAGGAAGTAATCCCTTCTTCGATCTGGGATCATAGGCCCAGCACATGTGTGACGTCCCAAGGCGAAGATTAATGTCCAAAAATTGCAAAGCCCCTTCTGTCGGGACCTCGAGCTTAAAACTGAGGCCCTGGGAACATTCAATAAAAATGTTTGCAATCTCTTTAACCACTTGAACATAGTCGTTGTCAAGGCTGGGTCTAAGGACAATGAGATAATCATTTACATATCTTAGCTCTTTCAAAACACGTCCGTCCAGTCTGCCAGCAATGCCTCTATCACACCTCGCCAGATAGATATCACTAAGCACCGGTGCTACGCTAGACCCTATGCAAATTCCACTCTTTTGCAAAAAGGTATCACCCTCGTAGGCAACGTAGATTGACTGGAGGTAGAAATGCAGTAACTCTAGAAACAAATCACTTGATACCCCTGAAGAGCTACTGAACGCCATGGCCCCATTGGTTTGGATACATTCCTCCACGGCCGTCATAAGCTCTCCGTGGGGAATAAAATAAAACATATTCTCAACATCGAGTGACACAATGTCACAGGATCATGGGTTGTATACCCTCTCAAATATTCAACCAGAGCCTTTGAATTACGTATCAAAAAAGGGTCATTTAGGGTGAGCGAGGACAGGTGGCGCTGAAGGAACGAAGACACATGCAGCTGCCACAAATCCTTTTGGGTGACAATAGCCCTAAACGGCATCAACTCCTTATAGGTTTTCACCGTAAAGAAAGCTTCCAAGCTGAGACATTTCGCTCCTGACACAGATTTTCGAAGCCTATTTAAATTAAGATCCACACAGAGCGCCTTAACTTCAAATCCACACCCGACAAGGATCTCAAATTTTTCTGCAGTGCATGCCTCGATTTCTCTTAAAACATGTTATCAAGCACCACAACGAACCCGTTTTCCTTATCGGACACCAACAGCTTCAGTTTTGACTCCTTAAAGAACGGCACCACCGCACTTAGCTTCGTCTTGCGCACCGGTCGTCTGCCCTCCCTAGTGAGTCCTTCCACCCATTCGAGAACACACTGTTCCCTGTTGTCTGGGGTCACCTTCTCAGACACCTGATGCATGAGGGCCAGCATTTCCGTAGGCTTTACTGAGGGCTCTATGGCAAACTTTGGTCCCTTTTCCAGAACCTTCACAATCGCGGCCGGAGCCGAAGAGTCCCCCAGGAACACAACCTTGCCATCTCCATTAGGGATATCCTTATGCCTCTTAGGAAACGAGGCACGAAGACGCTCCCACAAGAAATCTGCGACTTGTGCAAACCCTCTTTTACGCGACCGATGGATTTTTTCAGTGACGCACACATCACCCGATGTTCAAAAGCACCAAACCCTCAAAGCCTCATGTAGAAGTCTCACTTGCCTCCATGATTCTGAACGAAGAATCTTGCACACGCGCTTGGCGTGTCCAGTCGACAGAGCCACCAGCCCAAAAAGGGCAACCACCTCACGCGGGAAGACTCCCTTCCTGGCGGCATATCCGTATTGTCGTGCTTTGCAGGTTGCAATGGCTATGGCGTTGACGTAGAAGATGTCTTGATGGGTTTGATTTGAAGAACACAGAAAAGGACCCGATGTGAGAGAAATGAACTGCAGCAAGACATGTAGTTGGGCTAGTTGGTGGTAAATACTCTTTGGCGGGAACAGTGCAAAAAAGACGTAGGACGGGGTCGAAGAAACACACAGACAGGGCGCTGACTTACAACTTAAAGTTTATTGCTCTGCAAAAAGAGAAATAAACACAGAAAGGAGGAAGCTAGGGGAGAGAACAAACAAATCAAACCAATAACATACGGCATCACCCATGCCCACGCGCCGTCACACGAACCTGCCACACTTTTTTACAAAATCTACCTCGTCATTTGCAAAGGCAACAGAAGGAGCGCTCACGTTTGAGTCAGCTCCAACAGATGCCATAAAATACGCTTTGTTTATCTCCATCGCAGTCTTGTTTTTGTGACGAGACGAAATCTTTATATCATGAAATGATGGCATGTAGCCACACCTATCACAATGGACCGCTAGGTTCCCTGAGGGCAAGGAACGCAAAGAAAGCGAATGTTCCCTTGCCCTTATGTTTACACAACGCCCAGTCCTGCGGCAGGGTGTATATTGGTCAGACTGGGCGTTGTGTAAACGTAAGGGCAAGGGAACATTCACTTTCTTTACGTTCCTCGCCCTCAGGGAACCTAGCGGTCCATTGTGATAGGTGTGGCTGCACGCCGTCATTTTATGATATAAAGATTTTGTCTCGTTGCAAAAGCAAGACTGCGAGGGAGATAGACGAAGCATATTTTATGGCGTCTATCGGAGCTGACTCGTGTGTGAGCGCTCCTTCTGTTGCCCTTGCAAATGACGAGGTAGATTTTGTAAGAAAGTGTGGCAGGTTCGTGTGACGGCGCGTGGGCATGGGTGATGCCGTATGTTAATAGTTTGATTTATTTGTTCTCTCCCCTTCCTCCTTTCTGTGTTTATTTCTCTTTTTGCACAGCAGTAAACTTTAAGTTGTAAGTCAGCGCCCTGTCTGTGTGTTTCTTCGACCACATCCTACATCTTTTTTGCGCTGTTACCACCAAACAGTGGAAGTTACAAACAATCTTCTTGATGTGCGTCTATCACATCGTTACACACGGAACAGGATCTCTTGCCAGGGCTATGTACTCGTGGTGGTAGTTTTTTCTGTCTGCGGTTTGGTAATAAAAAATTTATAGCAAAATGCTAGGCAATTGTGTTGCATACGTGAAACGTTCTTGCATCACAAACGTTTAGCAATACTGAGTTTCCAGACGCCTACGATCACCGCACTCTACATCAGATAGTTCAATGCATACCATCTGTTCACTTGATGGTTGTTCCTAGAATGAAGAGATACTACTGCTAATTGGGCTAATAAACTTGACTGATGATCTTCCAGAACCTCTCATACTCTCGAGCTCCTCTCCTTGAGTGCGCACAGGTGTTCGAGCTTCTCCTCGCTTACCTCACTCCTCCTTGCTTAACCTTCTGGTCATATGACCTCCCCATTAACCAATCATCGTCGAGCGCCACGCTCCTCTCTCACCCATCAACCAATCAGTGTCGAGCCTCGCAGCCATGCTTCTATCTAGGCTTCACTCTTAGGGCTTCACGAAATGCTGAACAATTAGCCAATGAACGTTTCACGTTAAAAACATCAGCCTGTCTGCTCTCGTGTCCTCCAAATAACGAGTGACCATTAGCTTTTACATGGAAAGAGATTGTGCACATGCAAAAAGCTCATTGCCCTTCTACAGTGGCATGACATAAGGGCTCAAATCTAACTAATACTGGCTACCGTAAAATACTAAGCAAGTGCCCACTTAAAATATGAAGATAATCGCAAAAAAATAGGGGATGGGTGCATGTGAGGTCAGCAATTTTACATATATATGTACTGTGCATAAATTTTCAGATGCTTCAGATTTTGCGGGTGGGTGCTTAGTGCAAAATGGGCGGATGCACAGTATTCTATGGGATGTAGACATGCTGAAACTGCATTGCTACATGTCATCAAACGCACAGACAGGCAGTTGCATGTTTTAGACATCAAAAGAAAAAAACTCGTCAGCCACCTAAGTTGTAGCGACAATTATGATTATGCCGTGTTTCGGTGACATAACCAGGTTGATCGTCAAAAGACCAGTTGTCTTGCTGGTATTACTTGATGCTCCGTCTCCCATACTACGGGAACTAAAGTATATTGTGGAAATTAACATCTGTCGTTGTCCTTGTATGTTTTGGGCCTTCAATTCCCATAACATTTCGGGTACAGCTGAACAAACTAAACGTGTTGAACACGTTGACATCAGACTATCCAAAGTCGACTCAGTTCTAATTGTCATTTCGGGGTGAGCTACAAGAGACTGACTTGCGTCACTATTGCCAGTAGCTGAGTGGTTGCTGTAGCATGGAGGACATTTTATTTCACAGGCATGCTTTTTAAGGTGCCCCAAGCTGGAAGGAATACGGGCAGGTAATGAAGAGGCAAAAAAATTAAAGACGTTTACACTTCTCTGTAATCCCGAATTAGAGTGCAGCTCTTTAGAAGGAGGAGGGAAGGGTACGGAGAGGAATGCAACAGGAAATTGTGGGACAATTTCACGGTAAATTCCCCCGATAAATGTAGCGGAGAAATTTCCCCGCTAGATTTGGCGGAAAAAGTTTCCCGCTAAATTTTGCGGAAAAAATTGCCCCCTAAATTTGGCAAAAATATTTCCGTACTACATTCAGCGAAAAAATTTACCCGCTAAATTTAGCGGAAAAGTGTCCCGCCGAATTTAGTGGTTGTGTGACGTCATTATGGGAAACGTCCCATAATGCCACGTGCAATTACATAGACGGCTACGGCTACGGCGATGCCGCGCAAGCCGGAGACGGGCGTTTAAGAGCTGCGCTCTAAAAAAGTGTCTACCGCTACTTTATAGTTCATGAGGATTGGAATTTGTGCTGGGGCAGGATGTGGCTTTGCTTGTGAATATGTTTTTTGTCAGTGACTTTTTGTTTTTTAATGTTTGTGTATGAATGCAGAAGGGCACAGGACAAGCAGGTGGCCTGACAAAAGAGGATGTCGCACGGTACAGCCGACAGATGATCCTGCCAGGCTTTGGAGTGGCTGGTGAGCATAACAGTGACAGGATGCTCAACATCTGTTTGGGACATCTGTTGCGTACAATGTGCGCAGGTCTACGTCGCATACGTTTCCCACATGCGGAAGAAAATAATTGCCTCAATGTTAAAATTTGGACCCGCTCGTTTCGAGAAAAATAACACAAAAATAAAACGGTAGATTCATACAGCTGTACTCATGACTGTTGTTGCAGCTATAAAATATATTAGTTCTTCCTCATAGATGAACCAAAAATACAATTGTGATTTTTGGGAGTGGCCCACTTAAAACCCTGCAAGAGCCAAAAACAAAATATTCGCATAACATTTCATATAATACAGTAGACCATCCTTACAAGAGTGGTACTGCCCAGTGCGGTCGAAAAATATAGAGAGATGGGGGAGAAAATGACGGGTGGGGGAGGGGAATTTATGATCTCTTCCTCCTAATTGTTTAATACAAATGCCTGAAATATCTGGAGGGGGGAGAGGTTCCCCCCCTCCCCCTCCAATTGTTTTGACGTGCCACTTGTACGGCTTTACTTGTCCACTGAGCTGTGTCCGTGGACTGAGCCGTGCTTATGGTCTGAAATGTCGGTTTGGGGGGTGGGGGGGGGGGGGGGGGGGGGGGGGCAATCACTTCCCTCTTTTTTGCACCTCCCCTTTCCAACGATGCTGATACACATAAAAGCTACAAATTATAATAGTGTGCTTCCCCTTTTAATGTCACTCCTACAGAGAACCAATATACATAAGCATGGGAAATAAGTCCGTTCAAAAGAAAGAAAGTATCAAATATCTAGGAGTGACTCTTGATTCTGTTTTCAACTGGAAGCTGCACATTGAAACGGCACCTGGGTATGGATCCAGAATTAGCCAACATGGCTAAGGATCCAGATACAATATGCGGTGCTTTTGATGTTTACTGCTTTGGCCCCAACGGGCTGGCAGTATTGATGAATGAATAAAAAGTATGACTAAAGATTTATTCAATGGTACCGTCTTACTGGTACACTGAGCTATGTCCCCCGGTTTCGACCGCAGGCCAGAAAGCTCTGAAAGCGGCGTCCGTGCTCATAGTGGGCGCCGGCGGACTAGGGTGCCCCTGTGCCGCGTACTTGGCTGCTGCCGGTGTGGGTGAGTTGTCTCTGTTGCATTTATTGGTATTTTAAAGGACCCAAAAAGAGGCACGTCAGTGAAGACAGGTTACGAAGAGTAATTAAAATAAAATATACCCATATTAATCTGACAAACACTGTTAGCTTTATTCTGGATGCTCGCTTGGAAAATTGATTGCATAGAAGGACTCAAATGGCTTCTTTCACATGATCACATTTTTTTAAAGTATGAATAACCTACTCAAGGTTTTGTTCTTTATGCCATTGACTTAAATAAGCCTACCTGAAAGTGTTGTCACTAAAAGCACTCATCATACTAATTATGTCCAGCTGCTCTTTGGGGCTTGCCCATTGCATCTTTCTACCATTTGTGATTGCACTTCAGGCTATGATAATATAACAACAACACTATTAAAATTATTATATATTAGAAGTCTTATATTTAGGGAAACTACAAAGAAATTTCGGCGCCTATTCTTTGGTCTATTTATGTTGAATGGAGCATTACCACATCAGACATACCAATCTCTTGTAGAAAAAGACTCGAAAAGTAATTTTAAAACAAATAAAACGATTTGCAAAGAGCACCTGGTGGATGTCGCTAACGCCTCATTTGTAATGCCCGTCTAGGAACCTTGACACATAGTGACGGTAACTTGACTGGTGGTGACGAGATAAGAGCTGAAAGCGGAACTCCCCTCTCCCCAAGACTCTCTTTTGTGTGTCCCAGAAGTCGCTGTTGTCTCTCTACAAGATTATAGAAGATTAACCGATCACTCAAAATTTGTACAAAGGCAGCTTTGGGGTTACTTGCGGTGGCCTGATCGCTGGTGTGCTTCGGCTGCTTTCAGCGGATGCTACGAGCCATCGGGGCCTATCCAAGGCCGTGTGAATGTCACGTGACCTTGGAGAGGGGGCACAGCGACGTGCGGAAAGCGTATCACGGGCTGTGTCCACAAAGTGGGATTGGCTGGTATAGCTCGCAGCATCTGCTGCGTCCGGACATAGGGTCCTAAAACAAGCTACTTCACGACTGCGGCGGATGCGATGTGCTCTCTGCTGGCTGCTCTCCCAGCATTTGCCAGAGTGGGCCGTTTATAACGAAAGATAGAGCCACCAGGCTCAAAATGCAAACGTGCGATTGTCATTTACGAATATTGTGGATCGTATTCAGCCTATTTGTGAACGCAACGGGTATATTTCAAATTTCGTTGAAGTATACCTTTAAGAAATGTCAATGCTTGACATTTTGTGGTAAGCTATTTTTCATGAATTTCGTAAATAAAATTAAACTTGCACATAATTCAAAGGGCTCATATATATACACGAAAACCAGCGACTGTCAAACCCTAACCAAAATATTTTACTCTCTCAAAATATTCCACAATGTGACATACTTGTGAAGTGCCGAGGCCCACAAATATACAGCAGTTCATATCTGCAATTCCAAATATCTGCGGTATGCTAAAATAAGTGGGATTTTAGAAGTTTTTCTTTTCGGTTTGAGAAATTAAGCTTCAGTGTTTTTCTTTTCCAGTTTTTTCAGATTATCGGTAGCAATTTTTTATATTGTTATTACCATGCATGGCAGAATACTTACGGGCTGAAGAAATGTAATTGTGTTAGCTTTGCAGATGAGTGGATCACAAAGTGTGTGATTTCGCTACAGAGTAATTCCACAATCGTTGCAGGGAAGATCGGATTGCTGGACTATGACGTGGTGGAAAGCAGTAACCTTCATCGGCAGATACTACACTCAGAGGCAAAGCTGGGGATGGCCAAAGTTGACTCCCTCACTGTAGCGCTCAGGCAGTATGTGCTGTTTATCAACCAGTCAATCAATCTATCATGCCTGATTGTGCCCCAAGCAGCTGGGCAAACCTTGGGAGGGGTGCACATACATAAAGTAAACATAATATGAAATATGACCAAGTTATAACGAGTAAAATGCCTCTCTTGAACTTTTCAGAGCTTGTGAAGAAATCCACATCAGTGTTATCTGACTTGTCATAAGCAAGCTGCACGAGTGTCAGTGTTTATCGTGTTTGCATGTGCGACTCATAAATAAACTCTATAAAATTAAGTTTGGCAGGTTCAGCATTGCACATTTGCAAAACGGAAAGAGGAACACTCTCCAGACAAGAGAGATAGCACATTCTTTATCATCAATCTCGTTTTGTCGTCTGTTTTTTATCTTGTCCATGTTTTCTCAGAGAAACCCAGACACCTCTTGAAGTAGGGCAGGCTCACCGGCCACGGTTAGGCTGTGACTATGATCGGAAGTGGCCAGGCTTGGATTTTGGATGATGGTTTGTGTAGTGCCAGCCTGCAAGACGGCTTTTGTTTTGCTCGCAGGCTCAACTCGCAGCCAGAGTATGTCCGTCACAACAGTGTTTTGGACAGCAGCAATGCCCTGCAGATTCTTCGAGGGTGCGTTTTAAGTTTCTTTTGTTTGCTATTTCGCGTTGGCCAACGACATTGGTCAACATACCGGCGTGCAGTCACACATTGATTTGGGCTGACTTCCTCCTGCCCTGTGCACTTTCTAGATCCTTTAGGCAGTTCTTGCACACACCATGAGCTCTAGACCTGCGAGTGTTTCGAGGAGGCGTTTCAACTTGCGCTTAAGAAGCTAAAAATAAACGGTTCTTTTTACGAAACTATGTGGAACCCCGCATGAGAGGACAAGTTAATAGTTGACCGGTTTTATAAAAATTAGTCACATCAAACATTGTGGCTTCAAAATGCCATCCCGAGCTGAATCTTTCAGGTAATTCGGTACTACTAGCACCCACACTGCTGCGCTGTCTAAAAATGAGCTTACCGAATGACAAATATTTGGCTACGGAGTTTTAACTTTTGAATCTTTTGCCTTACTGTTTTTTTTTTAAATATTTCCGCTCTTTGGAACTTTGCTTTCAATTCCGTGTTTGTTAGTTGCTGTTCGTTACTAAAAGTGCGACGTCATAAAAGCCGAACTACAGTAATTGTACCCCCTTGTGTGAAGTTCAAAGCCAACTTGCTAGAAACGGCGTTTTAACTAAGACTGTGAACGAAAGCCTGCCAAGCCTCGAACCAGGGGCGTAGCCAGAGGAAAGGCTTATGGGGTTCAGCCCCCCCCTCCCCCCCCCTTCCCCCGAAATCCAGCCGACCCTATAATATACACATGCATTTTGACCCCCCTCACTCCCTTCGCACCCCAAGTCACAGATATCCCAGCCAACCTCAGCAACCTCCACCTCCACCCCCCCCCCCCCCCCCCCAAAAAAAAATAAAAGAAAAAAAAATGTTTACAATTCCCTGTAATATCGAATTAGAGCGCAGCTCTTGAGGAGGAGGAGGGGAAGGTATGGAGAGGAGGGTATGCCCCTCCTCCTCATACGCACCCTTTCCTCCTCCTGTCCTGCTCGCCTCCCATTTAGCGGAAAAGTTTCGCTAAATTTTCCATTAAAATTTTTTGCTAAATTTGGGGGGGGGGGGGGGGGAGGGGGGAGAATTTTCCGCTAAACTTAGCGGGGGAATTTTTCCTCTAAATTTAGCAGGGAAATTTTTCTGCTAAATTTAGCGGAAAATTTTTCCGCTAAATTTGGGGGGGGGGGGGGGGGGGGGGATTTCTGCTAAATTTAGCGAGAGAATTTTTCCGCCAAATTTAGCTGGGAAATTTTTCTGCTAAATTTAGCAGGGAAATTTTTCTGCTAAATTTAGCGGAAAAATTTTTCAGTCAAATTTAGCAGGGAATTTTTTCCTATAAATCTAGCGGGGAATATTTTCCGTTGAATTTAGCGGGGAAATTTTCCCGCTAAATTTAGCAGGGAAATTTACCTATAATGCAATGCACGGTGACATCGCTCGTGACCCTCGTGACGTCACGTGTGACGTCATCGTGGGAATGCATGATGCACCATGCGATTACGCCGATGCCGTTCAAGCCGGAAACAGGCGCCCAAGATCTGCGCCCTAAAAACAATTCCTGGCTACATGGTGAACAGAACATTCTTGGCCACGTTATTGCCTGGGGCGTGCAAGCGCTCGAGACTCGACTTTACATTCCACTTCGCCCGTGCACTAGCCTTGGCACTGCTTTTTTTCACACCATAGACACAGTCTCAGCTAAGACTGTTTCTGGGAAGCCGGCCCAGAATTGGACTTGCAGTGTGTTTCGAAGGAATTAAACAAACAATTTAATGACAGAGAGCCCATTGTTTTGGGTGTTCTATCTGTATTTAACTTTTACTGTCATTCAATTAATGTTTGGGTGCAACACTATCCTGCAGGTATATCCAAAATCTTTTGGGTGCAGGACTACCCTGCAGATAGTTTTGCACTCAAACAGATAGTTTTGCACTCAAACTTTTGGGCACAGGACTATCCTGCAGAAGTTCTGCACCCAAACCTTTGGGTGTGGGACTATCCTGCAGATAGTTATGCACCCAAACTTTTGGGTGTGGGACTATCCTGCAGATAGTTCTGCATCCAAGCTTTGGGGTGCAGGACTATCCTGCAGATATTCCTGCACTCAAACTTTTGGATGCGTGACTACCTTTCTGATAGTGCTGCACTTAAAATTTTTCGGCAACACCAAAGGGCACCACAGGGAAACCAATCGACCAATCGAAACGCAGGTACCAGGTAGTAGTCGATGCGAGTGACAACGTGGCGACGCGCTACCTGGTGAGCGACGCGTGCGTGTGTCTGGGAATCCCGCTGGTGTCGGGCAGCGCACTCCGTTGGGAGGGGCAGCTCTGCGTGTACAACTTCAATGGCGGCCCCTGCTACCGCTGCCTTTTCCCCCAACCTCCGCCGAGGGCGACGGTGGACAACTGCTCCGACGGCGGCGTCCTTGGAATGGGTGAGTGCCATCAGACTGTTCAGGTCCCCTTCCTCCTCGCTGCGCCTGGAACGCGCCTCCGACTGGTTTGTTTACCACGTCCCCAAAACGTGGTCTCTCGATGTCCGTCCAACGACGTCATGAAATCGTCACGTCGTTGCCGGCCGTGATCCCTGCGGCGTTGCAGCGGTAATGGCGTACGTGCCAGACGCCTGTTCTGCTGGAGGTTGCTCTCTAGCTTGACAGTCCACGGAAGCTTTGGTAGCCGGAGTTGGGACGCCACGACGACGGCGAAACTTGCATTCTCTTGTGCTCTTCTTTCCAGAACTCCGGGATCGTGACATCCGATGGCATGACACTCCAGATTTTGTGACGTCAATTGTTACCACTTTGGGACCGCTTTTGCTGTGTGGGCAAAAATAGGACACTAAACAGGCCCGTCAGAGATGCGTTCAAGGCACCATATCGTCCTAGAGTCACCAAAAGGATAAGAACTTGCCTTCCACCGCGCTTTGGCTGTGTGTGCATGCTCAAAGATCCGCCGAAGCGTTATCGAAGGCTTGCGCTGGAGGCTGGACAACTTAAGGTCCTTCCTGCCATTCTTGTCCTGTCTGGGACTATAAAGCCACTGGATCCTGAAGTCCGATTTTGGTCAAGGTAAGGGCGAGAGAGTTTTCAGCCTCTAATCGGGCGTGGTGCGCCATAGCTCGAGCGTAATCGATTGATGGGACATTTTTGACCCGGTCGCGAATTCAAGATCGGGCAGAATTCTGGCAAGATTGTCTCGCCAACTTCCAAATAGCGAGGATGGTCTCGCGGCCTCCGCTGGGCTCATCCTTAGTACTCTTTTGTGTACCGGTCGATGTCTGCTTGTGTACGGCAGCGGAGCAACTTGAGTTTGCAAAAAAAAGCGCGGATTGTCGATGGCTTCCAGTGTGAAATAGCAGACGATCAAGATTTCTGCTCGCGTCTAATCTCGCTATGCCGGGGTGCTCGGTTCGTAGCAGACAATCATCTTTTTCTCGGTCCGTTAGCAGGCGGTGTATGGTGTCTTCTTGTTTTACTTCCGTCTGCGAATGGCTCTTCGTAACAGACGAACCGCATTCTTTGCTGATGTTAGCAGACGAAGCGTCTATGAATGCTATCTTTGCTCGCTCAGTGAGAGACAAATTAGATCTTGCCCTTGCTCTCACCTTGACCAAAATCGGACCCCTGAGAAAGTAGCATCAATGCCTTTCCCAAAACGTATCAGTTTTTATTGCTTTCATCAGCTGCATTCAGTTTATCTGCACCTCTTGCACCGGTGCAGAAAAGTGTAGGGTGGTGTACTTCCGATTGCATCTCAATACACATACCGGAAGTACTAAACTGCTCTACACTCTTCTGCACCAGTGCAGGTGGTGGAGGTAAATTGAGTGCAGCTAGTGTTTTGACCTTTTAAAATCTTTAGGGGGCCATTCTAAACCAGCCACACTTGTATTGTTCACCAAGTAGTTTTTTGTAAAGTGTGCATCAAAAGGAATGTGGAGTTCAGAAAACTTGAAACTGGAAAAGCTCATTTAATGATCACATTTTCCAGCAGCATTGTGCCTGGCCTGCAATTTATATGGCAGTTCGAAAGCTGCATGTTTTACCATTGGATGGAATCTTTTTTAGAAAGGCTCAGTTTGCTTCAACTGTGAGTGAGTGACTAAAAGATGATGCATCCATTTCAGTTCCAGGCATCATAGGAAGCCTACAGGCCCTTGAAGTGGTGAAAATTCTGACTGGCTGTGGAGGTATGTATTGACCTCTTGATAGCTATGCATCACATGCAAAACTCTGCTACCAGTGCATTTGTGAGCGAAAAAACCTGTTTACTTAGATTCCTGGGAGACATCATCGAAGACATCGGAGTGTTTTTGCTTTTGTGGCTATAGTAGCATCTCTTGTAGATCATGGAGCGAGTTAGGTTTTTAGATCATTGCTTTTTAGTAGTTTAGAAGCATGTTATTTTTATGGATAGTTTTATTTTAAATTGGGAGGCTATAAAATACTGGTAACGTTTTATCGACCTCGTTTTCCATTCTACACTAGTTATAGCCATGTTTCCGTTTTGTTATTTAATACTGTGCTTGTCTTACCTTGAAGTGACCTTTACATTAACAAGGAAGTTCTTGTTGGCAAAACTCTTCGTGAAATATCTGAAGCTCCTAAACAAGTATAATCACGGTCCATCTAGTAGGAACTTATCGGCGAAAAAAAAAACATATCACATTTTGACCTTTACTGTAACTTGCAGACACGAGTTTTTGTTTTGGATACAAGCAAATTTATTCTACTTTTAGCATATAATTTAGAATCTTGTTTTTGTTTGTATCTCTACAATTGCCACAGGTTTCATCTGGTTATTTTTACTTTTAATGCGAAAGCATTAACTGGTCCCATAGAGGGAACCGGCGTTCTCAGCTCTTGAAGCCGCGCACCAAATGGCACCTAAATTTTCTTGTCCCAATGGAGTGAAGCCTGTAGTTTGCGACAACGATGTGGCTTAGTTTCAAGGAACGCTACCCCATGGCGCTGCAGTCCCGCGGTGGTGGAAGGAACGTGGTTAACACAGTGGCGTGCGCTCGCTGGAGGCCCCGAGGGCTGAGGGAGGGGGGAGGAGGAGCGGGTGCTCCTGTCGGTGTCAACGAGCTCCTCTCGGTGTCGACGAAAATCGCAAATGCAAAGCTCGAAGAGCACTCAGCGGCGTTCAATTCGACATTCATGCCTTTCGCATTCACATATAAAAAAAGTGCTTGTGTCCTCAAAATTTTTTTTTTGTGAAGTAATGCAGTTTTATTAACATTTCATCTATTCTTTGCTTTGTATTTTGTGGGTAGTCACATTCACGATGTTAAATAAGTACCGTATTTTCCGGGCTATAGTCTGCGAACTATACATGTTTAAAAGTTGAAATTTCTGGCTGTGCGGACTATCTACGCGTGCGGACTATAAAGGAATTATGTTTTTCAAAATCCTTTATGACGAGACGGGACGGATTTTGTGAATAAAAGAGTATGTTATTGATCATTTATGTATATTATAGGCTTTTTTTGTGAGCTAAGAAAACATACATATGTCAAGGTGTGCCGCGTATGAGAAGAATTTCGTGTCGACTAAGCACCAGGTGCAGACTATGCACTGGGTGCGGACTATGCAGTGGGTGCGGACTATCTAAGCAAAAACTTTCATTTCTGACCCCAAATTTGCCTCTGCAGACTATACACCGGGTGCGGACTATAGTCCGGAAAATACGGTATATAACTTTCTGTGGCAGCTCACTGAAGAGTGAAAGTAGGGGTGCTTGCATTCCTTGGAACAGTGCTCACAACCTACAAGCTGTCATGCAATCTAGCTATCAGTTACTTTCGTGAGCGCCCATGGCTTCGGCAGCAATGCCACGGAAGGGTTGTTCCAGAGGACGCGGCAGCAGATACGATAATGACTAATTTTCGGCTTTGGCTTTGGCCGACGTTTGCAGACGTGTGTTCCGGTCGTCTGCTACTCCTGGACGGAAGCGCGGGGGTCGTGCGGCGAGTGGCGCTCCGGGGCAGGTCAGCCAACTGCGAGGCCTGCCGGAATCCGTCGTCTGCTCCGTTGCAGATGGACTACGCTGCCTGGTGCGGGTCGGGTCCCACCGACAAGGTCAGCCAAAGTAGACTGCCTGAAACACGTCCTCAACTGGTTTGTTTAGCCCCCTGTGCCGCCCACGCTTCGAAAGTGATCCCGAAGTGGCAACGCATGATGTCACATAAGCCGGCGTATCGTCCCGTTGGATGTCGCAATCCTGGTGGTTGGTCATATAAGTTTCAGCAACCTGCAGTAGAACGGGCGACTGCTATACTCACCTCTGCTGCTGCGCCGTTGCCGGGATCGCAGCATTACAATTTTACGACGTCATCAGGTGGAAATCAAGGGACACATTTGAGGACGAAGTTCGGAGACATATTCCAGGTGCCAAAGCTGAAGATCAGAATAGCAGACGGCTGCCAGGCCGGCATCGGTACGACTGGCAACGTGGCTGCCGAGACACCATGCTACTAGTCCCAGACTGTGCCTTTGATGATGCTTTGCAATTTGTATTTTACTACTTCATCTGGGCAGCCTATGCTGTTTCTCACAGAGCCAGTCATTGAGATTTTGTGGAAGGAGTCCGGTAAATGATGATGTAGCAATGACATTTTAAGTTTAAAGGGATACTTCAACGAAATTTGAAATATTCCCGTCGTGTTCAAAAATAGGTTGGATATGATCCACAATATCCGTAAATGACAATCGTACGTTTGTATTTTGAGCCTGGTGGCTGTATTTTCGTTATAAACGGCCCACTCTGGCAAGCGCTCGGAGAAGGCCCAGCGGAGACCACGTGACATCCAACGCATTCGTGACGTAGGTCGTCTTAGGACGAGCAAAGCTACGGCGAGGCTGACGTCGAGAGGATGGCTCAGTCGTTCCAGCCACCGAAGCGGCTGCTTTTGTACGAATTTTGAGTGACGGGATAATCTTCTGTAATCTTGTAGGGGGACAATAGCGACTTCTGCGACACACAAAAGGCATTCTCGGAAAGAGGGGAGTTCCTCCTGCCCCTCTTCTCTCGTCGTGGCCGGAGGCGAGACAACCTCCGTCGCTAGCTGTCAGGGTTCCTAGACGGGCATTACAAGCGAGGCGTTAGCAACATTCACCAGGTGCCTTTTGCTAATAGCTTTAATTCGTTTTAAAATTCCTTTTCGTGACTTTTTTAATGAGATATCGGTATGTTCGATGTGATGCTGCTCCTTTGAACACATATAGACCAGAAAATGAGCGCCGAAATTTCGTTGTAGTATCCCTTTAAGGCGGGACACTACCTGGGAATGTCAACTTTTAAACCGCTCACTCAATAGGCGTGATATTCGTAGGTGGTGTTTGTAGTCATATAGAAGGGGGGCGTGCAAAGTTTGCCCTGTGAACCAATTTTATGAGGTACTATACCCCCAAAATGAAGTAAAGCATAGCTTTGCATGGAATCTGATTAATGAATCTATCGTTGAGAAACGGTGTTGATAACCACATATCTTTCTGGTGGAATGCATAATGGAATACCTGTTGTCGGTTACCAGGGATGGGCAAAATACATGCAAAAATGTATCGAAATACAAATACAAAATACTTCGTCAAAAATGTATTTAATTAAAAATATAATTACATTTCCAAAAAAGCATTTAAGTACAAGATACAAATACAACCAAATGTATTTGGTCTCCTCCAAATACTTTTCCAAATACATTCCTCAAAATTTGCGTCAGCGACTTCAGGGCACCTGCAACGGGTTTCTGGGTATCTCATTTTAATTTTTGCATCGCACACTCGGGAGTTAGTGTGCGAGGCTCCAGTAACGTAATAGAAATATAATCACAAAAAAAATGTAATCAGCTTGGACGTAATAGGTGAAAAAACTACAGAGCTTCAAGCAGCTCTTTTTGTCGATTACATTTTGGTATAGACCAGCAAAGAACCGAGCCGACCAAGGCGCACAGCACTAGCTAGAGAATTGATTGTTGCAACTCGCACCAGTTACGAAAATCTAAACGACCCGCGCATTTAGAATGTTCCAGGCGTAAATATGGATGGAAATCAGGCTGGAAAGCATCACAAGTTGTCACAGGCACTTATTTAGCCAGTCTGCCTGTGAACGTCGATTTCGTCACTATTCTCCCTGGACTAGCACCGTAATCACAAAATCACAGAACACTTGTGCTTGGTCGAGAGACACTGCATTTGGTGCAGAACATAGTTTTCTTCCTGCTCTGGACAGTGACAATAAATTTGAGGGATGTATTTTCGCCCACACAATTGTATTTAATTGCAATTGTATTTGAAATACCCTCATTTTAGTATTTAAATACACACGTCAAATACATTACCTGATTTGTATTTAAATACAAATGCAAAATACACAAAGTATTTGAAATAAGTATTTCAAATACTTGTACTATTTGAAATACTGCCCATCCCTGTCGGTTACTAAGAAAAAAAAAGCATTCTACAACTTTTTTTTAAACATTTACCAAGTTTTGAAAAGTACAATTTTTCATAATAAAGGAACATGAAAATGCAAAATTTAAGTTCATAGTAACCGTTCCATAAAATTTTGGCATATAAGCCGCAAATACTAAGCCTCTCAATAGCTTCATACTGAAACAATAGTTTTATTAAATTGAAATTTATTCCAAAAAGTGGAATGGAGAAAAGTGTTCAAAGGGCTCAAACCTTTACCTTTTCTTTAGCATAGCTGGACTGAAAATAATTACAAAATAATAACTGTGCAGTGTAAACCAATGAAACTTTCTGTGAATACTCTCCAGATGTTAGTGGATGTAAATGTGGCATTTCTCAAAATCAACTTTTTTTTTTGCAGAAATGTTTTTTTTCTGGGTGGTGTCCCCCCTTGAATAAAGTGGTATTTGGGGGTAACTGTGCATGACAGTCACACTTCGAGAGTCCCAGCAGAGGTTGCATTTCTGAGTCGCAGTGTTATTGGGGTCTGATCATTTCATAGCTCCCCTTCTGGAAGTCGCAACGATTGGATCTTTGCTCCGTGTAAGAAGCAGATGGTGCGGGAGATTCGTCCGCAAAAGAGTTTACATTTTTAGCATTCTTTTTAATGTATAATTCAAAGAAATGACTAGTCATTTCACGTTCAGTCCCAAAGATTGCCATTCATATGCGCCCACAGCATGTGTTGCTGTAACAGCTGTGGTGTGGCTAACTTTCCTCTGGGGAGTAATTCTTGTCATGAAATGTATCTCAATGTTTGCTCGCAGGCATGCAGCATCTCTGTCTTACCCCAGGAGCAACGGATCTCCTGCAAGGTACGCTGCAACATCACTGAAGTGCCTCGTTGTAGTACTAGTAGTAGTAGAACTTTTCTGGGAACCTTTGTGAGGTACTAAATATCCAAGCCGGTGTTTGTTGTTGACGAATTTTGAGCCAGCTTGGATGCAGTTAAAAGGATATGAGGAAATGACTTTGGTTCTCAGATGTTCGAATACCAAATGGGGCAGACATGCTAGGTAATGCAACAGACGTGCGTTACCGATACGGCCACAAAGTCCAGAAAGTTTGCTATCTTTTGAGTTGTCCCGTAAACATTGTACCAGCTTTTATGTACGTTAAACATTCTCACGACGCTTCCAACTCGGCCACCATCGCCGCTTGCTTCCAGGAGCTGAAAGAGCGGCTTTCAGACGAGAGTCCGCCCGTGGTGGTGGACGTGCGGCCCGAGGTTCAGTTCGAGATGTGCCACATCCCCGGAAGCACGAGTATCCTTTCGTGAAATAGGGAGAACGTAGACGCACGTCTTGTTCCCAGAGGGTAGCTAAACGACGATGGTAAATGTACGGCAACCAGCTAGGTGCAAGGTAGGGTGCCTGGAACACGTCTCCGGCTGCACGTTTAGCATCCGAAGTGGCAATAAATTACGCTGCCAAAGCCGGAGTGCCACGCCATCGGATGTCGTGACCCCGGCGGTCGGGCATAGAAGTTCTGCCAAAGCAAACACAAACGTGAATGTCGCCGTCGTCGCGGCGCCTCAACTCCCGGCTGCTGAAACTTCTGTGGACCGTCGAGCTTGAGAGCCACTTGCAGAAGAACGGGCGTCTGCCACACATACGCCACCGCAGTTGCGACACCACAGGGATCGCGGCCTGTGACAGCGCGTCACTTTTACGACGAAGTCGGACGGAAATTGAGAGGCCACTTTTTCAGACGCAATGGACACGCTAGTCGGAGACTCATTTTAGGCACCGCAGTGGTAGAGTTTAAGCAACAAAGTAAGTTACGCTTCAGAGCAATGACGCCTCAGCCATGTTGGTTCTTCAAATCATTGTTGCCGGCTATTCGAAGCCAAGTCCGAAACCGCGGGAAACGGTTTTTCGTCCTCTGGAACCGTTGAAACGGTTCGCTACGGAGCGAAATGACGTCGCTCAAGGTTCCCGACACCGCGTTTAAGGCTCGGGAAGTCGCATTTTCGAACCGTAACGGTCGCCGATTGCGTCTGCCGTGCACTAGGCACCCATAATGGCGGCGCCCACAGGATCAGGGATCGGGATGCCGCTACTCTGCTTAGCTTATCTGATGGCTTTACTAGAGGTTAGTCGGCTCCGGTGGGAAAGTCTGCTAATGCGAAGTGCATCCTCAGCAATGCCCTTAGACGTCCCTCTGGAGTGCCTGGAGGAAGGGGCAATTGCTGTGGTTGAAAAACTTCGCGAGAGCGGCTCCAAAGAAGGTGGGTCTGCCCTCTATTGACCAGAATGCTTGCAAATGCAATAGGGAAAGAAAACGCTGGATATTATAACGTAACTTCTGGAATGCGTTAGAGTATACGAGAACAAATGACAGCCTTCTGTACCGAGGCTACCAAACTAAAGTATCCTGACAAGTTTGGCACACTTTTGGGTACTAAGGAATGAAAAAAAACTCGGAATCTTTCGACATGTCCTGGAGAGTTGAAATGTGCCCCTGCGGAAGAATGTAGAGTTGATCCCAATTGCTGGTTTCATTTTGCTCAAACTCCGATTTTTGTTTGCTTTTGTAGAGTTGTCAAATCTGGAAGGTAACGTTGCTTTGTAGCATCGCTATATGTGCGAAAGTGTTTTGGGGAAGCTCGGATATTGTCATTTCTAAAAAAAGACGAACGTTGCCTATCTTAAAAAATAAAAGCTGACATTGTGTGGCGTTTTGTCTCGCTATGCCGACTGGTTGCTGTTGAAAATAAAGCACAGATTAACGGAGTCTTTGAACTTGGACACGAAGTGTCCGCCGGTTTTGTTCAGAATTCTGGCAGCTTGATTGAAACCGTGCTAACTCTTGTGCGTTATTAAAACTACTACTCTGCTCACTTTGGTTTTCTTTTCGGCTGGACTTCCTTTCCGAAACTAACCTTTGGCCCGCCTCGGCGGCCAGTGCTCGTCGTGTGCCGCAGGGGCAACGATTCGCAGCTGGCGGTACAGAAGCTGCAGAAACTCCTGGGAGACCACGGCGACGTGACCTGCACCGTCCGCGACATTCAAGGCGGCCTCGAATCTTGGGCCCAGACGGTGGATCCAAGTTTTCCGACGTACTGAACGAGACGCTTGTCTAACGAACTACGCTCTAAGGAGTCTGGAGCGTCCGCAAACCCGCAAAGCAGTCGGGAAGGTCAATCACTGCAATCTACGGATGGAGCTCGGCGAACGATGAGACTGTTTATACGTCTAAGCCTAAAAGAGAGTCTGCACTCTGGTGCCGAGCACGATGTTTCAGCGCAGACTGTTTCATGAGGTTTAAACGTATCACAAGCCTCGTCATTTGTCTAGCCCTCTGCGCAGATTGCAGCGACTGGCTGTTTTAAGAACGTTGTGGGAAAGTAAACACTCCAGATTTCTTAGTGTGTGTTCAGTACCGTGGGTCGTGTGAAAAGGATACACTGCATTTTCGCATTAAACGTTGCCCAGACCCTTTTTGACCGATCACTGTTATTCTCGGGTGACTGTGTGAAAAATTAGTCGCAAAATAAATGCTTCAATGTAGCTGTGTGCTTAAAAAAAAGAAAAGGCTCGAGAGTTCTCTTTCCCGCGGAATAAGAGACAACGAATCGCGGCGAACAATACGAGAATCCAGCAAATGACAAAGCTCGGAATATGATTATGCTAAAAACATGCGATCTGTGCAGGGGCATTGGGCTTACATTTCACGCACTCATTGTCCTTGCGCTTGTCATGTGTGAATAGCGGATTTTGAGTTTAAAGCGAATAGTGCTTTTGACCGAATAGTTTAGAATCGAATATAGGATAATTTCCCCAAGCCTTTCACTACTGTTGCACCATGCTTAGACGGCAACCGAGCTGAACTCGTGAAAGTTCCCACGCTTCCACTTGTCCACTTCTAAGCTCGGTTATTTTTAATGTACCTCAATATCTTAAGATAGCCCACCCAAAAAATAAAAAAAAAATTTGGTGAAAATAAGAAGCTAATTTTTGGAGTGCAATAAGAAAAAAAAGTTGAAAAGTGCTAGTTTTAAATTCTGTGGCTTGCAAAATTTGTGATCGTAGGAAGGAGCGATTAACCAAATTCGACTGTCATTCCCAGTCAGCACAGGCGTCGGAACTATTCGGAAGATGGGGGCGACAGTGGTAGGGGGGAGGGAGGGAGGAAAAAGAGTGATTTGCTGCCCCCTCCCCCCGCATTGTTTCCATTAAATTTCTGAAATATCTAGAGTAGCGATTACCCACCCCCTGCCCAACCTGTACCGACGCCACTGCCAGTCAGCAATATTCACTTATCTCTTGCTGTGGGTAAGTAACACCATTTCTATCGAGGTCACCATTGGCCGGGGCCCTGCAATTACTAGAGGTGGGCTATCTTTCAATGTTTTTGAAAAAAATGGAACATAATTCCAAAACTATGGGCGGGTTACTTTTCGGGGGCGGGACATCTCGGAATATTACGGTAGCTATATTCATGAACTTCGGCATGTAAACAACAAAATTGCTGCAGCTATCCTAGTTGAAGGGTCTTATAAATCTGCTCGCTGTATGCAAATATTCTCTCCAATTTCAAATTTCACAAAAAAAGACAACAACAAAGCAAGCATGAATGATGAATGCGGGTGGTCATACTCTCACATAATCGTGGCGGGACAGCCCTGTGAAGTGCGCTTCTCGTTGAGTATTTGTGCATTGCGGGGAAGCCATAGCCGCGGTGCCCCCGAGCTCTGCGGGTCTTGCTTCCCTGCAGTGCACAGGCGCTTGGTATGAAGTGCACTCAACGGGGCTAACTCGCAACAATCAACACTTTGAAAAGTATGAATATCGCAGTTCATCCTGACGCGAATATCTGAAACCTTATTATTATAAACGACTCTGAATATTTGCACAACACCACCTTGCGCACATCGCATTTTTTGGATTTAGTCGTATTATGAAACGTTTTAGAGCAGAACATTAAATTTATAATATCACTACAAACCCTACTATGTCGGAATGCTGCTGCCATTCTCGTTAAACAATTTGAAGAAACATGCTTCTCGGCAACAGAGTTCCAAAGGGGTAAACATTCCCGTGGCATTTTTATTTTCCTTTGCAGAACTGGCATTGCTGTTTGCAGTGACTATTCCAACATTAGATTACAAAATGCACTGGCCAAACCATGAAAACTGATGCAATGCTGGTTTTGGCAAAGTGAGTCAGGCATATATACATGTTCACCTATTTCTGGTAAAAAAGAGGGTGCTAACAGTCGGTCACCGTCTTGCAAATCTGACATCAAATAACGGTGCGACTATGCATACTTGGATGATGATGATGATGACGCTCCATCTCACTCTTATCTTCACTAATGGGTGGAAACGTGGTTGCCGCCTGTTGGTCGTGATGTATTTAAACATTCGATCGTCGTGATAGTTTCCGGTTGTGCTGTTATTGTTTTTAAATTTTCTCGAAAGATAATGGCCTTCAATCGGTCAATATTGTAAAGAATATAATGTATATGCCTCAAAAAAGGAGAAAAATAACCATCTTGGATCAAGTCACATTCTTCTACATATATGCCTACGAGTCGTTCTAGTTTTAGGTAGCCTCGTCTCGTCATAATGTTCAAACAGTGACCTTGGCTGTTGCACAGAGCAAGGCAATGTCTGCTAAGCAAAGATGGAACACTGGACAAGGGGGGTACAAGACTGGCCAAACAGAATTTACAGATACAGTAGGCAGAATGTATTAGCACCGCAAAATCGAACCGAGCTGTCTCGGCTCTCATAGCACCATGAAAGTTGGAAATGATGCAACACCGTCCAATTCAAACCACTGCCGCTCTTCACGGAAACTTGAAGATTGTACATTGTGCATGATTGGTCCATTGTGCAGCCGCCACTACCTTCCGCCCTTGCACGCTGAATGTTTTCCTTCTTCGTATAATGACTCATATGCTGGTACGTTCGGGGACATGGATGGCATGTTTACGGCAACAGGAAAGCTACAAATGATGCAGCACTATACGGTTTGAACCGCTACCAATGTTAGCGCAACCCGGGGATTCACACGTTGTGTGTGACTGGTTAATTTCGCAGCAAGGACCAACATCCAACCTTGCGTGCCGAACGTTTTCCTTCTCCATATAACGACTCGGATGACGGTTTGTTTGGACGCAAATGCCACGTTTCCACCCGTTCGTTTTGAATCCATTCATTTTGAATCGGACGGCGCTTCATCGATGCCGCTTCCACGGCGCCTACTTGTGACGATCCGAGACTGTGTAGCGATCGTAGGATCGCGCCGGATCGTAGGGCTCCCAACGAGATGCTGGGAAGATGTGCTTGTTGCGCTCGTACCATGACCGCAGCAGCACCTTGCCCGCGTGCGACTCCTCTTTCTCCACCGACGCGTCGTTCGTGAGACGCACGTCCTCGCGGGCGTCATAGGCAAACAGCGGTCCGCTTTTCCCGCGAGCCTGAGGGAGAGAAAACGGCAAGCGATTAGGCGAGCAACGATTTCTGTATGCGCGTGCCAGCTTTGCCCACTTCGTTGGTGTCTCTAGTTTTTTATAGTTGGTGATGGGTTAAGAACCCGGTAGATGCTTTGGCTGCACGTGCGACAAAGTGTTATCAAGTTTACCAAGTTTTTAACCTGTCGCCGATTACGGTGCGGGCTCGTGCCGAGGAAACAGGAAGTGTGCCCGATGTTGTGCTTAAAACGTTTGTGCTATTCTGCTGACATTCTGTTAAGCCCTTTTGTTTGACATAATAATTACACGCTTTAAACTGTAGCATCCTCACTTTTAATGACAGTATAACCTTGCTATAGTAAAATCAGGTTTTCCGGGGAAAACTCTTACTGTAGTGCCAGTATCTTCACTATTTCAGCAGCTCCAATGTCTATATATGTGTTAAAAGCGTAGTACTGCAATTTTGCTTTGCTGCATTCGTATCATTGTCATGTCTGCTTTTACTGAACAAATCTTTTACCATAAGCCACGAGGAAAATTTTTAAGGGAGTACCAGCATTAACGCTTTGCTTTTTAACATAACTTTGGGAAGCAATTTTTTTTTTCTTGTCTTTCACAAGTTTTTGTAAGTTTTACATCTGGTATTTCTCGGTGTTGGGTAAGCTGTTTTTTCACCTTGGTGACGATGAAGTCGTAGAAGGTGTAGTGGTGAGGAATGATGAGATCCTCTTTGACGTACATCAGCTGGTCTGCCGTCACCGCTCGCAGTTCGTAGAACTCCTTGCGCAGCAGCTCCATGCATTTCTGATGGGGAGAATCGAACCGCGTTGGAAGAACGAAATGAAGCTGCGAGCACAGGATCACAAGCCACCGTACGGCGAAAGGCGAATTGAATCATTTGTGTTTTCACCAAAGTTGGGTGCATTCCTAAAGTCACCATAGACACAAAGCTAGGATGACTCTTTTAATACAAAATCCATGCTCCGTTCTAGTTCACATTGATCCCACGGTAAGCATCGCAACTCTTCTGCTTGGGAAATGTACTGAAAGCAAGCATGATATGGGTTCAGGCTTGTAAAAGCGCACGATACAATTTAGCAAATTCACGGCCTGAAATGGACACCGGTTTCGTGTCCTAACCGAGAGAGCGTATGTCTGCTAGTTTTGAACAACCCATTCAACTTGCACTTACATTTCGTTGCAATTGTAGCCACCAATAACTTAATAAACACACGACTTGGCGTATGTTTACGCTTCTTGCTTCGTTCTGCAAGGTTCTAATTGGCTGATGCTGCAGTCTCACAGGCTGCAGTACGATAATAAGATATGCCTGGGACTCGCCGTGCCCCACGTTTCTTAAATTATTGGCGACCGCCGACAATGAGCGACTGTCTAAACCCAAGTGCCTGGCAAACGCAGCTTGTGCAAAACGAGAAGCTGGACAAGGGGAGACGTGGACACCTTGGATAGACTAGACAAGAGGACGGCTTGTAGTTGCACGCAGTGAGGCCGTGACGTCCTCGCTGGCATGTCAAATGTAGTTGCGAACACTGCTGTAGACTGCCTCACCTGCAAGAACTGGTAGACGCTGTTTCCCTTCTTCATGCGGACCACTCTCCGGTGACCCGACCCGTCCCAGTAACTGAATGTGATCTCTATGTCTTCGTTCTTGAGGCGTTCCTGCTTTTGCACCCACTCCTGGAAAAAGACGAGCACACCCGTACACCCGCTTTAAACCCGTTGCTCATCGCAACGAAATGTCGCGGAAGGACGCGGCGGTGCGGTAAAAGCCATCATTGGCACCGTTGCCACAGGCCTGTAATTCTCAAGTTCTGAGCGGCGTGCCGGGCGAGGGAATCCGGACGTATTTATTAGCGTTTCGGCTGCGCATCGTCATGCTCGCCCACGCATCGAATGGTTGTGTCTTGCAAACGCTAGCGGAGGCCACAGTGCCTTTTTTGTGGTCGTGCCTAGGGGACGCTACGGCCCCTCCTGGCCGACAGAATCGAGCCTCTAGAACCAATATTACGAAGCTTTTTAGTTGGTAGTGATCAAGACTTTAGTGTGTTGGAAGGCAAGGGGAAATGGAATGCAATGCGCTCGCAACATATATCGAGCAACTCCGACAGCACATACCATGCGCAGTTCCTCCCTCAGTCCCTTCTCATCTTCTTCCCGGTCCCGGTCCGGCAGAAAACTCGTGTCCACATCCGGGTTCTTGCCGAGTTTGCGCTTGGCCGGCGGCTCGCCGTCCTCCTCATCTGCTTCCTCGTCCTGGTCGTCTGCTGCTTCTTCTTCCTCCTCGCTCTCGTCCTCCAGTTTGAAGGAGAGCGCGGCGATCTGGCGGTGCGAGCAAGTGCGACGTGGCAGACCAAGAGAGACAGCAACGGGAGGGCGGCGCCAACCGTAATGCCGTGCCACATTTCCAATGAGGAGAAGATGCTTCGTTCACCTTTACACTCGGGTGGCTAGGAACGGCATGCAACCGTGCGATTTGAGACACTATTGGCATGGCCCGAGACAACCGGGTAAAGACTGAACGGGAAAGAATTGTGCAGACCGCCAGTGCTGGTGAGGAGGTATAGGCCATTTATGCCAAATAAATTTTTCTCTGCTCTGCTATGTTTCTAAGAACTCGTTAACGTGCAAACAGAAGAGCTGCATTGCACGCTCTGACACTTGGCTCTACTATCATTCCAGTCAGTTTAAAAGTTGGCAGGCATTATACACACTGGCGTGTTTCGCACCACACAAAAACAAGCAGGTATTACAAACACGCGTTTTTGCAGGCTATCCCCACCCGAGTGCTATTTTTCCGAACTCCCCGATGACTCCTCGAAGAGCTGGGTGGCCGCGTGTGTTAACACATCGTAGCTTGGAGTGTGATGAGTGAAAGCTAAGGCAGGAGAAACCAGGGATCCTATTATTCCCACCCCTGTATGTTTTTATCTGGATGAGCATCGTTTTGGCGTGCGCTCGTGCTTCGCTACCGCATGATACATGTTAAAGACCCCAGAAGCTGGCTAGCAATGGTACTGCGCCGGCTAAACTTCTTATCTACACTGGAGACACCGGACGCCCACTGGAGCTGCCTAACTTCTTGCTGTCTAAACATGCGTGCGACACAATTTTTTAAAATTATTACTAGTACCCAATTGTTCCTGGGCTCCCCAATCTCGGCCCCGTTCCTCACCCCCGATCTCTCCATTGGTAGCAGTATTTGGTATGACACAAAAAAAGTGTAGAGGCTCTTGGTGCGAAAAAACCGACCTGTCTCCTCTGCCTCTCCTGCTGCTCCCGCTTCTTCTGAATCTCGCGCTGCCGCTGAAGTTCCCTTTCTTGTTGCCGCTGTGCCAGTTGCCGCTCCCGCTCCTTCACCACGTCTTCCTGTTTCGCCTGAAAGACGACATTGGAAACGGACGACGACCGGTCACAGCTCAGGACCGTGCTCCTCGAACGGTTTGAACCCCAAGGGCACGTTTTCAGATCCCGTTGTGACCTTCCGTCCATGTTTTCAATTCACAAAATTAAGGAGGGTTGCAAAGATGAGGTGCTCGACCAGTATTCCACAGAATAGAAAACCAAACTTGGATCATTTTCTTTTAAATGGGATGCATTTATAGAGTCGGCTCGTGTCTGTTGAATGTAGCTGCGATTGTGATGTCATGCTGGTGATGTCATGTGAAGATTATGATACAGTTACAGTTTTCATGCGATTCCATCAGCACTACAATTGTCGCGTGACACCGTGATGCACACATGACACTGTGATCTCGTGGTGTCACATGACCCTAGAGTCACGGCACACTTCAATGTTATATGACATGGCATCACCAGACGTCGGATCTACAAATACTATGCATTTAGGGCGTCTATGGGATATACCAAAGACACGGGCAGTTGTTTTTCTATCTGCGGGAAAGGATTAAAGTATCCTCGGAGCGGCCACCCACCTTCATCTCCGTCAAGGTGACGAGGCCAATGGTGCTAGACTTGAGTTGCTGCTCGACGGCGTCATAGTGGGTGGCAAACTTGTTCTCCATGGTGGACAGCTTGAGCTCATCCTCGATGCGCTTCTTTCGCAGCTCCAACTCCTCAAGCGCCTTCTCGCGCTTCTTCTTGAGGTGCATGGCCCTGCCGGCCTCGCTGGCCGCCCCTTTGTACATCGCCATCTTGGGCCTTAGTCTGTTCTTCTCAAGATGTCACACGACGGATGTCGGTCACGCCTGAAAAGGAGAGCCGAATGATGTGGCGCTCCCATTACGGTGCCTGGAGATGCGCCTCTGACTGGTGTGTTTAGCGTCTTATCCTGTCTAACGACGTCATCAAGCGAAAATCGAGGGACCACTTTTGAAGGTGCCGTAAACACACCAGTCAGAGATGTGCTTCGGCACCGTAGTAGAAGTGCGTGAGCATGCACTGTGCAGACTGTTTTTTGAGTGGCTACAACTTGAATCTGAGCAATGTGCATGCAGTAATGTGTATGTTTGCCACTTGGGACTAAGCTAACAAAAAACGCTGATGCAGCAATAGTTTTGTGAACATATACGTAAACACCTCTGGTGCTCCCGATAGCATGCATGGTCCTGCTGGAGTCTTCGGGATTGTCCACGAACATCACGTCGTGTGCATTTGACAGAGTACTTGCTATGCCAACCGAGAGAGGGGGCCAATGTGGAAAGCAAGTCGTCTGCTTCTCACGCAGGAGTAGCGGTGACTTCGGAAAGACGCCGAGTTCTGATTAAAATGATATTCGGTATAGACCTCAAGGCAGCCTGCTCTGAGGTCTAGCCACTATATTTCAATCGGAGCCAATCGCAGCTCGGCGTCCTGAAGTCATCACGACCTCATGAAAAAAGCAGAACTTGCGCTCCGCATAGTATGCCATGTTTGAGACTAAAGGCTTGGACAGGACAAATATGTGACCACTTGATTCAAAAGGTCTACAACGAGCAAATTTGTCTGCTCTCTGTATAGAGGTACAGTGACATCATGGTGCCAAGCTCTGATGGGAGGGTACAGGGGACTGTACCCACTGTATCCTTCAGTTGGAGGAGCCAGTTGGTCAGGGTGCCGTGTCCAGTGTCGTCTGCTAGCTGCCATGCCTTTCCTACAAATTGCAAAAATCCACCGTTTTTGTTTTTTTTTACTAACGAGGATTTGGCTTTTGAGAAAGGGGACTTGAAATGGTTAAATGACATTGTTCCTGTTAACTATAGCAACTACCAGACGCGCCACAACGGGTGAAGATCGAACCCAAAGCCGTGATGTTTGCTAAAGCCACCGAAAAAAAGCGTCTACCACACGGGATTACTCCCTTTCAGCTTTTTATACCCCCGCTCATGCGCGAACTGACGCGTTTTAGTCGACTTGCTGGTCGTATATCCACAAGCCTCATCATCAAAAACATCGGGCGACTTGCAGCCCGGTGGCCCGGTCGCTCGGTCGTCTGCGTCCGTCGTTGAAATTTCCAAGAATGATGTTCCCATTTTTCACAGGAACGGAACAACTTCTTGGTAATTCACAAGGTAAGGCGCACCATTGAAATACGCCTTCGACAAAAGTTTGAGCTTACTATGCGCAGGTGCCAAATTTTCAGACAAAAATGAGTTGAACAACTGGTTGATGACCTAACAGTTTTGGTTACTACTTTCTAGGCAGCGATGTTGATGAATTATCTCGCTATTCTAAGCACCTGACTGGAGGTTGTAAAGAAAACAATCACCATCTTAAAAATCGACACGGAACAACCCAGAAATTTCTAAGGTACGAGAGAAGTTACCAGGCAAGTCGCGCGTTCGTCGTGATCCCTGGCACAGTCCCGTCGTTCGGTGTCAAAGGGAACTTGGAGTACCCCAAATGCAGGTGACAACTAACACAAATACAAGTGAATCCACAGAACACGAATGAAGAAAGCTGAAAAACTTGCAGTAGAGAATTCAGATAGCTCCTCCGGCCACTGTGCAACTTCGGCACGCTTCGGCCAGCTTCGGCTGCGCTGCGCGGCTGCAAACCCGGCCTACCGCTTCATCATCTGAGCGCCAGCTACGCACCAAATACAAGTATCTTTAAAAGAAAAGTTTTAATTAAGTGTTTAATAACTTTTTATAGTTAGAAATGGTCAGTTATTTTTCATTATTCGTACCAGCTTCGATTGCCTACGTGAGTTGTCTACTTTCACGCCTTTCACCCAACGAATATCAAAAAGAGTACAGCTAACGCCAAAGTTTTAGTGGCGGTGTTTTTATAAACTAAACACTAGCTAGATCTTTCTTTTTAGTGCCGAAAAGTCGAGGGTGTGTATATCGAAGTGGCCGCAGCAGCCGAAACGGCTGAAATCGTGAGCTCTCTGCGTATTCATCATCGTTCGCGTCACTGCGGCCTCTTCCTTGTGTCGGTCGCCACGGTTCACGTCGTCAAAGGATCAAAAGTTACGCTCTCAAGTGACAAGCGAGAGCACGGAACACAGAAATCAGGTATTTCGGCCGTGGTTTTCCCGCACAAATTTATTGCCCATCCCGAGTGTGGCTGGTAGAACCTTGCAGCATCCTGTTTGATCGGAATTAAAAGAGACAGTTTTTAAACACGTAACTTCTGCCAGCACGTTATCGAGTACGTAGCCTACGTGTACTACGTTGCGTGCTTTGTGGAATTCGTGCCTTGTCTGGTGTCGTCCGTAATGGAATGCGCGTGTGGTTCGTTGGACCGTTTTCTGCGATTCTTTTGACATACATACGACATACATACTTTGACAGTAGGTTGCTGCTCGCAAATCGTGTAGTCTGTGTGAATGTTACGTGACTATCTGATGCACGGCGGAGCATTCGCTGCACGATTCCGTTTTCATTTTGCCGGCGAAAAGAAAAGGACCCAGGCACGCTTATGAAAATACGCCCATATGAGAAAATAGAAATGGAAAAATTTAAACAGCAGGAGTTTTCTTTTTATCTCTTTTTTTTTTTTTACTACGTGGTCTTTTTCAAATGCGTTAAATATAGCCGCAGTACGAAGAAAAAAATGCTGCATCCTGTTGCCGGTTAGGAAAAACGGGACAACTTTCATGAAGTCCTGCATCCTTTTCCACTTAAGCAGAGGGAAAGCTGGAGAGGAGGCGAGGGGAGAGGAGGAAACGATCAATCATCTCGAGCTGAGCTTTTCTTAACCAGCAACAGATTATGATGTTCATATTTGTAAATAGAGAGCTATCCCCTCCCCCTTCCCCTTTTCTTTGGTTTCCGAACTGTGTGTTTAAAATATTTTCAGTGGCTAAAAGGAAAAATAAATACGCAGGGCAACCAGGAGTTGCAGTTACAACGAGCAAGGCAACTTCATGGCAACCACGTAACAAAGGATGAGCACCATGAAGTGTGTTTGCCAGGTGAGCAAATATATGTACTCGTAGTGCATTCGCTAGTTGCTCGCCGATTCAATCCTGAACCGAAATTTGGATTGCACAAAATAAGGTAGCAGGGGTGTTTAACGGGACACCGCAAACCCCGAAACACCACTCGTAAAGCAATATTCGAATGGAGGCCGTATTTCTGTAAAATAAGGATGTGATTGAGTGAGAATCGTGACGTTGCGTTTCTTGCGGAATTGTTGAGGAGGAGGGGAAATAACCTTGCTTCCTTCGCTTTTCGCATCCTTGCGGAGTCAAAGCGAGAAGAGGAGAAAACGAGAATCTTGACGTCACGGGCTTTTTTGGCCTCGTTCAAGCGTGCTCTTCTTTCACAAAAATACGATCATCCGTTTGAGATATGGCTTTATGAATGATGTTTTCGTTTTTGTTGTGCCCCGCCCAGAGCTTCTGCTTTGTTTCTTGAAATCAAAATTTCGGTTCAGCATCCCAACTCTGCCTATTTTTCGAGCTACCTAATGCAAAGGCATCATCTGAATTCAGATGGCTTCCTGATTCCGAAACGCTGTCTCGTTCCTCCAGATTCACTCTAGTTACTTAAAAAGATTATACTTCGTTCGTTTCCAAAACCAGTACATGTCCTCTCCAGGTTTTCCCCAGTTTTCCTCGACATCCAAACGTGACGTCACCAGCGGGCAGCGAGGTACGCGGCCGGCAATCGCGTACGCTTGCGCCCGCCTGTCTTGCATCAAGCAGCGACAAAACGGGCATTCGTGCTATCTAAAGTTGATGATAATCTCTAGTTGCACATAGTATGACCTTGGCCCATGTGCTAAACTATGAGAAAGTAAAAACAAAAAACAAAAAAGAAGCAATTGGGATTTTGATAAAACTGTTTTTGCAACTCGGTTAGCTCAAGCCACGGCTTGCTGGTTTCTTGAAATCGCTAGTAAATCCATTCTCTTTTTATCAGAAGCTGGCTGGCGAAGAAAGGTAGAAGAGTCACGCAATACATTTTTTGACAAATTACCAAAGCCCCACGAAAAATGCTCGGAATGTGGGTACAAGTGCCCCACACACTCGTATTACCTGAAAGAATGTGCCATTTGTTTTAGATTTTTTGTAGAAAACTTGCTGGTGCAGGTGCCAGCACGTGTAACTACTCTTGTGGCATGCATATTCTCCTTGGTACCTAAGTAATTTAGCAAAAGATCTATAGACCATTTCCGAAAAGTGCTTCTGGTCTGTGCCATTTTTAGCGTTCGTGCGTGTGGCGCATACTTTGCTCGCCTCTCAAAGTGGCGAACATGTGCGTGCTGCGCTGTGACCTAATGCATGTATACCGTGATTCTCTTAAACAATGAAATGTATAGAATGGAATGAACCACGTTCATGTAGACCAGAGGGAAGGTTACTGGTCATGAAGATTGTGTTTAAATGACAATTCAAAGAATTCCGCAACCACCAAGCCAAACATCAAGGTGCAGTGGAATGCATATAAAATACAGAAATACACTGTTCATCTTCAAGTAAAGGATATTTGCTTGAAGATAAAATAGTGTGTAAGGTACAGAAATGCATCATAAAACTTTTAATGCAGAATAAGTTAACAAAAGTTACTCAAACACAAATGTGAACCCGTATTCTCTATTTTCTTTTTTTTTTTTTACTTTCGGTGTAGAATGCAACACGTTCAAACATTCATCCACGAGTGCTAGGGTGACCATATTCTTCAAGGTAGAAAACGGGACGTCCCAGCGAGGTAAGGGGGGGGGGGGGGGGGGGTAGAGGTAGGGGTAGGGATAGGAGGGGATTGTACTAAAGGTTGAGATTGGGAGAAAATATTTAATGAAATAACTGCTGTTATTTCAAAACGTCACCTAGTTGCACTAAATTTTACTCTCTGGGTAAATATCCCTCGCCTGCGTTCACGCCGCTTCTCGACGACTGTATGCAGCTGCTCATTACAAAACTATTAACCCACTTGGCACCACCGTACACGCCGCTTGCGGCATCCAGCCGGCAACCCAAGCTAACCCAAGCAGCCGGAAAGGGAGTCGTATACCATTCAGTTCAGCAAAATTTCGTCAACATTATTGTTTTTTTCTCTTTTTTTTCAGTGTTAATTGTAAAAAGGAAATGCAAATGCTTGACAGAAAAAAAATGTCGGAGAAAAAAAAAAAAGTAAGCACGCTCTGTGAATCGAACCTGGGTCCGCTACGTATGAAGCAGCCACCTTTCCACTAAGCTATGCAATTTTTTTTTTCTTTATTGCAAACTGAAGTTCTATGTAACCATTCGTTTTATACGAGACCTACTAAGTTTCGCGTTGGGCATATTGTCATTACCGGTTATTAAATTAAGTTTTGGCTAGCACAGTTTGCATCATCTGTAAATTTGCATGCCTCCCTTCAATGATATTCATATTTTTATGGTTTTAAGAAACTTTTTCAGTCCTATATAAAATTTCTCCTCAAAAGAATACATTAAAGACGTTTTCATCACTTCTTTTGCGAGAATATTGCATGCCAATATTCTCGCCCGAGCTAGATTTGATTAGAACAAGTATAGTGTTTATAAAAATAAAAAAAAAATCACTGAAGCAATTGTGAATAACAAATGTGATTGTGTAAAATGTAGACTATATTTAATGCTAGGTTGTGTGCTATTTTTCTCTATATTATTAGTGCTCCTCTTTGAACAGATGTCGTAGTGGTCACAGCCGGCTTGAGTTTGCGCTTTCCTCTCTTGAAGCTGTTCCAGCTGCAGAAGGATACTCAAATCGCAGCACACGGCTATAAAGTATTCCGAGCATAAGTGAGAATCTTTCACGTGACACTAGTTCTCTCGGCACATAGCTCGCGCAAAAACACCTTGACGTGGCTGGTCTGCATTGCTGCCGTAAAACACTTTTTTTTTTTCTCCCTCGAAAACAAGGGTAAAAAAACCTTTTCCCGGCACTGCTTCTACAATCTACTGCGGAGCACAGATTGCTATCCATTGCAAAAGAACTTCCTACCTTGAAGCTGTGAAAAAATAATCCCGATTGCTGGCGCTCGGAAAGCCACTTCGCGGCTTTTCGAGTCGTTCGTCCGCCTGCACATCCGTGACGTATGCGGGTGGGGAAAAGTAGGGATTTTTCTTTGTTGCCAGTAGAAAATTGCCTCCTGGAACCCACACGGACAACATAACTTAAAAATGCACAAACTTCAAGGACAATTTTTTATTTTTATGAAATATTTTGGTTATCAGTTTAGAAAGGGTTATTGATGCGGTCTGCCAATTTCCAGCCGAATCAAAGACTACCAAAAGATTGGCAGGGTTCCCTTTTAAGGTGAAATAAATGAAAAATAAAATATGGTGCATGGTTTCGTAGCTGCACGTCTCAACAAAGCGAACAATTTCTTGAGGGATATTTTAGAGCAGAAAAGCGAAGGCTGAATGGCCAAGCATTGTCTGCTGTCAATTTAGCGTACGAAGGGCACTGCATTCCTGTAACGAGGATGGCAGACGGTGTTTTTTTTAGCGTCCCGTAGTATCCACGGCAGAAGAATGCTTGCACCATCTTTTAGCTCTGTCTTTTCCCAGAAATTGCATTGTATTTCAATTACACCTTTAAGTGGGCACTGCTCAAGTTGCAGGAAATTATGACTGTCAAATTGGTATAGGTTATGGCACTAATAAGAACCTTCAGACACCCTTTAAAAATTTATAAATTTTTTCACTACAAGGCATTGGAATGTGCTGTTGAGACACCATCCTATCACATTTTTGCTGCGGAGTTGCATATTTGCTGAATAACGAAATGAAAGTCGAACCAAAACAAGTGAACGATCATGGAGGAATGTTATGTCCTTGACTTTGGAAGTCACTTGGGTTGTTTTGGTCTCAGAGACTACGCTTCCAAATTTCTTTTAGATTAATGTGTTTTCGGATTTCAAGTTTCAAATATGTTGTCTTGACTGTTTGGTCTTTATGGGCTGTTTCTGTGAAAACTTGGAAATGCCTGAGTACGCTCTCGGATGCCCTTTTTTACAAAGTACTCTAGCTACACTGTGATTGTCGTTGATTTGTCTCCAAATTGGTTTAACACATTAATAGACATCTATAAACTATACCTAATAATCCGAATCACAAGCAAAAACTTCAGTTTTTTGCGAAATTATTAAATTGGGTTTTTACCTTTTTTTTTTTAACAGACATATTACGCCTTCTGCGCTTAAGATTTGAACAAACTGTGGCGCCCTCATTTTGGGTAGTACAAACTCGCATGACTCGGCCTCACACTCCCGTGGCGCCTTTGCCAAGCTTTTTTTCTTTCTGTGCAGAGCTGAAGAATGGAAAAACACCTTTCGACTCCTGAAATCGGCTAGATTCAAAGCTGTAAGACAATGGAAGGTGCCAGATTCATGTCACCACCTCTAGCGTATGCGTCCCTTATCTCTGGATGGTGACGTCAGAATATCTGGCTTCCCGACGCTTTCTTTTCTTTTTTAAGGCAAAAGCCTTACCTGTCACATACGCGAAAAGCGGCGTCATTGTGCTCAAAACATGGCCATAAAAATACTTCATCAAGCACTTTCCTCTCAATCATATGCTCAAGGATGATGCCATCCTTGGCGTCGTCCTTGAGGTTGTTCTAGACGTCATCCTAGACGCCGTCCTAGACACCATACTTGGTGGTGATCTCTAGGACTTTGTCCTAAACTTTATTTTGTGTTGAAACATACTCAAAATCATTTTTTCTGCTTGCCTATGATGCTTTTGCCTTCCTACATGTAAGCAGTCCGAAGGGTCCTCCTATAATTTTTATTTTTTTCCTTTTTACTTTGGAACTCTTGGCTCACGGTCTTCACGTCCTAGCTGTGACCTGTGCTTCGACGGCGTTCAAATTTTTTTGTTTCTTTGTATTTTCTTCATGATCGCATTCTACACCAGAACAGGCATGCTTCTATATATGTGACGGTTTGAGGTGCTCAAGTTTGTACTACCCAAAACGAGTCCCAGCCAGTCCCTTTTCGAAGCGCCCTCTGGGCAACGCAGGAGGCCTATATGGGGGAAGTGCAGATCGTTCCTGATAGGTTACATGGAGTTTGATAGTGTGAAATGAATACAAAAAAAACTCGCCCCATCCGAAAAGAAAAAAAAAAGTGACATTGTTTTTTTTTTTACTGCTTGCTCGACCTGCATGTTTCACAACATGCAGCGTTAGCCCACTGAAAAGCGCAGTGGAATTTGATATTGGTTTTTGTAAGACATTTATCTGCCATTTTTGCAATAGCTATTTCGAAATTGGAGATAATAAATAGCATGCCAGTAAGAGCAATGCCTGGGTATTCCGAAAATATGCTTAGTTTGGGTAGCTCAAAAAACGCCCAAGGTAACCATTTGACGGTTGACGCCATACATGTATGGCTGCGATTACACATTTAAAAGTTCCCGTTTAAACACTCAAGCACACACACCACAGGAGGTATTGCTTATTTGTGATGTCTTTGGCAAACTATAAACGTTATATTCGCACGGTGCTTTACTTTGATGGGGCCATTTGTAGCTTTGTAATTAAACGCTCTGCAAATGTGATGTGCGCAGATGGTCGCTTCGCATGTTGACCGCTCTTGCGGCCGACATGACAATTGGAGCGTTGGCTCTTCCGATTTAGACTTAGTGCTTCTCAGAATTGAATTCAGGGGATGAAAGCTTACCACCAGCTAGAAAAGCTCTGTAAAGTACCTTTAGTTCAGAACCTGAGACCGCCGGAAAGTCGCGGAAGCGGGTGCGCCAAAGCAAAATTGAATGGAAGAAAGGTGACGTTTCCCCATCACTATTTCCATTCGATGCTTCTAAACTTAGACAGCTTGCAAGCACTGTACATGCTCCTGCTGGATAATTAAAAAAAAAATACTGTGCATTGACCCTTCGTTTATACTATATTCCTTTGGAAACAAAACTTTAACCACTAAAACATATTAAAAAAAAACTCGAATGTCAAAAGGGGGAAGGATTGCAGTCTAATGGCTTATTGTCCCTTCAAACTAGGAGTGTGGGTGCGTGTGTGAGAGCTGCGTCAGTGGAGGCAACAGCCTCCACTTGCATCAGGAAATCGAGGCCCTGAAGCGGCAACTGCTGGAGCGAGACTGCCACATTGTACGCATGGAGACACAGGTCAGTGCACCTCATAGTTTGTCAGCTGTTGCATGACTGGTTGGGTGGCGGTGGCTGAGACATTTTGCAATGGGTGGACAATTGTGCCACCTGGCCCACGAATGAAACATCATTAATATAGATTACATACAACAGTGGAACACTGGGGCCAAGAAAGGATGTGAAAAGAGCATGAGAATTTTATAGAGAGGCAATGGTATGTGTAATTTTCGTCTTTTCTAATGTTTTTCCCTGTTTTCTGCATGCTGTTGCATTGTTGCTTACCTGTTTGTTCTTATTCATTGATTTGCACGACTGTTTGCTTACAATGTTCCCGTCTAAGCGAATCTCTGCACTTCATTGGTTTTGGAATCTACAAGTAATTTGGAAGGTATCTAAAATGCAGTTACAAATTAGTTTGATGAGTACTGAAATGAACTCTATGATTCCAAGTGTAGCCTATAAATGCAATTAGCTATGATAATTTAATTACTTGCAATTGGTTATTTTGTAGCTGTGGTTGCGACTTTTGCTCCAGTCAGGCTTGGCTATGTTGAAATGTTTAACGACTGCCTCTCTGTCTGCGCATTGTCACACACTGTTCACGTTTGGGACGTTTTTGTTGCAGGTACTGGAAGGTCCTCCCCAGGGACGTCCCCCAGAGGTCCAGGGGACGTCGTGCCGACAGGAGACCTGCCAGGACAAGTGGCGCCGCCTCCAGGACGGTTATCGCAAGCTTCAGAAGGTGAACCGTGCCTTCCCCTTTGAGGCAGGCGCTGCCATAAGAGCCTTAATGTAACTATATAAACTGTGGCATGTAAACGAGAGATTTGTTGCAGCTATCCTAATCGAGGGGTTTTATAAATCTGCTTGCTATATACAAATATTCTTTCTTCCAATTCAAATTTGACAAAAAGAAAACAAGTATGAATAATAAATGCGGGCTGTTAAGACATCGCTGCCTAACATACTTTTGCACAATCGCAGTGGGTTTTAGCCCCTTTGAGTGCGCTTCTCGCCGAGCACCTGTGCACTGCAGGAAAGCAATACCTGCTGAGCTCTTGGGCTTTGCGGGTATTGCTTCCCCGCAGTGCACAGGTGCTTGGTGAGAAGCACCCTCAACGGGACAAAACCTGTCGCAATCGTCACTTGAAAAAGTATGAGTATTACAGTTACTTTGAAGCGAATATCGATTAACGTATTTATAAAAACTGCCATTTGTAAATTAGAATATTTGCACAATATTACTCTTAACTAGCAGTGGTAGAACTGGTGCGCCCTTTGTGCCAAACTGTGCCAGAACGAAAACCCTGCGACATGCTTCACCAAAGGTTGTATTTGTGCACAATTTGCGCCATGTCTGCGCCAAAGGGAGCTGTTTTCATAAAGGAAACTGAAAGTGTCTGGCACTTGGCATTCTTGCGATGCCACTGAAAATTTAGAAAGTACAGTTGTTTTTTCGGATGTCTAAGTACTATGTGCAAAGAGTAGGGCTTGCGAATATTTGAATTACCAAATACTAGTTTCAAATTATATGCTATTTGGTATTCACTCCAAAATTAACTGCAATATTCATACCTTTCTAAGTGTTGATAGCAGCGGGTTAGTCCCCTTGAGTGCGCTTCTCCTCAAGCACCGATGCACTGCGGAGAAGTTATACCCGCGGAGCTGACACTGTGGTCTCGCAACTCGTTTCGCCGCAGTGCAGCTGTGCACTTAGGCGAAAAACACACATCCAAAGTGGTATATAATGCATACTCATGCCTATAGTGTAATAAAAAAAAACATTATTGGTGATATTTATATTGCAGCAAAATCTTCCTAATTTAACGGTGCCTTTTATGCAAGGGTGTATGTTAGGCAGTAATATTACTTGTGCTTGTTCGATTTTAATTCAGAATTGAAGAAAATATTTCATATAGGAAGAAGATTTATAAATTCGCTCAATTAGGTATGGCAGGTTTAATTTGATGTCAAATCTGTCATTTACTTGCCATCTTAATGTAGGCATTGGGCTGTCTGAAGCCACAGTTCATAACTATAGCTAGATTAAATTTAACAGAGCTCATTAGTGGGCAATTAGAAGCCTAAGAACAACCTTTGCGAGTTTAGCTGAATTTTTGATTAAAGGCCCGTTCACACTCTTGCGACCGAGTACGACTGAGAGAGACGAGATCTTTTAAAACTTCTTAAATGTTTTTAGAATGAGGGAACAGACTGGCATTGTGGCACCATCTATGCGTTGACCCTGGAACTACATTTCACAAGAGCGAAGGTTTTGCGGGATTTCCAAGGTCAAATGTGCGTAATACCCATAGAAAGGCTTGTTTATAACATTGACAAAAGTTTTTCGAGCCAAGAAAGAAAGGATAATGCGCGAGAAATAAAAAAAAAATATGCTGGACCGCCGAGTTTACACTGCTTCCCAATAGATGGCGCCAGTGTGTTTTCTGGTTTAAGAAGTTTTAAGGAACCCAGGTTTAAGAGGTTGCGAGAGTGTGAACGGGCCTTAAGAAAGGACACTACCTAAAAAAAGTTTCTTAAAAAAAGTTGATTTTGAAGAATGCCGTGTTGTCACAAATGACAAATGATGAGGTCGAAAATAACTGGAAACTAAACGTTCTACAAAAGAGTTAGACAAAGAAGGCAGACAGGACAAATATGTTTGTCCTGTCCGTCCTTTTTGTCTAACTCTTGTATTTTTGAATCTATTATCAACCTATATGGGATCCCGGTACTGACTTACTTACAACAGCAGTCGAAGCTATTCAAAATAGATCTGTTCGCTTCATTCTTACTAACTATCACCGTAGTGCAAGCGTAACATCCATGAAAACGTTTTTAAACCTACCTAACCTTTCTTCACGTCGTGAGTTATCCCGTCTTTGTCTGTTTCATAAAATTTATCATCACAATTCTTCCTTGCATCAAAAATTACTAACCCCTCCCTCATATGTCTCGCCACGCGTCGATCACCAACACAAAATCGGTCTACCTGTTTGTAAAACCACTACTTTTTATAATTCATTCATCCCCAAAACAACAATCACGTGGAACCACCTTCCATCGTCAGTTGTGTCTGTAACAGATGCCACCATGTTTAAGCGTTGTTTAACCACTTTTCTAAGTTAAAATTTCTTATGTTCGTGTTTCTATTCTTAGGTTGTCATTTTGTTTTTTGGTGATTTTACTTTGTAACCCACTCCCCTCTGTAATGCCCTCGGGCCCTGAGGGTACAATAAATAAATAAATAAATAAATAAATAAACATGCTCAATCCAAGTTTAAACGTTTTAATGGGGCGAGCTTGTGCAGAAAGTGAACTAGAAGGTTAGTGTCGCATGCGTCGATGTTGGCGAAACAGCAAGATCAACCACTGGGGCGAGACTGACTGCGGCTTGGCATGCGGAGCCCCTTATGTACACGCGTGGGATTCTGGAACAATTGGCGTAGAAGGCTTGGCGAATACAACATTCATAACTCTATCAGACGAGAAGCTTCTCGAATTTGTGAGAATACCAAGTAAAAATAATAAAGAACATTCCGCTCCCTGGAATCGAACCTGGATGCGCGTGGCAATATCTACATCCATCAACATCGAGAGAGAATTCACAAAATGTTTCATTTGTTTACACAGCATAGTTACTTTCTTATAAATTATTTTCGGTCCATTGTGCTAAAAAAGGTAGAGATTCTAGCACTTTGAGCATGTTTTTTTCGGTTTCTATTTTTTTTCACTTTAGGAAAACTATTTTTTGGTAACAGAACAAAGGAAAAGGCTCACACTCAGTTTTTCTTAAGTGGAATTTAATGGGCAATGCAGCTGTGGCATTGTTTTCTTACTTTGTGGATGTGTTTTATGAAATACGTTAAGATTTTGTTGACAAGATAAAAAGCAAGAAATTATTTGATTTTTCAGTTTGATGTTAGCATAAAATAAATTACTTTTTGGAAAAATTTTTCACAGCTGCACTCTCTAGGCATTAGATGCATATCCAGTGAAGAAAATGTTGGTTATTATATTAGTTTTCTAATGATAGTTTTTCTAAAGAATATCAGTGTGTTCCTGATAAAAACCACTGTAATTTCACAATTCATGTTCGCAGATGAAACTTTGCACTGCATTCTGCCTTGGAACTGGCAGTATATACTGTAAAATTCCTTCATATTAAGCCGAAGGCTCAAAAGTTGACCTTTTTGGGCAGTGTCCTCCCTTAAGCATGCTGTAACAGTGGTGAAAGGCATGGAGAAATACGCACCAACTATTTCAACGCCGTCGCAGCTGTCGACACGCTCTGTATGTAGCAGGACATTTTTTCGATTGGAGCTTGTCGCAGTTGGCAGGAAGCGGCTCCGATCTGGCAGAGGACGCGTGCAGGGAACCCTCGATCACTTTCTTTAGGCTCGATAAACATGTGCCCATGACTGTCCGCGTTATCTTTTTTTTTTTTTTCATGTTATTTGTACGAGTTCTTATATAACGACGTGGATATAGCGAAGCGATTTCCAATTCCCGTTGACTTTGTTATAACCGGTCTGGACAGTATTATACGTTAAGTGCCCGATTTGACCGTACAAACGCCGATGCCTAGATCATGCCAGTTTTCAGTGAAAGTGGGCTGGGTGCTCCCCAGTATCTTAAGGTATGTGCCAGACTTTCCTTCGATTGTACATTATTGCTTCCGAGATTTATAGGCTTCCGCACTGCTTTGTCACATTAATGCCGAGACTAGAAGGAGTTTCTCGACTGTGCGTGGGAAGAGATGGGCATTCCTCAAGACTAAAAAGGTTTGAGAACTCCTGGCTTACAACTAGGATTTCGTGTTTTTGTACCTTTCTTTTGCAAAATCTGAAGGGTGTTTTTTCAGAGTTCATTTTTTTGCAAAAAAATCAAGGTTTATCAGTTTTTTTTTCCTGGGTTCCCAGTTTTATGAAGTTGGGGGGTTAATTTTACTTTGTTTCCAATTTTTTCTTAAATCAGTAGTTCAAGATTTTAAAGGAAACTAAAGTGGCTTCTTTCCAGGACAACTAACCCTAAGCTCTTATAAAATGTTTCTGTAAAACACTTTTTTTGCCAGCAAAACTCGGAAATTTTGAGTTTTTTTGGATAAATTTAAATTAAAAAACTTTTTTGGCGAGTGTCCTTTTAAATTTTTATTTATTTATTTTAAAACTTGAAACCCTACTTACAACATTATCAGGATTATTTCCAGCATGGAGTGAAAGAATAGCACACATTGAATATACACCGGTTGCAAGTGCTTCAGTGCCACCCCACAGACGGTGCCAGCATATTCTCTCGTAAGCGGTTACAAGCAGTTGCAATGCATTTGATTGGTCAGACTCAAATGTACGAACCAGTCCTAAGAAATAAGGCATGCACGACTTCCGTGTCGGTGTCCCTTCTAACGCAAGGCCGAAAAACAACTGCTTACAGGTCAACCAGGGTCTGGAGGACAAGCTACTCCGGGTGGTGGACCGATGCGAGACAGAAAAGAATGCGCTCAACCGGGACCTCCAGGAGCTCACCTCGAGGCTCGTGGATGCTCAGCTGGCTCTGGCGCAGCTCCGCGAAGAAAACGTAGGTCCTTTGTTTCAAAGAGTTCTTTGAGTGTGTCGGTACAGTGTGTCAGAACGCTTCCCTGGCCAGCGTGCCTACTGCGTCGGTAGAAGTGGTCCTTTGATGTCCTCCCGATGATGTCGTAGAAGTGTCGTGTTGTTGCCGGTCCTGGCAGTGTCGCAGGAGCGGCGGTGGATATGACGTTTCGCTGCAGATAGCTCTTCTGCTTGGCGGTTTCTTGGAGGCCTTTGGCAGCCGGGAGTCAGGACTACGCGACGACAGTGACACCCACATTCGCTCGTGCTTTTTGCTGGGACTTCTAGCTCCAAACGCTAGGATCGCAGCATCCGACAGCATGACTCTCGGGCTCGTGTGGTGTCCACCGTAATATCCCTAGAGATGGCCCACCCCTGAAAGATAGCCCACCCTTATTTTGGCACGATTTGAATTTGAAAACACCGAAAGATAGTTTACTTCTAGTAATTGCGGTGCCCTGGCCAATGGTGACCTCGGCAGAAATGGTGTTTTAGCCACAGTGGGAGATAAGTAAACATTGCTGAATGTGAAGGATAGTCGCCTTTGGCTTCATTTCCTCTCCATGCGATTTCAAGTTTCGCAGGTCACAAAATCTAAAACTAACTTTTTTTTCAGCTTTTTTTTTATTGCACGCCGAAAATTAGCCTACTCTTTTTTACCCGATTTGCTTTTGATTTTAGGTGGGCTATCTCTTGGGATGTTATGGCAAGCACGTGCAAATAGTGCATTTTGAGTTCGAAGCGAATGGTGATTTTGGCCGAATATTTTCAAGTTGAATGGTTTTTCTAAGCCTTTCACTACTGCACCACGCTTTAACCAAGATCCAGCTGAACTTGGGAAGGTTGTTCACAAGCTCCAGTGCCTACATTGGGATTGCAAGTAAACGACGCAATGGTCATCAAATTAAACCCGTAGAGTTGCCCAGCTATACCTTATCGGGGGATTTATAAATGTTCTCACTATATGCAAATATCTTTTCCCCAGTCACGAATGAATAATGCGGGTTGTCAGGGCATCTCTGCTTAACTCATACTCGTGCATAATAGCCAGTTTAGTTTTGATAATTTTACTACAATGTAGATTCACCAAGTTGTAATTTTTTAAATATACCAGGAGTGTGCATCTTATTTTGAAAGTTTGCTTTCCTCTTAATTAAGCATGTGGCTGTATTATTTGTTCCCTGTTGCAGTATTGATTGCGGTGTTTTAGCCCCGCTGAGTGCGCTTTTTAGCCAGCACCGGTGCACTGCAGAAAAGCACCACCCGCAGAAGCGAGCTCTGTGAGTGTTGCTTTTCCGCAACGCATCGGTGCTTGGTAGGAAGAGCGCTCTACAGGGCTAACCTACCGCGATCAACACTTCGAAAAATACAAATATTGCAGCTCACCTCCACGCGAATATCGAATAGCGTATTATCTTATTTTGAAAGCTTTCCTCTTAATTAAGCATGTGGCTGTATTATTTGTTCCCTGTTGCAGTATTGATTGCGGTGTTTTAGCCCCGCTGAGTGCGCTTTTTAGCCAGCACCGGTGCACTGCAGAAAAGCACCACCCGCAGAAGCGAGCTCCGTGAGTGTTGCTTTTCCGCAACGCATCGGTGCTTGGCAGGAAGAGCGCTCTACAGGGCTAACCTACTGCGATCAACACTTCGAAAAATACAAATATTGCAGCTCACCTCCACGCGAATATCGAATAGCGTATTATTTGAAACTACTATTCGAATTAATTCGCACGGCTTCAGTGACATCATTTGTTGCCACTTTGAGACCACTTTTGATGTATGGGAGGAACAGGACGCTAAACACTTCAACCGAAGACACCTTCCAGGCACCATAGTATAGACCTTCACGAGATGAAAGCACTTAAACGAAGAGAGACAAGGACAGACAAACCTATCCTCATCCCTCTTAATTCAAATGCTTTTGTCACTCGAAATAACTTTTGTTTTGGCCTTTCTTATGGCCCTGTAAAAGGTCACTCTGGGATGCACTACGTCAATTTCTGTACTACGGATGAAAACCACCGGGTCGTACTCTCACTAGTTTTGTTTGTTGTTTTTCAATGTCACTTTATGTACAGCATGTCCCCCCAAAAGAAGTTTACAGTGCTTTCTTCACTGCAAGAGTAGACTATGCATTGCCAAAATGCTCATTCTCCGCCAGAATGCAGCGCTAGTGGTCCATACCCCATGCCAGTTTCAGCACTAACCGTTATCCTATTAAAAATTTATAAGCTATTTCGTAAAAATTTTACTGGGAAAATGGGGTCGTTTTCGGTAACTGGCGCCATTTAGCCCCATCTATTCAAGAGCTCCTTCGGTCGCCAATTTCTGATCAACTTTTGAATAAGTCAACAGTTAGTTCTGAAGCTTTGGCGTTTGGTTCGGTCCACTAGCGCTAGATTTTGGGCGGAAAATGAGCGTTCAGCAATGCCTAGTTTATTTTTGCAATAAAAAAAAAAACTTGTAATTTTTTTTTTTTTGGAAGGGGGGGGGGACATTTTGTGTAATAATTGTAAGGCCTGCCAGCTGTTTTGGGGCACGACAGGGCATTGATTAATTGACCAACCGATCGTTGAATACGCATCGATTGGAGATTCCCTGCGTTCAGAGTCATGCTCACTGGCCAAATCCTCGCCGCCGTCTTTGCAGGAGCAGTATCGCAATGACTGCAGCGTCGCAGTGCAGCTGCTTCAGTGCAAACCTTCCAGTTTCGTGTCCTCCAAGTACAGCACTGTGAGTTTCGTGAAAGCAGTCATCACCACGCACACTAGGTATTGCTTTCGAAAGTGTTTTTTTTCTGAAATAAGGGTAATAGCACAGGCTAGATGGTGAGCGGCCATACTTATAACACTTTGATACAAGGGGAAAAAGAAAAAAAAAAAAAAGGAACAACACAACACATTTGAGATATCGTTGTGTTGTCTCCCTTGTCTTGGGGTCCTGTAAGTGGTTTTCCTCTCGAGCAAAATGCATCCATTCAGAAAATTGAAAAAAAAAACTCCCGGTACATCCAGTCACGTTTCACTTTCTTGACGCTCATTTAAACATAACTTCCGATCTCATCCTGGAACGAATGGGAACGCTATCTTCTCAGTTGCCGTATTTCCTGATGTGGAATTTGCCTTTCCTATCTCTTTGGTGCGTCTTTTTTTTTCTTTTTTTTATAAGTGCGGACCTTCATTGTGCAAGATGTAGGCAATGTTGACATTTACGACAAAAGGGGATAGGCAGAGCACTAGCCAACGGCCCGCTCTTCCGACGATTTGAGGCCTGGCGGCATTGATCTGTGCGTGCGGCCACTCTGTGCACCATTCTTTGCACACTCGTAACTGCGTGCAACTTATGTACCAAAGTTTTTTATGAAAACTACCATATACTGGGGTGAGACCTACAGACCAAAAAATATGGTACTTACCGTGTTTACTCGCACAATGAATGCACCCCCCCAAAGTCCATCAGTCTTTGGACTTTTTCTTTTCTGCTCGTAATGAACAGCACCTCTAATTTTTTTGCTCGGCCAGCCACCGAGCCAATCTTTTTTGCAACTAGGCAGCCAAGCCAAGCATGGCAGTATACGTAGCTTCCACTGACGTCACATGGTCGGACGTAACGGGGGAAAGGGTGCGTGAGAGTGCAGCTTCCACCGCGTTAACGAGGCGCTTCTGGCCACCAGAAAGAAGGGCATCATGCACACGTATACGTGCGAGCGACATATACGCGTGCATGATGGCTGCAACTGTGAAGTTGCACAAGTGACTGACGGTGAAACCAAGCAGTGCACGTTGCTAGCAAAGCTAGAGTCGAGGCATCGCCCGGCCCCCGATACGTTTCGTCTGTCGGATGCATCGACTTAAACGAACACGGCGTCGTCCGTGGTCCGCTTCTGGACGGCGAAATCATGAAAGCGGTTGTGTCACTCTCCTTCCCAAACGAACTTTGTGAGTGTCATCGGCAAAAGGAATGCCGAAGGCGCCTCAAAAAAGGTTAGCAATTTATAGGCACGATTACTGCGGTGCGTCTGCGCCCAACCGCGGGTGCGCCTCCATCGGTAGAGACGTGCCACAGTACCCCGTTGCGCCAGATCAACACCTAAAAAGACGTTCGCGCAAAGCGTGTAAGTGCGCAAAATCTTAGCCCGCAAAACGAATGCACCTCTCAGCTATCGAGATGAAATAATGCATTCATTATGCGAGTAAATACGGTATTCCTATGGTCACCGACAAAATGAGAATGGCAGGGACGTCTTTCGGCTTCCCACCTTAAAGAAACACTACCGTGTCTCGTGAGCTTCGTGTGTGCACGTGCAGCCCATGGCAAGTGCTCACCGGAGGACGGACATTCGAAAAAGACGCCCCGCTGTTCTTGCCCCGCCGGCAACCATGCTAGCTTGACTCGTCTCCGCGTTTTGTTCTGACGGCAACGTTGTCGTCGACGAATAGAAATTAAGGACGCATCTGCGCGGCTCGGCTTGCAGCTTCCAAACGAGCTTCAGGAGAAAGTGCGCAGTCACCTGGGCAGCCGGGCCGTGCGTAGTCCCCCGGAGGCTCGGGTGATCCGGGTGCCCATGCCCACCTTCCCACCCACCGCCATGGTCTACTCGGTGCCGCCCGAGGAGCCGCCTTCACCGCAGGAGCCCGCAGAGAACCCCCTGCCGGACTACATCAGCGCCGCCGTCATGGCCAAGGTAAACTCAACCCGGCTCGGGCCCTAAGGCGGGCTCACGCACCTGCGACCGCTTACAACTGCGTGCCTTGAAGTCCGACCTACAGAATCGTCTTCTACCGGAGAAAAACTAGTTCCCAGTTTCCTTCTCTCCATTCCCACTCGCCCACTTTTCCCCTCCTCTCCACACAGCAGCGGATCTCTGAACTACTCCCGGTAGAGAGGAGGAGGGTCCCCCTTTTTCTCAAATGGAACGGAGAAATTGAGGGAGAGTTTCCTTTCTGCTTGTTGGTCGGCCTTTAAAACCTCTCGGAATGTCCTTGACAGGAGAGCACGCTGTCACCATTTATTGAGTAGCAGATGGACAGTTGCCGTTCCTGTATATTTCTTTTTTCGTGCGTCATTCTTTCTTGACCGAAAAATCTTTATGCTAATCTTGTAAACCATTTCTCGTAGATAGCACATACGTTTGATCCTGCAAGTTCTGCTAAATCTGCGCTCTAGTGAAATGCAGTTCTAGGGTCATCTCATAGATAACGACATCGTGTTCGGGGCTTTCTATACTGAGAGAGTTCGGCCGACGGGCAGTGCCTGTCGCCTGTTGGAAGTGGACTTCGCGATGCCAGAATATGTATGTCTTTGCTTTTGGCCACTTCGCTCTATGTGCACTAGTTCGAATTTGCCGTTAGTTTTTTCACAAACACAATTTCTTGGTACTTAACATTTTGTTATTCCTGCGATTAATCACCGTATCCGGGCGCCGGTCATTGTTTTTTCATCTCCAAAAACTTAATTCTGCGAATAAGTTTCTTTTTCTTCGGTTTTAAACAAAATAATGCTTTCTCGAGCAAAAAGGATATCTGGCACTCAAGTGCACACGTTCGCGGCACCTCTCCTAGATGGCACCCGTCGCGGTGGTAGTTTTTGTGGTATAATATTTGAAGTATTGTTAAGTTCACTTTGGACAAAAAAGGAATGAATTTAAGATAATATAATTTTAAGAGATTTTAGCAGATAAACAGGTTTGAGCTGTTGAATGCGTGTACGGCGCCAGATATGCTTAAATTAACCAGAAGCGCTTTCATTACAGTGGCGGGTCCCCTTATGCTTGGCGTGCCTAATTCAGAGTGAATCCGAAATTTGGTGTTACAATATTGTGGAGGCAAGATGTTATCATCTGGTTGCCTGTTACTGTGGTTGCTGTCGGCAGGTTCAAAAGAATGCAAAACTCTCCCCTAAATGAACTGAAACCTATCCTAACTGAAACCTGACCTAAACTTTACCTAACCTGAGCCCAACCGAAACCTGACCTGGATTTTAGTTGACCTAGAGCTAACGGAACCGTACCAGGTGTGTGGGAACTTAACTAGTCCTTCGGGAGTGTATGTGCATTAAAGGCACTTGGCTTTCAGGTTTAAGCATACCATTAAAGTGAGATGCAGCTTTTTTTTTTTGCTGGCTTTTTTAGTTGAGGTACACAAATATAAAATTTTTGATTGCAAATCGAATATGAATATTTCAACATTTAATGTGAATTGTTGAGCATAGATATTTTAAGTAGCTGTAAACCTTTAATAATAATAATTGGGTTGTGTGTATGTTTATACAGCCTAGAACTTGGTCTGCCTCACAGGGGCGACGAGTCTCCCAGCTGTAGATGAGCAATTTAGCCAGTGCAGTACAACCGCTAGCCTGGGGTCTTTAACGTGCACCACGCAGTAGTGATACACAACCGCATGCCGGTACGATGCTCATCCAGATCGAAACGGGCAGGGGTGGGGCTCGAACCTAGGATCCTTGGGTTCTGCAGGGCGAGCTTTCGCTCCACGTAAACCTTTTCTAGAAAGCGTGCCAATGAAAAGTAAGTTTTATCACTTGAGATACATTTCACATATTTGCATTAAGAAATAAATACCCTGGTAAGATTAGTTGGATAACGGATAATGTAACATGGCAAGCAAAGCAATGACTACCTTATTTGAATAGTGCTCGAGGCCTTTATTTTTCGGCACTGTCCTTTAAAACCAGGGGTCGAACTATAATTACCTACACCCAAAGAAGGCTGGCCTACAATAGTAAGCAAACTTTCCGAGACCGTGGAGCCAACTGAGATGATCCGGCATGTTAGTCTATTCTCTTAGTATGCCAGTGGAAAACAGTGAAGTTTCACGTCTGTGCACCAGTGTGAAGCGGTGCAGCTTGATTCCAGAGCCTGGTTCGATGCAGCGACGCTTGATGCAAGCAAATTGGAGAATCGTGAAGACGTTAATAATTTTTTAATATATTAAAAAAAACAAAAAAACTTGAATACCTCAAACAGTAAAATTGTGCTGAGATCAAGTAGCCAACACTGCTTGCTAATTATTTGAAGTTTTAGATATTTGCACACCTCAACTTTTGAGCCCACTGGCTAAATTTTACTTGGCAAAATGTTTTCACATAATGTTGCTTTGATTTTCGTATCAGCATTATATCTGGGGATATTACAATATTGCCAGATACAAGTCTTTCCGCAGATAAAGTCAACTTTTTCTGGTGCAACAGTTGTTTTGAAGTAATGCTTTGTCCCCAAATTCCATTGCAGTGCAGTCAAGTGGTCGTGCAGGAGCATAATTCTTTCTCCAAAGTTTTCGAGACATTGTTTTACAAAGCGGTCTGGTGGCATCTCTACAAGGCAGGCACTTGTGCACATGCTAAGGCAGACTGCCTTGAGGGTGCTCCCTTACAGTTAACTGCAGCATTGCACCAAAACAGCAGGCACACATACTATTTGCAGAAATTGGAGCCTTATTTTCTAAAATTACATTCTGAACTGCCACATTTTCCATCCAAGACTTTCAGATGAGCTGTTTCTTGAGACATTTTTGCTACCCTTCTTGCTGTCATCTGTTTATGTACAAAAGCAAATCTTAACATTCCGAGCCAGTGTTTCCAAGTAGATTGCCATTCCTTGCCAACACCACTTCATCGCAGAGAAGCAGCAGAGCAGAAGACTCACACTCACAGAAAGATTGGCCTGGCTTTTTGATGTTATATGCTGGCCTGGCACATTTTCTTTCATTTCGTTAAAACTTTCGAGATAGGATTTTTCTGTTTATTTTTGGTGTTATTACGTTTGCATTCGTAAACAAATCAAAGTTTTAGCAAACAAATCAAAGTTTTAGCTTGAGGTTCCCTGTACATTGCTGCGACGCAGAGAAGCGACGGAGCAGGAAGTGCACACCATCGGTCGTGGGAGAATTTTTGAAGCTGTTCAGGCTATGCTCTCATTAAATCTTTGATGCAATATCGACAATATAGATTTGCTCACAGCTTTGGATGGGACATCGTATATCTCTCCATTATGTGTTTTATTGCATCTCAAACCCGAAGCACTTTTTCGAAGTTTAGTGGTCGAGACATGCGGCAGTGGCATCACAGGCAACAATAAGCCAATGTCTTACATAAAATTGTATTGCGAATTGCTGGGCAATTGTGTTGTACATGATATGCATGGTGTCTATGCTCTTGATCGGTTAATTTAGCGACTGGCTTAACGCGTGGCATGTACACTCGTTAGCAGTTGCTGGAATGGAGATACCGGCACCAACCCGGGTTTAAAAACGTGACAGGGTGTTAAGTTGCTATCTGCCGGACGCAGAGAGGGTGCCCTTCAGGACTTTCTCGTCAAATGGCACCTCAATTCAAGGCGATGTGTTGTGACATGCTGTAAAGACACTCACTTAAAGGAAAACACTACCCAAAAAAATAAAAAAAATCTACAAAAAAAAGTGAAATTCCATATTTGCATCTGCCAACATCTAGAGAGAGTATTCCCAGAAAGTTTGATTTGTTTACACTGCATAGTTATTGTTTTATAAATTATTTCCGGTCCACTGATGCTAAATAAAAGGTAAAGGTGCGAGCACTTTGAAATGCGTTTTTCTCCGTTCCACTTTTTAGTATAAATTTCACTTTAGGAAAACTATCGTTTGGTAACTGGACAAAAGGAAAGGCTGGAATTTAATGTGCAATGCAACTGTGGAATTGTTTCTTTTTTGCTTAGTGGATGTCTTTTATAAAAGATGTTAAAATTTCTTTTGACAACATAAAAAAGCGAACAATTGATTTTTAGTGCGATGTTAACATAAAATAAATTACTTTTTGGAAATTTGTTTTCACACTTGCACTCTCCGGGCATTCTGCTGTGTATCTAGTGAAGAAAAATGTTGGGAATTACATTAGTTTACTAACCATAGTTTTCCTAAACAATGTCAGTGTGTTCCTGATAAAAAAAAAAACTATAATTTCTTTCACAATTCATGGAGACAAATTGAACTTTGCCCTGCATTCTGTCTTGCTGCGAGTATATACTGTAAATTTCATTTGTATTAACCCGAAGGTTCAAAAGTTGACCCTTTTGGATAGTGTCCTCCCTTAAAAGGATGGTGAAATAAAATTTTGGTTTAAAAAACAACGCAAAAGTGCTAGGTGGGGCGCTACAAACCTGAAAGCATTTTCATAAAGCGATATCTTCAGTGGAAGTTCATATTTTGGTGAAAGAAGAGCGCGCTTGAACAAGGCCTAAAAAGCCCGTGATGTCGCTATTCTCACTTTGGCTCTGCGAAGAGCGAAGGAAGCAAGGCCGTTTCCTCTCCTCCTCAACAATTCTGCAGGAAACATGGTGTCGTGATTCTCGCTCAATTGCATCCTTATTTTACAAAAATACGGCCATCCGTTTGGGATATCGCTTTATGAGTGGTGTTTTGGGGTTTGTGGCGCCCCGTTGAACACTCCTGCTACCCTATTTTGTGAAATCCACATCTCTCTTCAAGGTGTTGAAGGGACACTGAGAGGGTATTTATGCTTGACGAGAATTTTATTTGAATATGACCCATAAGAGCCCAACTACCCAAAACACAATTAGCGGCTCGAAATTAATGTTTTCTTCCGCCGAAAAACAGCTGTTCGAGAATTAGTCCGTTTACGTCGTGCTCACTCTTTTTCATGGTCATGTGGCATTCAAACTATGGGGTCCCGATATATTCAAAGTCGTGGGTCATCTAAGGCACACATCCAATATTAAAAATAGAAAAGAACACAAACCCCATTTTTCTGGCCTCCAAGAAGCTGCAAATATGTTGATAGAAAAATAATGTGTCACAGATTGTAGGAAGCACACATGCACATCATTCTCAATATGCCGACGTACCACGGTCTGGATGACGGAACAACGTTGCGACGTACATGGGGCCACTACTTCGGAACTGTCATTCGCGGTAATGGCCAATCGATCGTCAAGCGCGAATCATAAAGCGGAAGGGACGTAACTGCGAAACAATCGCACAACAAATGTGCACGCAACTTCGTCGTCTGCTTTATATGTCGAAGAAGTGGAGGAAAAGAAAAACAGTCGAGTGTAACCACGTGACTTCCAGCATGAGCTTCGGTGCTCGTGTTTCAGTTTCAAGCAGTTGAGATTTTTTTGCTTTATTAAAAATATATGCGATTTTAGCAAAATATTGGTTGGGTAGTCTCCTGAAACCATACTAAATCGCAAAACAAAAAAATTTTTTTTTTTTGAGGTTGTTAGTGTTTTTTTATTAATCTAAATGGTCTGGGTTTGATTCCCACCTAGTGCAAACGCTCTTCTAGTGCGATGGCCTTTCTCTTCTCAAAACCAATCAGTGTCAAGCCTCACGGCCACACTTTTATCCAGGCTTTACTTTTGGGCTTCAAGAAATGCCGAACACTTAGCCAAAGACGTTAATAAAACGACTTCACGAGCCCCTTGTGTCGCATTTTCTTACAGGTCCTGGAAGAACGAGCGAGGGAGCGTCGGCGGTCACACCCTTCCAAGGGCACCCAGGCCTGCCTCTGCTGCTCGGGACGGCCCGTGGCGGTGCGACTCAGTTCGGGAGACACGTCACGATCAACGGAGACCCTCATCTGAACGCGGGCGGACGCGTTCCTGTTCCAACCACCTAACTTATTGCCGCAATAAAGACGCACGTCGGGCATTCATGCCAAAAAACCGGGCACACGGGCCGCCATCCTTCGAGGCCGACCGACGCTAGAGCTGCTGAAAAAGCCACGCTTAGAGCATCGACACTCCACTCCCCAAAATTCCTAAATTGTCTGGGGAACAAAGGAAGGGCAGCCCAACGTGCCTCCGCCCGCCAGAAGGCATTGGCATCGTGCCGTTGCATCGGTTTTTGTTGCTTTTTATGCCACATCTGCCGACACTCCAACAAAGAAGTGCGAAGATGCAACACGTGTGAAGACAGGTGCCGAATATGTTGGTCGGGCGGGACGGTGCCCTCCGAAAATGACGGCGGGAAGCAGGGCCGGGAAAGAGGGCGTATGCATGCACAGAAGCTTACTGGAGAAATGGCCATTGGCGATCGTTGCCTTTTGAAAGTGCGACACTCCGAACTTTAAACACGGCATCAGGAATCTCGGACGGCAGCGGTTTTCTCCGTTGCGAATCGTTTCGGCATCTCTGGAGGATGGAAGATCGTTTCCTGCAATTTGAGGTAAAGCTTCAGACAACTAATGACTGATATTAGGCACCATGGTGGCGGACGTGTCGCTACTCGGAAGCGTGGCTTGTTTATTGGCCCTAGTCGACACCGGTGCAACGACTCATTTCCGAGATGACAGACACGCGTCGTCGCCACCTTTTGAGGAGCGTCGAGGTTAAGCTTGATTAGCTCGGAAGAGATGCGTGGCCGATCGAAAATCTGCTTTGTCACTGCGTCTCTGGTGTACTTTGTTGTGCCCGTGTCGGCCGGCTAGTGGGTCGACACACCGAGGAAGACCGAACACCGTGCTAAGCCACGAAGGGCCATCGGCAGCGACAACAGTGTAAAAATGAGTGTTTTAGTGACATAAAGAAATGAAAACACCCCGAGACTCTTGTATTTGGCTTTGTCGGCACTAGAAGCCAGTCCAGAGTTAAGGCGTGACTGTGGTATCCGGGAGGTATTTATGTGGAATTTTGGCTCCTAACATTGTAAAACTGAGGCCATTTTGAACTGCGAGTGAACTAGAAACGCCCTAGAAATCTTTTTTAATACACAAAACATTTTTTTGTGCTTATAGAATGGGGTGTTCTGCTTCAACTTTCGTCGGGTAGGGTTTTTGGAATGCGGTTTTGTTTGCTTGTGCCAACACCTCCACCATTCGGGGAGCATTAGGGTTTCATCTTGTATTTCTGGAAGGAGATGTTGCAGTAGACGAATGGAAATCTTTTACTGTCACTATATACACTCAGGCAACTAGAAGTCGTGTTCACAGGCACAAACTCTGGCGTTTGCGGGTGCCCAAACGACCGATCACCTACACAAGTGGACGGAGCCGTCCGCGCAGCCAAGAGCCAACAGTCCTGGCCGGCTCGGGTGCCAGTGCGGGTGTGTGACTGCCGGGCCTCCTGGCACTGCCACCACACTGGCAACCACACCTGACCGTACCTTGTACACATGTGCCACACCCTCTGCGTCTCCGCTGCACAGCAAAACACCGTCCAATGATGTGCTACACCTCACCGCGTGTCCGCCTACAGTGTGTCCCTCATAGCGCAGCTTCTTGTGGAGGCGGTACGGGCGCGCTGCGTCGAACATGGCAACGTAGTTGCCGTTGGACTGCGCCAGGAACGCGTTCCCCGGAGGCAGTTCTTCGAGGCAGGGTAGGGTGTAGCGTTCCTGGTAGAGCTGCGCGGAAAGTGGAGCCCCCGAGGCCACGTCCCAGACTGAGAGCGCGGCGCAGCACGAGTCTCTCGCCACGAGGTCTCCGCTGCACGCAAGCTCGAGTCCGCCGTGGAGGGGGAGGAGGTCGAGCATGTCGCCGCAGCGGGCTTGGAAGCAGCGGACAGGGCCGGCGTCGGCGGGTCGGCGCGTGTCCCAGAGTTGCGCCACATCCCTGCAACCTTATTATAATAATAAATGATCATTAAAGTGCCCCAAAACGACCGCAATGGTCTTTAAATTAGTGCACCTGCACAAAAACACTAAGCAAGAAACAGAAATATGCATGATCATACTCAAGACATGAAAAAAAAAAAGTACAAAACAAAAATGGAAATTCCTAAAAAGTGAATTGCTCGACAGGCGGCAAAACACAGGCCAACCCACGGATGTCGAGATCTGGGATGGCGACACCGTTGCAAAGTAACTGGCTCCAAGAAAAAACTGAAACGTTACGTAATAAACGAATATGAAAAAAAAAAAAAAAATTAAATGTCTGGTAGAGCAAAAATTGACAGAAGAATTAATATAGAGAATGGAATGTGGCAGGTTCAGAGTTGAGGCCTCTTCACATGTACGCTGGAGAGCTAACTCGGTGCAATAGACACGGCGGTGACATCGCCCTATGTTGGCACTATATTTGCGCTGCATCGGCGCTACGTCGGCATTGTTTTGGCACTATGTCGGTGCTCCCACTGCATGCGCCCCCTTTATCTTGCACACTTTCTAACTCCGTGCCAAGTCAGCACTGTCGGTGGTGCTGATGCAGCACTGACTGCATTACCTCGGTGCTGGGATGCATCTGTGAGCCGGCCTTTAGGTTAAATGGCTTTTTCTAACACAGAAAGTGTTAGAGGCTGACTCCTAGCAGCAGATGCACTCGTGTAACGAAAGAGCATTGCAGGAAACTTGATTGGACACGAGCATTGTCAGCGTTCGGCTGGAACTCGCATCCTCGACACGAGTTTCAGCCAATGCCGGCGCTTGTGTCGTGTCTTCCACTGGCCAGTGGCGTTCGTTCAGGTATCGTAAACGCTTTGTGAAGTTCGTTTAGCAGCACGTCTACAGCTGGTGACGGGTCTAAAGTAAAGTGGAAGCTCCTCCCACCCCTCTTTCCTTTGGCATAGCAAACACTGGAGGGGAGGTTGCCTCCTCTCCAACGTTCGCTCTGCTAAAGTGGAAAAGGATGGGAGGAGCTTCCACTTTACTCTTAACCTGTCAACTACAGCCCGTTTGGTCAGATGCCTAACCAACCAACCTATGTTCAAAATGCTCTTCGTCAGATAATTTAACGTATGGCACGTGTACACTTGAAATGAAACCTGGTGATCCTTCAGAACCTTCTAACCCACCCCTCCTCTCCCACCTTGTCTGCCTCTCCTCACTCCACCCTTGGTCACATGACTTTCCCGTTAACCAATCAGCTTCGAGCACCTCGCTCTTCCTCTCCCTCCCGTCAATTAATCGGTGTCGAACCTCGTGGCCACGCTTTCATCCAGACTTCACTTTTGGGCTTCACGAAGTGCCGAGCACCTAGCCAAAAAATGTTTCACGTTAAAATATCGGGGTCAAAGCAGAAGTGTGCAACTGCAAGAGACGTAAACTTCACGTTCCCCTCGAGCGCCAACCTTGGTAGGGCTTTCAGAGATGCTACGCACAACAATGGTCGCGCTATCGGGAATGTGCACCAAGGGCATTCATGTGCGACATCACCACAAAGCGATGCGCAACACATTCCATGGTACCACTGCCATGGCCACAATAACGTAAGAAAAGGGGTAATTTTTTCTTCTTTTATAGCGCAGCTCTTGGGCATCCGTTTCCGGGTTTTGCGGCGTCGCCAGCGTCGCCATAGCGGGGAAATTCAGTTTCTCCGCTAGGTTTTTAGCGGGGAATATGAGGTCGCATGAGACTTGATGTCACGTCACTTATGAACAAATTCAGTTTCTATGCTAGATTTAGGTAAATCCAGCGGAGATACTGAATTTGTTCACAGGTGACGTGACATCATTTGTGACGTTTCCCCGCTAAATTTAGCGGGGAAACTGAATTGGTGTTGAGGTCAAGCAACATCAATTTTGCCGCTTAATTTAGCGGGGAAACTGGGAGGAGGGGAGGGTATGGAGGAGGAGGTGCATGCCCTCCCCTCCACCTCAAGAGTCCAATATTGTATCGCAGGGATTTGTAAATGTCTCATTTTTTCATGATGTTTGAGATTGTATGTTATGCTTTTGCCACAGATTTTTATAGAATGTTTAGAGTTGCCGGAAAAAAAGTTTAATGGAAGCAAAAGCACCATTGAACAAGATTCCCTCATGTGTCCGTGACGTTTGCCTTAGGGCAGTGGTATGATATTCGCGAGATTTCGACACTTTAAAATGAAGGAAGTCTCTGGTAGCTGTAACGGAGTACAACTCATCCGCCACAGTATCTTCCCGGCGCCAGTTTTCATTGCACATATGTTTATGCATGCAGTTCCTCATTTCGTAAATTCACATCTCCACCGGGTGGCATTGCCTCCATTGAATTTACAATGTACGAATATATGTGCTCTCTGTTTCGCCGTACCCTGTCAGTCGAGTATTCATTGTTTCCAGACCGAAATATTCATTCGCGTGATTGACATTTACCTACGAATACTTGAGCTTCATTGGAGGGGTCCGGCCTTAGGCACGAAGGAGGGCCTCCATCCGGCGTGCACGCGAAGACCGCGCCGTCCCCGACAGGGTCCAAGAGCACCAACTGACCGTCCCATCCACAACGGAACACCTTGCGACCGCAGAGCGTGAAACGAGCGCAGCGGATACTCTGTCCAGCCTGACGGATGTACAGACAACGCCCCGTGGTCGTGTGCCACAACTTGACGCAGCCGTCAAGAGACGAGCTTAGGAGCAGTTCTCCGAAAGGGGCTGGAGCCCAGAAGGAGGCAGTGATGGGTTTACTGTGTGCAGTAATCTTAAAGAATGGCCTATACGCCGTTCTACTGACGTATTTCTCCGAAACGACGTGTTCACTGAAAGCCAGCGCAGGTTCGAAGCGGACTGTTTTCTGTTCTGATTTCGTTGTCTCAATAGGCGGCCTATGAGGCGGCGATGATGCTGATGATGCAACACTTTCGGGGAATTTTCTGACTGGGTCGGCAGTTAAGTATTGGGATCGGAAACGTTTTACAACGGGCTGGGGCGAAGGCTTGCGCGCAGCACCGTGCTTGCGGGTTCCTAGCGTTGTCGCCGATTCGCTTAACATAAGGTTACTACGTAACTGATCGTACTCGCGATCGGCGGATTCTTGCAGTCTTTCGTCCCAGTCCGTGTCGTTTAAGTTGAAGTAATCGGCTGACGACAGCGTTGTATCGTCGTCGCTGGACGACTCGGACGCGCACATGGCGTTGTTTACCCAGCCTCTTGAACAAATATTACTGCAAACAACCGCTATCTGCGGATTAATACCGTTTTCCCACGCGCCTGTTCCGCGTAGTCTTCCACTGTTCTAAAGTTTATAATTTGCAACTTATATACGTAAACACTGACCTTTAAATATTTATTACAAATTTTTAAATGTACAAGGATCAAATAGAATGTCAACTGAAAAACAAAACAAAAACGTTTAAGCGTGTTAAAAGTTTAGAACTATATTACCACACGGATACTGTTGCGTTGAGAGGTTTCGTCTTTTCTCTCCCTTTTCCTTTAACCGCTGAACGATGGTTGTATTTACGCCAAATTCGCGCATAGGCAGTGAACCGAAGTTCCTAAAGGGCAGAGTGCAAAGCTGTGCGGTTGCACCGGCAACGAAGAAGAAAAGCGTCCCGAACTGGGTGCAATTAAAGCGGTAGAAGTTACTATTCCTCACTTGTGAACGTCGTCTAGCTACGATTCGGCAATACCGGTGTGTCATGGGTTGCGCTCGAGCTCTGTGCAGTAACTTTAACGCAACAATTATTTTCTAACGAGTAAATGAACCCACGCGCTGCTTCCACAGGTGATAATGCGTCCGATCAGTGAACCATAATATTAATTAAAATCGGCAGGTCGGCGATCGCTCTCGCCCTCTCGCCGCCGTTCTGGACCCCACCACATGACGAACTACATTCTCTGATGCACGGCATGTTCCTACGCGTTGCGCATTGACTCGCGTTTCCCAAATTATCGCGCCACTGCGCTTTGAATTCTCCAGTTACCCCTTTAAGAGGTCATAAACTCATCCAGTCTCCAAATAACTCAAAGAACGAGTTTGATGCAGCGTCAAAAACCCAACTGGCCTTGGCACTATTTCTCGCGATGGAGGTAACATATTGCTCATCGAAATTGCGCGCAAGCAAAAAAAGAAACGCGAAAGAGTAAATAAAGGAAAAGTAAGCTCTATGGCGGAAAGTTGACAAGCACAGCCGTCACTTTCTGGTTACTGTAGCCCGTCAACCGGCGCCCTAGGATTGGCGACCCTGCACAAATCGTCTCCGGTAAGTTTTCGACGATGTGCACTCATTGCCGACTGTATCGGACCTTGGGATGCGCCGACGCGAAAACATATTTGGAGCTGGGTCTCCAAGGGGGAAGGGAGGTGGTGGGGTGCCTTCGGTGGCTCCTATCGCGCGCTGCACAGATTGCTCTCAAGGTTGGCCTAGCGCCTTCTATTTTAACCCAACACGTTTTGAGACAGCCGCGTATGCAGCGAATCCCGCGAGTTTACTGCGCCGAATCCTTTAAAAGAGCGTCGTGCCGACTGCTCAGCTGTGACTCTCGTTCGCTGCGATCTCATGCATCGCGTAGCTGCGCCTACCCATGCAACTTGCACGACCTACTGAGTCATATCTGCGTTATTTTCCGCTTCTGTGTCGGGTATAATGGGTGGAAAATGCCGTGTGCATTTAAAGTACCGGCGCATTTTACGGAAGCACGACCATTTGGTACGTGCGTGCGGGTTGCTCAGTTCCGTAATACATCCAGCTCGCAGCATACACCTCAAGCTCGTGCATGGCGTTGGTTAGTGATGCTGCGTTGCGAATGAATTGGTATTAAAAAAAAAAAAAAAAAGTGTGCGCTTGGTAGTTGGTCCGCTGTGCAGCTGTTTTGTGCAGCTGGGACTGTTGCGCGCTTTGAAGCAAGGTGATGTCGATTGCCGAGCGAGGGGGTTAGGTGCGCACCAAACTTGGTGCGTCCGTGCTCACGTACTTTTGGCGGGGAAGGGAACCTTTTCACTCACTTTTACGCGTTGCTGGCACGGACCCAGTAGTACATGCACAATCCCAACCTATCAGAGTCAGCTATCTTTAGAAAAAAAAATAAAAATAAGATAATGCTGGAAATTAATCTTTTTGCTGACCTTAGACAGACTCAATGGGAACTTCAGTCCCTAAATGTCTCAAGATTAAGGCTAAGAAGTCTACTCACAGATTATATTTTGTTTCAGCGTAACTTGGAAAACAATGAAAACTACAGTGTCAGTGAGCCAATCGGAGCTTTAGAGCGAGACATGTATGTACATAACAACATACTCTCAATGTGCATGTCGTCTGAAAAACCGCCAACTTCACTCCGGTGTCCTAACTGGCTTGCGATGGTTGTAGCTTTTCTTCTTTTCCAAGTTATGCTGAGACGGGGTATAACAGTGCAAACACTCGGCACCAATTTTGCATGGGAAACCATATGCGTTTGTCTTTTTAATGTCGCATTCATTTTTTTGTTTATACGCCTAATCGTAGCACAAACCAAGAATCATGATGCAAAGGTTGCTATGTACTGAAATACAGAACGTTCAGAACATCTAAGGTCAACCACAAAATTGTAGTGCCCACAAGAAAAGCAAGGTTTAGGTTAATCTTTTTCCCCTCAAAGGACATTGCAGAAAGCCCTACTTTCAGTTTTAGATAATGGGTTGTTTGGATTATACCTAGCGTGCACCATAACAGCAGAAAAGGAGGGAGTGAGGGATATGTTGCTCTGGTGGCAGAAATGTTGCTCCTCCTACGGACCGTTTTAGTTTTACCTTCATCTCCAGTCACGTAGTTCACTTATCTGGTAAACGGGACGAAAAAAAAGAAAGCAAGACGTTACAATGTGGAACAAGTAAAGTGGTATGAAATAGGCAAATACCAGAGTGGGACTGTCATTATTGCCGCGTGAGCACCTTCCAGTGGTGTGGCGAGAGTAAATAGTTGTTTTCCCGCATACAGGAAAGTTCCGCCGTTTATCATGGCGATGCCCACACAGAAAAGGTCCACATACTTTTTCCAAGTACCTTCTATCCTCAGTCACATAGGTCATGTATGGGTGCGCAGGACGAAAAAGAAAACAATGTTACAATTTTGGGCAGGTAAAATGTAGTGTCGAAGAGTACAACGAGAATCACTTACAGTCTCAATTAAAATGTAAACACCTTCCGGTGGCGTGGGAAGAGCGTTCCAGTGGCGTGGTGAGAAAAAATACTGTAGACGGCTTCATTTTCAGGAAGACCTAATTTTCGCAAATTTCTCAACTTGAATAATAGTAATAACAATAAAAAAAAAATTGACTACCTAAATACATAAAAATATACATAGCATATCACTTCGAATCGAGAAATTTTGTGCCTGCAGTATGTTCCTTAACCCACACTTTGCACAATTCACGAAATATTGAGCTTGTGCAATTAAGGTCGTTTACTGTAGATGCTTTGCCACGTGCCCAGAACCGTATATGTAGAGAGTTTGGCCATTCGTTGGGAAGTATAGGAGACAAATGAGAAGGCGCCATTGGCCGAAAGTGGGCTGAGCGTGTTCCAGGGCGTCTTCAGAAATTCGAATGTGACCAACCAGAAGCTGGAAATAATACCCTGGCGGTGGTCGCGAGAAACAAACCTGATAGCTGCATTAAAGTAACTCTCGATGGCTGAAAATATGGTACACGTGATGTTTCAATCACGCTCATCAAAAATGATGGTGGAAGAGTGCGACTAGCGAAACAATCGACATAATCCGTACGCCGAGGGCCGGGAATCCGCCGTCCGAGCGGTCACACTCTGTCCGCGCAAAACGGAGTTGAGCGGCGCATTCGTTTCTTACATCTTCCTGCATGATCATAATCAAACAACACGTGCACCCTATTTTCAACCACAAAGAGTTACTCTACTTCACTCTTACGCGCATATTAAAACCATTTACGAACATAGACCTTTGATCAGAACTGTTTCTCGCTACCACCACTAGGGGATTCTTTTCGGCTTCTGGTTGGTCAAGAGAGCATGCCAAGCCCTACTTCCGAGTCTGCCGCACGCCCTAGCTCTGCCCGCGCCTCCCATTGACCAAACTCTCTACATATACGGCTCTGCACGTGCCAACAGTTCCGCCATTCAAAATGGCGACGTCCGTTTGGAAAAGCTCTGTTTACCAAACTCTCTACTCGGCTCTCGGCACTTTGGTACTGGTGCCCCCTTGACTAATACCTAGAAGACAAGACGTGCACCTTTGATCTCCAAGCGTTGTCACTGGTGTATCCGCCCATCTTGCTTCATCATTGCCGCCAACGTGTCGTAGAGCATCTTGCAACAAGCGTGACACTAACACGCGGCGACGGCAGAGCGGACGCGTCTGCCGCTTTGCGTCACACTCTTGTCAATCTCCGACGTGTTTGCTGCTTGGTGCAGCCCGGGAATCCACTAACGACCACGTAATGCGCAGTTCAAGGTGGTGTTGCCTCGACCTCGTCTTCCCTCATTTCCCTTAACTTCCCCCTGTGACCGCATGCCGTCTGCAGATGGGAGCAGCGAGGCGTGCCCCGCTCTAGGGCATGTCCGGTCTGGAGGCGCCATCACCCCAGTCGCCTCCCCCGGCGCCCCCTCCCTCCTCGTCGGCCATGACGGTGGACTTCTCGGCCTTCGGGCTGCCCTTTGGGGATGGGCTGCCCTTTGGGGATGTTTCAATCACGCTCATCAAAAATGATGGTGGAAGAGTGCGACTAGCGAAACAATCGACATAATCCGTACGCCGAGGGCCGGGAATCCGCCGTCCGAGCGGTCACACTCTGTCCGCGCAAAACGGAGTTGAGCGGCGCATTCGTTTCTTACATCTTCCTGCATGATCATAATCAAACAACACGTGCACCCTATTTTCAACCACAAAGAGTTACTCTACTTCACTCTTACGCGCATATTAAAACCATTTACGAACATAGACCTTTGATCAGAACTGTTTCTCGCTACCACCACTAGGGGATTCTTTTCGGCTTCTGGTTGGTCAAGAGAGCATGCCAAGCCCTACTTCCGAGTCTGCCGCACGCCCTAGCTCTGCCCGCGCCTCCCATTGACCAAACTCTCTACATATACGGCTCTGCACGTGCCAACAGTTCCGCCATTCAAAATGGCGACGTCCGTTTGGAAAAGCTCTGTTTACCAAACTCTCTACTCGGCTCTCGGCACTTTGGTACTGGTGCCCCCTTGACTAATACCTAGAAGACAAGACGTGCACCTTTGATCTCCAAGCGTTGTCACTGGTGTATCCGCCCATCTTGCTTCATCATTGCCGCCAACGTGTCGTAGAGCATCTTGCAACAAGCGTGACACTAACACGCGGCGACGGCAGAGCGGACGCGTCTGCCGCTTTGCGTCACACTCTTGTCAATCTCCGACGTGTTTGCTGCTTGGTGCAGCCCGGGAATCCACTAACGACCACGTAATGCGCAGTTCAAGGTGGTGTTGCCTCGACCTCGTCTTCCCTCATTTCCCTTAACTTCCCCCTGTGACCGCATGCCGTCTGCAGATGGGAGCAGCGAGGCGTGCCCCGCTCTAGGGCATGTCCGGTCTGGAGGCGCCATCACCCCAGTCGCCTCCCCCGGCGCCCCCTCCCTCCTCGTCGGCCATGACGGTGGACTTCTCGGCCTTCGGGCTGCCCTTTGGGGATGGGCCCCAGGGCCTCTACCTCTTCCCCGAGGCCCCCTTCTCCCCCAAGGACAAGGGCTCCTCTCCGCAGAGGCACGGTCGCGCCACCTACGACCACGCCGGAGACGCCATGCTCAGCGCCATCAACTACGGGTGGGTGGCGGAAAAGTGACGTGCTCCTGCTAATGCTCTCGGATTAGACCCTTTTCAAAGTGTGTGCCATCTGGTGGCCACTGCGTCAATTATCCAATTCCACCGTTGTTTGGGCATGTACTCTGAACATGTATTGGCAGTGTCTCCTATACACTTTCAGTGCCTGGCAAAAAAGTAAAAAAAACAATGTGCCGCTGCCGTCGGCGCGGGTGAAACATTTCGCCGCTAGGCACGCCGTTGAAACAAGGTCGTTGGTCGTCGCCAGTCGCCGCCACTGTTTTTCCACGGCTGTGCCACTGCACACGCACGGCAGTGGCGGCGAGCGATCGCCTCGACTCTGTGTCGAAATCGTAACATTATTTGACATCATTACTTAATTTTTTTATATACTGTTACGCTGTTTGCACCAAAGACGGGCATCTTTTCAGAGTCCCCGCCGGTTTCTTCCCAGGACAATGTTCTGTCTTGATTCTTTAAATGCAGATTGCATACCTTTGAGTAACACGACGTCGAATTTTGGTGTGCAGCTTCTTCGTCGGATAGTAAAAGTTCACTCTTTTCTTGGGTCAGTGTCAGCAGGGACTTTATGAAAGAAATCCTTTTTGGCTCTTATTCGTCCGACTTCTATCGGAGCACTTGGAAAGTGTGTTGTTTCAACGTATCTTCACGGCGAAATCGCGCCAACCATGTCGAGTGCCAGGCGTCGCAGTGACGCGGTCACACAGGCCCCTCCTAGCATGCCTGGATTTCAGAGTGTTTCCAATGGGCCCGATCTGGATCCTGGTTTATGGGCCGCGTTTTCTGCGAGCAGGTTGAGGAAAGCGTCAATCGTTTGCAAGCATGTCCACCCTTCCGCCTGCTTTCTTTCTTACCATGGGACAATGTAGCGCATGTGCAGTTAGGAAAAGTCTGCATAAGAGGTTTCCGCCATTCAATTGCTAACGTCCTCCAAGGTTTCAGTTGTTCCCTCTTAATTTTGGTTCCTCCAGGCAGATCCTGTTAACACAGCGCCCTCATGGAGGAACCACAAGCGGTCACGCGATGGCCTCAGTGGGCCGTTTTAGCAGGCACTGAAAGTTTATAGAAGGCACTGGCATTGGACATGAGAGTCGCGTCTGCATTCGGAGTGAATGCAGCTCGGCTCATATTGTAAATGAGGGCTGTGCCAGCGTTCGGCCAAGACTCAGGTTCAGTCACACACTTCGTGCCACGAAATGGCGACTGCTGATCGACTTTTGAAAAGGGTCTATCTGCCTGCGCTTTTGGCTACTTACCGGCAGGGAATGCGTACAGCCGATCACAGACTAGCTGATAACTGACTGGCTGATTGCCCTTGGTAGACATTCCTACCATGAGCCAGTCACTGACTAGCTGATCAATGGCTGGCTGATTTCTCTTGACAGGTGTTCCCTGCCAAGAATGATTGGCGCTGCGGCCCCCTGCTTATTTCTCAGAATTTGCCTGCGTGTCTGGCTACTTCTCAGCAGAGGACGCCTAGAGCCGATCACTGACTAACCGATCAGTGACTGTCCGATTGCTCTTGACAGGTGTCCCCTGTCAAGAATGCTTGACTCCTGGTGAGGAATGCCAAGAGCCAATTGTTGACTAGCCAATCACTCAGTTGATTGGCCTTTGGCAAGAGAATGCTGAGAGATGTTCCCCAAAATCGACAAAGGGATATCGAAGAAACAATGAGGTCAACGAAACAAGTGTTTTGACCAGGAAACAAGGCACTCCGTGCTGAAACAATGTTTAGTTTTGTCAGTCCTAGTGACTGGTTTTTGCATGCTCCAGCAGGAGGTATGCTTTGACAGCTTTTAAGGGGCGACAATGTACTGGGGACACATCCTTCAGCTTTTCTGATTGCCATTTTCGTTAATCAAAAAGGGTAATTCCAGTGGCTTTTTCTTAGGAATTTGGGGGCTACACGTGGGATATGTTTCATAATCTTTTCTTTCTCTGCCTGAAAACAATTGCGTTGCGAAACAGTAGTGTCATATATCCACTTATTCTCAAAACTGAAAGTTGACGCGGCATGATCGGTGTCGCGTATTGCTGGGGTCTGCAAGGAGGTGGGCGGGGGTGAGGATTACAGAAAGATAGGTGGAAAGAGCCGGGTGTAAATATATATAAAAAAAAGGGCACCTACATGTTATGTCATGATTGCCAGGAGGATTTAAAAGTGGGATCAGTGTACTTTCAATACTTGTACGTGCAATAATCGAAGCAAAAAGTCGCCCCTCCGCCACACTATAGTCAGATACAACATAAGAAAGACAGTGCAAGGGGGAAAGGGCACGCACAAGAAAAGCCATTGGGGAAAGGAGGTTGCTCCTATCCACTTCAGCTCTCCTAGCTCCTGCCCTTTTCCCCCTTGCACTGTCTTTCTTGTGTTTTATCAGATTATAGCCTGGAAAAGGAAGCGGTAAGACATCCTTTGCCAGGCTATGAGGTGGGTAAGATGGGGAGACAGAATGGCACGAAGCTGTTGTTCAAAGTAAGCATGTGAGCGCTCCGTGGATGTCTTACTTATGGGTGCCACCTGCGGTTGCGGAGTAAATGCGACTTTCTCAGGGCCTCTTGAATGTGAGACGCAGTAGACGGAGCATGCGGCAAACAGAATGATTGGAATGCGGCAGCGCCGAGCAGAGCTTTGGCATCAGCTTGCGGCAAAAGAGAACCAAATACTCGGAACTACTTCAACCCGTTGCGGCAAAGGGGTCTGCTTTCTTTCTCTCCGCTCTTTTGTTGTTCTCTTTTACACTCTTTCTTTGTGAAAGTCTGGAGCGTGCTCGTTTCACGGAGCAGAGAGCCCCTGTATGTCTGAACACGTTATGTTTTTCCCCCACCGGGAGTAACACAGAGGCACTCGAGCAAAGGGGTTTGGCTGGCACTAGTAGTTTCCAATCAGTGAGGAGACGAGCGCTGCATCAGGGTTCTGGCTAGCAGTCGGCCTGCCGACTCCCATCGCTGGCACCTTACCGGATATGGTTAGGTGCCAGCCATGTAACACATTCTGTGCAAAAACAAACAAACAAAGAGCACCTATAAAAATCTGGTGTCATGTGCATTGCCTGCTAAACTTTTCTGATTCCTCTGGCAAGTGGGGCACAGGAGTTTCAATGACCACTTCGGAGTAATTATTGTCGGAATATTTATTTTAACATATCAGGCTGACCTTTTCAGGCAGACTGAATCCAACTAACTGCATTTTTTCTTTGATTGGGACAGTTTAGCATGGTTTTCCTCTAGGTTAATCAAACATTATTGCGTTTTGTTTTTTTATATTGTTGTGCATGGTAGCTGTCCATGCGGACACATTTCTAAGGAAAATTGGAGCCTATTTACAGCATGCCCCTTTTACAGTGCATGCTGTAAACAGTGTGCGCATGCTGTAAACAGCATGCACTTTAAATTAACCGCAAATTTGGTTTCTCCACATATCACTCTGTGATTTACTTTAGAGGTGGGGCTAGGTGGGGGAAGTTTAGAGTGAAAATATCAACAGATAAATTTAGCTCTTTCAAAAAGAACGAAAAACCTGTTTTGGGCATTCTACAATGGCACTTGCAGACGGTATTGTAGTGGTGCTCGCCGACTTGTAAGTGCTGCCATTATATGGTGCAACATGAAGTACAAGAGGATGTGGTGCCTCATTCGATCGTCTCAGTACAAGAGGGGGATTTAAATACCTCTTTTTATATTTAGCTAAAAAAAAATAAAATTATTGCACTTTGAGAATCATACATTACAGAGACGTGCTGGTTGAAGAAGCGTAGTCAAAACGTTCGGAAGATAGTCTGCTAAGCTCAGTGCCAAGCATCCTGGATGCTCCCGACGTCTGTCGGCAGCATTGAGCAGACAGCATGCAATGTCTGCGAATGTCGCCATAGATTTTCTGAAACAGGTTATTCTTTTTTTTTTTCTGAACGAGGTAAGTTTATCCATTGATATTATTACTCCAAGCTTCCACCACCTGGCTTCACCTTCGCAGTAAATCGCAGGGCGATACAATGAGAAACATATTTTTTGTGGACCGTCTTGAAGTGGGTTTTGATGTGTTAGCGAACGTGCTGTATGTGTGGTGGCTGGATATCTCTCTCAACTCTCTTATGTGGATCTAGCTCTTCTGGTTTGTTGACGAGACTGCCAGTGGTGCCCGGGAAATAGTGGTCCCACTTGGTGAATTTTCAGGGAGGATGAGGTCCTCCAAGAGGGCTTCGAGGTCCCCTTTGGCTCACTGGACGGCTTGCTCCGGCTACCCCCTCGGCCGGCCACGGCTCCGGCCGATCCGTCCCCTTTCGATCTCCTCGGCGACACGGAGCTTCAGCTGTCACCGCAGTCCTTTGGAACGGCCGCGGACGCCGTTGGATCACTCGGCGGCCACGGAAGCGACACGGGTGAGCGTCACTGACGTCTTCGGATTCAATCGTAAAGGCTGGTTCATGCGCCTTTGACTGCTTCCTACGGAGCGCCGTAAAACCTCTTGGGATCTCTTGCGACGATAGAACAGGCTGGCACCATCTATTGGGCAGCTGTGGAACGCTTGGAATTTCCGTACATTTCCCATTTCTTCCACGCATCATTCTTTCTTGGCTCGAAGAAATTTCGGCAATATCATTAACAATCATTTCTCATAAATAGTACATACATTTGATCTTGAAAATGCTGCAGAAACCTTTGCTCAAGTGAAATGTAGTCCCAGTGTCAGCTCATAGGTGGTGCCAGCGTGTCCTCTCATCATAAGAGATTGCAAGAACTCGGTCGTAAGGAAAAGCAAGTGTGTTACGGGCATTTGGGAGCGCACGATTGAGCCCTTGAGGCTCGCTTGCGCAGTGGCATCTGACCATTTTTGTCTGTGTTGCGTCGAGTTGTCGAGATGGTACGACCGAGTTACCGACGCATCTGTGTTTTGTATGCAGTGTGCCACGCCGCTTGTTGAATTGATTGCGACGCTTGGCATAAAGTGCGGCAATCGGTCCCGTCATCGAGTCTCATCGTACTAACTGCAATAATGGCACCGTACTGTTCTGTTGCTGGACGTCACTTTCGTACATCAACAGCACACAAATTCCTGTTGTTTACTGTGCGGCAATTATTCTATTCATTTTAATTTTGGCAGTGACATGGGAACAAAAGCTCTGTACAAAGCGTCGTACAGACCTGTATACGGAATGTGATAAAGATAGCTCTTTGGAGCAGAGTGTTGGCCGACAAGTAAACTACACTCGAGTTCGAAGTGACCACTGACGTAGTGCTTGCATCTAATTCATACGTCACATTATGCTAGTGTCCCGGATCCTTCGGCGCCCATTTTCAACTTTGTCCTTCATGAGCAATCTCGAGGCTGCCATCACACTCTGTTCACCCATAAGCTTACTGCAGTCTCGGTAAGTCCGAGGCAAAGCGCCGGTCTACAGATCCCTAGGTGGTGGGTTCGAATCTTGACTGAGGTGCCTGCCCGCAGTCCGACGAAGGCTTATTGTTAAGAAGGCACCGTGTAACCATGATTTCGGTTGCATGTCAAAGGATCCTCAGTTGTTAGAAATGAATCGTCAGTCCTCCTCTGGGGCGTGCCAGATGCCCCTCGTTGGTTTGGCTCGCAAAACCCAAGTTAAACTTTTCAGGGGTGAACGGAGCATGGTGGGGCAGAGATGCCTTGCACTCGATCGACAATGATAGCAGTCGAAGTGACGGGGCCGAATTTCGGAGAGGGTCTGTTGACGCCCGTGTCTGGGGTCACGCAGGGGTTGGGGGTCACGACCCGGGGACGAGCGGCCCTCTGTCGTGCGGGGGCGGTCTCCTGATCAAGCAGGAGGTGGACCGCATGTCGCCCCTGGTGGCGCAGCCGATGGCTGAGCCCCCAGCCAGGACTCTGCTCAAGGTTGGCGGCAACGGGAGGGCGCCCTCTGCCCAGCCCTGCCCCGTCTGCGGAAAAGTGAGCCGCTTTTTCTTAAGCATGCTTTTTAAGGGAACCCCACCCATCCCACAACTTTGTCCGTCGATCAGTCTGTGCATTTTGCTCTAAATTTAGTGGGGAAACCAATGTTATATGACCTATACAACTAATTCATTTCTCCCTAAATTTGGTGGAGGTAATTGATGTCACATGACCTATACACCGTCAGTTTCCCTGTTTAATTTAGTGAATAAATTTACGTCATGTAGCCTAAACCTTCAGTTTCCCTGCTAAATCTAGTGGGAAAATTTTTGTCACGTGACCTGACATGACTTATACTTCAACTTAGTTTCTCCGCTAAATTGAATGTGGAAGTAATGGGGGGTAGGCAATCTTTGCCACATGGGTGCGTGCTCAACATTTCATGGTAGGTGGGCCACTCATTCGGTAAAAGTGCATTAGATTGAATCGATTAAGAAATTGGAAGTTTGAACGTAAGAATATATGTTTTTTTCTTGTCAAAAGCAAAACGCATAGACAGAGAAAGGCTGCAAAGCCAGAACGACCGCCTCGCCTTCATTTGTTGTCTTGGTTAGATGGAAAACTTCTTAACTTCTTGATGATTTATTTTTATTTTTTTTTTTGTGGAACGACAGCAGCAGCACTGGGTGCGGGAGCTGTGAATGTTGCTGGCTTGGTGGCTTTTTTTACTTTGGGAGGACAGCGGCAACACTGGGCACAGGAGCCGCCAGTGTCGCCGGGTCGGTTACTTTTTTTTGCTTCGGAAAGACGGCGGCAGCACTGTACGCAGGAACCGTCCCTGTTGCCATATCGGTGGTTTCTTCTAGTCTTAGAGGACGGCGGCAACACCGAGCACGAGAGCCGTAGGTGTTGCCGGCTCGTTTCTGATAGCCACTTTTGCCGCGCATGCTTCCTGCGCCACAGGTTTTCAGCAGCTCCAGCGCACTGACCAAGCACAAGCTCACTCACTCGGATGAGCGCAAGTACGTCTGCCAGCAGTGCAACAAGGCGTTCAAACGGCAGGACCACCTCAACGGGCACCTGCTCACGCACCGCAACAAGAAGCCATACCAGTGCGATGTGGACGGCTGCGATAAGAGCTACTGCGACGCCCGGTCCCTCCGGCGCCACAAGGAGAACCACCATGCCTCCGTGGCGCTCACCGTGCTGCCCTTTCAGGTGAGACCACCCCCTCTGCTGCTGCTAATTCAAAAACCTGGGTCAACCATCTTCTTCTTTTTTGTTAACGTGGGACGTTTTTTGGTTAGGTGTTCGGCATTTTGTGAAGCCCAAAAGTGAAGCCCGGATAAAAGCGGGGCCAAGAGGCTCAACGCTGATTGGTTGACGGGTGGGAGAGGAGGAGAGAGGTGCTCAAAGCTGATTGGTTAACGGGGAGGTCACGTGACCAGGGGTGGAGTGAGGAGAGGTAGGTGAGGAGGTGAAATGGGAAAGAATAAGTGGGTTAGAAGGTTCTGGAAAATTACCATGTGGGTTATTCCAAGTGTACTCATGTCACGTTTAAATTATCCGACAAAGAGTGTCGTGAACATAGGCGTCTGGCTAAATAAATTAGACGTGCTGCTAAACGATGATATAAACGTTTGTGATGCCAGAATATTTGTGTGTGCAACATAATTGTTTACCAATTTGCCATAATGTTTTTTTTTATCCAGACAGAAGGTCAAGGGTAGCAAGGCAAAAGGCAGATTTCCTCTGCCTGACTAGGTCTTGCTACCCGTTTACACTTCTCAGCGGTCAACAACAAAACAACATCAGAGGAAAAGGAAAAGACCAATAAGAAATGCAAAAAAACCCCAGTAAAACAACAGTTTGTAACAACAATAATACTTAAAGGACACATGCAAAGGAAAAAAACATTTTTTTTAAACAGCTTAGATGGAAAAAGGATGTCAGCGATTTTACAACGAAGAAAAAACATTTTTAGAGCTATATTTACGGCGCTATACAAATTTGTAGTTGGCGCCCATGGGAGCCGCTGCTGGTCACGTAATAGGTCCGCGCGCCGCCGCGCTTCGTCGCCGCCGCCGCACAAGTTCGTCTGCTTCGGGGCGCCGCTGCCGTCGTCTGACCGGCGCACAGGTCTATCATGTCTGCTTGCGCTTTTTCAGGAGTTTCCTTTGGGCTCTAAAAGTTACCTATTAGTCTTAGTTTTTTGGTTATGCTTCAAACAAAAATTAATATAAGTTACTTTTAGATGCCATACAAAGCTTCCGAAAGAGCGCAAGCACCACGTGATAAATAAGGGCCAGTCACATGATAAATTAGAGCCACTTTTCCGCTTAGCCCACGGGCGCCAACTACAAATTCATATAGCGCCGTAAATATAGCTCTAAAATATTTTTTCTTCGTTGTAATATTGTTTTATGACATCCTTTTTCCATCTAAGCTATTTAAAAAAAAATGTTTTTTTTCCTTTGCATGTGTCCTTTAAGAAACAAGCGAGCTGGTGATGATTCATGGTGATAAAAACCCGAGACTCAGGAACACAGAAGGGGAGGAACACAACACAACGTCTCAATTGTTTTGTGTTCGTCCCCTTCTATGTTCCTGAGTCTCGGGTTTTTATTACCATGAGTTTGTAACAAAAACGTAATAACATACCTCGTGCAATGGTCACTCAAAAAAAGTGTACGAGATTATACAGAATTCAAGCATAGGGGTTCATCTCGGCAATCAAGAAGACAAAGTCAAGACACGTTAACATATTTAATTCATGTGGCACGATAGAAGGGTGGTTTTTAAGATTAGTATTTTTAAAGCTGCGCCTCGAGCCACCGTTGCGCATAACTTCTAAGATGGCTGGACGTTAGTTTTGAAAATTGGGTATTAAGCATGCCAATTGATGCGTTCCATAGTTCGTCCTTGACCGTGGTGTTTTACAAGAGCCACGACAAAGCTTGTATTGCGTACAGTGAAGTCTCGTTAATTTGAACCTGAGGGGGACCAAAACTTTGTTTGAATAATGAGAAGTTTGAATTACCAAGAGTTTTCTTCCTAGAAACCCATAGGACAGGACCTGCATGTTTGTTTGAATTATCCGCCAGTTTGAATTAAGGGAGTTCGAACTAACGAGATTCGACTGTACTGCTGGGATGGAATGAGTCGAAGAATGTGGATAGGTCTCCTTTTATCCCACCTCAAGAAATGCATCAAACGGCCGACTCTTAGACTGCCTCGGTGGCTCCAAGGCGAAGTGTCGGCCTACATATCCCTGGGTGACAGGTTCGAATCCTTGCCGAGGTGCCTGCAGTCTGACGGAGGCTCACTGTGGAGAGGTAACCGAGATTTTGGTTGCACTTCAAAAGATACCCAGGTGGTAAAAATTAACTCTCAGTCTTCCACTGGGGCGTGCCACTTGCCCTTTGTCGGTTTGGCACGTGAAGCCCCCAAGTTTGACTTTGATGGCTGACTCCTAGCCGCTTCCTTTAATGTGGAGGTTCTGGAACTCTTTTTCGTATTGAGGATCCCCATCCTTCTGGATTGACAGTCGAGGAACATGACCCGGCTTCGGCATCTATGTGGCGAAGCATCGCAGAAGGCTTTGGAGTGTGCTGACAATACTGCGCATACTAGGGAGCGTTAGCTCATAGTTATGCCTTAAGGGGGTGACTTAAATATGGTAAAATAAAACTTTAAACCAGAACTCAGGTTCTCAAACTGGGTTTCTAGGAACACTGGTATTCCCTGGGGTGGGTTCCCCACACAGCCAAATTTCCTCGACAGTCCCTAAATATAGTGGTTTTCCCAGTTTAAGCGTTGCTTTAGCAGATCTAAGCCATCCGTACCCACCGGGCAATGAAGTTTGATTCGACAAGCGGCGCCATCCTATGGGAAATTTTTGAGACTCTGAGACGGCCCGTGGTTGCAATCTTTGGACCCAATCTCGAGCTCGAATCTCCGAGCGCCATTGCGAACTGTGATGTAGTGCTCGTGTCCAACCGCTTGGTGACATGGCCTTGCCAAAGTTGCCTTGCCAAAGTTGCTTTGGCATTGCCAAAGCTGCCGTTTTGGTCACCAGCCACGCTGACTACCAGCCGACTGAGGTGCCTCCTGTTCACTGCCTTGGGGCCTTTGATGCAGAACCGTGGGGCAAACACCTCTTAGTGAATGAATTGCTGTTTACAAGGTCTGTAGGCTCCCAAACTGCTTCGGCACACCACCGTCGAAAACGGGGAGGGTCCCTCAGCTACCTATGTCGGTGATTAAGGGCTCCCCGAGATTGAAAAGCTTGGGAACCTCCGAACTAGAGGAACCTGTTGCCAAAGGGCGGTGGACAAAGGGCACTCTCAGGGAACCCGTGGTGGTACTCTGGGGAGGGTTTCCAGAAACTCGGTTTGAGAACCCACGCTGCGACGCACTCTATAGTCGGTTGCAAGCTAAGAAAAAAACCGGAAATGCCTTTCAGAGGAAAATGTAATCCTACGCCGAGAAACGCCAGCCAAATGTTTTCATGACGTCACGATTCCGTGGACCAATCGCGATCCTTTTGAAAAAAAAAAAAAGCTCAACATGGCTGCTGGCTTTAGCAACGCGATGCTAGTTTCTCGTGACAATTATTCTGCTTTTTTGCACTGTGTTTTACGTGCCCGAGATTACGCCACGAAATCTTAATGCTATCGGCTTGCGTTTGCAGCAGTTTTTGCACGACAACGTGAGAATCCAGCAACGCTATCGCCAACGAAAATTTCGAAGCGGGCGCGAGGCTTAGCACTGCTGAGAGGTGAGAAGCTACGCCGGACGTTGTCTGCTTCGTTGGATTTCTGTCGCCTCTGCCCCACGTTGCTACTCAACATAGTACCGGCACCGCTGCTTCAATTCGCTTTCCGATGTCACCTCAGTGGGATCAATGACGGAAGACAAAGAGAGCGGGGCAGGTGTCGATGACTTGGGAGGGTGCCGGTTTGTCAAAACCCGAAAAGTATAATTATTCTTGTTTTCTATTCATCCAACAAAATAAAGGCACACATTTCGTGCGCAAAGCCCACAAGACTAAGTAAATTCCTAAATATTTATTATTTGCAGAAACTATAAGTGCTTCGCTCTCCCTCAATCGAAGGCGCTGGAAGACGATATGTTAGACAGTATCTTGGACAGAAAATGAATTGGGAAGACGGTACATTGGACATGACTTTCTTTCTTTACTAAACAGCTATTTCGTTGACAAAAACATATTTTAACTTATTTAAATGTCCTGAATGAATTAAATATTGTAGTAGTTTAAGACATGTTTCCTGGAGAAAGAAAAAGCAACGTTGCTAGCGAACTACTTTCTCGACGGCGGAGGCACTTCAGATGGGCGCATTGCGCTTGTGGGTGGAGCTAAAAGATTGTTCTCAGCTTGCATCCGACTATAGTAACGGAGGAGCGTTACCGGAGTGCCCGCGCTAGAGGAACACGAGTCGCAACGGAACGGCGGCGCAGCGCTCGTGCCCTGTTTGTGCCATGTGCTGGCCTCGGGTGGGTGACATAGAAAGTCTCGTGCTACAACCCCGTTGTCCGGGAGGCGTGGAGCGAGCGCACTCGCGCAAATAGCGGGACGGTGTGTGGGAGGCGAGGAATACAGGAACAAGCACCCTTTGACTGAGAGAGACGCAAACTTCATGTTCCGCGAAGCACCGGCTTTGGCAAGGGCTTTTTTTCGGACGGAGGTGTCGGAACCATTCGTAGGGACGGGACGGGACGGGACGGGACGGGACGGGACGGGACGGGACGGGACGGGACGGGACGGGACGGGACGGGACGGGACGGGACGGGACGGGACGGGACGGGACGGGACGGGACGGGACGGGACGGGACGGGACGGGACGGGACGGGACGGGACGGGACGGGACGGGACGGGACGGGACGGGACGGGACGGGACGGGACGGGACGGGACGGGACGGGACGGGACGGGACGGGACGGGACGGGACGGGACGGGACGGGACGGGACGGGACGGGACGGGACGGGACGGGACGGGACGGGACGGGACGGGACGGGACGGGACGGGACGGGACGGGACGGGACGGGACGGGACGGGACGGGACGGGACGGGACGGGACGGGACGGGACGGGACGGGACGGGACGGGACGGGACGGGACGGGACGGGACGGGACGGGACGGGACGGGACGGGACGGGACGGAGTGAGGTGGCAGCAATTTTCCGCTCCCTCTTCCGTATGTTTTACAAAAAAATTTTTAAATATCTGTGAGGGCAATTGTTTTCATATTCCGATGCCCCCGCATTCAGAGACGCCACGCGCGACAATGTTTGCGCCGTCGTGGCACGAGATGCGTAGTGTGTTCGCAACATTGTTGCAAAGCAACGCACTATACCTTCTGTGTTACCCACTGCTTTTGCCACGATAGTGTAGGAAAGGGGTAAATTTAATGCGTAGAGTTCGTAAAATAAGTCCTGAGGAGAAGGGGACGAGCCTGTGCAGGCTGTTTTGTCCTCTTTTCTATGTGTTCCTCAGTCTCGAGTTTTCGTTGGTACAGACAGGAAAGATGCCTTTTCGTGCATGTATGCTACCTTATTTTTCGGTCTATGTTGCACTGTTGCGTAAGTCGCACCCCACTATAAACATCCGTTTTCAGAAGAAAGTTGTCATGTAGTCGTGCCATTGTATAGGTCACACTTCTTTGTATGGTCGGCGGTGTAGCTGCGAATGCCAGAAGGGCTGACCACAGTAGGTTGCTCTGCCTTTCCTCTTGTGTCTTGAAAGCCGATGCGCCTACGTCTTGCGAAGTTAAAAGGGGCACTCCGGCGATTCTTCCAGCTACCCCATCTAACTTTATTTTTGGAATCACTGGCCTTTACTCTTTTCAGTATGTTATTTAGTATCGCCAAATTCAGAATAGTTATTGTGAAATCGGCAAGTGAAGACAATGCCAAAACCAACATCCAAATATACCCGCGCTTTTCGCTGCCATGTGACGTCAGTGGAAGGCAAGCTTGCAGGTCAAGCAGGCGGTCTAAAAATGGACTATGCCGAGCATTTGTTTCGTGCTGCTGCGGGAGTGCTGGAGTGGGCTTCCAAAGCACTCATTTGACACCGTGAACCGCCTGTAAGCAGTGGGGAACAGTCTGTAGTCTAAAGAGTGAACCCCTGCCTTTTGCTGACGTCACTTTTTCGTTGTTGCCAGTTGAGACTTTCGCTTTAAGAAACTTGGTGAGGTCTAAAACTCTAAATACAATATCTCTGAAAAAAAAAATATTTTGGCCCAATATTTGATTTATTATTTCAGCGATGTTTCTTAGTGTGTTTTTCAAGTTTCAGAAGTTTCAGAAGAAAGTGCCTCAGTATTGCTTTAAGGTCCATACTTATGGAAAAAATGCCTAAGAGTCACACAGTTCCACAAAGCGCACCAACGAAAAATTGGGAAAAAAAAATTCATTTTATACACCAGAAAAGACAATACTGTGTTTCCTATTGACTGATTCCGGCGTATACATATTGTTACTGCCTGGTGCGCAGGCCATCCCTCTCCCTCCCCAGCTGCAGCTGGTCTCCTTCCCCTCGGACGAGAGGGGCCCCTTCTGGGCGTCCCAGCCGGGGTCCCTGCTGGTGGCCCCCCAGGAAGGGCTGGTCCCCTCCCGGAATCCCACGCCCCCCCGGCCGTCTCCCCAGCCGCAGCAGCAGCAGCAGCAACAGCAACAGCAACAGCAACAGCAACAGCAACAGCAACAGCAGCAGCAGCAACAGCAACAGCAGCAGCAGCAGCAGCAGCAGCAGCAACAGCAACAGCGGCAACAGCAACAGCAGCAACAGCAACAGCAACAGCAGCAACTTCATCAGCAGCACCAGTTACAGGACGGGGCTGCACCTCCTCCGCTTCTTCAGCAGCTACTGGAGCCCAGCAAGTCCTGGCAGGCCCTGCCCACAACCGTGATTGAACGTGCCCATGTGCAGGTGGGGAAACTCAATGCGTAAAAATAACTGAAGGGCTTCCCTAACGCGTAGCATTTACAGATCCTCGACGTCATAGCGTCTTGCGATCATGTTACATCATGACATTACAGTGCCGCGTGATGCCATAGTGCCACGCAACGTTATTACATCAAATCAGTTGCGGAACTGCCCATGGACGCTGCTTCCACCGGCAGTACACCCCCCCTTTCCCCTTGATGTACACCTGCCATGGTTGGCTGCGCCGCTGTTTCTTGGGAGGACGGCTGCTACGGTAGCTACAGTTACGCACGTTTCGGAGCATGGTGTCTAGAAGGTGCTTCACCATAGCGTCTTCGAAGGATGCAGCCTTGAAAAGCAGCCTCTAAATGGCGCTTCAGACGACGACTGGCTAAAGCCCCTCTATACTGAAAGTAGTGCCAAGACCTCTTTGCCTCGAGAATCTTTCGCTCTTGCCTCCTCTCTGCGAGTTTCTTCTTCTCTCGTTTTGACGCCGGTGCCTCCCAGGCTGTCTTTCCGCTGAGCGCCGCGACAGGTGACTGCTGGCAAACCCTCGCTAGACGGGGCTTTTCTGCAGTATTTTGACTCTCAGCTTTCGTGTTTTTGCTAGGATGTGAGTTGCCGTAGTCCCTGACATGTTAGCTACTGGTTATGTTTTTTCATTGCTTCAAGTATGTAGAGCGGGCGTGCGACTTTTGTTGAGGCTTCGGCTGTGTGGCTGCTTGGATCATTCAGTTCGAGATCGGATGCATTATTCGGCCTTATAAACATTTTTACGATAAAATTGAACTGTGAGACAGATCGCTCTAATCCTATTTCTTTTCGGCAGACGGGGTGCCAATGTGACAAGTGCGCACACGTTTCTGTTACGAATGCGAAGCCGCGATCTGTATGCTGTGTACGGAGCAAAGCACACTGTAGTTTCTGTGTCCCCGACTCGCTCGCTTCCAAAACAGTCGACAGCAAATATTATCACTGCTTGCGCCTTTTTATTTCTGCCTTTGCACGCCGAAGTGATGACGACAACGAGAATGATTGATTCCCAAACACGCGCAAAGGATTTATGTAGTTACGCCGCGTCTTGGCAGCAATTCGTACGGTGTTTCCAAAAGCACAACATGCGGCATACGCTCTGCCGATAAAAAAAGCTTCGATGGGCAGCCGGCAATGTAGTATGCATACGTATGCTCGCCGCCGGAGAATGCGAGGTCGCGACACGGTTGTGCACAAATGGCAGATGGAAGTGGCGAACTGAAACTGGACGGCCGCTCAGTGGAAAGGAGAACTTTGAAGAGGACGAGGAGGATTTTTCTTGAGTGAGGGCGTGTTGGAAAATCAATCAATGACGGGAGTTCCACAACTGAGTTGGTCTAATATTGTTGGTGCCATGTGACATCAATATGTCACGTGATGTCACATGATGTCACGGTGTCATGTGATTGCATCATATGACACCTTGACATCACGATGTCTTGTGACATGGGGAGTATAGATTAGTCGGAGAATCGATGCTCGACCTCGTTATAGTGTGGTCATGACAGGAAACTTCGACTAAAGAATTAGCTGTAGGCACTGCAGGGTGAAGAATGTAATCCTTGTTCACAGCCACAAACTGACACTCGGCTTGTGAGAAGACCCGTGACATTGATTGCTCCGTCCTGCGCTTGCATTGCACTGCTCAAGTTACTGCGGCATGGGCATGCGGGCTGCAGAAGCAGTGCAGGGCAGAGGATGAACGTCGTGGGCACTCTTCACTGGCCGAGTTTTAGCTTGAAGTCGTTTTCAAGGATGAGATTTCTCGCCCCATAATGCTCGCTATGAATCTTTTAATAGAACGTTTGATTCACGGTTGGGCCATGATGAGGTCGAGCGTCACAATTCTTCAACTACACTATGATCCAAGGAATGAAAATTTAAAAAGTTGATAAAAACTTTTTTAGGTAATTACGTAGCTAACTAATTAACCAACTTTGCCTCTTTTCTACTTGCCCTCGGAGACCCGAACCTATCCCAAGGGCTTTAAAAAACCTCGTAAAAGTTCCCCTTAAAAAAAAGAAAAAAAAAAAAAAAGTAATTTTAGTAAAAAAAAAAAAAAAAAAAAAACTATATTTTGAATTAGCCTGAATAGGATTAGCTCTGATGTGGCATCAGGCCATATGCCGAGCTAGCCTGAATGAGAGATTAGAAAAGTAAAAGATTAGCCCAGACGTAGCATTATCCCATATGTCAAAATAACCTGGCTGAGGGATTTGCCTGAATAGAATTAGCCCAGGTGTGGCATTTGCTGTGCCTATGTACTGAATTAGTCTGAATGGAATTAGCCCAGACTGGCATTAGCCTATATGCTCAATTAGCCCGAATGGACGATTAGCCAGAACAAGATTAGCCCAAACGAGCAATTAGCCCGAACGTGGGATTGAAGCAAAAGTGTGGGGGAGGCCTGTGCCCAGGCTCAGAGAGAGTTCCGTGCCTGCAGGTGACTTACTCGACGGATTCTCTGAGCAACCTGGGCGATCTCTCGCCCGGAGGCATGGAGGTGGAGGCGGCCCTGGAGGCCACCCTCTCGGAGTGCACCCTCTGCCGCCGCAAGTTCCGGGGGTTGGCCGAACTCGAGGCCCACGTGCGGTTGCACCACAGCCACGGCATGGCCGAGAGTGGCACTGTCTTCCAGGAGGTGGGACTCTCTGGCTTTCCTTGCTCGAATCGGCTCTGTGCATTGCAACTCGGGCTCTCATTAATTGAGTGGAGCTCTTTAGCTTTACACTCCTCCATGTGTTCTTCTCTGCACTTTACACTTCTCATGAGCCTTGTGATGCAAAATGAAGAGCCTGAGGAATAGAGCACCTGGTATATTACCCCTTTATACTTGTCTACACTTTCTTGACACCTTATCTACGCCCTGTCTACAACCCCCTCTACTCTTCTTTTACACTCCTCATTTCTCCTCACACTTCTCTAGACTTTCTCTACACTTTTTTTTTACACTTCTCTACACTTTTTTTTACACCTTTTCCATACTTTACATCTCCCTACACTTTCTCTACACGTTCTCTAGACTTTAAGCTTCTCTACACTTCTCTTTACACTTTTCTACACTCCTCTACACATTCTCTAAACTCTACACTTTCTGTACACCTCCGCACTCCTCTACACCTTCTCCACAAAGTGGGTTCCCGATATTGAAGGGGTCATTCTTCAAAGCTACTATAAAAAGTGCTGTCACCTTCAGCAGCCATGGCATGGAAGCAGCTTGAGATAGTGGTACAGTACAACGCGGTTGTGGGTCCAACCGACACGCTGAAAAGTTGGAGGTACTTCTCTCTGCTGAGAGTTCCATGTTTTTTGTACTCTACTTTTCTACAGCTATCAATCTTTTCTTTTATGTCTTGAAGTTACATAGAGGGAAGATGTCAGTGCACCTTGAAATGAAGGCAGATAAACTGGAAAGTTCCAAAAATGTGTCAAAATTTCTGTTTAGTTTGGACAAAGAAGACAGTACCTTTGCATAGCTTGCACGTGACTTATTGTACCATGTTGGAGGTCATTTCAACTTGTTCTTGCCACGAAGAACAAATATGGTGGCGTGAAATGCATAGCGTGCCCAGCTGCAAGGCCACGCTGATGTCACATCAATGCAAGCTACGTGTGCTGCGCGAATATTAGAATTTTCAAGTAGTTGTTTCAAATAATACGCTATTTGATATTTGCTTCGAGACAAACTGCAATATTTTTATTTTTCGGAGTGTTGATCAGAGTGGGCTGGACCCATTGAGCACGCTTCTCAATGAGCAAGGGAGCACTGCAGAGAAGCAACACCTGCGGAGCTCGCTGTGCTTGCAGAGCACCGATGCAGTGCACTACGATCATCATTTCTAAAAGTACAAATACAGTAATTCATTGTTATAACGAAGTCAACGGGACGGCAAAAAAATTTTATATAAGCGGTAATTTGATAAAAGCGACAGTGCGAAAAAAAGTGCCAGCAGCCTTGAAGGTGGATGGGGAAACTATGGTACACTCTGACCATATATTTAATCAAACAAACCTTGGTTATGAATAGGGTGTGCATTTTCCGGTTTTAACCGAAAAACACCGATAAACATCCGTCGGTGACGAAAATATAAAATCGGTTAAAACCGAAAAACACCGGTGGTTGGACATGTTCGCCCTGGTTAAAACCGAAAAACACCGGTTGTTGCTAGTTTGCGACCTAGCGAAACCCTTTCCCCGTAGAGGTTCGTCAAACGTGTTATCTCGTGGATCCTGCATTCTTCCAGTGTTTATACATGGCTTGCAGGTGGCGTCAGTCCGCCCTCCTTTCTGGGGGTCAAAAGCGTCTAGTGAACGCAGTGGAAGCTAAGCTCTCATACGCCTTTCCCCCATTGTGTCTCCGATAGCCCCCTTTTGGGGAAAAATTAACGCAGTGGAGGGTAGGCTCTCACGTGCCTTTTCCTCATTGTGTCTGGCCAAGTGATGTCGGTGCAAGCCATGTATTCAGAGGTTGCTGTGGTTCCTGGAAGACAATGCCAAGGTCCGTGTCATACAAGAGCGTGCGTTTTCATAATTGCGGGTTGCGAACCGCAAGGAACGTGCTGCCATGACGGCAGCACGTTCCTTGCGTGTAGATGCAAGCATGAAAGTATGCTTGCATCTACTATAATAACCAAGTGTGAGAAATAGTGGCTTCCTAGAGAAGAAGTATATGAACTATGTGAATAAAATTGGAACTCCCTGTCTGTGATCAATCGCTTTGTTTTTTCACCGATAATCACCGATTTTAGCCTCGTCGTGAGACGTTCCACCGAAATACACCGGTGTTTTGAAAATAAATAAACACCGAAAAACATCCGCCGATTTTTCTCACAAATAAACACCGGAAAGTACACACCCTAGTTATGAACAACTCGCAAAAGCTTTATCGAGTAAAAAAATAATTAAGTGGAGTTTTCCAATGATTTCATCCGGGCATCAGTTCTCGACCTCCTCCAGGCATTGCAAGAACACAGTCACCGCCGCTGCACTCCACTTTGTTTCGAAGCAGCCATAGAATGTTTCGCGTCCCTGCAGTCGTCGGCGTTTCCCCGAGGTGCCTCTCCGACATCGCTTTGTGTTTACCTTGGCTGCACGCAAGGTCTACCATCGCAACATCTGTGGCAGGAGCAACGACGGGAACGTCTGCATCGACAAGCACAAACAAATCAAAGTTATCCTCGGTGGCTCTGCCAACATGTTTTCACAGACGTGTATCGAGATCGTTGCAGCTCTGAGAATCGCGCGCCAGCTCGATTCTCAGAGCTTGCGAGAGATTCTCAGATGCTTGCGAGAGAAAATCCGACGGTCTCAAAGCAGTTGACGATCTTTCATCTTTCACTCGCAGGTGCGCATTCTCTTGCATGAGAAACTTCTCGAACCCGTCCAATACCTTGCTTGTAGTGCAAAAGGGTGGGCAGTGTCGAACAGTCGATGCCGAAATGTCGAATTCTTTGGCGCTTTTGAACTTGGGCCAGCCACTTTTCTCAACCTCGAAGATCTAAGCGCCTTGCGGTAGACACTGTCAATCTCCCATACGACGCACCAGTGCATGTAGTACGCCACAGGCGCTTGCGTCGGGGGAAGTTGAAAGGATGATCTCTTCCGGGCTCCATAGCTCCCTTCACCCGATTGTGACAAAAGTCGGGCAGCGTCTGCCGCTGGCGTCGTGAGTAGCGTCTGAACGTGAACGCTGTTCCCTATGCGCCACTGCTCCCTGCCTACGTCGGAAGCGGAGCTCTGCCCTCCGTCACCTGTTTACTCCGTTTTCTTGTTTGCTGTTTTCCCAGTTTGCCGTGTTTTTTTGATGGAGAAGGGGGAGGAAACGCGAGGGTCACTGTGCGCCCCTGTGTAGTTTCGCGTGCTGTCGGCACCACAGCCTTCGTAATAAGCGTGGTTGCCTGCCGATACACTTACAAGAATCTGGTTAAGAATACGTGCATTTCTGTCGGGACTACGTTGAACTTTGATAGGAGCAATAATTTGAAAAGAGTGATTTCGTTATAATGAGGAACTTCTGTATTGCAGTTGTGCGTGCTCAGAATGAAAGCACGCCTTTAAAGTGGGATGGCGCATGCAGTTGTCTGGCGCTCCTTAAAAAAAACAAGAACTTGGTGAATGATGATATCTAGGCTACATTTAAATTTTCCAAATTAAACTGGCTATTATACAAGTGTATATGTTAGGCAGAGGTGTCCTGACAACCTGCATTCATAATTCATAATTCTCTTTTTTTTTTCTTTTATCATATTCTAGATTTAAGAAAAATGAATAGGAATAGCTGGGCATATCTAGGTTTAATATTAATGTAGGCATTTGGCTTTCTGAAGCTACACTCAATAAACATACAGCCTGCCCACGAATCCAGATGAAGCCTTTAAAGTGACCGTATAAATCAGCTCGGTAACGTATCGTGCTACAATTTACCACAGAGCCGCCCGAAGGTGGTGGAAGCGTCGCATGAAAATTTCAAAGAACAAACTTACCCGAGTGAAAAGTAAAAAAACAACTGACTTTTCCTGCCTGGGGCGCCCGTCTGCTATCCTCGCACCCTCTGACTGTTGCGACAGCTGACAATGGTGGCAGTGGCCCTGGCTCAAGCCTACTGCCTGGTCACGCAAAAAGCAGATGACATGTAGCTGAGATTGTTCGACAAATAATCGGTTTTATGAATTTTCTGTTTAGTTAACGTGTTTTATTGAGGTGAACATCTTAGGAAGAAACAGTGGCAAAAAAAAATATGGACAATAGTAAAGAAACATGCACGACAGCATGGCACTGTCCTGTCGCGTATGTTTCTTTACTATTGTCCAAGTGTTTTTTGCTGCTTTTTCTTCTTAAGGTGTTCACCTAAAATCAACTAGCCCAACACTTCACATTGTTTTGAAGCGGTGAAGACGAAGCTCACCGACCACTTCATCCACCCGGTCAACGAAGTCTACGAAAGCAAGCGCTTTCACCGTCGCGTCCAGGCTGAAGGCAAGTCAGTAGAGTACTTTTACACCGCACTACGTACGCTCGTCACAAAGTGCGTTTGCGCCTCCGCGAAAGTCGAAGAACGCCTCGTCCGCGATAGATTCGTCGTCGGTTTTCTGGACTCTAAGCTGGTAGACAAGCTATGTCGCATGCCAAGGCTCGCGCTCGAAGACGCGAGACTTCAGGCCCGTATTCACGAAGACGCCGTGAAGGCCCGTTCTGAAGTTTTCCAGAAGGAACCAAATCCTGGCATTGTGGTCTCCGAAGCAAAAGTCTGAAAACGTGTTCCGAAGTCACAACGGCGTTCCGACTCGGCGGGGGAGGGCGCAGCAAGGACTTCCAAGCCTTGCACTAGCAACGGACGCTGCAGGTTCTGCGGCAGGGCATCTCACCCCTGCTCCGACTGTCCTGCAAAAGAGGCAAGATGCGGGTGGTGCAAGAAAGTTGGACACTTCGAAACCGTCTGCGAGAAAAAAAGCCATGGCATCTGTTGAGCTGCACACAGTTGCGGCAGGCACCCGTACCAGAGCCAAGTTCGCAACTGTGGCTGTCAACGGACACAACGTGAACTTCAAAGTGGACTCTGGAGCGGAGGTGACCGTGGTGTCGAGTTCATTCCCTGGAGTACCGCAAAAAGCTTCGTGCACCAGGTGAGCTCACGGGCCCCGGAAATCACCCCCTAAAAGTACTGGGCACGTTTCCCGCAACGCTGCAATTGAGGGGCAAGTCGACCGGACAGGACATTTACGTCATGCCATCACAACACCCCCCTTTTCTCGGCTTCCCAGCAATACAAGCGCTGGGAGTCATTCAGTTTGTCGACAATGCGGCGACACCAGCGGTGCTGCGGAGAGACAGGCTTTTCGACGGTCTGGGGGAGCTAAAGAGGAGGAGTACGTCATCCGGCTTCGACCTGGCTTCAAGCCCTTTGCTCTAAGCGTGCCGAGGAGGGTCCCGATCTCGCTGCACGACGTTGTTGGTGGTGAGCTCAAGAAGCTAGAGTCTGAAGGAGTCATCCGCAAGGTTGACCGCCCCACAGACTGGTGCACGGGCATGGTCGTCGTTCCGAAGAAAGGAGGAGGCTACCGCATCTGCGTAAACCTCACGCGCCTCAACAAAGTCGTACTGAGGGAGCGTCACATTTTACCTTCGGTTGAGAACATCCTCAGACGTCCCAGGCAAGCGAAGGTTTTCTCGAAGCTGGACGCCACTGCAAGCTTCCACCAAGTGAGGCTTTCCGAAGAAAGTCGGGAGCTGGCGACGTTCATAACCCCGATGGGAAGGTTCTGTTTCCGCAGGCTGCCTTTTGGCTGGGGACCAAGCAAGCAAGCTGCCTTTCAGAAGCTAAAGAACATGCTTAGCTCTCATATCTGCTTGGCCAAGTACGACCCGTCCTACCTAACAGTAGTTTCAGCTAATGCAAGCTCTTACGGACTCGGGGCTGTCATGCTTCAAGATCAGCCTTCTGACGAGAGATGGCAGTGGCCTACGTATCAAGGGCTCTCACAACCGCTGAAGCTCGCTACAGCCAGACCGAAAAAGAAGCCCTGGCTGTAACGTGGGCGGTCGAGCGCCTCGATCAGTTTTTGAGAGGCATCGACTTCCAAGTCGAAACGGATCATCGCCCCCTCGTCACGCTCTTGGGATCTGCGGAGTTGGATCTGATGCCATCTTGAATTCAGCGACTATGCATCCGCCTCATGCGCTACCAGTTCACCGTTCTTTATGTCCCCGGCAAACTTTTAGCTACGGCAAACACCCTGTCAAGGGCCCCGGTGCAGGAACTGGATCGGTACTGCCAACGTCGGGTGGACTCCATAAAACTCCTCGTTGGCGAAGTGGTTTCAGCAGCCGCTGATTTCGTGTCATCCCACCTGGAAGCCCTACGAAAGCACCAAGCGGAAGACTGCATCTGCTCGGGCTTGCAATGCTTCTGTAAAAAGGGATGGCCAGAACATGTGTCCAGAGTTCCTGTTCATCTACGAGAGTACTGGAAGGAACGTGGGAACATCAACGTGTGCGATGGCTTATTACTCAAAGACCGCCGCATCTTCATTCCGCGCTTGCTGCGACACGAGATACTGCAGCTGATACATGAAGGTCATAGGGCATCGGACGCTGCGAGGCAAGAGCAAGGGACGCAGTTTGGTGGCCTACTCTAAACAGCGAAATAGAGCAACTTGTGACAGCCTGCGAGCGGTGCGCCCAAACAAGAGTACAGCGCTCCGAGCCACTCATCAGCACACCGACTCGCAGTCGTCCGTGGCAGAGGGTCGGTGCGGATCTGTTCAAGCTCGAGTGGAGACAGTACGTGCTCGTCGTGGACTATTATTCCCGCTTCCCAGAGGTCATCAGCTTGACGTCGACGACTTCAACGTCCGTTGTCGCAGCAGTCAAGAGCACATTCGCCCGGTTTAGGATCTCCGACGTGCTGGTATCGGACAATGGGCCGCAGTTCTCTTCAAGAGAGTTCGCCGAGTTCGCCCAGAGCTACAGTTTCCACCATGTCACGAGCAGCCCACGCTACCCGCAGGCGAATGGGGAAGCGGAGCGTATGGTGCGGACCCTGAAAGAGTTGTTCTACAAGTCAAGGGACCCGCACATGGCCCTCCTGGTGTATCGAGACACCCCTGGAGTGACCGGCTACAGCCCGTCCCAACTGCTAATGGGCAGACGGTTGCAGACAAAGGTACCGGAGATGCCAGAGACGTTGCAGCTGGGGTGGCCATCACGACGGGACTTCAAAAGAAAAGACGGGGAGGCCCGAAGACGCCAGCGAAAGGACTTCAATCGCCGTCACGCCGCTCATTAACTTTGCCCACTGTTTGTAGGAGAGGACGTGTGGGTACAAGACGTGCGGTGCCGAGCAACAGTCCTCAGTCCAGCGAAGCGGCCGCGCTCCTACGTAGTCGAGACCGGGACAGGAGTCCTGCTACGCAACCGCCGGCACCTGGTACCATTCGATGCGTCTCCGGCGGTCTCCGACGCTTCGGATCCCGGCAGTTTGACCGATGAGATTACTGCTACGGCTCCAGCCAGTCCGGCGGTCTCAACGGCAAGAGCAAGTTTGGGTGCAGGGAGCCAACAACAGCCGACCGCAGTTGAGCCTGCACCAACAGCAGCGCCGACGAACTTGACAAACTCCCCTTCAACATCAACGTCGACGGACAATACGCCGATAAGATTGACTCGGTCGGGCCGCCAAGTTAGGCGACCCATACGTTTGGACTTGTAAAACTTAGAAGGGGGGATGTAGTGATGACACGACAGTTCTCACTTGCGTGCCCCGCAGCAACGCGTCCATGCTAGTGCGCATGCTCGGGGTTATCTTCAGTTCGAGAGAAGTGATAATGAAATTCTTGGGTTCCGGGCTCCGGTGTGGCTGGTCGCTCCTTCCCCGCGAGACACTTCACTCTCAATTGAGTTGAGAGCGAAGCTGAGACAACTCCACTCTCAGTTGAGAGTGGAGTTGAGAGTGAAGCGCCTGTCCTGGTCGTTTGTGTTTTTTTATTGTCCTCATTTGTTTGCGCTTTTTAACCTTTTATTCAGTAATGGACCAACTAGCCCAAACCCCAGTTTTAATATAATGATCAGTTTCCAGAGTTGATAGACTACAAACAATCAGTTTGTAGTTCCAATACAACGATAATTAGTTATAACGATTGAAATTTCTGAGTTTCTTGTTACCGTTATAAGGAGATTGCTCTGTAGTTTTGTTGTGGCCGTTTGGTTGCACGCCACTTGCAACGCCACCCACTAGCTGTGACGACGATGGCCACTTTTCTGACGATCGCAGGACATAAAAAGCGAACCGGTGCCGTGCCAGCCGCTGCGGGCGGAGCCACCCCGATGCGCCACTGCGAATCCGAGGGTGCCCACCCTGTCGGAGGAAGAGGAAGAGGAGGAAATGATGGCGAACCAGCCGAGGGCGCCACTGCCGCCGCTGAGTGCCTGGTCGGCCGCGCGCGTCCTTCGTCCGAGCGTTGGCAGCGAGCGGCGGCGGCACTCTGATTCGGATCACTTGGCGTTTGAGAGGGGCAGCGGCGGACTGTTGGCAGACCTGCTGCTGGGTCCGCGGCGGACGGCGCGCGTCGGCTCAGATCCGGGGTTGGAACCACTGCCGTCCTTTGCACACTTGCAGGTGAGGCAATGTTTTTTGTAGACGCGGAGGTTCGGGGGATGGATGGAAAGGCAGGAAAGACATCTTTGCTCCTCCGTGTTCTGTCCTTGCAACTATACGTAAGTTTGCATCGCATCGGCACTTTTTTGTCTTCCTTTTTCGCGGGCAGAGACGAGCACTACGGTTGATGTCAACCATTTTGTGTTATGATGTTGTCGAGGCTAGCCTAGTTTCTGCAGCGTTGTCAAAGCTGCTTGTGTGAGTGCAGGCAAATGAAATGCAAGACAAGGCCACGTGCTCGAGTAGCGTGCAGTGCGGGGCAGCAGCACTGTAAACAGGGACGTCGGAAGTGTTTGGGAGGTAGGGGGCGACAGGAGGTTGAGGGTGATTTTCCTCCCCTTCTCCTGGATTGTTTAATGGGAAAATCTAAAACGTCTAACGGGTGACTGACCCCCCCCTCCTCTGCCTTGTTCTGGTGCCACTGACTGGGGAAACTAAGCCTGCTTTGACAAGAGAAGACAAAAGAATTAATGCCAAGTTTAAGTTCCATTGCCCGAGTTGTTTAGGACAAGTGCATTCCACCATCTGGTAGTTGCGATGGCAGCCTTTTAGTTATAAGATGAATGCTACAAAAATTGGCTACTCCTTGTTTGTGCAACTGTGTCATGCCCCACATATGTACTTCACAGCATTCAAAATACTGATTGCGTTGACTATAAACGTTAAATCCTACACACAGACAAAAAAAAAAAGGTGAGGGTTTTGCTTGAAGAAACGCAGAGGTGGCCTCGTCACACTTAAACCGCAGCATCGGGAGCACCTAGGGTTTCGAGTTCTGAGCTTGCCGTACCTTGGAAAGCAATCATCAAGTTTGAGTCTGTGCTCACAGGGATCGTTAGGATCGAGGCTGTGCCGACAGGGACCGACATATACCATTCGTTGGGGCCGGGGTTGCTTGCAGGGTTTGGTAACGTCTGGCCGGAGCTCCCTAGTACCCTCGCCGCCCGACGCCATCCCGTACGAAGATCCGCAAGAGGATGACCCATTCTCGGGTCTCGACGAAACGTTCGAAGAGAAATCGCAGCCGCAGCATGAATCATGCACTTTCGTCGAAAGCCCCTCGCCACCGAACGAGCTTCAAATTGTCGAGCAAGACGACGACGTAATCATGGTACCTGCGTCGCCACCCGTCGACAGTTCCTCACCGCCGCCTTCGCCGAGCGGCCAGCAAGGCATCGACGACAGTCCACCCAGGAGTATGCACGATCCGTCGGAAGATGCGATCGCGACGGAGGCGCCCGTCTGCAAGGCGCCGGACTTTGATGACGACGACGTTTTCCTGAGCCCGATTCCCACGAGTCCGCTGCGGAGCCGGCGGAAGCATCGGCCCGAGGTAGGGTGGCGATGTGCCATAGTTATGTCTTTGACTGTGTCCATGTCGGAATGTTGGATTGCTTTCTCGAGTTTATGCAGCAACGGGTCTCTAGGAAGATGGTAACATGTGAGAGGAACACTTTCAAGAAATTTGTTCTTTATAAAAAGTTGTGGACAGGTTCAGTTTAGAAATAGGGAAATGAAAATTAAGTTTTGTGACGTTTCTGGGAAACGTGTGAGCATTTAACGATGGGTATGAGGTGACCGGCCAATCAGCTGCATGCTTGCAGCATGGTGACTTCGAAAGCCACTTGTTTCCTGTCGAACTGCCCTCGAGGAAAGGGAAAGAAAAGATTGCACGAGTCGAGGGAAGGGGTCAAAAAATTCTGGACGCGGGGACATTTTTGCCACATTTTGGTCCCGTGGTAGTTGTGTGCCGTTGCCACCGTGCCGCGTCCTTTCTTGACAGAATGCTGGCTTTTTATTGAAAAAAAACTATGCCGTATTATATGCTTCTTGCTGAAACTTGTGCTTTGATTCTTGAACAGTGTACACCGTAAGTGATACACATCTTGACGGACAACAGGGGTGATGTCGGCTCGCTTAATGTGGAAGTGACCTCACATGCGTCACCTAACCTGGCATCATATGACATGACGGCGTTGTGTCACGTGGTCACATTACTTGGTGTGACATGATCTCACACTGTCACAAGACAGTATCGCATTATGCCACAGTGTACATTATGTATCAGTGTCAAATTATATCAGTGTCACATGATGTCACATGGAACTCCACAACAAAATAAAAAAAACATGATTAAAAAAATTAAGTAAGGTAAATCAAATTTATTTTATTTAAATGACTGTAGCTACGAAATAATGCTTCTTAATGACTAGACGTATTTTTAAACATGAGATATTGATCGGTCAATTCATCCAATCACTGAAAACATTGCAGAGGAATGAACTACAGTAAATTGGTACAGTTTAATTAACAACTTATTGAGTAAACCCCACTATAGTAGGACAAAAACAGCTTGAAATCTTAGTTAGGGAAAAAGCTTTATTGCCTTCTTTTTGCGTTCTTATTTTCTTGCAGTAGGACATCAATACAGCGGAGCTGTCGAAGGCTAGTTTCTCCATTTTCGTGTCCGTCACCAAATAAATGTTAACACAAAGCTCTGGACAGCTATTGCCATCTATAAGTGACGGTGGCAGCCAGACAGCCATCTTGCCGATTGTCTGGTTGTCACTGTTGCTCATAGATGGCAGCAACCTTTCCAGCCTTTCGACTCTGGTTCTGAGCAGAGTGTAAAGGCTAAATTTTTCTAGAAGTCGTCCCTGAGGTCGTCTTAGACAAATTCCTTGAGGTCATCCTAGACGCCGTCCTTGAGGTTGTCCTTGAGGTCGTCCGAGTAGTTGTTCTAGAGGTCATCCTAGAAGTCCTTCTTGAGATCGTCCTCGAGGTTGTCCTAGAGGTTGTCCTAAGTGTTGTCCCAGCCCTAGTAACGGCATTTAACGTCTTCCACTGACCTCTTGTGCAGCCCCTGTACATACCCCCGCACGTGAACGCCATCGGGTTCCCGAGCCGGCTGCGCTCCCCGCGCCTGTGGGACCCCTGCGCCGAGGCAGGCCACAAGAGCGCCGTGGGGGGCACCGGTGCGTCGCCCCCGCCCTACACCCCTCCGCCCATGCTGAGCCCCCTCCGGTCGGGCTCAGGGCTCTTCTGGCACGTGTACCCGGGGCCCCGATCGGCGGGACCTGCCACCCCCCACACTGGGACGCCCAGAGGTGGGTGCGCACCTTGTAAACGCGAAACATTCTTTGGCTATAGTCCGCTGCAAGTCAAGAAGGTAAAGTGAGGGAAAGGAAGGCTGGGGGAGGAGGAAGCAGACGAAACACCAAAGAGGGGAGGAGGTTTCCCCCTCTCTTCTCCAGCGTTCCGTCTGCTTCTCCTTAGCCTTTCTTTCCCTCGTCCTACCTTCTTGAGTTGCAACAGGCTATAGGCGTTTGGCATTTTGTGAAGCCCGGACAAAAGCGTGGCCGCAAGCCTCGACAATGACTGGTTGACGGATGGGAGAGGAGGAGTGAGGTGTTCGACGCTGAGGGGTGGGCAAGGAGTGAGGTAGGCGAGGAGGAGCTCGACTACCTGTGTACACTGAGGGAGAGGAGCTCGAGAGTTTGAAAGACTCTGAAAGATCGCCAGGTTTATCGGCCCGATTCGCGGTAGTATCGCTCTATTCGAGGAACAACTATAAAGTGTACACGCGGCAAGCGTTAAACTCTCATGAAGAGCGTTGTGAACGTAGGCGTCTGGCAACTCGGAGTACCGCTAAACGTTAGTGGTGCTGAAACGTTTCCTGTATGCAACAGAATGGCTAGCAATTTGCCATAAATTTTACTAAAATAGATTTATCTCGATCCTGCGGATAGAGTCGGCATGCACAAAATCTGTTTTCGCGGCAGTCTTTAGCGCTTGCGATGGACGTTGCGGTCTTTTTTTTAGATTTTTCTCTGGTTATTTTATTCTAAACTCTGTCCTTTCTTATGTGAGGGGTGCCCCCTCGAACTTCTCGTCTCTTCCCGTAAATTTTTACAGAGTTCACCTTACTACGTAATGCCAGCATCCTGTGATTGGAGTTTGCTTTCAAGCGGGTAGTAGAGACCACCGTCGTGAGGCAAAGCCAGCTGGCTTTGCGTCTACCCACCGATTAGGGCGGTGGTAGAATGTCGAGCGTGCAGCCATGTGGTCGTGGGTTTGATTCCCATTGGGGCGCATTTGGAATTTACTTCTCTCTTCTCAATGTAATGCTCTTCTGTACAGATTGTCCTTCAAAGTACATGTACACGTTTTGTAATGGTTTCCGTGGCATTTTGTCGCACTTTCAAACTGTCGGCTAGGTTGCCCAAGCCACCACCCAATTCAAAGGGCTCGGCTGCGTGCGTCCGTCTGTCTATCCGTCGGCCGTCCGACAGGGTGTTCTGCATTTTTGCAGCGTAGATCAGAGGATGTGTTGGCCCTCTCTAGGAACCACACAAATTGGTTTCTCGACATGTCGCGCCACAACCTACCGCAGAGGTGCCTGTTGGTGGTGCGTTTATCGCTTCAAAGCAGAAAGGTATGAGCTCCTCCAAGCCAAAAACATAGAAGACAAACATTATTGTTCCTATAGACCGGCGCCCAGATGAGTCTTCGTCGTGAAATAATCGAATGGCAGTGTGGGCCGTTGTGACATTGACTACTTTGGGAAACATACGGATGGGAAGAAAAAGTCACAAAATTGGCTCGCATTTTGTCCCGCTCATTTTGCCAAAACAAATGCCACACTGTCCCGCCGCATCATTTGACGATTCCAAGTGGGCTATGCTTAGCCCATAGCGCAGACGCTTGGTCAACCGACGCACAAAGGTCCCCCGGCAAAGGAGGTTTGACGAACCCCGAGAGCCTCCAAAGCACATGCCTAACAGCAGCACTAACCACGTCTTCACTGCAGACCGAACTGCCACGGTGCACGTTGCCGGCATGACCGCCGGCGTTTCTCCGTCGCCCGTCGAGGCTCTGGGTGAAGCTCCCCTCTCGGACGAAGAAGAAGAGCTCGCACCCGAGACGGACATCCTCCCGTGAGTTTTGGACCGTCGTAATGTCCGCTCAGACTTCTAGTCGATCGTTGAGGGGCATCGTTCCTTTGCAGTCACGTCAACGTGGGGCCCCAGTTTCAAGCGAGGCTTCCACCCTTAGACGGTAAGAAAAGGGGTCACTTTCTCCGAACCTCGATTGAAGTTTTGATGGAGTCGTGGCGCTTGGAACGCGTCTCTGATTGGCGTGTTCTTTTCTTGGGGTCTGCTTGTGCTTTGCAGTAAAATCAGCCCTGGAGGCCGAGCACAAGGCCGACATGGTTTGGGACCCGCGAAACTGCGATCACCTCTGCGACGACGAGCGTGAGTGCAGAGCGTCTCCGTGCGCGTTTCTTTATGTTTATTCCCTGTCGCTTGTTTGCTGGAATTAAGCTAACATCATTTGGCCGGAGTTTTGGCCAGAAGTACTTGTACTAGAGTTGTTACAGAATTTTTAGTATCAGGCTAAATGTTAGTCGTGTGCGAATGGTGGGTTTTGAGTTTGAAGCGAACCCGAAGCGAATAAGAGGGTTTTGGCCGAATATTTCTGAATTGAATATTGAATAACTTCTCCGAGCCTTTCACTACTATTGCACCATGCTTAAACAACAAAATCACAGCTGAACTTGTGAAGGTTGTTCCCAAGCCTTTATTTGTCCATTTATAAGCCAATTTTAATATAACTATATTCATATACTGTGACCTCGAAAAATCCGATGCCATGGGATGGCGAGTAAATGATGGATTTGATATAAAGTTAAACCTATCGACATACCCAGCTGTACTTAATTGAGTGGATGTACAAACCTTGCAGTATGCAAATACCCTTCAGTCTCGAATTTGATAAAGAAAGAATCACGAATGATGAATGTAGGTTGTCAGGGCATCTCTGCCTAGAGATGCCCTGACCACCTGCCTAGAGATTCATAAGTGTCTTAGCTTGGCTCTCTGTGCAGTCGACGCATACCTGGAGCTTGCGAGCTCTGCGGTGGTGCCGGGTGGCGGTCGGAACCGCGAATACGCCTTTCACCTCCTGGCGCTGTGCCAAGGGAACCTGCAGGTGAGGTCCAAACCTTGGGGCCGAGGTATTGATTGTTCGATTGATTGGGGGTTGATGGCGCACCAGTGTCCAAGACCATAAGGCACCAAGAGCTTGAAATATTGAAATTACAAGCGCAACCCTGGGCTGAGGAAAACGACCCAGCAGCTCTGCCTCTCGATTACTGCATACATTTTGGGGTTGTGGACTGAGAGTCCTGCCAGAGGTGCGTTTTTCCCGTGGTTCTTGATTTGTAGCCTTCGTCTTGTGCAATGCATTGATCTGCTCTTTTATGTTGCCTGGCCTTTTTGTTTGTGTCTTCTGGATTTTTACTTGGCTCGAGGGCTGCACACTACATTTTTGTGCTACTGTGCCCAGCAGTGTTTTACAGCGGCAGCGGATTTCGCCCCTTTCCGGCGAAATCCGGCAACGTCTGTACACAAAAGCCCACATGCCGTATCGTCGCTGTTGCCCCTTGCACAGTCACGTCATCTATGGCAAGACGTGCTATCGCTCCCTCTTCCCCCCCCCCCCTTTTGCCGCCGCCTATGCAGCAGCAGTTTCTCTGTCGCTTTGGGGTTCTGGAAGGTTCTCCAGTGCTTCCATGAAAGTGCCGTTCAAACTAATCAGATAAATACGCAAAAACATAGAAGGACAACTAACATTTTAAAATCTGTCTGAAATAACCGGAAGTATGAAATACCCGAGTTTGAATTATCGTTAGCCTACTGTAGTGAAGTAGAGTATAGTCATGCATCTTTCTCCAACGTGCTGACTAGCTGACCGGGATTGTAGCCGTTGCCGTTTGCTAAGTTACCGTGAGACTGAGTATACTTGTGACATTTTTGTCACATACGACCAAAGTACTGCCATAAATTGTGTGGTAACGACTATAGGTTGATCCTTCATTTTAAAGAATGGTGCCAAAAAATGTTGACTTATATCCACGTAACTATGGTATGTTATTCCTCACTATTTTTACTCGTCTGAACAAGAAGCTGGTTTGAGCCGGTTTGAGCCGATGGTACATTTCTTCTTCCTTTTAGGAGGCAACACTGCGGCTCATGGACCGCCAGCCAATGTTGCCAGGTGGCCATCCGCTCCTCACATACCGCTACGCCGAGTGTCACCGCTGGAGTAGGGAGGAAGTGGAACGCTTCCAAGACGCGCTGGCAACCTTCGACAAGGACTTCCTTCATGTCGCTTCCAAGGTGGGACGCTAGTCATGGGCGGTACTGCGGTATATTGTCGCTGCCTTTTCAGCTTGAGGGAACTTGTTTTTTTCCCTGACCCCAATTACTTTTTCACGCAATAGCTCTTCAGGGGCTACCGCTAAGTATGACTTCGCTTTACGTTATCCCAGAGGATATAGTAGGAGTGTGTAGATATCAGTATATTCAGATGTAAGTTTTATCAATTCCAGATTTAATTTGAATAGAATTTGATTGGAAAACATACTCAATTCAAATAAAATTTGATTTAAGCACAATTGAGTTTGAATAGAATGATTTGAATACAAATTGAATTTGAATAGAATTTTATTTGGATACATGTTAGGATTGACTGCATTTCGATGGGGCGTGGGAGGGGGCTGAGGGGCGTTAGTTATATAGGGCACAACAGGCCACTAACTGACAAAACATTTTTCTATTGTCGCTGACTATGATTACGAATTAATCTTTGTGAACTTTGTAATGTGAAGTTTGACGCATAATTTCCACGGTAGATTGTTCTAGATGTGTAAATTTGGAAAAGGTGTCTCGTTGAAACACAGTTGAACCTGCTTGCAGTAACTGTTGAGCGTTACTGCGACGAACTCCCGTCAAAGTTTGAAGCAGTCTTCCTACGCAGAGACTTCAGCAAATGTGGCTGAAATGAACACATTTACAAACTGGAATTTTCGAGCAGGCTTTAGGAGCAGCCTTGCCATGCGTGCCAGTTCACCTAAAACATACCGTCGACATAAATGAGTGGGTCTGGCTGCGGTCTGGCCAAAGAGTCGGAGATTTCGGAAGCACAGCCGCGTCGGGCCAACATCACCTAGAGTAGTCCGAGCCCGTGAAAAGCCTTCTGTACCTCCTCGTAAAGTAATCGCACTCGGATGGTGCCACTCGGATGGTGCCAACAATTGGGCCTGAGCCCTACGCCGAGCGTCCTTTGACAGTCGAATGCCAACGCAGCACTTGTGTCCAATCTGCGCCTACACTCTATCTCGCCGCGACGACGTCGAAATGCTAGTACGCGGGCCTTGATTATTCTACGCGGTGTTGGTGAGATGCCACCCGCCCAACCCGTTTTTCTCGTCACATCGCAGGTGGGCAGCAAGAGCGTGCAGCAATGCGTGGAGCTGTACTATGTCTGGAAGAAGGTGGCGCCCGAGGAGTACCGGCGGCTGTGCTGCACGCGCCGGCGGAGGGAGCTCGAAGCCGTGGCGCCCGACACAGTGTTGCCGGACGACGAAGAAGGAGAGGAGGGCGGGAGCCAGGACGCACCACCCAACAGCCCCCTCGCCGCCCAGCCCCCACCGCCGGAGCTCCCACAGCATTGCGAGCCCCCGCAGGAGTTTCCCTGTCGACTGTGCGGCAGGTGAGCTCGGAGAGGCGGGTCATATCGCTGCAGTGCGGTACCCGGAGTGTGTCTCCGGGTTTCGCACAGATGTGTACCAGGCACTAAATTTGCACAGAACTGGGGAGAATTAGCCATGTATTCGAGAATTCCGAAAATGGGACTGCTTCTGTGCATTGTAACGGTGGAGTTAGCGTCTAAGCGGAGCTGGACAGGAATTGTGGTATGCGGCGAGCCTTCTGGCATTGCCGATCGTTCTATCTACTTGCGTGTGCGGTTCTTGGTCCTTGGAGGAGGGTGGGAGTGTTCGGTGAAATCATCAGATCTACTTGAAAAAATCCAGAGACAAGGGAAAAGGAAGGGACAAGCACAACAAAGTCTCAAAAAACCCAGATAAACCTGACAAGGCTGTTCTCGAGCTTGCACCTGTCCATTTTTAAGCTAACTGTAATCCAACTACATTTATAGATGTAGCCTCAGAAAGTCTAATGCCTACAGTGGGATAGCTAGTAACTCACACATTTGACATAAAATTTAACCTTGAGATGCCCAGCTATACCTACTCATTGACATTTGCAAAACAGTCAGTTTAATTTTGAAACTTCTACTATAATGTAGGTACTGTGAAATCCTTGATGTTTGCGAGCCCTTAAATTTCGCAAATATCGCCAATTGCAAAATTCGCGAAATTTAAAGGTACGCGAAAATTTCGGTCCTTAAGAATTTCAATGCAGGTCTCTGGAATTTGCGAAATTTAGTGTCTGCGACTATGTCGTCTGTGACCGATTCGCAAAAAATAGGGGCCGCAAAAATGAAGGGTTTTACAGTATACACATCCATGAAGTTTCCATTTATTTTCATATACAGCCGACATGCGTGGGCCATCCCGCTTTGAATGTATGGTTTTCTTTCAAGCACGCAATTGCAGATATTCATACTTTTCCAAGTGTTCATCGCATTGGGTTACCCCGTTGAGTGCGCTTCTTACCGAGTATCGACGTAATGCGGAGAAGCAACACCCGCAAAGCTTGCTTCCGTGGGTGTTGCTTCTCCGCAGCACCGGTGCTCGGTAAGAAGCGCACTCAATCAGCACTTTCAAAAATGTGAATAGCGCAGTTCTTCTTGAAGCGAATATCGAATAGTGTGTTATTGGAAACTACTATATTCGAAATTTCGAATATTCGCGCAACCCTACAATCAACTCTTTCCAACGTTCTAAGATAAACGATTCCTTTGGCCTGAACGGCTCTATTCAGGCCTAAGTGGTCCGATTTATTTCCAATATATATGATTGACACTTTTCACCTTTATCCACTATGCCAACATTAGGGCTAGAGACTCTGTCTTTTATGCAAACTGTTGAGCGGTTGAAAATGCTACATAGCTTCTGCAAGTCTGCCACAGCCCCACTTACCTGCCTCGGAGCAGTTTCCTCGACTTGGTCTTCACTACGGACATCACAAAGGTCCTCTCCTGTGATGTTTATCCCGGCCTTAGTGGTAGCGACCATATGGCTGTGGAGGTGTCTTTCGCAACCTCCTTGCCCAGAAAGGGCCACTTTGCTCGTACTACTTGGAGATTTCATGAAACCGACCATTCTCACCTTGCTAATCTAGCTCATCTCGCGCCTTGGTGCATGACCACTGGGGGAAGTGACTGTGTTTCAGACTTTGACTTATGGTGTGATTTTGCGAGTGCCATCCAGCGCGAGTCCATTCCTCATTCACTTCGTTCTACCCGGAGGAAGAGGGCTCCCTGGATTACGCACGAGATTATAAAAGCGGCCAGTCAGAAAAGAGCGCTTTTCAAGAAGGCAGCGCGGCTGCAGTGTGCAGAGACACTCCGGGCAGCAAAGGACCTTCAGAGAACGCTGAAAGCTGCCATCCACACTTCTCACATCAGCTATGCCCGCAACGTCGCACTCAAGGCCAGGGATGACCCAAAGCTGTTCTGGTCGTACATGAGCAGGTTACAGACCAGTAGCAACAAGCCAACCTTCGTGAACAACAGCGTCCCTCTCACATCCCCACGGGATATTGCACAGTCGTTCGCCCAGCACTTCGCCGGTGTTTTCAACGCTGCTGAGCCCACACCAGACATTGACCGCCTTGTGCAAAACATTGAGGAGAACACGCCATGCCCTAGCCTCCTGATGCCTGACATAACTCTGTCACTCGAGCACCTTCATGAAGCTTTTCGACAAATTAAGCCCTCGCTCTCACCAGGCCCTGACAACTTCCCACCGGCATTCCTCAGGCTGCTCTGCCCGCGGGCAGAGCCGTTTATACTGAGAGAGTTTGGCCTTCTTAAGGAGATTTTGGCAGTCTGACAACCACAGCAGCGTAGTCTGACAACCGGGGGATGACTACTTCCGTCCGCCATATTGTGGATCTGACTCATAGGAACTCTACGCGATTTCACAGGAATGAACAAGACAAAGAAGTAACGCCATATTGTGTTATCGCGAAATCCGCTGGTTCTAGCGGCCAACAAGCTCCGCCCATCGGCCAAACTCTCTCAGTATAAACGGCTCTGCCCGCGGGTATCCCCATCTTTGTTATCAATATTCCAGTCTTTCCTGGACACGGCTGCTGTTCCAGACCTCTGGAAGCGGGCCTTGGTGAAGCCTATCCACAAAGGGAAAGGCAAGCCTGTGAATGACGTCTCATCGTATCGGCCAGTCTCAGTCACTTCGATCCTGTGCAGAACTTTTGAGCGGATGCTAAATCGTACCCTTCTAGATTATCTGTCCGCCAGCAACATACTCTCCTCGTCGCAGCATGGATTTAGGCCAGGAAGAAGTTGCGAAACTGCCCTGGCCACCATCACGCACTACATAAGCGATGCGCTGGATGACCACACTTCCACGGACCTCATCCAACTAGACTATAGCAATGCGTTTGACACGCTGGACCATCACCTTCTTCTCCAGAAGCTCGCAGGGGTTGGTGTACATGGCTCCCTGCTACGTTGGATAGCTCGCTTCCTTATTGGTCGCTCTCACAAGGTGGTGTTCCACGGGTCTTCGTCTGAGGACTTCTCCATTTCCTCGGGTGTGCCACAAGGCTCTGTGCTGGGACCCACTCTTTTCTCAGTGTATGTTAATGGCATGCCGAAGACGGAGAACACCCTGCTTATCCAATACGCCGACGACACAACCATTTTGTCCCGTTTGAACCACCCTTCTTCTAGCTCCCGCCTTCAAGACCACATCTCCCTGATTGCAGACTTGTCTGCTGCCAACTATCTACGACTTAGCCTCACCAAAAGTGCTGCTATGCGCTTCAGTAAGAAGAAGAGTGTTGACCCCCCTTGCTATTCTTTCTCTGGCACTCCTGTGTCCGTCGCCACACACCTTCAAATTCTGGGGGTGACCCTTGCACCTACTTTGGATTTTACCTTACATATTTCCAACATCGTGGCAAAGGCACGTCGAACCCTCGGGTTCGTCACAAGGGTGTCGCGCTCCTGCGGTCCGGAGGCCTTTCGGATCCTCTATACCGCTCTGGTGCTCCCGCGTTTAGAATACTGCGCTTCCATCTGGAGCCCCTACCAAGCCCACCTCTCTCAGCGTCTGGAGGGGGTCCAGCGTCGCGCAACACGAACTCTCCTGTCGCGGACGGACCGGACGCTGGTCACCCCCCAGACCTATGAGGATCGACTGAGGCGCCTCAGCTGGCAGACATTAGACCATCGACGGGTCGTTGCGCGTGTGAGACTGTTGTGTCGCCTCCTGGACGGTTCACTAGAGAACACTTATCTCAACTCGGTCCTCCGCATTAGTAAGCGGTCCGGACAACCCGAGCAGCTACGGGCTCGCACAGTTCGCCATAGCCGCACGTTTCTTCCAGCTGCGATCGAGGCCTTCCTCTCGGCACCCCTGGATGTGCGCTTCCCCATCCCAGAAGACCGGGCGGGATCCGCGCTTCTGTGCCGAGCCTTTTCGCGGGCGCGGAATTGATTGTGTGGGGAAGTTGCGTTCAACCCGGGATTGCGGGACGCGCGTTGCCCTCGACTGTTGCCGTGATGGGGGGCCCTGTCGCGGGGGAGGGGGTGATTGGGATCGGGACCTGGCTCGCCCTCCCAAGGTGTTGGGCCTTTCTCGGTCTCTCCCTCCTGGCAGGGCCCCCCGTCGCGGCGATGGGAGTCGCGCGCGCTTCGCGATTTCGGTTTGGACGCCCTCTGAGGACACTCGGGCCGTGCTAGGGCCTCGTAAATGCGACCGATTTCGTAACTCCCCCCCCCCCCCCCCCCCCCCTTTTATTATTGTTATTATTATTATTTTTTTTTTTTTTAGTATTGTGCGTTGTTTTGTTTGTTATGTTGAACTTTGTTTTCGTTTCCTGGGGGTTGGGCCAACAGACGCACCAGCGTACGGGCTTCCGCCTTTCTGTTTCGCCTCGCACGCCCCCAGGAAAACACCTGTCTGTGCAAATAAAGATTATTATTATTATTATTATTATTATTATTATTATTATTATTAGAATTGTTAATGAAGATAGTGGCACTGCGGGATGTTGCAATAAAGGATGGGTCACCCACTAGGCGATCCCCTTCAGTCTCATATTGTTTTAAAAATTCCTTTCCGCGCACGGTTGAGTTGTGGATTGGTATTAATGGATCTACATGTATGCTTCAGTACGACGACTTTGTTTTAGAAATTGTGAAACTTTATTTTGTTTCATGCGTGACTGGTGAATAATTTTTTTTGTATATGTTCTCGTTTATTGTTAGTACTACTTGTCTGTTTTCACCTGTGTATTCCACTCCTGCCTGCAAAGACCTCAACTGAGGTCGCGGTATGCTGAAATACATAAATAAGTGTATAAATAAATTGCAGCACAAGGAACAGACGTAGGAAGCTTTATTCTTTTACCTTTCTTAGTCTTCTAGAGTGCGGTACATACACTGTGGCAATATTTGGCGGCGCTGATCAACTTTCCTGCACACTTTGAAAAAAAAAAAGAAGTAAACAAATCTTTTTATTGATGCCACTCGCTTCCAATTAATGCTCGGTTTCACTTGCAGGGTGTTTGCCAAGGTGAAGAGCCGAAACGCCCATATGAAGAGCCACGGTGCATCACGCGCCGTCGGAAGTAGCCGGTTCGAGTTCTGAGACGCACGTAAGGACGTGAAACTTTCCCAAGGACTCGCCGTCGATCCCGCTCGCAGAGCTGGAGGTCCTGCCAACCGTGTCGCTACGGACGGCGTCTACGAGCCGGGCCGGCCGATGACTACCGGCGACCGGATCAGCCAACGTCCACGTGTACGGTGCCGGGAACGTGACTTCGTCCGGTGCATTCAGCGTCCCGTCCTGCCCACACGTCAGAAGTAGTCCCGAAGTGGCAACAAATGACACGACTGAAGCTGCTGCATCGTCCCAACTGCCCAAATGAAGCGACGTCCCAACTGCACCAGTCGGAGACACGTACCAGACACCGTAATCCTGTCTAGCGAGGGACACCGTATGTACAAGAGAACATGCCCAACTATCGTAGGCTACGAGCACGACTGGCAGGTTGCTAATTCTGCGTGGGACGTACCAGGGCCTAAGCCTTTGGAACAAATACAGTGCGCGGGATTGCCCAGGGTTGACGGTATGCGGTACGTGAGGCGGTTCTAACTTCCAAGCATGCGGACGACGGTGTGCTCGCGGTGAAACCCGAGGCCGGCGGACGACTTCTTGCGCCGAATGTCACCTACAGCCATGCCATGTAGTGGGCACAGAGATTCGAGTTGGCGAATGGCATTCTTTGTACAGAGACCAAGGCTAACAAACTTGCCAGCTGAGGAGCAAGAAGTCCGACAGTAGGCCTGTACACAGCATGGCTTGGCATTTAAGGTTTGCAGACTGCTCAGCTGCTCTGTTGCCCATGCGAGAGCAGCTGAAAACCTGGACCGGCGTGCCGCATGTCAGGTGTCGACCAGCTTAAAATTTAGACTGGCAGACGACATCTTGCGCGAATAGCCTCCCTTTACGAAAATTTTGATAGACAAAAGCTTTTAGCCTATTCCGTCGATGCTGTCCATCGGTGTATTGATCTAATAATGCGTGTGCGTAATGGTCTCGCAGCACGTGTGTATATCTATGGACACAATCATTTTCAAAAGAGACCGACAGGTTCAAAGGGCTAACAGGCACATCCTAGGGTTGAGGCCGACGGTTTTCATCCAATATACAGCTTAGCCCAAGCCGAGACTCGCTAAGCCGACATGCCAAGATCTAGGCTCATGTATGTTATGGCAAGTCCCATGTGCGGCATAGCTAGTGTCTGGAATGTGTCTCCGACTGGCGTGCTTAGCGTCCTACATCGCCCGTGCGACAGGAGCGGTTCTGAAGTGGCAACAAAAAGCAGCGCAAGAGGCGTGGGAGCCGACGTGTCATGTCGTCGGTTGTCACAATTCTGTCGGTTGGTTGCAGGAGTGCTGGCCAAAGAGGTGAGCGTCGCCGTCATTGCGGCATCCCAGCTCGTGGTTCCCATAGTTTCCGTCGACTGTCGGGCTGCGGAGCAAGCTACAGCAGAACAAGCGTCCGCTGTATCCAGTTTCGCTGCTGTGCCACCTCCGGAATCGTGGCGAACAGCAGCATTACACAAAATGTCATTGGCAGGAAATTAAGGAGATAAGAATGAGGGACATGGCAAACAGATCATTTGGACGCTTGTCCCAGGCACCATAGTGCAACCCAAGACCTAAACTGAAAAATGGTCTGCTTTGAGGTGCAGACCGATTTCCTGAATTAGAGGGTACAGCCACGGACACGAGAAACTCGAATGTGCCGACACGTGGCGTTAGGAGCGACGTTCGTCCAAACGAGGGATCACACGCTCGACACTTGGCTGCACAGTTAGATGTGCCACCACCCAACTGCGTCAACGCGACGGACGAAGCGGTTATGTCTTCTGGTTTGTTTCGTCCACGACTATCTCTAGACCGCCCGTGCGAGCAGAGCACAAAACCTGATTGCGCAGGTTTCAACCTGCGTACCGCTTAATCCAAAGCGCTAAGCTGGCTCGGCGTGCAAAGTACCTTACGGTTATGGATGTCAACGCGTCGGGCGCACTTTACGAGCCAAGAGGCGGCCCGGCAAGTGACGTGTATGTACATAAAAAGTCGAGGAGTCTAGACGCGTCGGCTGTGTCAAACTATGTTTCAGTTTACGGACTGGCAAGCAGCATCCCGCGCACGAGGGGGCCGGGGAGCTGGAGTAGAACTTATTGCTCGGCGGCAAATGGCATTTCTCAGAGCCCGCGTCCCCTTCCACGTGGCGGTAGTTTTTTTGCCAAGGCTGCAATTGCTCAAGCGTGCGTGCGCACATGTGTACGTCTGCATGTTTTTGTGTACATGACTGTAAATACTAGGTTGATTTTTCATTGGCCCTTTTTCTTGTTCTCGAGCCGGCCGTGCGATGGGCCGTCGTATTTTTGTACTCGCGAGGTGCGTCATCGATTAAACGGCTGTTGGACACCACTGTCTCATGTGTTCTCTGTCGACGCCAATTTTTAACCCTTTGACGGTCGAGCTTTTTTCCCCAAAAGATGTTTCTTAGTGGTCGGGTTTTGTTTTCAAAGAAATGCTACATCAGGCTCGCAATAATTCAAGCTCGGATATTTCATACTTCTGGCTAATTCAAACAAATTTAAAAATTTTGGTTGTCCCGGTATGTTTTTTATGTATTCATAAGGCCGCTTAATTCCAACGGCGTTTCCGTGTAATACATTTTGTTTTTGCGGCCCCGTTGAGTGCGCTTCTTTCCGAGCACCGGTGCACTTCAGAGAGGCAACACCCGTGAAGCTTGCTTTCACGGGTGTTGATACTCTGCAGTACACCGGTGCTGGGTGAAAAGCGCACTCAACGGGGCTCAAGCAGGGCACCGTGAGCTATGAAAACAGGCACCACTCTGAAATTTCATAGCAGCTTGCGCAGACGCTGTGACATGGCGGCATGGCATAGGTCCATGTCACAGCGTCCGCACAAGTTGCTATGAAAACTGCCGTGCGGTGCCCATTTTAATCGTTCATGTGTCCTTTGCTTAATAGTTCAGTGACGAAAGTGCTGCGCCATGAACGAAAGTCTCCTACAACTTGTGCCAAAGTGCCATTTTGGCTAAGAATTGCATCACACCTGTGCTGAAAAGGGATTAATCGAAGTAATAAAAATATTTCATTGTTGGTCAACCTTAATATTCAGAAAATTAGGAGGAAAGAAAAATGGTAGGAATATGTATTTCACAGCGTCTCTAATCACCACATGGTTAGTTTCATCTTGGGTCGGAGCACAGTCGAAGGCTGGAACACACAAGCACAAACACATTCTAAAAGAGCAAATCGCAGGACATTCGCTTCACTAATTGGTTTAGTCAATAAAACACTTACAGGAAAATGAACGATTGATATTATGTCGCGCTTTGACGCTGTTTGGTTGGTCCCAATGGCTCCTAGTGCCGACTGCTCTTTAAATTAAGGTGAAATGAAGTACAGAGATTACTCGTCAACCGCACTGGCCGATTGATGCACTGGCGGATTGATCGCCAACATTGCTTGAATTTTCAGACGATATCTCGCCTAACGTGTGATAATTAAGTTTCTTCAAGAAAGTAGCCTCACATCGCAACTTTATTACGTCGTTTCCAACCGACAGTTTCAATTTGATGCGTTAGTCTTGAACGGTGATGTCTGCGAGAGCAGAACTATGATGCAGTGATCGTGGGAACCTTGCCGTTGTGCCCGGGAACTGTTCAGCCGGCGTGGAGTGCAGTCGTCGCCGGGCCTCGCGCTTGCGCTTGGCCTCCGTGGTGCAATCATCGTCCATGGCGTTGGCCCGCCGACGCCCTTTACATTGCTGGTTCTGTTCTCGGCGGCGGCTTTCCAGGCGAGCGATGTGCTCTTCTTTGGCAAGGGAATCTGAAGCGCTCGATGCTGTGGAAGTCGAGACAACAGCGGCTTTGCGGCGGTTGCAGCCCCATTCGCGCTGCTGCGTACGTCGCCGCTCCTTCCGCAGCCAGTCTTCTTCCCCCGAAAGGGCGCGCGGCCGACCCATCCCAAGTCCAACCGAAACTGATAAGAGCGTAGGAAACAGCGCGCAAAACAGATGAGGATGAAGAAACACATGTGACGAGCGCTGCGCTCGTTGCATGCGATTTTTCTTTGTAGTCGTCTGTTTTTTGCGCTGTTTCCTACGATGAATTCCCACTAACGCGCCCAACTATCCATTCTTCTACGATAGCTGGAAAGGTTGCCGCCATCTACGAGCGACAGCGGCAAGCAGACTGGTTGTGTGCTTGCTGCCGTCGCTTATAGATGGCGGTAGGTGTCCAGGTAGGTTTGTGTCGACGGGCGTTTGACACCGGACACAATCCTGGGGAACCCAGCCCTTAAGAGCTCCGCTGTAAAAATAAAAACAAGCACGATTGGTGAAAGTGGGTTGTCAAGACGTCGCAACCTACACTCTGTTCACCCCTAAGCTGAGGCAGCGGTGGGAGCTATGCTTTAACTGGACCAATAAACGGCCTCCCTTCCCTCACCTGGCCCAGCTCTGTGAAAGAATGTGGGCGAGGGCGTGATCACGTGGCGAAGGATCGACGTATGACTGGTCCAACGTGCTCGTAGCTTCCACCACAGTCTCGGCTTGGAGGTGAACGGAGTATAACGTATACTCAGTCATGGGCACGTTACTGCTAAAATGTAACAGTGTTACAGTAACAGTTACGGGGAAAAAGTAACCCTGCTACAGTTGTAAGGTTGAAAGAGTAACTTGTTACAGTTACTTCACTAAAGTAATGCCATTACTTCGTCATTAATTTACAAAATTAGAAAAATATTTAAAAGGAACTTAGTGTGCCTTTAAATTAACATAGATTTTTTATAAGACATTGTGTTGTTTACAGTAGTGAATCTGGATAATTTGAGAAACTGACTCGCAATAATCAATATTACAGTGTAAGCTCGTTGTAAAAGACCTTGATTTTGACAAACATTTCGGTCCATTGTAAAAGGAGTATGTTGTATGCAGATATAAAGTTAAGTCAATGGTACATAGAGGAAAACCAACTAAACTTCACAAATTGGTATGTTATATCCAAATATCTGCTGTAATGAGCTTAGACTAACATGTTTGGTTCTTGCTATTTCAACTTTTACAATGAATCAGTCCCTGAACAAGATCATAATTTAAGACAGCAGTGGGGTTAATCCACTATATAATAAAGAATTTATAGGTAGTTTCTTTTTTGGCAGTTACAGGTGACTTTAGTTTTTCAAAATATTAAGCTAGCAGATACCTGCTAGCTTAAAAAAGTCTGCTATAACGGAATGGTGAACTAACAAAACTCCTCAATATAGTCCATTATATCCAAATGTACCTATGTTACAGTAGTAAGCAAAGCTAAATCAATGGCATAAATAGGAAGACTAACCAAACTTAACAAATTGGTATGTTATGACCGAATCTCTGCTGAAACAAGATTTGTTGCAATGGGGTTATACTGTACAGTTCTCCAAAGGCAACAAATAGCAACATCTTCTGCGATGCCTGCAGTTTTGCATTTAGGTGGGCACTTTCAAATGTATAATCGTCGAAGGGTTAAGGGTCTCTCTAGCCACTGATGAGGTGAGAGCGGCAGGGAGGAGTTTTGATAGTCCCGTCTTCATGCGAACCTCCTACCTTTGACAATGCTTCAACATCTTGTGCACCTCAAACGAGCCTTGAAACATGTCCGGAACTTTCTGGTGTGACGGATGCCGATTTGTACCGCAGAAAGGGACACTGGTCCTGCACTTTTTGACCACACATTATCAAAAATTAAAAAAAAAAAACAAAAAAAAAAACTAGGAAACAAGCTTTGGGGAGGGGGGCCAAGGGGAGACTTTTTGCCATTCCGAGGCTTCCAGGAGGGACTTTTCTTCAATTATCTAAATTGTGTCTAAATTGGAACGGTGCCTCCAATGATGAAGGCCGACATCATTTGAACGGATTAACAAATTACTCTTTCTGGGTCACGTTTTCTGTCGCTCCTTAACAGCTCTATCCACTGACATACAGCGAAGGTCCAATAAAAAACGCCATAGAGTTACAGATCGGTTTAGAACCATTCATTTATTTGTACCATTAAATATTTGCGGGATTGCACGTGGGATATGAATCGATACCTTGTCTTAAGTGCTAGCCGTTCGTCTTCTCTTTTCCTGTAAAGCCTTCAACGCAGCACCAACGCTGCCGCGGCACGTCTGTTTACCGAGGCATTGTTTTTCTTAGTTTGTGTTTTGGCACGCCGACCGTTCCGAGCCGTTCAGTTGGATAGCGCCCAGAGCTGCGAGGTGGCGCCACGTCGGCACGGTCTCGCCGCCACTTGGTCTCCGCCACCGTCGAGGCAGAGCTTTCCGCCGGGCTGTTCCAGACGCTGGTCGCGCCACAGCCATCTCTGCAACGACATCAGCAACGAAGATGAGCAAGAAACATGGGCAATGTCGTGAACATAGATTTCGACTCTATAAACTCGTGTTAATGGGGTGACCCCGTTGAGCAGCGCCAAGCCGGCAAGACATTTCTACCGTAGCCACAAACGTTTTCATGAAACAATGGAGTTCTTTCGGTTGCTGTGCCACTGGCAACACAAGCTCTCTGCCCTCAATGATGCAGTCAAGACACCACAAAAGGGAATGGCTATACGAATAGAAAACTGAGGGAAAGGAGGAGACAAGAACGCACGTCCCCGTGTGACGTCCCCGCACGACGTGACGGCACCGAAGCCTTCGATACACAAGGACCGACGTCGTAAAGTAAAAGCGCTCCTTTACTTTCAAACTCGCTGCGGCTGCCACATGCTGCGTTCCCCTCTTGTCCCGTCAATCCCTCACCTCAACCCCCCCTTCAAGACTTGAGGCCCTCTCGAGTCTCTCCTGGGAACTCCAAAAGGGAACGCCCGCGCCCTCTCTGGGTATCGTGCAGAGCCTGCGGAGTCCCTGCATGGCTCCGGTCGTCACCGCCACCACTAGCTCCTTGCAAAATGTACATACTATCTATAACATGTGGTTGCTTATAACTAGGGTTCCGCGTTTTCGGTTTCTATTTTTTCAAAATTCGGCGTACTTTTTTCGGTGCTTATTTTGAAATTCAAATTTCGTTTTTTTTCGGCGTATATTTATGCCCACAAAAGTTTATCAGCTTTTTTCGGTGAATATAAAATCAACACCAACGGACACCGGATCAGATAATCCTTGTAGCTCTGATATTTGTGATCACTCAAAGAATAACGGCACAAATACATTGAAAAAGAAATGGACACTTTCTTTGGCAAACGTGTGCAACTGAAAAAGAATCAAGAAAAAACACAGCTGTACAAACTATTCATATATGAAAACTATGCCCCCCCCCCCCCCCCCCCCCCAAAAAAAAAAAAAAATGGAACTTTACCTTCTGTAAATCAGGATTACCTGATCTTATTATAGTACACACACATATACTTTCCAGGTTTTCCTCGTTGATCCGCACTCTTTCCTTCGTGTTAATATGACCCTGAGCTTCGAGAATGCCCTCTCAACGCTAACACTGGACACTGCAAACTGAGGAGATGAAGCGCTGCCTGAGCCAAAATCAGCCAATCAACCAATTGTGACCGCCAAAAGAGACACGGTGCGACGTTTTAAAGGACAACACAACATGCAGAGCTCGCATCAAGTCATTCTTCCTTACAACGAGTTTGAAAACACGCTCGTACATGGCGAAGTCATGGGGCCTTTCGGACTTCACGTTCCGATCGATGATGCGCACATTAAACCAAAATTTCGTGATGGCATCCGTGTATCCCATACATTCGGACACTTTTCGATAGACACTGTCGTTCCACTTTTTCGCCACAGCTCTGCGGTACGACTGGAAGGTTGAAGTGACCTTTTCCGGTTAAAACTGACTTTTAGAAAATGGATTCGACGTACTTTTATCGGTTTTTATTGGTTTAAATTGAAAATGCCGAACCTAAAAACTGACCTTTTCGGTTAAAACCGAATTTCCGAAAATGAATTCGGCGTACTTTTATCGGGTTTTATCGGTTTAAACCGAAAACTCCGAACCCTACTTATAACATCGTCAAAAGTTTTTCGAGCCTAAAAAAAGATATTGATGCACGAAAAAATAGGAAATACACTCCGACCGATTTTTCGGACACCGATAATTCGAACTTGTTTGATGTTTTGGACCTAAGGGAGGATAGAAAGAGTGCATGTTCACGACCAATGTTTCAAGCTTGAAGTATGAAAGTGAAATTTTTCGGCCAAAATTGTTGCGAGCGATCAGCAGGAAACACCACCGAGAAGCCACCATTTTAGATTCTATGTTCTCTTGAGCATGGATTCGCTTGGTTTGGCAGCGCTACTTCAGTTCTGCTAAGTCCTACCGCTAGGTGATGCTATGCCACAGCTTCTTTTTTCTCTAGCTACGCGTCATTAACATCACCACTGTTACCATTTTGTTTTGTTCATTTGTCATTCTGCAGTTGTGGACTCGTGCCTCTCATCTCGTCTCGGTGAATCATGTCTTCAGGCTACGCTGGCTGGAACGTCATGGCCCTATCTGTTCCTCTGCCGCGGCGAAATGCAAGCGCGGAAAGTACTCGACCTTAACGCTAGAAAAGAAGGCGGCGATCCTCAAGCTAATAGAAAGCGGCCAAATGCAAGCGGAGGCGTAACCTAAAGCAAGGCACTATTGATGACTTTTTTTAAAGGGGTAGTGCAACAATTTTAATGTTGCAAGAATTGGCAGTTTGTATTTTTTATATTGTTTATCCAAGCACAAGTGACCAAAAACACGTCACCTTGCCCCGAAAAACTGCTATTCCACAGCGTAATCACAAAAAAAAAAAAAAAAAAACTATTTGTTGATAAGCAGCCACATGTGATGGTTACAGGAACTACGGTGGCAGCGTCTCTGGGGGATACGCGGAAGTCAACAAAAACCTATCCCCCTTCGCTGCTACACTTCCCGTCAGCGCCGTGGCAAACCGTCTTCTGTGTCGATCGCTTGCCACGACCTTCGACGATGCTAATCCTCGACGATGCTAATCCTTTAAAAGTAGACAGTCGCGGAGGAAGTGGCTGGGGTCTCTGAAGAGAGAACCCAAGGGGAAACTATGTGATCCCCCCCAGAGTACGTCCCTCAAAAGGCGACGCGGAGTTGAGAGGCACCTTGACTTTCGATTTGTTTCATTTTTTAAAATAAAAACTAGCGCTCGCAAGAAAATACGATTTTCTGTTCTTTGTTTCATAGGTGACACAGATTCATTTCTGCAGTTTAAATGGACAAAGTCTAAAAATCTTTGCGTCGCACCTTTAAGCCCACTTAGATGTAATAAAAGCAAGTTTTTTAATCTGCTGATTTTTCGGACTGTTGTATTATTCGGACATTTTTTCACTCCCTGCGAAGTCCGAAAAATCAGTCGGCGACTGAATACAGAAACTGAAAGTTGCAAGTGTGCGAACCAGCTTAAACACCAACCAAGATGAAAACATGCACCACAGGGTGAAACCAGAAGTGACAATTTGAGTGATTAATGTTTCATCTCTATTTAAACCCATACATGCAAGATGTGAAAAAAAAATAAAATAAAAAAAAATAAAACTTTCAGCTTTTTCATTTTAGTGAAGAAGGAAGAACGGCAGAGCTGTAGCTTCTGTTCTCGGCGGTGGCTTTCCGGACTAACAATCTGCTCTTCTTTCGCAAGGGAATCTGAAGCACTTGACGCAGCGGAACTTTAGGCGATAGCAGCCTCGCGGCGGTTGCGGAACTATTCGCGCTAATGCGCACATCGCTACTTGTTCCGTTCCAGCTCTTCTTCCTCCGAAGAAATGTTGCCGCCATCAACAAGCAACGGCGGCAACCAGGGTGTTGTGTCGACCACGGGTGTCGACATTTGTTTGGTACCAGACACAATCCTGGAAAAACTAGCCCTTGTTAACCCCTTAACTAGGGACTGTTTTTACTAAAAATATCTGTAAAATGGAGAGTTTTTTTTAATTTGCTTCTAGCCCCCGAAGGTATAACAATTATCTCAAAAAATAAAACAAATTTATTTGGTATATCAAGTTGGATGTACACCCTGCACTTTCTACAATCCGAAATAGATGCTGGCGTCTTGCGAGGTAGCAGCAGACGCCGAAATTGATGCTGTTTTTATAAACAATTATTCCGCTGAGTCATTTTGAAATTTCGTGTCTGATCCCGGGGAGCATTCCATCGAACTCGAGAAATCAACATCGCAGTCGCTGTCCTTGCGAGCATTTTGCAGTACCTCAGCGATTTCTTCGTCGGTCAAAGGACACGCTGGCGTTTGCTGGATGCCATTTTTCAAACAGACAGTCAAAGGTGTCATACGGGAGTCTTCAACCTTTTTTTGTGCTGCCATGTATGCATTATTTTTAAAGCTAAAAATGTTTCCGATACACAAGGATAGATGGCGCTTCCCAACAGCAAAGGAAGTGTAGCGCATCTATAGACGCGCCCCCCAATCTGCAGTCAAAATTGATGCGTGTCGAAAGACGCGCTCCCCAGTTAAGGGGTTAACAGCTCCGCTGTAAAAAGAATTATGGGACTGAACGACAAGTTTTACCTGTGAGGGGTGTCCGCCGCACGGCCGCAAGACCAGGGGGTGACTTCGCGCCGCGCCGGAAGGCGCCTCCGTGTCGACTGTGATGCAGAGACCACCGTGAGCTATGAGTCGCGAGGCCAAGCTCCACTGCTGGTTGCCCCCAGACCCGTGGCAGGTGAAGAGCCCTACGGGGTTTCCCTCGCTGCCTCCGAGGGTGTCCAGGCACATCTGGCCCTGACGCAAGGACGCGAGGCGTTCACCCCCGGCCGCCGGCACCCTGCGTGTCGAACGAGCACCGTTGCAGGTTACGACGACACCGATCCCGCCGTCAGTAGAGCGTTCAAATAATCTCCTCGCGTTTGTAGTTATGATCGAAGACAGCGAGGATGACGGGACGTCCCTTTTGAATGCCCCGCCTTCGGCGCTGCCAAGCTAGGAGGCTCGCGCTGCAGGCAGAACAAGTGAAGCTCCTCCCTACTGTCCTCATTTTGTCAGTGACGACAGCCATTTCACTTTTTTGGCAGGCGTGTAAGGGGGATTGGTGGCTGGCTCGAGACGTCCAGAGCAAAAGCTCTTGCTGCGGAATGTGGGAATCCCAGCTTCATTTCCCACCCCTGTCCATTTCGATCTGGACGAACACCATACCAGCTAGCGTTTGTGTATTACTGCATGTTGGAGACCCTCGGGCCGGCTGTCCTACTGCACTCAATAGATTTCTCATCTACAGAGGAGACACAGCGCAGACACCTGGCAGCCATTGGGACTGACTAACTTTCAGTTGTCGAAACAAACGTGGAAAACAATTACTTCCGTGAAGTGTTCTTTGGCTAGGTGTTCCACACTTCGTGAAGTCCAAAAGTGAAGCCCAGATAAAAGCGTGGCCGCGAGGCTCGAAGCCGATTGGGTGACAATTGGAAGAGGAGGGGCAAGGTGCTCGACGCCGATAGGTTAACAGGGAGGTCGTGTGACCAGGGGCAAAGTGAGGAGAGGTAAGCAAGGTGGGAGAGGAGGACATCACCAGGTTTATCGTTTCAAGTGTATGCGTGCCACGAGTTAAATTATCCAATGAAGAGCACTGTGAATGTAGGTGTCTGGCTCAGCGAACTAGACGTGTTGCTAAACGACGGTATAAATGTTTGTGATGCTAGAACGATTCACGTATGCAACACAATTGCCTAGCAATTTCCCGTGCACTTTTATCCTTATAATGTGAATACAAACGTAACTCGTGGTGAGCATTTTAAGGGATCAAGTTTAGAAAAACCTACAAAAACACTTAAGACTGCTAATGTGTCGGAATGCAAAGGCATTCGTATATCTAGCGTATTGCTACAAGCTGCGCGTCGCACTGAGCTCGGCCGTGTGGCCTCTCCGGAGTCTGCCTGGGTGGGCTCTGCTTGCTCTGCGGCCAGCCACTCCCTCTTATACAAGGGACACATGAGTGATGAAAACGGGCGTCGAGCGGTAGTATCATAGCAACCGGTGCTGGCCTCCTAATGACACTTCCGTGTGGCGCGGCGTCGCTTGGATCTGGTCAATACAGATAAAGTGGCGCAGTGCACCTGTGGCGCGCTGAGCTGCAAGTGCAGCATGATGCCCACTTTCACCGCTCATGTGTTCCGTGCTTTTCCGGCGGCTGGGCCGCTGCGCCATGGCGCTCCTTGGAACTATGGCGCACGCCAGCCAATCGGGTGGCTGCTACTGACTACAGGCTCCGCTCCATGAGACAGGGGAATTTAGGTGCCGTTTGGCACGGCTTCAAAAGCTGATAACGCCGGTTCGCTCCATGAAATAATTAATGCTTTCATATAAAAAAAAAAAATGCTTCATATTATAAAATGTGCTTAGCTCAAGTGACATCTCTGCATGCCAAGGTTGGCAGGTTGAAAAACGAGCCTAGCAGTGACTATTTTCGTTGCTGCAACTCCTCGTCCAGATCAAAAAGCAGAACTTGACCCTTACTTTTAATGCACAAAGTCCAGAAGCTCTTTCTGGAGCTTAGGGCAACAGAGAAGAGGTTTGGCATTTCACAGTGGAGACATCAGCGCCAAGACGAGCTCAAATTTTAACCTCTCAATCCGGCTTCACAAAATGCAAGACGTGGTGCAGTATGACCAGATGACGTGCACCTTAAGAAGAACACGCTTTATTTTAATGATTAGTTTATTGTATTCCAGTCACACGGATCTTTGGGCTCCTGCATGCATACAAAAGCTCATGCTATCGTGAAAACTTTTGCTATCGTGTGGAATATTATAGCACCAATGTCAGGAAAGTAATGCAGTGCTCTGCAGTCGCACTGTCCCGTGAATCAAAGCACGAGAAACTTCTGAGCGAGTGAAGGATGCTTCAGACATTTGCATTCGAATTTGACCAACCGCCTCGCTGCCGACGAGGAGGTCGTTGCTATGACAACCTAGGTCTGCTCAAAGCACCTTAGCGGAGTACAAGAAGTCGTAACGCAGCCAGTAGCATTAGAATGCAAATATTCGAAGTAGCCCCGAGCTTTCCAGCTCCACAACAACGCCTTGCCACAAAGCCAACTTCCATGCAACTTCGACTCACTTGAGTTCCGGGTAAACGTTGTCCAGGTACCACTGGAAAGAGTGGCATCCCAAGCTTTTACGTAGGTTCAGCCGTTCTTCAACGCTGAAAGCGGAGTCGAAAACACGCATTGAGTCCGAGGTAGGGACACCACGGAGCGACGCAAAGCGACAGCCACACCGTGCGACAGGTACGCAGTGTGATGAAGCCTGGTTTGATGGGGCATGCATTCCCACGAGCGGTTTTGTGCCATCAAGGCCACCCAAAAGTTTTTTAACTCCCAAACGAAGGAGAAAGCTTCACCTGCCCATGGGCACGTTGCGGGCGACGGGCACTGTGGCATAGTAGTACTTCTTGTAGTCGTCCATCCAAACTTCGGCAGCCCGACGCGTGTTCCTGCGAGGGCGGCAGCAGTTAGTCGCGTGTCGTGCGAACAAGCGACGTCTGGGGGGGAAACGCTTGCCTGGCGAAGACGTTGCCGCTCCCTCCGGGGAAGGAGTAGGGGTGCTGCTTGCGGAAGACGTGGCCAACTCGGCTGCACGGCAGGATCTCGAGGCTGCCGCCGCACTGCCACGCTCGGAACGAGAGCTCTGCAACAGGATGCGAGTCCACGTCGTAGTTCGCGATGCGAGAAATTGGTCTTGACGCCGGTGGTGGAGGTGACGGGACGGTGGCTGGCCATGCAGTCTGCATGCCCAAATACGTTACTGAGGAAATTGGGGTTGCGACTTTGTTAGCACTCCAAATTTGGGAATCCGGACACGGGCCGACTTTTTTCTTTGGTTTGCGGACCAAGAAATGGTGGGCTCGTTCGATTTACCTGCAGCGGCTTGCACCGGTGTAGAAAGGTGTAGTGCGGTGAAGGAAAATGTGAGGCAGTCTACTTCTGGTAGTGTTTTGAGACAGGCTGCACTCGTAAATCGAATACGGAGGTGTGCACCGAGTGAAGCTGGTCCAGGTGAATCAAATGAGTCCAGGATATCGCTCAATGACACGAGACTAGGATGCGCAAAGTGGGTAAGTAAAAAAAAATAAAAAGAAAGAAGCTAAGGTTTTATTGCTCCACTTTTCATGCAAATGAATTCCCTAAGGATACCTTTTTCAAAATGCTTACTCGGTTGATTGACCCCAAAAAGTGAGAATTGAGTTTTCTCCCCAAGTTTTCCGGTAACAAAAAAATAAAAAAAATAACAAGCTAGCTTTTACCGCTCAATTAGAGAAAAGATACGAAGCCTGAGAGCATCAAACTCCTGTCTAACCTCGAGTGTTTCCCCACAATCAGAAATGTGTGGGGGCAGTTGCAAGAACCGGCACATTTGGCACGACTTGCGAAATTCAAATTCTAAGCGTACGTACCTGAAATTAGACACACAAACGTCATTTCGCAAATGTTTTATGTGTATTTTATCTCGACATCAACTCGGAGTTGGTGAAGTATAAAAAAGAAAGCAAAAATGGCAGCCACACATTTCCCACTTCTTATACTGAATGTCTGTCGTCTGCACACTGGCTTGCTCCCAGATGGTCGTCGTTCATATGATTTGTTAAATTACTTACCTAGATTATTTTGCTAGCCACCAGCCTCTAGCTATTATGGCGTTCTCAGCGTTTTTGTGCTCAGCAAGTCACCTGGAAGCGAGCTTCAAAACCAGTGTGCAGATGACAAGAAGGCTGATATACGACAGTAAATGCAAGCCCACCGTTTTTGCTCCAGTATTTTTAGTATTTCACCACCCAAGTTGACCTCTAAAAACTAGACCTGCATGCCAAATTTCAGGTATGTTTGGAATTCAAATTTTGCATGGCATGCCAAACGCACTAGTCTTTGTGGTTGGCCGCTCTCTGTATGCAAAAAATAACATCCGTCAAAAAGTGAAAACCCGGTCACTGAAAGGGTGTGACGCAACCTCACCAAGGTTCTCGCCACCCCAGATGTCCATGGCTGTGTCGTAGGCACCGAGGCGCTCGAACTGGGCTCGATCTACCACGAATAGGCCGCCCGCTATCATGGGGGTCCTGCGGAGAAAGACGTATCCCGTGAGGATCTCGACACTTTGACCGGTTCCCCCGCCAAAGTCGTACGTTTGTTTTAAATGCATAGCATTGACAGAGCCGGCTCCTAGGGTCTTCGTGTTCATGCTCACATGCAGCCTTGATGGTGACGTCACTCTGATGATGTCGGGGCACTCACGACAATCGGTGTATGACTGTGGTGCTAGAACAGTGACGAGACCTAATAGAAGAAACTCTCGGGTCATGCCATTTTATGTGACACGGTCGACTCTAAATGCTCTGCGTTTAGAGTGCTTTGGGATACATACCAAAAAGACTGCCTGTTTGGTTTAGAGTGGGATGTTGGAATAATGAACTAACGAGTTAGAAAGCCCGGAATTGTTTAGCTTGTTACGGCTAGGAATCAAATATGACAAACCCGGAATGCGAGTCTGTTTTGTGTTCTTTTATGTTATTGCTGGATTCAATGAATATCTAACCTGCGAAAATAGCGTACCATAGTTTCCAGCGAATAAGTCGCAACGTTTTCCCGAAATTTCCATTGACTATACGAGATTCTAACCGAAGACGACGGACAAAAAGGGGACGAGGGACAAACACGCGCGTCTCTATGAGGTTGGCGAGTTCCTTGTACGCATTTATTTTCTAAGAGTATGAACCCTTGCTGCGAAAATTTGCCACGGGTGTTGTGTATCGTGATTCGTTTACGAGAATATTGAGGTTTGCTCTTGCTAGTGAATGTGTTGCGATCATAATAGACAGATGCGAGCTTTTTAATGCAGTTTCGCTGCGTCGACCGTACAAATGACATGGGTGCGACTTATGTACCAACCTTTTTTCCAAAAACAGCTATTTTTAAAGGGTCTGTGACATAGGCCGGAAAAGACAATACTCGAACAAGAATGTAGCATGACATCTATTCATTGATTGCTCTGTGTTTGTTCTTTTTTTATTAATTTCACTACGAATAAGGTATTGCATGAATGCAGGCACTTGTTTGGCGACGATGGCAAAAGTATTCCGTTCTTAGATGCCAGAATTTATCTTTGGGCCGTGCTAGTACACTATAACCTACAACTTTCCGAAACCTCGAAAGCCTCGGAATCCGAAAATTCAAACCCAGGCGAGGTACGTTCTCTTCGAACTCTGCGAGTCTGAATCTCAGCGAGGCCGGCGAGCGTCGAACCTTTTTGCACTCAAACTTCGAGTTGTTCGCAACATTTCTTTGTCAAGAGAAAAAAAAATTTAAAAAATATAAAAAAATCACCTGATGGGCAGTGTTGGATTGTTAGCCCGCTCCTCCCGTTCCTTGTTAGACAAAAATTCCCACTTGAAGACCAAGTTCCAGTTGAACCCTGCACAATCAGTCACTGAAATCAAGCGCGTGCCGCCGAACGAACAGCAACAGTTCGTTCAGCTAAAGTCTCTAGATGAAATTCACTCTTCACATGTTTTTTACAAGTACTGACAACATTGTTGTGCAAATACTTGAGGCACGTGCCACGAGCGAGCACTGCTGCATCACTTGCTTTCAAGGGCCGCACGAAGCATGGGTCTTGTGCATTGGCACATTTGACTCTACTTGTAAGACAAGCACAAACACATTGAGGAGCTTTACGCTTAGCGGCCAACAGTCCTGCACCGAAATCTGGGTGGCCAACAGCATTTCGTCAGTGAGCCACAAATGTAAGGTATGACTAGGGTTCCGCGTTTTCGGTTTTTATTTTTTCAAAATTCAGCATACTTTTTCGGTGTTTACTTTAAAATTCAATTTTTTTTTCGGTGTATATTTATTTCCCCCAAAAAAGGGCAAAAAAAATCCATTGTATTTATGTTCTGAACCAAAAGGAAGTTTGAGAAAGACTGTTAGGAAAGGTATTAACAGCTTTCCTCGATGTCCTCCGAAGGGCATAAAGCGAGAAATATTATACTAGCCCACATCAGAACTTGTCTTTTAGGACCGGGAACTTGACACACTAAGCCCGATCATAGAAAGGACACAGATGTCCCCCGAAGGCCAATCTAAGATCTCTTTTGTTGCATGTTGAACCCTGGAAGAGGGCAATCACAAAGACATCACACTGTCGCAATTATTATTATTATTATTATTATTATCATTAAGGACATCCCAGATGCTTCGGGAGGCGGGTTTGCTTCTCCATGGGAGTTCCACAACAGAGTTGACCCTGTAACGTGGAACCTTAATCAAAACATAAACAAACAAAAAGGAGGACTGGCGGCCAGCTTTACACACCGCCTCTGAGGTCAGATGAGGCGCCGAAGTACTTGAAGCTCTCGAGGTTGATGACGTCGATGACGGGGCAGACGACTCGCCGGGGGTCCTCCTTCACTCGGCGGAGCAGCGGAGGCAGCCAACCCTGGTTGCACTCGCAGTGGCTGTCGAGGAACGTCAGCACCGGGGCCTTGGCCGCCCTGGCTCCACGCACGCGACTCCGCACCAGCCCTGCCAATCGGAGATGGCCGTTTATGCAGTGAACAGGGACGGCGGCCCTATGGTGCCCGGACCACTTCTCTGACTGGTATGTTTGGTGCCCCGTTCTGCCCAGGCATTAAAGGTGGTCCCGAAGCGACCCGATGCATGGCGCTGGGTTGTTACCATGTTGTGAGCAGTCACAAAAAGTTGCGATGCGGTTGGTCACATCCATTGCAAATGCGCGAAAAAGCTTTTGTGCTCACTCGTGCTCTAGTGTAGCTAAGTTACAGGTCATTACATTTTTACAAATCCCTCATAGTTATGATTACTTGCAAAAGGTGACTAGGTTCCATTCCGATGGCACTTTTACGATATCCCGCGACGTCGGGTGCGTACTAACCAACGATTCGGTTTTCAACAGTCAACTTTTGATTGGCGTTCTACCTGAGGAAGCGCTTGAGGTAGTGACAACACGTGGCGTTGAAGTTGAAACTAAATTGTGGCAAATTTGTGTATTGTATTTGTCAACATCATTTTAATAAGTAGCTGTTAATGAACCAAGTTTCTAGTCACTTCGAAAATGTGACTAAGGGACGTGTGATCTTGTCGTAACATCAAAAGTATGAATTTGTACTGAAATCGTAACTAATTATGGTAAACTAAATACTTTAGTTACCATAAGATACCGAATAAGCGCCCGCCCAAAAGTGAGAGATGATCGTGAAAAAACCCGTCAAAGAGTGAAAAGGTCAGGTGAAAGAGCAGAAAGCATATGGGGCAAATCATACAGTAGGAATGATTTGCCCCATCTGCATATGATAGTATAGGAGCATTATGGTGGTCCATCTACCGTAAAGCTCAAAGTTTAGTCACAGCTCACCCTCTCTCTGAGTGTTGCGCAACAGGCGGATCTTCTGGATTTTCGCCAGCTCTTCACCGTCGGAAGCTGCGAAAAACGAAGGAAGTTGAGCATCTGGCCACCCCCGCTTGTGGTCCTAAAACATCACGGGAACTCACGATCGTCGCTGAAGTCGTCGACCAGAATGATTTCCTCAATGAGCTCCGCGGGGCTCCGGTTTAGCACACTGCAGCGTGAAACCAGAAACGGAGTACCGAAAGCGTTAGACGAACGACTTTTCATTCACTGTAATCTTTACGACAGACATATAACTTTGCTGCCTCGACACAAAACGCTACAATCGTTCCCACCACCTTTCTTCATTGGAGTGACACCCATAAGGAAACCCGTGGCAAGCTAATGTTAGCTGCACAAGGTTCGATGACTTGGCAGTGATGGGTAGTCGAGCGAGATGTGCTTAAATTAAGGGGAAAATACAGCTTCAGAAAGAGAACATTTTAAGAAACAGCACAGTTTAAGAACTTGTCATTTGTAGTCTATGTCCAAGTTTCAAAGTGGTGCCACTTAGAACTATTATACACTTTCAAGAGGACACCAGAGCAAGCATGTTTCTGGTTTGGCAACAACCCTCCCGAACATTGTGAACATTGCCTATGCTGTTTGAAATCCACTTTAATTTGGCAGCAAGTCTATCTTTGGGGTGGGGGGCATATTGCTATAATACTCAACAAGATTAATTTGTGCTGAGGAGCAAGCACATTTTTACCTCACAAAGCTTTATCAGCAGTGCAGCAGTGTCTGTGGGGGAAAATGACCATGTTATTTATTGTGTATTGTTATTGTACACCAATGTGGTGAAAACCCATCCAATCAAAAAGAAAAGAAAGGAGAATGTTTGAGATGGTGCGTGTGGTTGTCAGTTTTTTTATGCGAAAGCATTAACTGTCCCATGGAGAGAGCCGATATCATCAGCTTTGAAGCTGCGCCAAACGGCACCTCAACTTCTTTTGCCGAGTAAAGCCGCAATCTCCCAGCTTTGAAACCATGCGAAAAGCCTAGCCAAACGGCACCTAGTTTCCCCGATTCCAAAGGAGCGGAGTGAAGCTGATTTCGGCTTTGGTCCCATTGGCTGGCGTGTCACAGTTTCAACGAACGAGGCTCCCATTGGCCGCTGCGCGTCAGTTTCAACGACAGCCACCTCATGGTGCTGCGTGTCTGTGCCACGAGCGTGCCGGTAACACGAAGCGTCCAAGGTCAGAGCGGCGAGGAGAGCTGGGATAGTGCGTGCTTGCCCAAAGCACATACGCCACAGATGAAACAAGGGAGCGAAAAAATGACAAGCATGCTTTTGCATTCATAACTCATAAGAAGAGCTTAGGTGTAAATCAAGCCTTTTTTTAATTGGTTCCCAGTCCCCAGTTTATCGTTATGGGGTTAGTTCACCAGCTTGCCTGTGTTTCTTCACTTTCATCGAGAATGTCTGGTTCTTTCAATCATGTTTAGATTATATTATTGGAAGTTTCGCAAAGCACCTCAACTTCCGTGGAACTGAAGTCTCTGTCCCCATGTGACAGGTAGCCACGTGTAAGTGTTTAGGAAAACAACAAAAATTGGGAGAAAGACAATGGTAGCCTCACCGCACCTTTAACTGCTAAAAAAAATGCCCGTCATATGACGTGGCAAATTTTCCTTCTAAATTTGGCAAGAAAAGGATGCACGTTCGGCCACTGTTGTTACGGTAAATTCATTTTCAGAATTTCCGTAAGCCTTCAACTGACCTTACTAGCAGTAGAATGGGAAGAGGTCCCAGTTAGTATGTTCCATCAACAATAAAAATGCCAGAGAACAGAACAAGAAGGGGGACAGCAAAGTGCTTTGTTTGCGTCCCTTCTTGTCCCGTTTTCTGGTGCTTTAATGGCTGATGACCTTAGACGCTCTGCACATGTGCCAGATTACAGCCGCCATTGCTGACATTCTTTTGTCTTACCCAGATGGAGCACCCGTGAAGCAGACGTTGACGAGCTTCCACAAAGGCCAATGCTGGGGAGAAGGACACAGTAGAATCTAAAATGGCAATAACTTGCCCTTCTATGGTCATGATGAAGTGAAATAAAGATGATAAGAGGAAACAAAAATTTAAGGTTAGTTATGGCAGCACCTATGCACAGCTTCTGCAAAGCGTTTATAGTACCATAGGTTGTTTCTTGAGACTTCTGCGGTGCAACAAAATCCTCAAGAAAGAGACAAAGTGCTACAAAAGAAAAGACGACAAAGCGTCTTGTGTCCTTTCTTGTCCCGTTCTCTGGTACTTTTATTGACTTTACTACCGTAAGCTTGAGATTGTAATTCAAACTGGGATATTTCATACTTTCAGTTAATTCAAACAAATTTCAAAATTTTGGTTGTTCTGCTATGTTTTTTATGTATTTATAAGCCACTTAATGCAAACGACGTTTTCGTATAAGTCATAAACTTCTGTTCTCGCGAGCTCAACTCTCGCGACCCGTTGAGCTCACTTCTTTCCGAGCACCTGTGCGCTGCGGAAAAGCAACACTCGAAGAGCTCGCTTTCGGGGGTGTTTCCTCTCCGCAGTGCACCGGGGCTCGAAAAGAAGCGCACTCCACGGGGAACAAACTTAAATTTTATTTTGAGGTGTCATGCGCTGTCTAAACAGTCCATGATATACAACATTTTCAAGGGATGAATAAACTTATTTCCTACATTTTACCCAGGATGTCGAACCGGTAATATTCCGGTTCGGTTCAGGTTCGGGTTCAGTAACATTGCATTTTGTTCCAATTTGGCTCTGGTTCAGTGATGCATTTGAAATATTGCTTTGGTATCGCTTCTGTTACCGGTTTCAACAAGAGTAAACTGGATCGAACCGGTTCATAACTCTATCTTAGGTGATCTCCCCCCACCCCCGCTTTCCCGTGGATTTTCTGTGCTAAAGAAAACACAAAATTCAAATCTCCCAGTAGTTAAAGAGACACTGACAGGGTATTTATGCTCACCAAGGTTTTTATTTGTACATGACATACGAGAGCCCAACTACCCAGAACAAAATTTGCGGTTCGAAATTCGTTTTCTTTTTGCCTGAAAACTGCTAATCGAGAACTGGTTGGTTTGAGTTGCGCTCACTCTCTTCTCTGTGGTCACGTGCCATTTTTTATGGTTTAGACACAACCACCAAAGATAATCAAAGGGGTGGGTCATTGAGGACACACACTCAATATTAGAAATAAAAACAAAGAGATGCATAATTTCAGAGAAAATATAGTAAGGGTGCAGGCGAGCTGGTGAATATTAACCCTGTTGAATTAACCTGAGACTGGGGTAGAAGAGAAACATCAAAACGTAGAAGGGACAGAAAATAGACAAGATGTCATCTATTTTCTGTCCCTTCCACATTTTGATGTTTCTCCTCTACCCCAGTCTCAGGTTGATTCAATATGGTTAATGCTTAATTTTGTTTTTAAATGGGATAGCATTTCTTTTACGTCACTTCGCCTCTCCAGTGGCGGTTCTAGTTTTTGCCACTGCGGAACAACCGAAGCGAACACTGACAGACATTGGACCTTTTCATATTTTTATGTTTGCTTTCTGTTTTGAAGTAAGTCGACTTTGTTAATTCGACCTAGACGGGACATGTGAAATTGGGTCGAATTATCCGAAAGTCCAATTAAAAGATGCGTGCAAAATTCTTAATATCCAACGCTTTAGATCAGGTGGGCTAACATTTCTATAATGAGCTGCCGTATAATGCTGTATTGCAATGGCAGCAACTGGGTATGTCCTTTGCGTGCTTGGTGTGGTGACAGCAGTGGTGACCGGTGGCCGGGACCACTTCTGCAGAGTCGGGATGCCGCAAACTTTTTTCGAACCGAAGTTTCGACTATCGAATCAAGCGGTTCGAAAGGTTCGAAAGATTTCAATTTTTCGAACTTTCTATATTGTAAAATTCGACGGAAGTCGAGTTTTCGAACTTGTTAAACTAAGAAGTTTGACGCCGTCGAACTTATGACCTTAAAAAAATTTGATTCTTTTCGAACTTTCAAACTTATTATGCTGCAAAATTCAATGCTTGTCCAACTTTCAAACTTGATAGACAAAAAAATCGATGATTTTCGAACTTTTGAACTTCTTGCATTAAAAAGTTTGCAGCTTTCCGAATTTCCTACGCTAAGAAATTCAATAATTTTCGAACTCTCGAACCTATTTATCAAGAGAATTCGAAAAGTTTCGAACTTTCGAATCCTAAAATGTCAAAAGTTCGACGAACTTCAAACTTTTAGGGTAAAAGTTCGACATTCATCGAACTTCGAAAGACCGGCGGACGGTTTCATTTGAATTCAAGTAGTGAGGTACATTCGTAATTTATTTCTCGAATTTTTACATGCGGTGCTGCGTTCCTTACGAAAGACAATGCCGTTTATTTTAATGTTCTAGCATGCTTAGCAAAAAAAAAAAAAAATTCCCGAAGGGGTGAGGAAGGACGACGGTTTTTTGACGATTGTCGTTTGTGCCATGTTTGAAGCGCGCTTTAGTCGAAGCTATTTATGGCAGAGATGTTAAACTTCTTAAGAATGATCTATGTATAGCTTAGGTAAGTGTCGTCTTAAGATGTGATTATTCTTATTCAAGATAAGTTTCGAAGAAATGTCCAAACATGTATCTACGGGTAATTATGCCCTAAACTTGGTATTACTTTTTTTTCGTCTAAGTTGTTCGAGGTATCGCATTTAAATTAACACTACAGACAGTACTTATCATTGCCATCTGCAGAATACAAAATAATGCATTTATTTTTTTTTCACGTTCAGGAATAAATTAACTCATGGGAGAAGATATCTAATATTGTTCAAGTTCAGCATGTCATTAAAAAATAAACATTTGTTTTTTCACATTTTACGTTCTTGGGTTGAGTTTCTTTTAGCCTGTACGCATTTTGGTAGGAGAAACTTGTTTCGAAGTTCTGAGCCCGTGAATATGCAAGAACACAACATTTCCGGCGAATTCTTGATAGTTTTTTTTTTTTTTTCTGTAGCTTTTTATCCCCGCAGTTATTATTATGTTTATTTTAATTTTATTTTTTTTATCAATGGCACAGTTATTTAGGTCGAAAAGACATAGCTGTGAACTTCCAAACCACTAAGCATGTGACAAGTAGTGCCTTCTGACAACGAGTTTTCGAGAATGACCATCTACGCCAGTGGTCTCAAACTCATCTGAGTTTGGGGGCCAGATAGCTCATACCGGAAAGTTTGAGAGCCACCGTGAGACGGGGATGGGGGGGGGGGGGAATGGATGGATGAGAAGAGACCCCGTGCCCTATGCTTTTCGTAAACTCACAGTTTTGCCAGTGACATTTTTAAATTTGATTTGTATACATGACAACTTTGGGCCCTGACCTGATGTGATAACAGAAATTAAAATTACACTGCCCCCGCCAACGTGTTGGCCTTTTTAGTGGAATGGGAGAGCAAGTAATCTATCATTCCCAGCTCAACATAGCTTTAAAAACAATAATTTAATTTGGCAGTTCTTGAATTACTCACAATTTTTATTATAACACTCTGAACAAATACTCGTCTTTTAAATGTGACATTTTTTTTTTTTTTTTTTTTTTAGGATGGGAATTTTGAGCTTATAGCTTAATCTTTGGCACTTACTCCTACTAAGCGAGAGTTTGCGCAGCCGACATGCTTCCTTCAACGAATAGCTCGAGGTTGCAGACAAGTAGCGGAATTGTTGTACATTACAAAAAGGCTGGGAAGCAAGGAATAAAGCGAAACAAAGAGCAAATGAAGACAGATTAGTATAAACTATATAAAGAGGTGAAAAAAGCGGAGCTACTTTCCGAGCGAAAATGAATTGACGCGATGAAATCACTATGACACATGTCATTTTTAGCGCTCGAGACATGGAAACCGGGACTTACAGCCGTTTGCCCGTGGGCCGCTTCTCAGTGAGTCGCAGGCCGCATGTGGCCCGTGTGTTTGAGACCCCTGATCTACACTATCTTTTATGCAGTGAAGAGCAACAGTAGCTATACATATGCGTAATAATTTCAGATTAAAATAACCTCGACCATGCCCTCTTTCCCCATATTGTTTTCTTTAACAGTCCGAAATATCTGGAAGGGAAAAAGGGAGGCTGGAACCCTCCCTCCTCCCTCCCCCCTCCCCCCTCCCCCCCTCCCCCCCCCCCCCCCCCCCCCCCCCCGTTTTTCCTTTTCCGACGCTACTGGTATTGTAGAACACTCCTCGAACTCGAGTTGTGTCGGCTTCTGTGCTTTTTGCAAGGCGTTTCCTCCGTCCCGGAAAATAAACCTCCAGGACAATTACAAACTTAATTTACTATGTGCCAGCGTCACTCGAGTGGCCTTTGATCGGGTTACTCCCAGCGTGCAAAGGGTAGGGAGGTAGTTTGCCAGGTCGCTTCAAGGTTTTTCTGAGCTACAACCTCCTGTCCGCCCCTGCCTGTTTCGAACGGGATGAGTATCGTAAAACAGTGCGTTTGTGTGATCACTACTGTGTGATGCACGTTAAAGACACCCCCCCCTCCCCCCGGGCTGGCGGTCACAATTACTGATCTATGGTCACATGTCACACTGCACTGGCAAATATTCCAGCACATCCGGGACACTCGTCGTCTCATTTCATTGCCTGACCCAACTGTGCGGAGTCTAAATATCACACCCTAACTTTTCTACACCTGATTTCGTGAAAACCAATGAGTCGTGAAAACGTTATTTGAAACTGAAACTGTGGAGGAACATGGAAACTGGACTTCAAACTTTGAAAACTTGGACCTAAAAGAAATTTGACATCTTTAAAGTTTTTTTTTTTTTTTTTTTTTTTTTTTGAATTTAGTTTTAAGAGAGAATCGAAACCTTCGAACTTTATGTAGGAAAAGTTCAAAATCTTCGAATTTTTCGAACTTTATGTCTTTAAAAATTTGAAGCGTTCGAAATTTTTGAATTTTATATCCAAAGAATTTAGAATTTTTCATATTCAGACCTCAAGAAATTCTAAATTTTCTAATATCTTGAGTTTCAAGTTAGGAAAGTTAGAAATCTTCGAATTTATCGAACCTCAAGTAAAAATATATTCAAAATATTCAAACCCGAAATTTTAGAAACCGTGAAAGCTTCGAATTCGAAACTGCAGTGTGATCGAATTCGAAACTGCAGTGTGATCGAAAGTTGCGAATTTTTCAGGTTCGAATCTCGGTCGGTAGGAAAATATTGAAATTTTGCAAATTCGAACCTCAGTTCGCTTCGAAAATATCGAAACCTTTTGAAATCGAACCTAGGGTGGTTCGCGACATCCCTACTGCAAAGTAGCACTCGTTGCTCTGCAGCAGTGCTGCAATGATTTTGTGTTAAGACCCGGCCGTGTCCCGTGTCTCAACATGTGCTCCCTTTTTCTCTCTCTTCATTCGGCGCACGCTTCAAAGTTTGAAAACGGGTTTTTTAGCCAACGGGCGCAGCCGACCACGCTTGTAATTTGCTCACCGCCAATACTCTCTAGGTCGAATGAACCAATATTTTATATTTCAAGGTTGAAATAACGAGTAATAATATTAATATAATAATTTTATTTACACGTAGAAGGGCACAGGTGGTGGTGTGTGAAACTATAGAAATGTATGGGTCGCGATCCATTATAAGGGGAAACGGAGTAAAGTGTACACCTCTGCACCGATGCTGGGTCATGCTGCACACAGACGGGAAATTTGTTTCATTGTTATCGTACCATCTCCACGTTGCTGCCGTTTGTTCAGACAACACTGTGCTGCCGATGCCACCATCGCGAATATTTGACTTCATGCCGCCGCCTGCAAAAAGCATGCGGGGCTCACATTTTATTACGCCGAACCGTTTCCTAATGAACCATGTGACCGATACATGAAATTACAATTTCGTTCCGGTTCGGGTTGAATATCGCATGTTTGATTTCGGTTATGGTTTCGTTCCGGTTCAATCAAAAATAAAGGTCTCGCTCTGGCTTTGGGTTCGGCTTTGGTCCATATAACAAATCCTAATTTTATCTTGCATCATATTTAGAAGACTTTTTGATTAATTCAAACAAAATGCGTGGTTTCCTGGAGCTTGAATTAATGGTCTCTTGAGACTTCTGCGGCGTGACCAGCGTGCTTCCTCACCTGACGATGGTCCGGAGGAGAGCTGAGCGTGCTTCGTTGTGGAAGGTGATGACCACGCTGGTGGCAGGTAACTCCTCCTGTGGCTTGAGGAGTCCCTCCTTGGCGCACTGAGGGTGGCGTGTGTCGGGGATGGCCCTGTTGCTGGCCAGAGCATCGCTGGCCTCCTGGTTGAACTTGTGACGCTGATAAGGGTCGCTGCCTGGCACCTGCGACTGCGCCACGTAGGCCTTCTCGTCGAAGTAGCGCCACGACACTTGGCGGCCGGGGTAGTGCTGCAGTGCCGCGGTGGCTGAGGGTTTCAGCCTCAGCGCTTCGTTGCCAGTTTCCGACTGCAAGGATGGTGAAGCAAGGTTCTATCACCATGCTGGGTTTTAGTTCCCACACTGGGGTTCAACCATCACCGGTGCCCACGACTCGCTGGTCTCTGAAATTGATGGCTATAGTTGTTTAGGAGACTGAAGGCGTGAGGGTTCCAACACCAGACTCGGCTTCTATCCCGATGCTAAGCAGTAACTGTGACTTCCTGTTTTTTTGTTTTTTTTTAATTGATGGATTCAAAATTTTTGAGAGACTGAAAACTTTGCAAGGGTTCTATGACCACGCTGTGGTTCGATCTCCATGCCAAGTGGTGACTTGCTGTTTTCTGAAATTGACGAACCTAATGATTTAAGAGATTGGACTCCGCAAGGGGTTCTATTTTTACGCCGGGGGTCAATCATCACGTTGGTACCATCGTAACTTGTTGTTTTCTGAAAATGGCTAGTCTGAATTCAAAAGACTGAAAACTTTACAAACACTGAACATTCCGAGATGGCACGTGTGATTGCATGCCTGATGAGCGTTAATTTGAACTAAAGAGACGTAGGGGCCAGTAAGGCTGTGCAACACGTGACTGGCTTGCAAATGTCAGACTAGTATCTTAACTGTAGCCGGAAAGGTTGTTGTAACAAGCAGTTGTCCATACACGAATATTTCACGCTTTTTATGAACAGAAACCAAGCAAACGAATCTGCTTTACTGGTTTCCTATGATATATATAGGTATATACATATATATCCAGGCCCAATTTTTCGCCAGCTCTTTCCCTTTCCCTTCGCCTAACCATGCAATAAATTGAATAACATCAGTTTCTCCCATTTTTGTTCAGAATATATATATATATATATATATATATATATATATATATATATATATATATATATATATATATATATATATATACACACACATTTCCAGCAGAGATCGGTGTATGTGCAGCAAAGTTGAACAATCTGCATGGTAGGGGTATGGGCCGGATATCTAAAGGCAGATAAGCAGGCGTCCTGTTTACCTGTTTAAAGTGTCCGCTCCTGTAGGCGTAGTAACCGACCCCTCCGACCCACACGATGGCAACTAGAAGGAGCCATTTGAGTTTTTTCTTTGGCAGCATCTCCTCTTAGCAGCCGAGTGCTGTCGGCCTCAGAGCATCGGCAGGGGTCATAGCCGTAGAAGCTTCCACACAACTGCGCCGTGGCACAGCCGCCACAACATCGTTGGCGTCGCGAAACATCCCGCGAGGGTGGGCTAAGTTAACAGCCAGGCGCGATTACTAGTGAATCACTCGAAACATCACCGCAAAGCGTTGAGCAGAGTCATGCAGTCGCAAATGTTTATGTCCAGCTGCGAAGTGTGTGATCAAGATCTCTCGTTTCATTCACGGAGGTCACAACTCGGCGTATAGTTTCCGTCGTGCGATCGCGACTTCTGTAACACCACCGGCGTTTCAGGTTTGCAAGAAAAGACTCCAAAAGTTGAGTAAACTTGAACAAGCGCTTGGAAGCTCGCTGGACTAGAAGGCGATTGTTTGTTTTAGGCGTAGTACACCACGTAGCAGACAGCTCCACGCGAGTAGCGCCGCGATGCTTGTTGCAAGCCCCGGATGTGACACGTGACTGAAACGTTACCGTTTGTTCCAAAACTAAGAAAAACAAATCTAGTCCACCGTATATACTGAAAAGCCTTACGTGACATTGTTTCTGCACGTAAAGTTTTATAACACCGTCCACAAAATCTTTTTAGCGAATAAAGTTATGAACTTAATTCTTATGCGTAGGCGATTGATCCGCCTTTTTACTTCTCAACGCAGTATTTGAGCGTATGGACAGTGGTGGGAAATAATAGATAGCAACCAAAACAAGGTGCACGATGGACAGCTCTCAAATCGCGCGCTGGACAGAAAACCTTTTTGAATGTCCGCCAAAATGTCAGACGATGAACGGCACTTGCACGAGCCTCGTCTAGCAGTTTACCGTGTGTGGAAATTTTGTGGGATTTTAAGCCCTTCTCGTTTTTGCGTGCAGACGAATTTGAGGGTTTGTCGGCGTCTTTGAAATGGCGACTACCCGACGCACCGCCGGTCAGAACTCCGACGGCAAGAAAGTGGAAGAAAAGCGATACAGCCAGTTCTCAAGGGACTCGATCCTTCTCTTCGCCGAGTCGTACGGCATCTCCGACGTCTCGCAGCAGGCCTTGGCCGTCCTCACGGAAGATCTCAACTACAGGCTTCGGGAACTGGCACAGGTAGCTCAAAACAACCGTCGCGCTTATGGCTTCAAACGTTGCTGACAGCTGCTTTATGTGATGACCTACGCAATGCGGTTACAGATATTAGTAGTTCAAGTTACTCTTTCACGCCATTACCTGTAGTCACTGATAGAATGAGAACGGCGGGCGTCTCTTTCGAACAGCCGGTTTCCATCCCGCATTGCTTTGGCTGTGCATGCTCGCTCGAGGCTCGCGAGACACCGAAGCGTTATCCCAGGTAGGAAGTTCTCGCTGGAGACGGAAAACACCTCCCTGCTGTTCTCATCCTGCCAGGAGCTGTTAGTGCTTTATGTAATGGGGTTACGGGTAGTGCCAGTGATGCGATGGTGATTATACTCGGTGACAGGTTAAGAGTTCAGGGGAAGCTCCTCGCACCTCTTCCCGCTTTAGCGGAGCGAATGCTCGAGAGGAGGTCGCCTCCTCTCAAGTGTTCACTGATAAAGGTGAAGGAGGTGGGAGGAGCTTCCCCCGAACTCGCATTTCAGCGCCAAAGAACAAGGACAGAGTCAAGAATGGCGACAATACAAGGCGCACTCGCAGCTGAAATTTGATTTGAAATACAGTGGCTTAAATACCATTTAAAAAAATGCAGTGTCTAGCGTCACGTCTGACGGAACCCGAAATAAAAATTAAACTTACGTCCCATGTAACTTCATTTTAAGGTTTCGAGTTACGTCCGGCGTAACCCAATACAAAAATTAAAGTTGCGTCTGTTAGACGTAACCCAATATGAAAATTAGATTTACGTTGGCCGGAACCTGAAATAGAGGTTAAAGTTATGTCTTGTGTAACTTACGCAACCTATGTTTCGCTTTATGGCCGATACATGACGTAAACACATCAATACAAAAATATTGTGTATTACTGCGTTACGTCCGATGCAGCATTCGTGAATAGGTTAAAATCTCGGCTCTATCCATACCTCCAACTTTGTTGAGGGGGCTGGAGTGTGATCCTCGCACATCAAGGCTGCTGAAGCTGGGTGGGTTCGATGCTCGTCACATATAATTTTTTTTCTCTCTCTTATTTCTCCTCCTTTAAGACAATTGATTGCATTTCTTTTTTTTTTTCGATACAAAAACACTTTTTGTTATCCTTGCCGTGTTTGTTATACCTGCTTGTAGCCTTTGCTGGCTCGTGCTGAGAGCAGAGTTGATATGGCTAAGGGCCGAAGGTCTATTGTCATTCTCACACCCGTGTGGCACCCTCGAAGCAGCAGTTGATTTAAGGCAGTCTGGAACAAAACACTGCCAAAGGTAGCGTGCGTGGCGACTTGAGTGGTATGTGATTGTGCTGGGCATCTGTACCTGAAAAGGAGTCGTATATGTACAGAGTGTGGCCATTCGTTGGGAAGTATAGGAGACAAATGAGGCGGCACCATTGGCCGGAAGTGGGCTGGGTGTGTTCCAGGGCACCTTCGAAAATTCAAATGTGGCCAGCCAGTAGCCGGAAATAATACCTTGGCGGTGGTCGCAAGAAACAAACTTAGCAAGTGCGTCGGAGTAACTCTCGGTGATTGAAAATATGGTGCACGTGATGTTCCAATCACGGTCATCCAAAATCATGGTGGAAGGGTACGACTAGCGGGACAATCAACATAATCTGTATGCCAGGCGCCGATGGTTGGGAATCTGCCGTCCGAGTGGTCACACTCTGTCCGAGCAAATCAGAGTTGAGCGACACATTCGTTTCTTACGTCTTTCTGCATGATCATGATCGAAACATCATGTGCACCTTATACAATCGTGTGCGCAACAAAGACGAGGACAAAAGCAGAGAAGGGGACACAACAAGGCGCAACTTTCAACTGAATTTTATTGAAAATTCAGTTGAAAGTTGCGCCTTGTTGTGTCCCCTTCTCTGCTTTTGTCCTCGTCTTTGTTGCGCACACGATTGTATAAGATGTCAAACCAACTCGCCCAAACAACCACTCATCATGTGCACCCTATTTTCAACCATTAAGGGTTACTACACTTCACTCTTATTTGCTGATTAAAACCCAAAAAATATATACCAACATATTCATACGATTAAAACTGTTTCTCGCTACCACCTCTAGGGCATTCTCTCAGGCTTCTGGTTGGCCAAGAGAGCAGGCCAAACCCTCTTCTGCGTCTGGTGCATGCCCTGGCTCTGCCCGCGCCTCCCATTGACCAAACTCTCTGTATGCACGGCTCTGCCTGAAGGTAGAGATGGAGTCACGATTTGAACCAATTAAAGAATGCTGCATCGGACGTAACATAGTTATAATTCATGATATGTTTGTGTTTACGTCATGTATCGGCCGTAAAGTGTAACATTCATTAAGGTTGCGTAGGTTACACAGGACATAACTTAATTTCATTTCCGTCAGACATAACTCGAAACCTTGGGGTAAAGTTACGTCGGACGTAACTTTAGTTATTATTTTGAGTTCTGACGTACATAACTTTAATTTTCACATTAAGTTATGTCGGACGTAACTTTTTATTTCGGGTTCCGTCGAATGTAATGCTAAACACCGCGTTAAAAAAAAAGGTCATTTACAAGATGCCCACCCGCGCACTTTAAATAACAGTTCCTTATCAATCAAGGCCAATGACAACTTGCCAACATACTTATCAAGACCCCTCGTTTTTATTACGTATGCCTCATGGATTTCTCTCGTAGTTCTTTTTGCTGTCGCTCCAGAGTCGTTGTGTCAGGAAAACATGGAGTGCATTCTCATGGGTTGCAGTGAACTGCTATATGTCCTGAAGGTAACTGCTTTAAAATGGCTGCACGTTTTCTAGAGCAGTCATTCATACAACACCCTGTTTGGCCCACTTACGAGCATCTGTAGAAAAGTGGAATGTCATATGCAACCCTAGTTTTGCATTTCATAATCTTGTTTCTATGCTTCGTCTTGCCATCATCACACTCGTCCTCTGGTGCATTGATTTTTTTACATAGCGCGGAGAGCTTGGAAAGGGTCGAAAAGACGACCAGATCGTTGTAATGTTCCTTAACTTTTTTCAAGTTGTGGGAGATCGCGTGAATATAAGAAATTACTGCAGGCCTTATTTTCTGGCATTCACCAGCATTTCTCTCTGTGCCTCTATGTTTTTTGTTTAGGTCCTCCGCAGCTTCTACTAAGGACTTCTGCGGAAAACCTGCATTCATGAGCCGATCAACTTGTTTGAGAAAGTTCCTGCCCATTTTATCTGGACAGCTCTTTTCCAAAGCAGCTCCTAGGCACAATGAGGCAATGGTTCGTTTAACTAACTCTGTGTGTGTGGAGTTGAAAGGAAACGCACCTTTCTTAGGGAGGGGTTCGTAAGCCTGGCAGATGTGGTCCAAGAATTTAGGTTTTAAATCCAAGAACTGTAAACTGCCCCCCAAGGTCCTCCCATATGTAAACTTCAAACCATTAGAGCAGGACGCAAACAGGTCCTTCAAGTCATGCACCATCTTATCCGTGAGCTCATCACGTGGGCGGACAATGACGAAGTAATTATTGACATATCTGGAAATATGTCATTGGCTAAAACGAATTTTACAATTCGTTTTAGCCAATGCAGATACCTTGTTTCTGCAAAAAAAACTTCACCACCAAAAAAACCTCTCGCAACTTGTAGACAGTTGCAGAACGTTAGAACGTTCTGGTTGTCTTTTCGGCCCCTTACGAGCTCTCCGAGTTATGCAAAAAAATTAATGTCCCAGAAGAAGAGAGAGATGATTGTAAGACCAAGCACAGAAACAAGGTTTTGGAATGCAAAACTAGGGTTGTATAGACGCTTTCAGGCAACTGTGCATGGGCACCGCCATAAGCGACCTTCAGTTATTGTTACCTCTTATTCCGTTCGCTTTGCTTCATTATTGCCACAGCAGGACAGGTCATTGCCACTTCAGGTGCTACTGTTTCCTTCTCCTTAGCCTAGGCCTTTGCGGAGGCTCGTCATTGCCCACTTCAGAGGCTCAAAATCTCGGTAAGACAAGAGAAGGTCGGCAATGGTCGCTCAGTCTGCCGCATGTTTAAAGCGTCTCTATGACATTCCAGTTTTCTGCGGGCGCTCCTATGTGGACTGAACTGGGCGTCATATGAATGACCGCTCTAGAGAACATGCAGCCTCCTTAAAGCAGTCACCCTCGAGGTGACTGCTTTAAGGAGGCTGCATGTTCTGGGGTAACGCAGTGAGAAAACTACCAGATAAATTCCTGAGGCATATGAGATAAAAACAAGGGGTCCTGATAAGTCTGTAAGTGAGCCAGAGCCGTCAATGGGGGGGGGGGGGGGCCTTGATTGATAAGGAACTTTTATTTTTAGAGTAGGAGTAAGAATATCGGTAACAGGTTGTTCTGTTCAAAAAAGGTAGTCACTGAACTATCTATTTTGTTCTGAATCTCTCACATGGCATCTTTTGTTGTTTAGGCGAATTCGTGGCATGGATGCCGAGACAGCGGAAAGTATGAGCGGCTTTTTTTGCTATTTAAAGGATAGCTTTCTATAAGCTGGTGGTTATAAACCATTGACGTTTCGGGAAACGGCGGAGGTGATGGAGGACCCCATCCATGATGAGGGGAAGGGGGAACGTATTGGGTGATTATGGATGCGTCAAAGGAAATTTTTGTTTGCTGAGTGCTAGTGTGAAGTAGACTTTTCTCAGTTGCATTTGCTGAAAGAAATCACCCAGAAGTTGGATGCTTGTGGTCAGTAATACGAAACATTAAAATTTTGTTTCCAGGCTTGACTGCTAACGTGCGTTTTGCGGACACTAAAAGTAGCTTGGCAGTCCTCGAATTGTCCGTGTTTAAGTTTCATTCGCTCGGGAGAAATATGGGATGTCGTAGCGTATGTGGCCGTAGGGGGGGGAATGTGAGTGTGTTCTAGAACTGCTGGGAGCAAGTCAAAGAAAAATAAGAAAAGCGAGCCAGTCTGTAGCCTGGCCCCTTCCGAGCTCATGTCCGGCCTGCCTAACTAATCCCTTTTTTTTGGTGTTGAGGCAGAGAACCTTCAAGAGTTACAAAGGTTTTGTCCGGGGACCGCCAAGCCCCTTAGCAGTCGTGCGATAAGGATGTGAAAAGCGAGGAAGAGGAAGGGGGAAGAAGGAAGAGGGAGGGAAACTTCCGCAAGACAGGAGATATTTCTGAGAGCCGCCCTTTAAGGGGTGTCCTACCAGTGTTGCGGAGTTGCCACTCCGGAGTTGGAATGATTCTGGAATCATTCCGCATTTTCACGACCCCGGAATGGAATGGGAATGGAATGGCGGCAACGTTCAGGGGAATGGAATAGGAATGGAATTAGATGCCTTTTGCCCGGAATGGAATGGGAATGGAATGGGCCAGGTTCTTTATATTTTATTTATTTATTTATCTATTTATTTATCTATTTATTTATCTATTTATTTTTTTTATTTTTTTTTTTACGTTCAGCTATATTGAGCCAGTCAGGGAGTCAGTCGGTTGTTCAGAAATAAAATGAGCGGGAAACTGCGAACCCGCGTAAGGCCCTAGCAGACTATGCGCAGAAGAAAAAAATGCAATGGAAAAAGCAAGTGTCAAAGCAACAAACAGAGGGGGGAAAGGGGGGGGGGGGGGGCGGCGGTGGCGGCTTTCACTAGTGAAGTTCGACACATATCCGAATGCGTCTGCGCCTGTTATATTACACGGCTGGTACGTCATCAGCCGACGTGAACGGGACCTGCTGCTCTGGTGATCCGATACCCAGGAAGGAGGCCAGACGTGGCCTCGCTGTGCGGACCCAGACTTTGTACACTTTCGACTCGTCTCGAGCGCGCTGTTTCTCAAAGAGCTCGCACCTGTGCCGGCCATCTCAGGTCGCAATCCACGAGGTCCCTGTTTGAATGATGCTAGGCGAAACTTGAAGACTGCCACTTGTGCATTGGAGGCGGAGAGTCGGGAGGAAAGACCGTCACAACAGGGGCCACCGTATCGATTTTTCAACCGTAACAGAAGATAATACATGTGCTTCAGGATGCTTCAGGTGGTCCATTTTTCTCGAAAATTCCAAATGCAACTGCCTGCATGGTCTTCAACGAGGTCAGATACAACGAAAGGATGTATTGACCTTTCATACAGCAGTGTGGGTAAAGTTTCATGTTCAAGGCAACACCTACAGATTCAAGAATACTGGTTCATCCCACCGTGACGTCATGCAGTGCTGACAGGGGCGCCCTTATTGGACAGGGAAGTGTTGATTTCTTGATGGAATTTATTTTAGAGGTCGAAGTCTTTTCGCATCACTGGTCAGTCAGGCAGTATGCCAGGGAAGGGACCGCGGTCAATCCTCGATGGAACGTTTTTTAAACCCATTTAGGACTCTTCGTCCGGAACCACTACCTTCAAGGCGAAGTGCCAAGCCTGCGGAAAAGTAATTTCGGGACCAAAAAAAAGAAACTTCCACTTCAAACTTAAAGCCTCATCTCAGTTGGCATCTCAAAGAAATTTGAAAAATGTATTGTATTATCAGTATTTATATTTCTGCCGTCCCTAAAATGTATTCTTGTATTTGTATTTCCAAAGACTTTTTGCCTCTTTTTAAAATGTATTTCTGATACTTATCATGGTACATTTTTATAGATATATTTGAGACTTGAGTATCAGTATCTTAGCAACTATTGTCATCTATCCCAGTATTTGTATTTCCAAATACATTTCTGACTATTTCTGCCCAACCCTGCAACGTAATGCAACTGTCAAGTGACACTTTTAACGTTTAGGAATTAGAGGAATGGAATGGAGCGACTCAGCCATTCCAGGAGTGGGAATGGGCCCAGTGTCCCCATTCCTAGGAGTTGAAAGGAATGGAATTATCAAAAACTCTAATTCCCCGAAATGGAACTGGAATGGAATGGGGTTGCCCATTCCACAACACTGGTCCTAACAGGATACTTCAGAACGTGCGAAGCGACACTTCACCAGCATATGAAGTTAAAGTTGAAGTCCGGCTGTCTGTCTTCTGCTTGGACATCAACCGCTCCAGCAGCACGGCTTTTCTCCTCACCTCCGCTGCCCTTCAGTGACTTCAGTTCTCATTGGGCTTGATGTCACATGCGACCTACCAATGGCGTGCTGCCCATCTGTTGCACCGCAACCCGTGACCGTTGTTGCGTCGGGCCATTCAGGGTTTGGCTTGTGCGAAGAGGCTTGACCTCCTTGCCCTCGTATCCTTCCCTTTCCCAATTTCAGGAAGCTTGGACGTGAATAACAGCGGGGGCCTTGTCCAATAGCCAACAGAGCATGTGGGTGGCTATCCGGACCCACGTGATGAGCACGCTCTGGGCCTCCTTCGACGACGAGAACAAAAAAGAACTCCCCCCCCCCCCCCCAAAAAAAAAAAAAAAGAAAAAAAAAAGCAGATCAGCATGCGCTATATGGCGTAGTTGTGTGGACCCACGCGCTTTGAAGTTTCCCGTTTGGACAGGCCTTTTTTGTTGCTAACGGGTGCTATGAAACAAAGGAAGAAAAGAAACAAGACGGCTAAAAAGAATGTGTTTGTGGCATTCCAAGGAAACCTTGAGGCCATGAGCTGCATACTTTTTTTTATAGGCGTTCTGTTAGAGCTGACAGCACAAATGCTTGTGTTTGAACCGTGCGTTATCGGATGCTACAGTGCCAGCTTCACGGTTGTGTCTTGCAGACGCCACAGCCAGCACTACGTAGGCACGTCTCGAGGACGCGCTTGCTCCTGCTGACTGAGAGAAATGGGCTTATGGTGCACCAAGCTAAGCCGTTAATGTGGTCACAGGTAGTGCCAGTAATGTAACTACAGGTATAGTCACCGGCAGGGGGGTCCTTCAGAGCCGTATATGTAGAGAGTTTGGCCATTCGTTAAGAAGTATAGGAGACAAATAAGGAGGCGCCATTGGCCGAAAGCGGGCTGGGCATATTCCAGGGCGACATCAGAAATTCGAATGTGACCAACCAGAAGCCGGAAATAATACCCTGGCGGTGGTCGCGAGAAACAAATTTGATAACTGCATCGGAGTGACTCTCGGTGACTGAAAATATACGCTCATCTAAAATGATGGTGGAAAAGTGCGACTAGAGGAACGATCGACATAATCCGTACGCCAAGCGCCGAGGGCCGGGAATCTGCCGTCCGAGCGGTCACACACTGTCTGAGCAAAACAGAGCTGAGCGGCGCATTCGTTTCTTACATCTTTCTGCATGATCATGATTAAAACAACACATGCACCCTATTTTCAACCACAAAGAGTTACTACACTTCACTCTTATGCGCTTATTAAAACCATTTACGAACATATACCTTTGATCAGAACTGTTTCTCGCTACCACCGATAAGGAATTCTTTTCGGCTCCTGGTTGGTCAAGAGAGCATGCCAAGCCCTCTTTCCGAGTCTGGTGCATGCCCTGGCTCTGCCCGCACCTCCCATTGACCAAACCCTCTATATACACGGCTCTGGGATCCTTCAGTTTCCTCCATTCAGCGTGAGCTTTCCATCTTCGATAATGCTTCAGTTTCTTACACGAGCCTCAAGCTTGCACACGCAGCCAAGGCACGGTGGATGGCGGCAAGCGCGTTCTGGAGGCCGGGCATCTGAAAGAGACGCCTGGCCAGTCTCGTGTCAGCGAATACAGTAGCAGTCACCATTTTGTGCAATTACTGAGTGGTGTGCGCTTATGTGTCAACTGTGAACTTCTTATCACGGGCCAATTGGGTAGATTCGTGTGTGAGCTGCGGGTTTACAACGTAACTCGGAACTCAAACGAATGCGACACCTGTTCATTCGCATTGTTACTGCCACGAGGAAGATTGGTTCTGTTTACAGCCAATACGTGGCGCTGCAGTGATGTACATCGACAAATTACAAGCGTCGTTCCCCCGCTTGCAGAACAGCGGCCAGTTCATGCGACACTCCAAACGGAGGAAGCTGATGTGCGAGGACGTCCAAAGGGCCATGCGTTGGAGCGATACCGAGGTGACATTTTGCCCATCCCTAACTTGACTTTGTAGAGATATGAATACCTAATGAACACATCTCTCTTAGAGCAGAGTTATGATGATGTAAAAAAGGCATTCTGTATTGCTTTTTTGTTTTTACCGGAGTGACATTTTTTTTAAACATCTTTTTACACAAGCATTAAAATTTAAAGGGTGGTTTCACCATATATTGTAAGCTTTCTGCCAGCATTGTACAGACCGTCCGTGGGAAAGCATGAGCAACGTCACAAAGATATTGGAACAGTCACTCATCTGGCCCCGTATGAACCAGTCGGGCAAACATTTGATTTAATAATCGAATAAACAGTGGGTGTGCAGGTGAGCCAGTGATAGTTAATCATAATGTAATGCCCGAGAGTCTGGCATGCAACAATTAAGGAACTTTAAGTTAATGCTCAAGTAAAATGCGATGGAAAAATCATGTGGGAGAGAAACGCCTCTCACTCAACAATAGACTATTGCCTCATGTCCCCAAAGCTGAAAAAGGGAGGCATCAGCTCTCATACAGACTAAAATTGGCAGCTCAGGGGCTCAGTGGATGATGGAGATAAATCAGAACGACAGAAATGCAACAAAAAGATTTTGGGAGCACATTAAGGCACAGGGAAAAAAGACGGAGTTGTGCCAGCACTCACTCACCTTGCAGGAAGGGATAAACGTTGAGGGGAAAGAGGCTCGAGAATACATCAGGAGGACAATTGAAGAAGCTTTTTTGGAGTTAGAACCAGATGAAAAACTGGAGAGCACCAATCACAGTAACGTGCAGGAGGAAGAGAGAGCCAAAACAATGGGAACTACTATAGGAGAATGGGGCAGAGCGGAAAGTAAGATTCCAGGAGGAACAGCAACAGGTCCAGATGACATTCCAATCAGACTAATAAAGGCTCTAGGTAAAGCAAGCAAATGGAAGCTAAAACAGGTGATAGACCAAATAATTAAAGGGGGGGGATGTGCCCAATGATTGGAAACTAAGCAAGATGAGACTAATATATAAAGGCAAAGGTAATAAAGATAGTATTAAATCATATCGCCCAATAATAGTAACTTTGGTCATATACAGGCTAGCTATGCAGATAGTGAAGAGAAGAATGGAAGAGTGGGCAGAAAGCACGCAGATTCTGGGTGAGCCCCAAAATGGTTTCCGAAGGGATAGAAGGCTTGAAGGTAATTTATTTATAGCCACCCAGTGCATAGAAATTGCAGCGACAAACCATAGACCATTATGGGTAGCATTTTTAGATATCAAGGGGGCATACGACAATGTGGGTCAGGAAAAACTCTGGGAACTGCTGAGGAGGTATGAGCTAGATGCATATTTGATTAGATTCTCGCAAGAATTGTATACAAATAATGAGGTGGTTATAAAGTGGGAGGCAGAAACTACAAGACCAGCAGCAATAAAAAGAGGGCTTAGACAGGGTTGTCCCCTGTCACCACTGCTCTTCATGGTATACCTAAGCGAATTGGAAAACAAATTAGAGCAGAGCAACTTGGGATTTGATCTGATGTATATGGAGGGAGGGAGTAAAGTAAACCAAGACATACCTGGACTGATGTATGCAGACGACATCATACTTATAGCAGATAGCCGGGAAATATTGGACAAACTAATTGGGATATGTGGAGGAGAGGGCGACAAGCTTGGTCTGAATTTCAGTAGAGAAAAATCTGGAGTGATTGTTTTTAATGACGAAAAGGGGGAGCCACTGATAATTCAGAACTTTGAAATAGACTATGTAGATAAGTACAAATATCTGGGGGTCTGGATGAAACAGGGAAAGAAATATTTAGAGAAACATGAGGAAAATATAATAAAAAAGGGGAAAAGAAATTCGGCTATTATGAAGCATAGAGCACTATGGAATTATAATAGATATGAAGTAGTTCGAGGCATTTGGAAAGGAGTCATGGTGCCAGGTTTGTCGTTTGGTAATGCAGTGTTGTGCATGCGTTCAGAGGTTCAGACAGGATTGGAGGTCAGACAGAGAAGTGTAGACAGGTTGGCACTGGGTGCGCATGGGAACACGCCAAATGAAGGGGTACAAGGGGACATGGGCTGGTCGTCTTTTGAGAGTAGAGAGACAATCAGCAAATTGAAATTTGATCAAAGACTAACAAAAATGGAGGACGTACGATGAGCGAGGAAGGTGTACAAGTATTTATACATGAAGAGTTTGAATACAAAATGGACGAACCGAACGAGAAAACTAAAATTTAAATATCTGTCATCTAGGGAGGAGACTGAGCGGAACACAACGATAAAAAAGGGCGTAAAAGAAGCCGAAAGAAAAATGTGGAGTGGTAGGATGCAAGGAAAATCAGCTTTAACAATTTATAGGTCACATAAGAAGGAAATAAGAAAAGAACAGGTTTTTGATAATTCACTGGGTAGTTCCCTACTGTTTGAGGCTAGAACGGGGGTTTTAAGAACCAAAACGTATAGGGCTAAATTCGAGAAAATGGACAGATTATGTGCCATTTGCCAAAATGAGAACGAAACAATAGAATATCTTATTTTAGAATGTACGAGGCTTCGTCCTGCTCTCCCGGAGGGGTCGGCGGATTTGGCGGGGGTGCTCGGTTTTGCGGACGAGGATGGAGGTATGGAGAAAAAAAGGGTTACCATCACAAAAAGGAGATTGGAAAACTGGTGGATACAGTCTAGGGAAAATGAAACAAGGACGAACAATTAGCACAGCTGGGGGTCAGGAGGGACAAAGGAATATTGGGACTCCCTCCGGCGTGGCTCCTGCCCAAAGTCTCACACCTGACCCCCAGTGGGTGTGGTTTAAGGAGGAACACTGACGAGGTTGACCAGAGGAAAATTGGCAGCTCCCTCGCCCGGGGGAGGGAGAGGGGGGTGGTGTTTAATTTTTTTTTCCCGATCCCCCAAAGGTCTTTCTGGAAAGTACTCTACCTGCCCGGTGATGTTTGCAGAGAGGTAAAGGGAAAAAAAGAATATAAGAAAAAAGGAAAAACAAATTTCTTAATTAATAATTTAAGGCTAGGTGGCGCAGGCTACCACCCGATATAAAAGGAACAGCCAATACCCATCCATCCATCCATCAAAGAAAAAGACAACAGTAGGAGAATCATTGTCATTAGCTTTGACTAGAAAGTTCCATAATTTCTTCGCACCACAGTCTCGGGTGTTTGCGTTGTGGTATTTGAGACTGTTAGATGCCCGAGTACCATATTTTGCTGTCTATAAGCCGCAATGTTTTAGTCGCAAGTTATCATTTTCAGGAAAAAGTTGGTACGTAGTTGCACTTCTTCGTACTGTCGGTGCCACCTCGATTCGGAATGTCTTTGGACTGCCAGAAGAGCAGGCCATTTTTGGGTCCTCTGGCATTCCTCCTCTGTTGTAAATGTCGGTGCGACCTGCATTTCGCACAGTTAAAATCCATGCTCATAAAGGAACTGATATTACTCGCGCCAGCGTTAGGATGTGTGATGGAAATTTCAGAAAAAGACTACGACTTACGCATGGGGAAATGGGGTAGCGCCTGAAATGTTGAGCAACATGAATTGCGGTGATCCAGTAATTATGTTGTTAATGTGTTTAGAGTGCACGAAGTCAGCCCCAGTGGGCGTCTGGCATCTCCGCTTTAGACGAGAAATTCAGCCAGTGCAGTACGACCGCTAGCCGCCTGGAGGTTTCCACATGCATTACGCGATAGCGATTCATGAATGCGCGTCGGCACAACGTTAGTCTAGGTCGAAATTGGGCACAGGAGGGGATAGAATTCAGAACCTTGGGGTTCTGAGTGCAAGCTTTCTCTCTACGTAGTCCACGCTGCGGCATGTCAACGCGCTCGGTTTTCAATCCCCCTGCGGCGAGTCGGGTGGGACAAATGTATCTGCAGAGTATGGCTTAGCGTTGTTGGTTGCCAAACTCACCTGACTCAGCATCTGGGGACTGACTGTGCCATTCTGCAGCCCGTCTACGGCTGCAGTGGCCCGGACCCCCTGCCCTTCCGCCACGTCAGGGAGGCTGAGGTCTACTGCACCGACGACCACACGGTCGACCTGCTGGAGGAACTGGAGTCGCCCCTGCAGCTGCAGATTCCTCGGCAGCCCAGCCTCCAAGGCAAGTCGTCTCGATCTCTCTATCCACGAGATTTTTCTTCATCTGCCATTGGTCGTTTAGCAGGTCACTTTGCGAAGTCACAAATGTCACGGTTTTCGTGCATCTTTGTGCTTGCAATGTTTAGAGGCCCGGGAGGAGCCTTGTGAGGCTGGTTTCACGGGGAGCAACTTTTCTCGACACTGCCGAGAAAAGGTGCTCCGCGTGAACGAGACAGAAAATCGATTCCTGTCTCCTGCATTCGCATGCAGCAACAACTGTTCCAGCGTGCAATACGTTGTGATTCTCGTTGAAATTGCAATTCTCTTTCAGTATTTAGTTAAGACATTGCCTAAGATTAACATACTTTATAGCTTTAAATAATAACATTGTGCATGCCGATCCTGCCCCCGAGACCACAAGCTAGCAAAAATGATTCATAGCAAGCTAGAACAAAGTAGCATCTCGTCTTTCGCCATTGCCGCCGCCACTACACGAAAATATTGCATTGCTGATCGGCTGCTGCATCCCCAAGCGTTCCCGAGTTGCAGCCGTTGAGTTGTCATCGGCTTCCACCCAGATCAATTCCAACAACTCGTCAGCAGCCCCGGAATAGTGGGGAAAATTGCCCCGTCTGAGGTGGGCATATTGTCATCTTAGGTGAATGACCAGGGCTCGTGCCACCCGCTTGGGTATTGGCACCATATGCATTGACCTTGATAAAATATAAAAAAGGTGAGTCTGAATTATAGAAAGGATCTTTTGAAATCGGCTCGTGATTGGGATTGAGTCATGATCGTGATTGGGTGCCATTTTCAAAGATTTTTTACTTATCAGCTCATGATTGTGATTGTATCATGATCGTGATCGGGTCGCTTTCATGGATTTGTTGTGACTGACTGGTGATTGGGTCATGCTTTCAGGGATCTAAACTGCACAAACGAATGAGGACGAAGTGTGGAAACAAATACGACAGGACGAGGCTGTTGGGATTGGATTATGATTGTGATTAGGTCGTGATTGTGATCGGGTCATGCTTTCAGGTCGGTGGCTCGTCGTGGAAGGCGTCGCGATAGGTGCCGAGCCAACGGGAGCAGTCAAGGGCAGTGCCTCCAGTCTGAACCGCGACAGCGGCGTTGCCAGCACTGGCCAGAACGCGGTGCAGACGCAGGTGACGCCGTCGCACATGCAATACTACGAGGAGGTGACTGTCGCTCTCCTCGGTAGTGATGAACAGCTGGTGGAGGTGAGTCGTACGGGCTGCGCATTATCATAGCACTCGGCGTCTCAAAGCACAAGGGTGGTTCCCTAAAAGTGTTTGAACGAGTTAACCCTTCTGGTGGTCACTGTCGTACATGTACACAGTCTTGGGTAAGTTGCTTTCAAAAAGTAGTTTACTACAGTTGCAATTACTTAAAAAAAAGTAGCAAAGCTGCTGTTGAAGCTACTGTAACGAAAAACTAACTCGTTACGGTTACCTTAAAAAAGTAAAGGCATTACTTTGAAGTTACTTTTTCACAACACAAAGAAATCAAAAGTAGATACCAAATGTTGCCCCCCCCCCACACAGATACTAACATTTATTGCATGAAGTATACAAGTATGTGCATTACTTCATGTAAATATAACGAGGTTTTTTTGCGTCACATTCACACGTGGCCAGGTAGTGACTCGTGAGAAACTACATATTCACAAGTACAGTCAAACCCGTTTATAACGAACAGCCGGAAATGCTACTATCAGTTCGATATAGCAAGTAGTTCGATATAGCAGAAAGCATATACAACAAACTTCCAGGATGAGTTCGTTGTAAGGCGAGAGCTTCTCTTTCTTTCTCCTCTCTCCGCTTCCGCCTTGTAACTTGTAACGTGCTAAAAAGATTTTTACGTTTTTTTGCATGCGTGCAGAGTTTGTTCTTTTAGCTTATCTCCCGTTCTGAATCGTTTCTCTTCGTAAGCAGACGCTTTGGGATGAAACATTTTTTTTCCTGTTCGTGTGTGCAGAGTATACAGTAAAACCTCGTTATAACAAAGTTGAAGGAGCAGTCGTAATTATTTCGTTATAACCATTAGTTCGTTATAGCCAATGTCCATTTCTTCCCACTATTAGCAACAAGGGGAATTATGATTGCTTTGTTATATCCATTAGTTTGTTATATCCCATTTTGTTATAACGAGGTTTTACTGTATTTTAGCTTTCTCCCCTTCTGAATCGCTTCTCTTCGCTCAATTTTGTTCGCAACTTCAGGTTTTGGGACTTTCTTTCTTTCTTACTTCTTTTTTGGAGGAAGGGACAGGTTAGAAGACGATTGTTCGAGCGTTTTTGGAAGCCTTCCCGGAAGGAAAAAGTTTGATATAGCGAATATGTTGCTTGTTATAAAACATGGGTTTGTTCTACACGGGTTTCACTTTTGTGCACGGCGTACACGATACTCGAAATGTCAGAACATGTCATTTGGAAAGTGCAAGGAACGGCTGGATTGGACTTATTCAATTAATCTTAATCCTCATGAAACTGTGAAAAGTGATGACAAAAGTAAGACAGTTACTTTCACTGTTACTTCAGAAAAAGTTATAGAAATACAGTTAGAGTTACATTTAAAGAAATGAACTCATTACACTTAAAAGCTACCAATAAAGTAACAGTGTTACAGTAATTTGGTACTTCCCAAGACTGCGTGTTCAGCGGCAGGAAAGGACAAGGAGAGGACGCGTCGTAGAAATGCATAAATTCTGCGTAAGACGGTTTGATTGACAGATCGAAATACAACTGCAATTTTGCTTTTGCGAGCTTTGCCAATGATTCACGATAGAGTGATGTGTTGATGTTGTTGACGACCACCCAGGCATCTCTGGAAGACCTGGCGAGCAATCCGTGCCTCAGTCCCCTGCTGCCATACCTGGTTCATTTCATCTCGCTCGGGGTAAGCATCGCCAACAAACCCGCCGCGGGCATGCGCGATCACGTCGAGCCAAGTTAAAACGTTTACAACGCAAGTTGCATACAGACCCTAACGGATAATATTCGATGTACAAGTAGAAGTTCTTTTGAAAGCAACTGCTAATGTATTAATTGACTAGAATGAGCATCTGTTAACTTTTAGTTCGTTTTCAGTACTCGCAAAAGTCCAAAATGGTATGATACTACGCACATGAATGCGTAAGCAGTCGCAAGTGGGGGCAAAGTAGTAGTCGGTGACCTGCAAATGTGCGAACCAGCTTGGTTGGAAGCTTTCACTTGGGGTGGGTCGTGAAGGCAGTTTGAGTGCACGAGAGACCGCCGACGGCACTTTGGGTGTCTGCCATGGCCGTTCAACCAAGTCGGGCAAGTCGCCGACGCACCGTCCCATTCTGTGTCCCAGGTCCGGAAGCTGAGCCACGACCTGGCCAATCTGGATCGTCTGCTGCGGACTGTGCACGCCCTCGCTCACAACCCGAATCTCTTCCTCAACACCAGGCCCTACGTACGTGCGGAGACGTCGCTTTCTTGCTTGTTATAACCAAAGATCGTTCCCTCCTCGTCCGATTCAGTCTTAAACGTACGGCATTTATGGAACCAGCTCTTGGCAATTTAATGTCCGAGTGCGGAATGTAGTCTCGATAGGGTGTGCAGTTGCCGAGTGTGCAGTTGTCGTTACTGGCTCACCGACAATCGGTTCGGTGTAGTGTGCGATGCGTTCGACCGACTGCGGTTTCGCAAAGGTTCGAGGCACTCTGAAGGCTAAGCATTTGCAGTGCTTTTGGGAAATGCTAAAGAGAGCCCATTTTTCTTTACGTAGTTGCGTCGGTTTAGTGTGTGTGCCCGATCAAGGTGTGACTACGTTACCGACGGGGGAAAGAACCTGGAAGACAGGGAGCGGTCAGCGATGTCCGGTCGGATGGAAAAAATTCGGGGAATTCGCTCCAGGTTTGGCCGAAAAGTCGTGGGAGTCTGGAAGTATTTGGGGAAGGCGTCGACTGGTCGCGCACTTTTTTTTACGTTTCTGTTCGGACGACCGAAACTTAGCATTTTGGCACATCAATTGTTCGGTTCAGGTTGTGGTAACGAATAGTGTGGACAACGGACAGGCGTTTGTTGTCCACACTTTCCGTTTTAACGACGAATAGGGCTGCGTGTGCCAATCTTTTAGGACGCAGCGGTCGTTCAAAGTGCGGGGTTCTACAAAAAAAAAATTGAGCAGTTCCGTGTTAATTCACGGTGCAGTCACAGCTGCGACAAGTCACAGTGAAGTCGGTGGGCTAAACACAAACGTTTGGAACAAAATAGACATCTGACCATTCTTTTCCAAATGCGTTTGTTTCTTTTTTTTTTTCCGAAGTGCGTGAAAGCTCGTCTCCCGGTACAAGCTCTTGGCATTGACAGTGCTACAACAACATTTTGTTATCGGCAATTTTTTTTCTGTCAGAAAGCGTGTGCAGTGGACATTGTGTACTACAAAAACCCCAAGTATGGAGCGGGTTTTTAACGCTGCAACGTAGCTCAGTGGTGACACGTCTGCTTCGCACACAGCGGACCGAGGTTCAATTACCGCGGGCGGCGGGCAGTCTTCTTTAAGGACTTAGCAACATCGAAAACAGACGTCCTACAATGCCAACTAAAACGTAAAGAACTACTACAACTACAACATCAACAACGGATGTTATTTCCAGTAGTGAGTGGGAAGAGCGCATAATAGTATCTATCGCTGCAAAAAATATGGAACGGGCACTTTTTAGGACACAGGAAATCTGGGGACATGGGTTAGCTAAGGGAAAAAAAGCAACAATTATCATCTTTCATAACATGTGATATAACAAATGCTCAGGGAGAAAGCGCCAAATTTATAGTAAGGCTAGCCACGTGTGAATGGCAGTCGACTTAGACAAACATACTACTACCGTATTTACTCGCACAATGAACGCACCCGCGTAATGAGCGCACCCCCCAAGTCGGCTCTCAAAATTTTGACTTTTTTTCACTCGCGTAATAAACGCACCCCCAACTCGGACGTCAAAATTTTGACCCCCTCCCCCCACGCGCGCGAAATGAACGCACTTTTTTTATCCTGGTGCAGCGAGGTCGCGCATGCATGGGCAGCGTGGGCGAACAAAACGCCTTGCAAAACGCGTTAAAAAAATTCGCAAAGATCCAACGGAAGCAAGAAAAAAAAAAACATGGAGAGGAGTTTTTTTTTTTTTTTTTGTGCACAGCGCAGTCTGCACTTTGGGTTCGCGCGCGACCGCGCGCAAGGAGGTAAGAAAGAGAAGCGCTCTAAGCGAACGAAACAGCCTGCAAAAAAAAAAAAAAAAAAAAAAAACATTACGGAATTAAGAAAAAACAAAAACAAAGAGGAGCTTTTTTTTTTTTTTTTCTCTTTTTTTGCACAGCGCAGTTTGGTTACGGGGGGTCACGCGCCGCGCGCAAGAAGGTAAGAAAAAGGAGCGGAGAAGCCCTTAAAGCAATCAAAACAACCTTTTTTTTTTTTTTTTTTTGCACAGCGCAGTTTGGTTACGGAGGGTCGTGCGTTCCCGCGCCGCGCGCAAGGAGATAAGAAAGATAAGCGGAGAGCCCTCGCCTAAGCAACGCCCAAGCAAACAAAACAGCTTGCGAACGAAAAAAAAACAAAAAACAACCTAAGAAACTAAGAAAAGGCAAAAGCAGTTTTTTTTTTGCACAGCTTAGTTTGTTTACTGGACCGCGTGCGGCGGGCAAAGAGATAAGAAGTTACTTCCATTTTTGGGGATAAAAGGTTGTTCATTATGCGAGTAAATAGAGTAAATACGAATACGGACGCAAAAATTTTACTTCGCGTAATGAACGCCGCCCCCCCCCCCCCCCCCCCCCCCCCCCCCCAACTTTGCATCGATTTTTCGGAAAAAAAAGTGCGTTAATTCTGCGAGTAAATACGGTATCTACATTGCAAACGCCATTCGCGTAACAGTGGAGTTTGTTGCGAAGAAGTCGCATTTGGCTCGGATCACCGTTGTTTCGCTTGGCGTGCCCACAAGAGCAGACGACCAGTGTAGTTCTGCGGAAGACGCCGACAGTTTGTTTGCAGTGAGGCAGCCAGTTTGGCAACGGTGAGGCAGGGGTCAGTGTTTCGTCTCGTTCTCGCAGCCGACCCTGCTGGTGCAGGCGCTGCTGTTCTGCTTGCTGGAGCCGCTGGCAGCCGCCATCAACCCCGTCAACGACCACTGGGCTCTCAGGGACAGTGCGGCGAGACTTCTCGCCTCCCTTCTCAAGTGAGTCTTGAACAGTCGTGCGAGTTTTCAGAATTAGTTAGGAGGGCGCTGTTTCGAGTCATCTCAAATACGCCTGCTCAAGCACGACGGTGGTGCAGAAGTGTACCTCAAGACTGGAAGCGATTTACGGACATGGATGCTAGGGAACAGATTCGAGAACGTCCGCGTGGCTACTGGCATTCAGTAGGTCAGCCTCAACAACTTCCGAAGAAATATTCGTGAGTCGAATTGCTGGGTTTTGCTAAAGCGGGATAGCTCAATTATAGTGCACTGCCAGTCTGGCCTCTGGCCACTGCTGGATATTTAACCAATTGCAGTTCTGGGGCCAATTTTCTGCAATTTATTTCATAGAAATTTGGAAAAATTGTTCTAGTTCCTGACAGGATGAAAACGGCAGGGAGGTCTGTCGGTTGTCCCGCCTCCAGCGGCAGCTTCCTACCTCCAATAACACTTGAGCGTCTCGTAAGCCATGTGTTTGCGTGGTCAGCCGAGGCACGACGTAGGGCAGTGGATGCGGGCCGGATTCCGGACTTTCTGAAAGAGAGACCTTGCCCTTCTTGTCCCGTCAACGACTACAAACACGCACACTAGCTGATTCGTATGCGGAGTGCACCTATCTAAAAACATCCGTGCTGTCCAGGTTACGTCTGCACTTCGCAAACGTGTTACAGATATCTTTTAAGTTCTCGTTTAAAAGGGCATTTAGGGCTAGCAATTTAGAGACACACCCCCTAATACCCTCCAGTCCACCCCCAGACGGGGTCCAAACTTATAGCGTAGACTGTTTTCGTGTGATCGTTACCATGCTGAGACACGACCTAGTTGGGTTGAGCAACGTTTAAGCGTAACTGCAATAAAAAGAGTACAGTATAGACCACTTACAACGTAGCCGCTTATAGTGCAGGACCGGGTATAACGCGGCTTTTTTAAACCACCGGTTCGCCTCCCATAGAACTCCATGTAATTACATACCGCTTAAAATGCAGGCGCGCGAAGGGAAATACCGGTTATAGTGTGGTTTCTAAAACAGCGCGCTGAGCGCACCAATTGACCGGCGCAGCCAGCATGCTTCCCTGTGCGACACTAGATAACGGCGCTAGCCTGGCTAGCCGCAAGCGGCGCTCGCGGGGTAAGGAGTTGCTCGAAGTCATGGCTCCAAGAAGCGGAGAGAAGCGAAGAGAGAGGCTTCAGTTGCCATACCGACGGAGGGACGCACGCACGTGTCGTTCACGTGCGTGCGTCCCTCCGCCGCCTCCGCTGCGTTGGCGTTGGAAACAACTGCAACGACAGACCAATCGCAGGTCTAGGAGAAGGGTTCGAGCACGTTGCATGCCGGTCGCGGGCCGGCTTCTATCCGCAAACATGGCGTCGGTTGCGATCGTTCCGCGTAAAAGCGCTATCCTTGACTGTGAATTTTCGTTTTGTGCCGCTATGATAACCCAGCACGTACTAGAAGGGAAAGATCCACCTACTCGTGCGGCGACGTCGTGGCGGCACTCTCAAGACGGCAGAGACGCCCGTGTCGTCGTGTTTGTTTACTTCGACTACAGTGGTGCTTTCTAAGCATTTGTGTTTTCGAACATCGCTCGGATTTCTTATTTGGAGCATTTCACGCCTGTGCTAAAGTTGAAAGTATTACTGGCGCGTATCGTATAAAGGATGCGAATGTTCACGCGTCTTCATCACCGGAGAAAAGTGATTAGGGTTAGCAATCCTGAACGCTCGCATCGTCCGTCCGCAACCAGCGACGCTGTTAAAAGGCTGCGCCAGGCAAAAGTCACTCATTTCTTTCAAAATTGACACACTTAAAAGAGAACTGTACTAGTCTGGTGAAATAAAGACTCCTCTTCGTCTAATATAAAATAAATTTGTTTTACAAAGATAAGTTGTCTCATGGCATGTATTTTGGCCTGAAAAATTGATGTTTTGGTTATAACGCGGTACCGCTTATAGTGCGGATTTTCACGACCCTCGCGACATACGTTATATGCGGTCTACGCTGTATAGTCAAGGAAAAAGTAGAATTATTGGTACAAACTCCTCGAATTCTAGTGCCTTCCATTCGGCAAATAAAGCGATGTGCTATTTTTCCCCAACTCGACTACATCAAGATTCGACATGGTTGCCATCACAAAAGAACTGTCTACAAACTCTTCGAAAGTCTCTTCTAAATCACTACTCGCCCCACCCTTTGAGATTTTTGCAGGCACGTCTGCAATGGGGCTCTGAGCCGTCTGTAAAGAGTTTCATCCGCAGGAAGTGGGGCGACCGTGCCTACAGCCTCCACACCCAGGTGCTCGAAGCCCTCGGAGAGTGCCTGAGAGAACCGTCCAAGCCGCTGTGTGCCCAGTACGGTGCCGTGTCCGGCCTCATCGCGCTGGGCGTTCCGGTGCTTCGTCAGGTGCGTGGCACGTCTCTTCCGCCCCCTTACTCTCGCAATTTAGCCCGCTAAATTGTTTGTGCCGGGATTTGTTTTTCCTGCTTGCCAAACGCAGACTTTGGTCACGGTAGCACCGTAGCGTGCTCTGTGAAGAATATTTACTTATAAAGGATGCACTATTTTGTGGGCGAAAAGTTAATTGACGTCTGCGCGCCTTTAACCTACGACAGATTTCTCGTATTGTACTTTTGAGACACGGTACTACGCAGTTGCACCTCAATCTTGCACACCAAGCTCACTCTTTGGAGCGGCCTTACTCTGCCTATGTTTATTCGGAGCTAAACCAGCCAGGGACACTGGCACCCTAAAGGTTGAATTATCTTTTTGCCGTCTAATACGATGCAAATTGTAGTCATAGACAAACAAAAAATACCACAACGAAAAAAAAAATATTTTATGCGCATGTGCGCTTTTTTTTTTTTTTTTTTTGCTTTTCTCGTCTTTTTTTTACCTCCTTGCTTCTTTTCATTTGTGACATAATCGAACATCAAATTTAGAAGCTTTGTAAGCGAGATTGCTATAATATTTAGTAACGGCATTCGTAAAACATGGTTTTTTAACGCAATTGTGAACGCAAGTGCGTTCACAATATCAAAATATCTCAAATCGGAGTCCGGAAGTGATGTCGCCTCCTGGCTATTTATCCTTCCTTGGAAAACGTGGCGGTGCTCAGCACTTGTAGCAGTGAGGGTTATCAGGGAGTCAAGGAATTGGTCCAAATTCTCTATGTTTGTTAGACTTACCTCTGGCCTTGGATGTTTTGATTTGCGTGATGTGACCTGCTGCGGGAAGTTTGTTGGAATGACACAAAGCCTCAACCAAGGAACCACTTGAAGTTAGAGCCCCCAACGCTCTGGAGACGCTTGGGCTGACCTCATAACCTTCGTTGACAGAGTGTCGAGAACAAGTAAAGGACTTCGATCCGAAAACCTCCAGGGGTCTTTCAGGAATCGGTTTTAGCTAGGCTGCCTCCTCTCATCCATTCTTTGGGAACCTGTGCAGCATACTTGCGGTTGTGATTCCGCGGCGGGGCAGCCTTTTACACAGCGCCGGTGTGACATGGCCCCTCAAGTCACTCACTTCGGGAACCTGTGCGTGTCACCTTCGACCCCGCACCGTTTCAAAGGATTTGAGATTGCTGAAAGAGTTCTAAAAGAACTTTAAACTCGAAAGCGAAGCGTTGTCTGCTCACAGCGATAGGTGGCAGGCGCGGTCGCGGGTGAGCACGTTTTGGAGGCGGGAGAAACACTCGAGTTACAGGACAACTCAATTTTTGACGTCGCTGCACTGGAGCGGATCGTGCGGGAACTTCAAGTTTGGCTTTTGGAAATTGTTTTTTTGACTTCACAAATACTGAGTTCTCAATCTTCGAATTTTGAGGGTAATGTCCAGGCATCATTTTAAATTTTTTCCGATAATAAAAAAAAATGATTTTGACCTGTCAGTGCCCCACTAAAACACATGCAGAGGGGAGGAAAAAAATTTTTAAACAGCTGGCTGGGAAAAGGAAGTTGTAAAACGAATTTACAACAAACTGTAAAAATATTTTAACCTATATTTACGTCATGAAACATATTTATAGGTAGTTGGTGCCTCTGGGCGCCCGCGGAAAAGTGGTTGCTATTTATCATGTGACTGGCCGCTATTTATTACGTGGTGCTTGCACTCCCGCGGAGGCTTCCTATGGTCTCTAAAAGTTACTTATTCATCTTTGTTTGAAGTGCAACAATAAACAAAGATGAATAAGTAACTTTTAGAGCCTAAAGCAAGCTTCTGAAAGAGCATAAGCACCACGTAATAAACCTCTGCGCCAGCCAGAAATTGATGTTGGTGGTGCGCCACAGTGTTCCCTTTCGGCGGCGGCGGCGGCGGCGTGGAGAAACACATTTAACCGTCGGCGCACCACGCTCAGTGTGCGGCGGTGGCGTGAATTTGAGGCAGCGCACAGGAATTTGATACAGCGCGGCGGCGCACAGGTCTAGGATGTGACCAGCGGTGGCTCCCACGGGTGCCAACTACAAATTCGTTTCGTGCCGTAAATATAGCTCTAAAAACTTTTTTTTTCTTTGTTGTGATTTTGTTCTTTTTCTTCTTCCATCTCATGCAACGTCCCAGGTATGGAGTGCCCAAAACTGAACCGAAATCGCTGGTCTCTTTTTCTCCTCTCACTGTTTACTTTGTTGCCTTAACTCGTGGAAATTCAGCACTTAATCGGTGCTTCGTCAGTACTAATCCACATGGTTTTCGACGCTAGGGGGGATCGGTGGCCGAGTGGTCTAGCGCACACCAACTCGGAGCACGTGGAGCGAAAGCTCGCGCTGCAGAACCCAGGGATCCTGGGTTCGAGCCCCACCCCTGCCCGTTTCGATCTGGATGAGCATCGTACCGGCGTGCGGTCGTGTATCACTACTGCGTGATGCACGTTAAAGACCCCAGGCTAGCGGCTGTACCGCACTGGCTAAATTTCTCATCTACAGCTGGGAGACTCGTCGCCCCTGTGAGGCAGACCAAGTTCTAGGCTGTATAAACACACACACAACCCCAATTTTTTTTTCGACGCTGAATTAGTGCCGTGCAGTATGTAGGAGCAGCGCTCGTGATTCTTTCATGCCTCACCTTCCGCTCTTGCGGGACCTTGCTTCCGTCTGTTGCTTTGTCTCTCAGGTGTTCTGTCCGGCACTCACCACCTACTGGCCACAGCTCGAGGCAGTGTTGGCCGACAGCCGCCCCTCCAGCACCCAGATGCAGAGCGACGCCACAAAGGTTCATGGTGCAATGCTGGTAGGTCTGGCCATCGTATCGCGTACGAAGCCGTTCCAATTTATTTGTCTACTACAGTAAAACCTCGTTATAACAAAGTTGAAGGAGCGGTCATAATTATTTTGTTATAACCATTAGTTTGTTATAGCCAATGTCCATTTCTTCCCACTATAGCAGGCAAGGGGAATTATGATTGCTTTGTTATATCCATTAGTTTGTTATATCCCATTTTGTTATAACGAGGTTTTACTGTATTGTCAATAAATCTGTGATAAGACATGAGGACGTTTGCATAGAAGCGACGTCGCCGTGTAACAAAGACTTTTGGGTATGTAGTGTGTTGCAATCTGGCTATGAGGTGTGTGAAATACATCATTATCATCATTACAAAAAAAAAAAAGAAAAGGAAGAAGAGTGCATGTTGTTACAACATTTCACCAATTTCGAGGTTGGTGCAGCAGTGTGATCCCACCAAACTCAAAGTGTTGCGATCTGTCTGTGTCCGAGGTGTTCCGTATCTTATTTACATATTTTTTTAAATGTTTATAGAAGTGGATCCACCTGAAGTTAGTTTCTTTAACATTAAAATACCTGCACTTACCAATATATTTGAAGTGTTATACAAGTATGCTTCAGTTTTGCTTCACTACATTCATACCATCGCTATATCAGTTGATGGTATGGAGACTGGATCTACCTTTTTGCGCAACAAGCTGATGTCTCCTCAGCCAGGATAACTGCATTTCCTTTCATAAAATGTGTATATTTACAAAAAAAAAAAAAAAAAAACAGCTTGCAGCTAATGGAGTAACTGGCACTGCACAGCCAGTGCCAACGTGTTTAAAACGATCATTTGTAAAAGAAGCTAATCGATACAAGGCAGAAGCTCTACATTAGCCACATTATGCAAACCCCGAGTGATTCACCGTATTTACTTGAGTTATAAATGCACTACTTACGAACGAGGCCCTTGGGTCTACTTTCCTGCAGGACATGCCTACCGCCAGTCATCGCATTCTGTTCATGAGAAATATAGTCAGTAACGAGGTTGGGATAACTGTTTCTTGCAAAAATGCAATCTGAGCAGATAGTCTTTTTGCAGGAAGACATTAACCCTGTACCGTAAATCGCTGGCATCTTGTCGATCGCGGCGATTGGCTACCCGTCCGCTCTATGGGAAACCGGACCCACAGGTTTTGTTCGTAAACAATGTGCCTATGAGCCCAGTAAGATCTGGTAAAAATGCTTATCCAAAATGAAGAGATAAGTGATGAAAAATATGGGGTGGACGATCCTTGGGGATGCGACTGCAAAATTTAATAAAAAACGAGAAACCTGCCACATGCTCGCACGTCATGGCAACGGATACCGCAGATTGCAGACGCAGCAGATTCGCATTTTGTGGTACGACAAACATGCGGGAAATAGTTTTAAACTTGCCTGTCATATGTACCGGCACTGCAGGTCAAGCTATCAACGGGGTTCACGTTGGACATTCAATATCCAGTGGAAATTGTGGGGTGGGCGATGTTTTCTCATTTTTACGTACGGGATGGGCGATCTCTTGGGGGTGGGTGTTCGTACGAGACATTATGGTGATTTCGGTATCGGTCCTCGCCAACTCCGCGAATGGCGTGTCTTGCGAGCTTCAAAGGCAGAGTTCTCGGCCCACCTCAAAATGCTGTCATTACCGCAGCTGGCGGCGGAGCTATTACTCCTTCAGCGCCACAAGGAGTTGCCGCGGAGCGAGGCGGGACTTGCAAGCTACGCCCAGCTCTACGAGTGCTTTGGTGACGCCCTGGCCACGAGGCTACCCACCCTGCAGGTGTCGCACCTGATGTACACGGCACGGAAAGTGAGCAATGCCTGCGGCCTCTTTTTTTTTTTTTTTAAATACGCCACCTACCTCATCTTTTTTTAATGGAGAATGTATTTTGAAAGGCTGACGTACACTTCGTGCTGTCCACTTTTGCCCGTCTCTTCCTTTGCTATGTCCTCTCCATTTTTTACCTTGCCTCAACTTGGCTCCCCTTGAAGCTTAGGAGAGGGGAGCGCTAAGAGGATTATCTTCCCTGTGGAAAAATGAGGTTGTACGTCAGCCTTTAACGTAAGTATGGTGCCTGTAACGCGACTCCAGCTGGCGTATTTAGCGACCTATTCTGCCCGTGCATCAAAAGGGGTCTTGAACTCGCAAAAATTGGTTGCAGCTTTGTTTATTCGACCAAATGTGATGAAGTGCAGTAGGTTTACAAGAACGTCGTGAGTAAAAACATAGGAAAGGAAATTGTCGAGGACGACATCTAGGATGACCTTAAGGATTACGTGAAGAACAACGTGTAGGGCAACCTCAAGAATGACTTCTAGGACGATGTCAAGGATGTCAGGTCACGTCAGCTTCAGCTAATGCCGCTTAAGTATCCGGAGCTTACACGAACGAAGCTTACGCGAGTGGCGCTTGCGCAAACAGAGCTTGTCTGAATGGAGCTTACGTGACCGGCGCTTACGCCAACGGAGCTTATGCGATTGGCACGTACACGCTCCCAGTGGATCTTTCATGTTGTGGGAGACTACTCATTCCTCCCCGCTGGCCTCGGTAGCTCTAAGCCTCTCCCAATATATTTAGTCTACGGAAACATTGATCCACTTCGAATGACAGTCTAGAAAGCCGTCCTTAGGAGTAGGAATCATCCTAGAAGTCATCCTTGAGGTCGTCCTCGAGGTCGTCCTCGAGGTCGTCCTAGAAGTCGTCCTTGAGGTTGTCCTTAAGGTCGTCCTAGACGTCGTTCCTGAGGTTGTCCTAGGTGTCGTCCTTGAGGTCATCCTAGACATCGTCCCTGAGGTCGTCCTAGGCGTCATCCTCTAAGCGTCGTCCTTGAGGTCGTCCTAGAAGTCATTCTAGACGTCGTTCTTGAAGTCGTCCTAGACGTCGTCCTCTGGGTGTCATCCTTGATGTCGTCCAAAAAGTCTTCCTTGAGGTCGTCCCACCATAGTAAAGCTTCGCTGGTCTTCCTTCTTCACCAGAGTGGAAAAGCTGGAAGCTTTTTTAAAAGCATATGAACGAAAAGGGTGGGTTTTAGTTCGTGAGAAATATTTGACGCATCTACTTGTATTTAGAAATAAAATGCCCTGATAAGATGAGTGGAAAAAACCTGGTGCAACATAGCAAGCAAAGCGGTGACTACCCATTTATTTGAAATAGAGCCAATCTTCTTACAATCTCAATATCCGACACATTCCCTATTCAAACCGAAGGTAGTAATCTTATTTTTGACGGACGAGCTAGAGCTTTACGGAAGATGCCTTGGCAGGACTCGCATGATTTGCAGAACCAGTTTCCCAACGAGTGGTTCATGATGGAGCTTGCTCGGCCCGCAGGAGCCAGCTGGCACGTCGAGTCCCACCGGAGAGCAGCTGCTGGAGGCGTTCTACGAAGACGAGCACAGCATGTCGGCGGACGAGGACAACAACTCGGAGGACAGTGGACTGAGCGGCCCGCCGCCGGGAGCGCTGCACCCGCAGGTCAAGAGTACCATCTCGGATCCAGCCAGGGGCATCCGGCTCACCATCGCCCTGCGGAGGCCCACCGCGGATCCGCCCAAGGCAAAGCGCAAGCGGACGCCGGATCCCAGGGAGCCGCCCTTCGAGGCGGTGCCGCTCGTGCTGCCGCGGAAGCGCGGGCACGTGGTCATCTGCTTCGAGGGTGAGTGCCGGCGACGACGCGTTTGTCCGTGTCACGCGATTGATGTCGTCACTTTTGGGGCGAGCTGCCCGAGTCGTGTCGAGCTATCGAGTTGATGTTCATGCAAAACCGCTGAAGCTGTGATTCTGTGTGTGTGCCTTCCGTTTGAGTTTAGGCTGTCTGCCTACCTAGAAAACCTGTGATTACCTGTGATTGTCGGGAATTTTCAAAGCCCATGGTAAAGTTAGTGAATGGTCGGGGAAATCGTCAAAAATTTGTTTACCGGGCAACTCTGCTCATCTCAGAAACTTGGGGATTATGAGTGATTTCACGTTAAGAGGTACTAATAAAAGGCACGACGTCATTTGCTTTACGAAAAATAATATATTTTGTGAAATCTTACTTTCAACATGAGCAGAAACCGAAACCGAAACTTCGGCAACACTCGGGCCGCAAAAAACATGGCGACCGTGTGGTTTATGTGATCCTCTAAACGACGATGGGCGGGATCGGGGCGGGCCACCATTGGGATAGGCATGTGCTAGGCGCAAGTGTCGTCCGCATCGCAGCCTTCACCATGTTTTGGTGTCTACGATATTCAACGACGTCAGCACAACTGCGCCGTCAGTTCGTTCAGATAGTGTGAACGGAACTTCGAGAGACAGTAATGAAAAACAGCGAGACAGCGACGGCGATTGTGATGCGGGAAACGGCGGTGGCAGGCGGGACACTTTTAAAGGCTGAGAAGCCCGCTGCACAGGCACATTACTCAAATCACGTGGACACCACTGAGCGCCGAGAGGTGACGGTGCTGACGTCACCTGTTATGCTTGCCCGGAGAAGTACAAACAAACAAAAAGCAGCAATGTTGATGACATTTAGATCAATGCTGGCTACACCAACACTGTAGTCTTGATTGTGCTGTTGATTGCACTTCAATTCGCCCGCTAGAGTCGGCCGATTTTGGCAACTTGGCACGTTCCGAAGTGTGCCGCACCGTTTAAGAAACATTTAGACAGAACTAGGTTGTAATATTTGATGTGTGGTATTCTTAGGGGATTCTTAGGGTTCATGGTTTCATTTACGTGCAACTTGACTGACGCTGTCGTGAGTTTCAAGAATTTCGCGGACATGGACAGTGCACTTGCTCCGTGCCGATTATCGTGCGGCCGTCCAACGCAGATTGCTGAAATGCGAAACTATCTGATCTTGTGGAGGCGAAACACAGTCCAGCAAACCATCGACCTGTTTCTCCAGCCGTTTCATATATAATGTGCCAATACAGAGGTTTTTCTAGTGAATTAATTCTTTCGGATTGATTGATTATGTTTGGACTTCTGCACGATCCCGATAGAATCCAAATAATTGGTTTGCGACTGTATGCTGTGGCATGATTCGGTGAAATTTTTTAAAAGTCTGAGAGACTCTCATTACGAACCTGGCCAATCGCTTTTTTATTCTCGAAGGTGCGACACCCTTGCTTCCCCGTGCCAAGGAAGAGCCCGTTGTGCCAGTGCCCGAATGCAGGATGGCGCAGCTCAGCCGCCGCATGGGCAGGGTGGGTCGAAGCCGAAGACGCAAGGTGGCACCCTTCCGCTCCCGACACCTGGGCGCTGGCATTGACTCGCTTCTCTGAAGTGAGCCGTGTAGTGTGTAGACACTTTGGTGCTTTTTCTCAATGGATCCTGTGCTTCCAGCAGCGATGGTTTCCAGCCAGCAGGATCTGCGAACTTTCAGTGTCAGACTTTGGCAAGGCAGTGAGCAGGTTGAACGCTAAAACGTCTGCAAGACCTCTTAAAATGTCATTTGGGCATTTACAGGACATCTGTGAGACGTTTATTAGATGTCTTGGCAAGATGTCTTAAAGACTTTAGACATATTGAGACTATAGACTTTAGGCATCTAGACTTCTAACTTCGGCAAGACTGAGCCTGCTGAACTCTAAGAAACCTACAAGACTTCCATAAAACATCAGTTAAGCAATAGTTTTAAGACATCTATAAGATGTTCTGGCAGGTATCTTATAGACAACATCTTAGAGTGTGACTACTTCTAGATTTAATAAGTGTGAGACTGCTAAATACTAATATGCCTACATGACTTCTCTAAGATGTCAAAGTGACATTTATGAGACGTATTGGCAAGATATCTAATAAGCCTTAGACATCTTAGAGACTACCTATGGACTTCAAACTTCAGCTCAACTGAGCCATTCAACTCTAAGACATCTATAAAACTTCCCAATTGTAAGACATTAAGATGTCTTATTTTGGCAAGACGACTTGTAGGCTTCTTGTAAAGATGGTCTCGTAGATGTCTATAGGTTATTCTAACTTCAGTTTCTTTAGTGCCAAAAGTGGTATAAGATGCGTTAAGATATAGGTTCAAAAAGGCAGTGTGCCTGTGGATACAACATTGGCATGGTGTGGTGTAAAACAGAGTTAACGGCCGGAGAAACTCCGGGGAGATTTACTAGCATCTTTTTTCAGTTTACCATGTCATGGTTATTCGAGAATCCACAACTGTGTCTAGTTAGGAGATGGTATTGTGTATGCTGATCTTTTATGTCTTTTATCTCTTTTTTTTTTTCTAGATGAATGTTGAGGTGATCTGTTTTCTTATCAGTCCTCCCATTAGGGGTATGCTGCATCAGCATTTTCTGCAATGGTATTGTGAGATTTGTGTATAAAGAAGTTATGTTCTCACCATGTTCATGGCTTGTATACAGTTAATAAAATATGGTGAATCAAGGTAGAGGTTTGTCGATGCATTGCCGAAAAAACACACTCGACCAATAGTATTTGCTAAAAAAATATTGGCAGCGACCTGTATCTTTAAGGTCCTATAATGCGTAAAATGTACTGTCAAAGGAGCGATTGTTTGAATTTGTTAGGAAGACATTAAAGGGGGTACGGAAACAAAAATCGAAATATTCAAATTTTGTTCGAAAATAAGTCAAGCATGACGGATAATAACCGTAAATGATAATCGCACGTTTGTATTTTGAACGGCTGGCTATATTTTTCGTTCCAAACAGTGCACTCGAGCAAGCGCTCGAAGAGAAGCGAACGAAGAGCGCAGTGCGTCATGCAATATCCGGTGCAAATGAAAACAGAAAGAAAAGATTTTCCGCATTCGTGACGTAGCAAGGCTAGCGTGGTTATGAGCTTTGCCCTTGGTGGGGTTGTCAGCGCTGTGTGGTCATTCCATTTAGCGCTCTCTGGGCGGAACCATTTTGTTCGACAGCAGCGTCCTTTCCATACATCCAGGAAATTCAGCGGGTTCGGCCCGACGCCCGACTCCGCTACCAGACGACAAACCGGGAGGTTGCCATTCTCCATCTTTGGGGTGTACCGGCGGGCTGTACGGAACATCAAACTCTCGCTCGTGGCTCCCGTTGTGAAGTGGTTCGCGTGCTGAGAATAGTTATGGCTGCTCCAAAATCAGCTTAGAGTTCTTTGTTGTTCTATTTTGGTAAATGATCAACTAGCATATATTTTTTCCGTTACTTAAATAGCAGTTGAGTCAGCGGGCAGTGCTACCCTCAACTACTGTGTGTGTTGCGGCAGGGGAGCACGTTTTTATTTATTAGTTCAGACGTCCACTCATAGTTGCTAAAGGCCTACACCAGTACAAACTTTGTATAGTAAAAAAGGTTCAGCAACCGGATTCACTTTTCGCCGGAGAGACCGGCCAATCTGACACAGTTTTCCCTATTTCTTTTTTTTATTTGCACGCAGGTAATTGCGTAATTGGACCCTGTTAGTTTTTATCTAGCATAGTATTGCACGATAACTGGCATACCGAAATTTGCGCATCTGCGCTTCAAATTTCCAAAATGACGCCATTTTAAACAGAGTTTGTGCGCCAGCCGGATGCTAGGTACAGCCCACTCGGCGGAGCGGAGTGCACCCCACTCGGCGGTACACCCCACTCGGCGGATGCGGGTGAGAGGGGGAGGGCTTTTTTTTTTTTTTTTCTCTTTTTACCCTCTCTGCTATGACCTTAATGGAGCGCGTTACAACCGAGCCGTTCGAAGTACCCGTGGGGTGACGAGCGTGTGGCTGGCCCAAGGAGCACATAGCTTCCACAACACTGTCAGCTTAGGGCCGAACGGGAGCAACTTTTGTTCGAGTTTTGAGCGACGGGTTAATCTTCTAGGAGGAGAATGGCTGTTTCCGGTTGCACGAAGGAGGGTCTGAGAAAGAGGGGAGTCCTTCCTTTCCGTCTTCTTGGACCGTTCGGTAGAATGCGCGAGTTGTGATTTCAGCTAGGAGGAAAGCCAAGAAGGAAAACGTTGAAATTCCAAAAGGCGGCGCTGCTCCGAAGGAATCTGCTATGTCACAATACGTAGCAAGTTCCCCAACGTTGCTAGATTACCTCCCAAATAGGCTCCGCATGCATCCACCAGGTGCATATTGAAATATCGTTTATTTAGCTTTAAAATTAGTTTTCTTGTGCCTTTCAACGGAAAACTGGTGTTTTTGAGGTTAGGGTGCAACATGCAACACATTCAAGCTAGAAAATGAGCGCTGAAATTTCGTTTCCCTACCCCTTAAACAGCTGTTTTGGGGAGCGGAGCAGAAGCCATATTTTTTTATATTTCCCCACTAAATTTAACGGGGGACTCGATTGGTTCATAGGTCATGACGTGAACTTTCCAGCTAAATTTAGCGGGGAAACTGAATTGATGTATAGGTCAAGCGACATCAGTTTCTCTGCTAAATTTAGCGTCGACACCGAATTGGTGTATAAGTCACGGTATTTAGTGACTCTAGGTCTCGGGACATAAATTTACCCGTCAAATGTAGCAGGAAATGCATGAAAGGGCAGAATTTTGGGATTGGGAATCCGTCAAATAACAAAAAAACTTTTTTTTTTTAACAGCCTGGATGGAAAAAAGATGTCATAAAACGAATTTACAACAAAAAACAAATTTTAGAGCTATATTTACAGCTCGAAACGAATCTGTAGTTTGCGTCCGAGGAAGCCCCCGGAAAAATGACCGCTATGGTCACGTGGGGCTTCGGGATCCTCCAAACTTGTGTTTGGGCGAGTTGGTTCATACTGATTTAAAAGGTTAAAACGCGCAACACAACAAGGACAATAAAGACACAAAGACGACAGGACGGGCGCTAACTCACAACTGATTTTATTAGAAACAACACTGTCACTTTTATACACAAGATCGTATGCCAAACCCACACTGCAACCAATCACCACCCTCACAAGCAGCTATCTAGAAACATTACTTCTTTCTGAAGCAAAAAGAGAGAAGGCACGCTAACGGATTTGTCATCTTCCTTTTGATATAAAACGCCTCTATAATCTCTCTCTCGGTCTTATCTTTTGATTTCTGTAAAAACTTTGTTTCAGCCAAAAGAGGCTTACAGTCAGCACATCGCCTGCAGTGGTCTGCCAGGTGTCCCCCGCGTTGTTCTGCACAGAAAGATTATGCTCACGCGCCCTATCGTTAAAACAGCGCCCGGTTTGTCCAATATAAACTTTTCCACATCTTAATGGAATCTCATAGACAACATTGGTCACACTAGGGAGCCTTCCTGTGCGCTTTGCTAGGGTGATGCCACCCTTTGTAATACCACTCGCCGACAAACCAGCAGCCATTTTGTTCCTCGGCGATAATCCGTGGGGCTTATAACCCTCCCGGAAACAAGCACATTATCTCAGAAGTTCGGAGCAGCGTTGTGGAACCCACGGAGGGAGGATTAGCATTTCCCCCTCGGATGGGATTACCGATGGACACAAAGGTCACTTTCCGGCGCACGGGGAAACAATGAGAGAAACAAAATGGCGGTGGAAGAGGGTGTGGGAAAGGGAAACAGGCAGTTGGCATCACCTTATGCAAAGCGCACATGAAGGCACTCTAGGTCACACATTCAGTGTACTGTACAGCGTGCTTTTTAGAACAGAGTGCTTTTTTTCTGCCGTGTAAGCATCGAACAGATTTTTGAGAGCTTGCAAGGGGCTGAAAAAACAACATTTACATCGTATCTACTAGCTATCTTTTTAATGTTGTGAGACACTTTATGCATCGACATGTTACTAATACGGCGGACTAGTTTTTTTTTTTTTTTTTCAAATATAGAGTTTTCTTTTCTAACATGAGGAAACTAGCGTTTGTTAATCTTTATTGGAGTTATAAAGTACGGAAAGATGTCACTATCGGCAAATATAATAGCACGAGCAGAGTTGGAATTGCTCGGGCGTGAAGACGAGCTTTCGCCTATTCCGCTAAACGCAAACAATTACAAAAAAAAAAAAAAAAAAAAAAAAGTTGAGTTTTTTGGATCATCGGCATGCACTGCGAAAATATATTTCGTTTACTGCAGCAAAAGCTGAGACCTGGCACACGATAGAATGAACCTTTCCTTGTGTCTAAATAGTTTCGTGGACAAGGACTGCGTTGCTAGCGGGAGCTCGTGCCGTCGCTTTGAGCATCAATTGGGCATGCCCCCGCAAGGCTCGCAATCCTTAGCGTACGCTCTACGAAAACGTTTTAGTATCTTGAACGAAGTGCATTTGGAGAATCGGCATCGCTGGAGTTAGGCAAATAAATGACACCACTATGCGTGTAAAACAGGACTTTTCGGTAATTTTTAGCATCACCGATCGTTTTGTCAATCCAGGAGCTTGGTTTACTTCATACACATTTTATAAGCGTCGAATACTACCTGCAGCTGTGCACACGCGCACATGCGACGTCTGCTGTTTACGCGCCTCGTGCATAAAACTACCCGTCAAATAATCAAATACACTCGCTTGTATCCCCTCCGTTAAAATGAAAAGTGGCGTGTGCTCGGTTGCCTCGCCAGCACGTTTCTCATTTATCACATATATTAGTGCTTTGACGTTCTCACGCGCAAAGTACACCCTGAGTTCCCTCTCAAAGCGCATAAGCTTTGCCGCACACCCGCGGGCGTACCTTACTGTGTAATTTACAAAACGAACACAGAGAGATCCTTCAGCAAAGCCTTTTAAATACGAGAGAATCTTTTTATTGTCAATAATTGATGTTTTATTAATCACAAGACAAATCACATACAAAGATAAAGACAAGAAAATATTTATTGCTACAAGGCAATATATTGCACATTCGGAAGAGGTCGGCGCGAAAAAATAGAAGGATCTGCATATGGCTTGAGTTTCTTGAGGCCAGTCTTTGCCAAGATCACTGGCACGAACTGATCGTTCGTGAAGTGATCCTGAAAAATAAATGCAGCATCGCATATTTTTAGTTGCCATTTGTGAAGCACCAATCGCGGAAATATTTTGCACAAACAAAATCGTGAGGGGCTCGATCGTTGGTGACTCTCCCTTCACTGACGCAAGATGCACGAGGTAACACTACAACTTTTTTTTATTTTAGTGGCACCCTCTCGTGCATCGTTCCAAACTCGGCCGACTCAATGCAAGCGAGCTAAGAGTGAGCGAGTCAGTTTTTATGCTCAAACACGCGCGGAAGGACGTGTCTAAGTCCTTCCGTGTTTGTCTCGTCACATGGCCGTACTACGCGATATTCATCGGCGAGACCGAAAGAGACACGTAATACGATTCAGAGTTTGACAATG